TGGTTTTGTATTATTTTTGTATATTGAGTTAGGGCGCAAAATTAAGTGAACGGTCTAACATTTGCCAGAGAGCCCAGAGTTAAGAGAACCATCTTAAATGTGTCAGAGGCTCAGAATTAAGTGAACCATCTTACATGTGGCAGCGGCCCAGAATTAAGTGAACAACCTAACATTTGTGAGAGAGCGCAGAATTAAGTGAACAATCTAACATTTGTCATAGGAGCTCATACTTAAATAAACGGTCCAAAATATGCCAGAAAGGCCCAAAATTAAGTGAACAATCTAACATTTGTCAAAGGGCTCAGAATTAAGTGAACGTTATGATAACCAAACATTTAAAAAATCATTTTAAAATGTCACTTTTTCAGGTATCGTATGTTTATTTACTCAGTGCGGTTTTTGTTTCATCCCAAAGACTATATCTTGCAAACAAAGTGTATTTAAAAGGTGATTTGTATGATTTGTCTTACACCTCTACTTTTTTAGTATTCTTTTTTTCCTTTTGGAGGATTTCTCGTGGAAAAAAAAAGATTAAAACTTTTCCGTTTTTTGTGGTGTGCTAACCTGCGTGAACGTCTTTTGTTTCACTTTTTTCACGCTGAACAAGGAGATATTAGCCTTGAAGTATTAGTCTTTTTGGAGCTGTGTGCAGGGCCGGGCGCCGGAGGGGGGGGAGGAGGTGGACGACGGAAACCCCCTCCCCCAGAAAAAAAATTTTCCAAAAAAAAGTTGAACGTGGTCCCCCCTGTGGATTTCAGAAAACCTGTGCCGATTTTTTTGACCCCCGCCCCCAGACCAAACGTTCCCGGCCGTCCTTTGCTGTAGGTACTTGGTATGTTTTAATTTTTATATTGTAAAGGCAAGGGGTTAGGTAAATGAGCTTTATAACATAGAAAGAAAGACTACCTGTGCCGTTTTTTCCAAAAAAAAGATTTTTTTCGAAAATCCACAGGGGGGGGGCTACGTTCAACTTTTTTCGAATTTTTTTTTCAAAAGCGGGAGGGGGAAGAAAGTCAAAAAAGGCAAAAAAAATTTTTTTTAAAAATATTTTTAAGAATTGTCTGCCTGCTTGACCTAAAGACTCCTTTTCGATTTTACAACCTCTGAACCAGCTGCAAAAACACATAAAACTTGAAAAAGTTCTAAACCAAATTTTGAAAAAGTAATAGGGCATAGTCATATGTTTGACATAGTACGTTTGTTTTTATTATTTTATTATTCATACACTTGGGTTTGACAAAGTGTAACAAAGTAAAGGATTTGCAATGTTCTTTTTTCACCTGGTTTTTAGACTTAGGCTGAGGTAAAGGTAGAGCAGAGTACGTCTAGAACGTACACTAGGTCTAGTCCTATGCTTAAACCCATAGAAAACAAACTAAACTCGCACTAAGCAAAAGCTTGTTTTTAGGCTTAGATTTAGTTAGGGCTAGTGCTTAATCTTTCATTTAAACTTGGCTAGTACTCAGTCTTAGGCTTCGACTTGGCTATGGCTCAACCTTAAGCTTAACCTTGGCTACGTCACAATCTTGGGCTTAGAATTGAGTAAGGCTATAGCTCAATATTAGACTCGGCCTAGGCACAGTCTTAGGCTTAGACTTGGAAATGACTTAGTTTTAGGCTTAACCTTAGCTATGGCTTACTCTTAGGCTTAGACTTAGCTAGGACTTATTCTTAGGCTTAGATTTGGTTAGGGATACGGCTCAATCTCTGGGCTAGATCTCTGGGCTAGGACTCTGTGCAAGGGCTCTGGGCTAGGGCTCTGGGTTAGGGCTCTAGGCTAGGGCTCTGGGCTAGGGCTTTAAGTTAAGGGGGTCATATTTTGTAGTTTGCATACGTGGACCTTATTTTTTTTAATTTTATTTGCACTGACGTGATGACACAGACTACGTCTTTTTGTATTTTTGTATTAGGCGCTTTGGGTGTTTGCTTTACATAAAATTGTGAAAGTTATTATAAAACAAAGTTTTAATAGTAGATCAAAATAGATATTACATGCTTTCTAGGACTACAAGTCTTGTTTTAAAGGTCATTTTTTATATTAACTTAGTTGTAAAAGCAAAAAAGTTAATAGTGGAAGCTATAACAAGATTACAGTCTTTAAAAAGAAAGGTTAAACATAAAATTGTTTGTTTAAAACAAACTGACGTGATGTTAAAACCAATGTTAAAGTAAGGTTTAGTTCACGTCACTTTATTGCGGGTAACCCAAAAAGTGACGATTGTAAATTGTTTAGGTTTTGTAGCGAATAAACACTTTTTTACTTGTTTATTTGAACAGTAGTGTTTATGGTGGGCGGGTTAAACTTATTATAATAGTAAAACTATTTACAGTTCTATTTTATTATATTATTGTTTTTGTCGATGTTGCAATTTATTAAATTTACTAGGGTTAAAAATTTTATTTTCACGTGAATTCTACTCTACTCTACCCTACCCTACCCTACCCTACCCTACCCTACCCTACCCTACCCTACCCTACCCTACCCTACCCTACCCTACCCTACCCTACCCTACCCTACCCTACCCTACCCTACCCTACCCTACCCTACCCTACCCTACCCTACCCTACCCTACCCTACCCTACCCTACCCTACCCTGCCCTGCCCTACCCTACCCTACTCTACTCTACCCTACCCTACCATACCCTAGTTTACCCTACCCTATATAAGATTGAAAAACGGGTCATGCCCACTTATGAGGCCCAACCCATGCCCGGCCCATTTTCATTTTACCCTAATCTAGACCTGCCCAAATTTTTTACTTGCGAACGGCCCGACCTTACTTTAGGTTAAGACCGGCCCGTTTCTTACCGCTAATATTATCCTACCCTTGTATACTCTACAATACGACCATTCCCTCTCCTAACTTGCTCTACCGTGCCGCCAGTACCTTAACTCACACTGTCCTATTCCCTTCCCTTCTCTAATCAACCTTTTCTTGCCTTGCTTTATCTTGTCTGTCTTAACACTACTTTTTTCTGCCCTACCCTACGCTTACATTCTTTTCTTTGCCCAGCCTTACAATTTCTATTTTAGTTTTTGATTTTACAAAACTGCGTGATCGCCCCCACGAAAACAATTTGACTCATTTTATTTACCCACCTTTTTGCCATTTATAAATCATTTTCCTCAAATTGCAACCTTATCCGTATTTTCCATTTTGCTCGTCTATCAGCCGGTTTATTTGCACAACGGTCTCGGGGAAAAAAAACCAAGACCAACGATGCTCTTTTATGTTTTGTACATTCGCAAAGTCGGCGTACGTGACTCTCATATGACACATTTTTTGGGGCAATTCGGATTATTTTTTGGACATTCCTATTGGGCATGGTTAGGTTTTGCTGTAAGGATTATGGAAGGCTGGGCTTAAAATAAGGGGGGGGAATTGGTAAGAGATGGGGAAAGATAAGCGGGGAAAGGAAACAAACTTATATTTTTTTTTAAAAAAAACGTTGAACATGATCCCCCTGTTCATTCAAAAACATTGTTGCAACCCTACCTTGTCCTACCCTTTTCTATCACTCTCCTTGCTCCCCCCCCTTCCTCCTCTGTTAACCAAATTTCAAAAAAGCATGCCCGTTAGCAACAGCATATATCCTAGCCCTAGACAAGGGGAACGAGCCTGGCCTAACCCAAATTTGGGTCAGACCTGAAATTAAGGCCTGGGCCTAAAATTCAGGCCCGGCCCGTTCCTCATGTCTACCTTACCCTGAATCCTCAATTGATTGTGTATAAGTTACAGTAAAACCTCTCCAAAATCAATTAAATTTGTTAAAAAGTACGTTTGTCGGTTCTTCTTTTCACAGTGTAAAGAAAGTTGACATCAGCTCTTAATTGTTTGTTAAAGAAACAATACCAAAAAATGATGTCACTTTCTTATTTTATTTTCTTTAGTGATTTTACTTTACTTTGGCTAGCTAAACGGAAAAAACTAGGAAAAAACTGTTTCAAAAACCATAAGAGAAAAAACAATATGGTTTTTAATGTTTTCTTGATAGTTAAGATGTCATAAACAACAAATGATCACAGCCATTCTTTTTTATAGATTATTGTTGCATTTCTTTTTTGGTTAACGTGACTGTTTCTAACATGCCTAAGCCTTTACTTTTATGTCCAAAACATGCTTTACAATCACCTTATAATACGCTGTAACCTTAATTTGTTGAAGGCCTATCTAGCCCTAGCCTTCAGCCCTAGCTTCGAGCAATAGGTTTTGATCTAGCTCTAGCCCTAGCTAACTGTCTCTCACCCTACCCATACCGTAGACTTATTCTGGGATTGTATTTGCCCTATACTAGTCTTGTCCTTAGCATAAGCGCGCTTCAAGCTTTACCTCCATGCAAGCCCAAACTTAGCCTAACTAACTTAAAAGTGCTTACTACAAACCACAATGTATAATGTTGTGTACAGCAGCTTATCAAACTACTGCTTTCTTTGGCTTTTGTTACGTTATTAATCCAATTGCAGCGAAAAATTGTATTATATCTTAATTCGTTTCATCTAGATACGTCAACCTTTATGCTGTTTTTAAACACGAGTACGCTGATCAAATTGCCGTTCTGTCAAAATGATGACAAATACTGTATTAATTTGTTTCTTCTATGATAATTTAATTGAAAACATAAATAAAAAGCTTTAACCGTAGAGCTTTCTGTCATCGTATGCTTTGTAGTTTATCATCACACAACATGTATGCTTGTTCTGGTTCAATTTTTACTACAACATGCATAACTTTTTTTTCATTGTACTATAACCTTACTACAATATTATAGGTTGTAAAAGCTTGAAATACTTGAAAATGTCACGCTTTTTTTGTTTACGACTTGTATTATACTTACACGTTTTTAAATAACCATGCCATTTCCAGTTAATCCCATTCAAAATTCTGCTAAAAGCGCGCTTCTGTGATTCGCCTTTAGCGGCTCGCCGCCCCACCAGATACCATCCGTATTCCTGCCCAACCGAACTGTCAAGGCTTTATCTCCTTGGCCTACGTGACAGTATGATCTCACAATCACCATCAACCTTGTCTCGACATAGTGTCTCCAGCTTCGATGAAAGTATGGCATGTTCAACATCAGATGCCGGTTCATCTTCGCCTTCGACATCGTCTCAAACCAGTGAAACACAAAGTATCGTACCTATTTCTGTACCGAAAGAGTTATTAGATATGGGGTTGATCAAGGATGAAGATAGTGATATCACGTTTACTCGTAGTCGATATCCCGCCGGACCACCGACACAATGTCCGATATGTGGCGATTCGGCCGTGCATCGACATTTTGGTGGTGTGGTCAGTTGTAATGGATGGTATGTTTGCTCTTATCTTTATTTTTGCATAAGACTCGTTTTATTGGTGTTGTTATTAAAACTTTTGTCGGTTTTTGTGTTGTTAGTAAGACTTTTATCAGTTTTTATGTTCTTTGTACCTTAATCATATTGTTTTAAAGTGCTTGGAACGATCAGTAAGAATAATCAAACGAAATAGAAGAATTATTTTTCAGTGCTGCCTTCTTTCGTCGAACGATTGTTGAATGCAAATCTTATAAATGTCGAAAAGGAAACAAATGTGAACTTAGAAAAGGTAAGACCAAAACAAGAAATAATAAAAATTTTATTAAAAAGCCGGGTAACACCAATTTTTACGCCCCCTGTAAACTAACACTTGGCTTACTCCCGTAGTTGAAAGTTTTATTGTCATACGTGATTTCATAAGATTGACCTTCTTTAAAGTATCCGCCCAAAAGTACGATCTTTCATAGCTTTTACGGCACACTTTTGCTCCTTGATTATTTTCTAACTATAATCTTCATGAATATATAAACACACTTTGTCACAGCTCAGCGTCCTTTGAAACCTGAAAAAAAATTATTCGAATAGCAAAGACAAGTTAAACAAAATATAAACAAGGTAAACCAGAAAAACCTTTAAAAATTAAAAAAAGTAATGGAAACTATCTCCATGATCCCAAAAACAAGAAAAATGTCAGAAAAAAATAAATATATTTCTTTATTTTCTTATACCGTACTCCATTATTGATCGTTGTGGGACCTAAAGAGGCTCACATTGTCAATCACATTTCCTTTGAAAAACATTCCAAATAAATTTATAACAATCTGTATACCATTATGACAAAAAAACTCTGATAACCAAATACTTTTAGTAAAAGGCTCATCAATCTGCAAGTACTGTCGTTTCCAAAAATGCCTGGAAATAGGTATGGTAATGAAAGCTGTTGAACCGAAACGAATTGAACGTGCAGTAGAAAACAATCCAGGAGTATTAAGCAGGCTTTTACGTTGCCGGCAAGCTGCTTTCACTGACCGGTATAAAAGTACGATCGATGTTTATGGTGGCATAACAACATATATACGGATGTCGAACAAGCAGAAAACTGGGACAAGTGCTTTGATGGCTTCAAAAGCTGAATTCTCAGTGCTACGAGCATTTTTCAAGAACAGTGATTTTAGCGGACATCTGCCTCAGGGTATTGATGTAAGTTTTAAGGATTTTAATGAAGATTCTACAAAACTAAAGTATTTAAAAAAATTATTAATGAAATTTAGAAGTACAAAGAAATTCATATGTACTAAAGAAAATTTTTTAGCTAGTTCTAGCCCAACGACAGTTACTAACATGGATAACATGTGAAGCAGTGTACGCGAATATAAAATACCGAGGATTTCATATTGGACGATGCTATTATGTTGACGAAAGCTACATGGTAACAGATGAAGTCGCTGTGAAACAGTATTTGGACAGTTATCCTGGCTTGACACATACAGAAGCTCTTATACCGTAAGCAAATTTCAGAATTATAAAAATGAATGTTAACCAAAAACGTATTTTACCAAATCATAAAGATTTAAAATTATAATTTAGGTACACTATTAAGTTCTATGCTTCAATATCAAAAATTGCTGAAGCAATGTACAACGCTCATGTTGATGAAGAAGAAGTTACTGCAGTCACAGCTATTATACTGTTGAAGGAAAGTAAGTGACCCTAGCTTTGTGGCACTCATGTTTAGGCTTGTAATATAGAAAAAAAGTTTTTTAACTTTAAAAATGCCTTTAATAGTCAATATTCAAAAACAAAACATGGGTAATGATATAAAAATGTAACGATTTAAAACTTTCAGTGTCAACCCTACTGGGAAGGAATAAAGAGATAGAGAAGAAAATGAACATGATATTCAAAGGTTTAAAAGAACACTATGACAGTAATTACCATGATTTGGCCTTAAGAATGGGGAATTTGATCAGTTTTGTCGATATTATGATGGTAAGAAAGCTTTGGTCGAAGTACTATTATAGCACTCTTACTGTCCTACTCACGTTTACTCTGGTACAACTTAAGCTTACTCGTTCCTTTGTAGCCTACCCTAGTCGTACTAGCTTACCCTTCCTCCTACTGTAGCGTACCGCTAGTCCTACTGCAGCCTACCCTAATGAAGCCTCACCTACCGTACCCTATCTTACCCTACCCTACTACACCTTACCCCCACCTCCTTAATCTTAACTTATTAATGCTACGACTGCACTTTTTACTACATTAAACTAAAAAAACTTCTTTTCAGACCGAAGTTGCTGAATGTCGAGACGACCTGATCATGATGATGAGGTTAAATGACCCGCAAGACAGCAGCGTTACGCAAGACCTTCCGGGATACCATGAATTTTTGTATCGACAATCCATCCGATCCCAGTATAGTAATGCTTTAGGGTCTAATTTTAAATGAATTTTCGTTTTTTGTTCAAAAACTTTTACTTGCCCCCCCCGTAGCGAAAAAGACTATAGAGCAGCGAAATCCCTGCTCTACAGTCAAGTTATCAGCAGATTTTCTACGTTCTGTTTACTTTTAGACCTTTATAATTATTGTACTGACCACTTTTAACTTGGCCACACATTGTACCGTCCATAAACTTTTATAATGTTTACTATCCCCCTCATCACATACCTATGACTCCTACAGATGACATGTATTATTGACCTCATATATTGAATTGTATTCTAATTTAATTGTGATACTTATGCTTTTTACGTACTTCTATTCGCTTTTAAGCTGTTATTTTAATAAACTTGAAGTACAATATAGGTAATTTTGGCCACCACCATTTAGTCTGGTTACCGTAGGATCAATAACGTTCTTCTCCCCATAAACTAACCAAAAAACCGCAAAAACAACCCAAAAAGCCGTAAAGTAAGCCCAAAACCTTCCAAACCTGATAGACAAAGGCTGCTTTATAACCGATAAAATTAACAACACCGTTTTCAATCAAATCCAATTACATTGGGATAGCCAGTTGACGATATACGTGTTTCTTGTACTCTTCTAGACCGCCATCGAGTCTGGTTACCGTACGATCCTTGACGACCCACAATTCCTTGCAAACCAAGTCGATGAGACGCTCGTCGTGGGATACTAACACAACACCGCCCTGAAGTGACAATATGATGATATAAGTTAGGTAAACGTTTTGATTTTAAAACCTATTACATATGATGTGATCAGGGACTTAGCTAGGGGTGAGGAAGGGGAGGAGAACGGGTGAATAGGAATGGATCCACCCTCCAGGGCCAAATAAAAAACCAAAAAAATTTTTTTAATACCTTTGTTCAAATAATTCTCTGCCCCGAACCCAAAAAAATTGCTTTGAGATAGAGCACAAAATTATTTGAACAACCTAATAGTACTGCCAATCAATTTCTTAATACTAAAAACTTACATTGAACTCGTTCAAAGCCACACCCAAAGCATCGACCGTTTCCACGTCCAAATGGTTAGTAGGTTCATCAAGAATCAGGTAGTTTGGCCTGAAAAATCGATTTTTATACATTTTATTCAAAAGTCTCAAAAAAAAATTTTTTTTATTTTTTCACATTTAAAAAAAATTTAAAACGTCATTTTAAAGCCTAATTTTTTAAATTTCGGTCAAAAAGTCCATAGAAACTCCAAAAAAACGACCCAAAATCATAATCTACAAGGTCCTTAAGCCCTTTTTCGATCCGTATTTCATAACAAACCGTCAGCTTTAACCCAAACTACCCCAAAATAACCCCCAAACCACCTCCTAAGCCTTACTTCTGAAGTCCCAACATAGCGAAAGCCAATCTTGACTTTTGACCTCCAGACAGGGTTTCAATCGACTGGAACACAATGTCGCCAGACAGGCCGAAGCGGCCCATCGCTGCTCGATATTCCTCTTGAGTTTGTCCTGGGAACTTTTGAGCACACAGTTCGAGGGCACAACAGTCCATTTCGAGTTGATCGACGTGATGTTGAGTAAAGTAACCAATGTTGATACGACGGTTCACATGTCTGGTACCGGATGATGGGTCCAAGTCGCCGAGTAAGATTTTGAGGAGGGTTGTTTTACCGGCTCCGTTTTCTCCCACCTATAAAATGTCATGTTTTAGGTAACAAAGTACAAAAAATGCCATATTATAGATAATAAAGTGCAAAAATAATATTTTTTATGTATCGTGCTATATAGTACGTACTCAAAAAAAACACGTTTTTACACGTTTAATATAGTTATAGTAATAGCTAAAGTTCCATAAAAAACAAAATTTTTGAAAAAAACATAGTTTTCAATATCGTGCTATATAGCACGTACTCATAAAAAACAATTTTGACGCCTAAAAAACTAAAGTTTATCAATACAAACCATATTTTATTAATACTATTTCAAAAAACTCAATTTTTAGTATCGTGTTATATAGTACCAAACCAAAAAAAAACAAAATTAAACTTACAATACAAATTCTTGAGTCCGACTGTGATCCCACGCAAATATTTTGGAAAATGAGTCGTGCTTCCTTCGTGTATTGGAAAGAAACCTCGTCCAGTTGCAGGACAGGATTGCCCAGAGGCTCGCACTTGGGGAAGGCGAAGGTGACATCTGCTTCCATGATAACCGGTTGTAAGACTGGCCTAAAAATGTGGAAATAAAGCCAACTTTAAGCCAGATAAAAATTTTTCAAATTGACGCAAAAAAATAGTTTTTTTTCAGTATCGTGCTATATAGCAAATACACAAAAAAAAATTTTTTTTAACCTTTAAAAAAAGAGTTTCAACAGTACTTTAAAATTAATATTTTCCTTCTACTTTGATTTTTTTTGAGTATCGTGCTATATAGTACAAATAATTTTGTTTACCTAAAACAGTCAAAAAATCAAAAAAAGAGCCTTAGTATCATTTCAATCACAAAAAGATTTTTAAAATTACTATTCTAGTACCGAAAAACCCCAAATAGTACCATTCTAGTACCAAATACGCTTAAACAGTACCACTCCAGTACCAAAAACCCACATTTTCTCCAACATTTTGATTCGACTCTGTACCATCGAGGCTCTTTTGGCATTGTATCTGAATTTATCGATGAATTCCTGAACGTGAGACCTCAGCTGTTGTTGAGCTTCGTACTCTCGTTGTTGTAGGGTCAGTTTTTCCTTCATGGTCTTTTCGAAAATGTCATAATTGCCCTTGTATTGGTCCAGACGATGAGAATGATGGTGAATAATATCCGTAGAGATTGCGTTCAAGAATTTACGGTCGTGAGAGACGATTACGATGGTCGATTCCCATTCCTAGGAAAAGTTACAGTAAGTTTTTAATTTTAAGGTTTGTACAGAAAGCTCTTGCCATTTTTTGTTTTGTAAAGGAAGTTCTTGCCATTTTATGCTTTTTTTAAACAAAGTTCTTGCCAGCTTTTGAGTTGTAAAGAAAGTCCTTGCCGTTTTTTGTTCTGTAAAGAAACTTCTTTCAATTTTTCATATTGTAAACAAAATTCTTGCCATTTTAATCCAAACCAGCCAAAATTTGAGGTTACGCAGCCTGCGGATGACAAGTTATACGATAAACTATCTACGCAGCCAGCGGGTGACAAGTTATACGATGAATAAAAGACCCTGCCTCTTGCGGCCTTGTAAACAAAATTCTTTCCAAATCCCTACCTGCAAATGATTCTCCAGCCAATAAACAGCTCTCATGTCCAACATGTTAGTAGGTTCATCAAGTAACAACAAATCTGGTTTCATGAACAGGGCTCGGGCCAAAGCTACACGCATTCTCCAACCTCCAGAAAACTCTTTGGTCGGTTTTCGTTGCTCATCTGGTTTGAAACCGAGACCGTAGAGGATGGTGGCCGCTCTGGCTGGTGCTTTTTCCACGCCCAACGCTTCCATTTCGGCGTAGACGTCGGTTAAGCGGGCTGTTAGTTCAGCACGTTGGTCATCGGATGTTGATGGACTAAAATTTTTTTTGTAAAGAAAGTTCTTGCCATTTTTTGCTTTGTAAGGAAAGTTCTTGCCATTTTTTATTTTGTAAAGAAAGTGTTTGCCATTTTTCGGCTCTGTAAAGAAAGTTCTTGCCATTTCTAATCAATATTAACATACTCATTAATCTGCCGTTGAATATCGGCTTCCTCAGCCAAAACAGCAACCCGTTTCTTGTCGGAAGATAAGACACTGTCAATAACCGTCGTATCATCACCTTCCACTTCTTGTTCCACACTCAAAAAGCTGATATTGTTCGGAATGATCAATTGACCTCTAAAATAATACCGTAAATCTTCATAACTGTAATTCTTTTATCATTTTAAGTAGTATATTTTTAGATAGTAACTGATCAAAAAGTCTTCGGAATCGACCCTAAAACAATAAAAAAAAATAAATTTAAAATCTTACCCAGAGATCATCTTCAACAAGGTGGTCTTACCAATACCGTTTCGACCGACCAAACCATACTTGTGACCGAATACCAATATCACTTCAGCTGCACTCAATAATACTCTGAAAAACAAAAAAGACATCAACAAACTTACAATGAAACATTAAATAGAGCTAAAAACACTAATTTTAACCTAAAACAATATAAAAAGCAAAAAAGAATCATAAAAACAATATAAAACATCAAAAAACTCAAATTTAAACCAAAATAATGGAAAACAACACAAAAACTAACTTAGTTCCAATAGAAACATCAACACCTTCAAGATGAATGTCTTTTGTTCCACCAGACCCATCTTCCTTCATTCCACGTCTGTTCATGGACTGGGAAGCGGTTGCCACTTGAACACCACGCTGTTTCTTCACCGACGGCTTCACAACTTCCTCATCGCCACGTTTGGCCTGCTTTTCGGCCGCCTTTTGATTAGCTTTAGCCAGTTTTTTGCGATCAACTTGCTAAAAATTACATTGTTGTAGATAGGAGCTGAATTATTTACTTCTAGTCAAAAAACATAATTTTTTGGAAGACTTTTGATACGTAAAGTTAGCAAAATGTTTTACGAAGGCTTTCTCACCATAGTCGGCACATCTTTAGCTTGAATATTCCAGATACTATCAATGTTATGAAGCTTAGACGTCGTCTCACTGATATCAACTGTTCGATCCAGCTTTTTGGCTCCGAACTCGCGCACTTGCTTCTCTACTTTCTTTCTAAAAACAATAATATAAAAACTAAAGTTTTAAACTTTACCCATTGTGTAGAATGATCAAAAACTTCTCGCAAAGCTCTCGAACATCGTCTTCTTTGGTATCTGGTTGCCACGACATCAAACTATCGGAAACTTGCTCAAACACCTCATCAGCAGTCGTGATTTCCGCCGCATTTTCAACTAACAACTCTAAAAAACATTGTTTTAACTAGTTAAAGGGTATAACTTAAATTTTAGATCAAAAAACGAAAGCTTCAGCTGGTTATCTTTAAGGTAACAGATCGCTAACTTAATGTTGATTTTCTCAGCAATATATTAATTCTAAAACCTCATTTTTGGCACATAGCTGTATCACTGTATCCTTTTACTTCTCCCAAAATTTGAAGCTGATCTCACATCAAATACTTATCTAGCCGTTAATTCCCTAAAGCTCCAACAAACTAAAAGAATATCAACTTACTGCTCAGATATTCCGTGACCTCCTCACCAACTGAAGGCATAGCCTTTTGCATAAAGTCATTGAGCCTGTTTTCGACCTGAGCGTCCGACATTTCGACCAGTAATTTAGTTGTTAACAAACAAAGAAAAGCCCAATTCAATCACAACCAAGAAGAAGATGGTTGCTGGGATGAAAGCCAATATACACAAGGAATAGTACGCTGTTGAACTGCCGAGTAACTCTAGTGTTGTGTTATCAACCCAAGAGTCAGGAAGCATCAACAGAGTACAATAATATTCGCGAGAAAATCCCAAAAATAATAAAAATGTTTTACTGAAAAAGAGAAAAGTTGGCGCAATGTGTCAAGTGTTGCTCTTTTGGTATTTAAAAAATATATTTGGCAACTTTTGAAGATTCAAAATGACATTTTTAGGTATGAAAACTAGTTTAGAACGTCAAAATAAAATTTTTAATCTTAATTTTAACTATTTTTATATTTTGTTAAAAAAAGCTAAAAATTTGCTTTAAGAAGATTTTTGAAGTTAAAAAATTTTCGCGCAAAATTTTAAAAGTGCAAACTAAAATCTGAAATTTTTTACAAACGTTAATATTCGTATAGACAGCCTATACACAAATTTTCATTTTAATCTGAGGTCTACTTGTCTAAAAATGGCAAAATTGCCTTTGGCAATACAATTTTTAAACTGTAAATTTAAAAGTGCAAATTGAAATCTAAAATTTTGCACGTTTATTACTAATAGCATAGCTAATATGTGTTCAAAATTTGGAACGGATCCATTTACTACTCACTAAGTTACAGGGTTTTTAATTATATTGAGGTAGGTGTTATTTGGTTCTTTGCCAAGTTTAATAATTTTTTGGTCTATTTTTGCCATTTATTGTTTATGAAACTTACAGAAAATTGTAATTTGAATATTTACACTATTTGTTGTTTGTGTTTTGCTTTTTTTCTTACCTTTTTTTCATTTTTACAGTGTTTTCATCAAGTGTGCCACTTTCATTTTTACTGTTCCAAACCACGAACGAATTGAAAGCGAAAGTCGACTGATCAGTAAAATAAGGTGCGTCGTTTTATCTCCGAGATTTCGGATATTAAAACGTCGATGAAGAATCCAGTTGCGGGCGGATCACGACTGCCGCTGGCATTCACACAATCTTTGTCAGTTTTGCTTGACGGCATTTTCGAAGGATTTTGCGAATTTTGTAGCCGTTATCTTTGGGCGATTCGTATTTATTTTGTAAGGGAAAAATGACGTTAGTTGCGTGAAAGTTTTGAAAAATGTTTTGGAAAAGGATAATATACAATTTTTTCTTTTTTTGTTTTATTTTTTGAAAAAATGGTCTTCTCTTCTTAAAATTCTTTTCTTATTCTTAAAAGGAGCATTTTGTTATCAATAATGGTCCTATCTGGTTAAAAGTGGTCCCACCTTTAAATAAAATAGTGTTTTTTGATTATAAATGGTCCCATCTTCTATGAAATGATATATAATTGTTAGAAATGGCTTTAGCTTTTAGGTTCTGCTGGGATGGAAAGTAGGTCCTGGCTGAGTAGGCTCTTGGGGCTACGTAGTTTTGACGTTGACGCTGAAGATAGGCTTCACATTGTTCTTCGTATTGTTGACGTTGCAGTGCGGAAGGAATTTTCTTTACAACTTCCGGGGCTGGGTAGATGCGCATCATGTCAAGAGCACTCTGAATGATATCGTTAGGTAATGGTCACATTAGAAATGGCATTATCATTAATAATAAAATTTGTGTTTTAGCTTTTGTGAAATGGTTCGATTTTCTTATAAATGATACCAGTTACATAGAAATGGTTCTATCTTCTTCGAAACGGTCCCGTCTTATTAAAAGTGGCAGTACCTTCTGAGAAATAGTCCCATTTTCTTGGAAAGGGCTCCATCTTCTTATAAATAGTTTCATCTTTATAGAAATGGTACGCCTTTTTTAAAATTGTAACATCTGCTTAGAAATGACCCCGTCTTTCAAGGAATGGCTTTTTAGGGTTGGTCCTTCTTTCTTAGAATGGTTTCAACTTCTCAGAAATGGTCTAGTCTTTTAGAAAATTGCTCTATTTGCTTAGCAGTGGTTCCATCTTCTTAGAAATGGTCCCATCTTCTAAGAAATGGTTCCATCTTCTTAAAAATGGTCCTATCTATTTAGAAATTGTCTTATTCTTTTAGAAATGGTTTCATTTTCTTAGAAATGGTTCCATCTTTTTAGAAATGGTTCCAACTTTTGAGAAATGGTCTCGTCTTTTAAGAAATGGCTCTATCTTCTGGTAAATGGCTCTATCTTCTTAGAAATGGTTGTCTTTTTTCTAGTTTTTTTTAATCTTACAATACCCACAAATCTAAATCGCCCTCTTTAATTAACTGTTTTAACTCATCTGCAAATAATTTGTTGCGACCCTCGGTAAGCCTGTTTTGTTGTTGGGGAAAATCAACCGGAAACTCGACTTCTTTAACGTGTGCCGTTTTGAAGCTTCTCGTTCTTGTGACTTTTGTTCGCAGTGAAATCGGCTTAATATTCTGATTTTGGAAGGGGAAAAGAAAACATTAAATGAATCCGGAGATCGTGGAACAGTGAAAACATTTTTATTGAGTTTTGGGATGAATTTTTGGATTTAGGGTGTGGTAAAAGCGGTAAAAAATTTTTTTAGGGCATGGTAAAAGCATGGGTGGGCTTGAATTCAAAATTTTTGATTATGAGAGTACATATGTGTAAGGTAGGGTAAGGCAGCTAAGCGTAGAGTAAGCTAGGGTAAGATGGGGATGGGCAATATAAATTTGTGTGGAAAAAAGTTGATGAGGGTAGAGTAGAATGGGGTAGGATAGGGTGGGGTAGGGTAGGGTAGGGTAGGGTAGGGTAGGGTAGGGTAGGGTAGGGTAGGGTAGGGTAGGGTAGGGTAGGGTAGGGTAGGGTATGGTAGGGTAGGGTAGGGCAGGGTAGGGTAGGAAAATAATGTAAAATACGATTATCTAACGTATGATAATGTAAAATGCGGTGTGATTAAGTAAAATTTTTAGGATGCTACAAAAAGCATTGACAATATCAATACTAGTTTTGGCAGTAACATGTCAAGAGAAGAAAGATGACAACAAGCCTTCGAAGGTCCTGAAAGATGACAGTACAGCTCCCATGACGGTCAAGATTATGGATCAAGTAGACAAAGCTTTGGAACAGCCAGAACGATTCTTGGACGTTCGGGAGTTTATCAAAGTAAGTCTTATCATTAAAGATTAGTTATGATAAGGTAGAGCCATTCTTAAGAAGATGGAACCGTTTCTAAGAAGATGGGGTCATTTATAAAAAAATCGGACCAATTCACAAAATTTAAAAAATTTTTTATTAATTATGATGATGCCAGTTCTAATGTGTCCATTACCTAACGACATCATTCAGAGTGCCCTAGACATGATGCGCACCTACCCAGCCCCAGAAGTTGTAAAGAAAATTCCTTCCGAACTGCAACGTCAACAATACGAAGAACAACGTGAAGCCTATCTTCAGCATCAACGTCAAAACTACGTTGCCCCAAGAGCCTACTCAGCCAGGACCTACTCTCCATATCAACAAAACCAACAACAAGATAGTCAGTACGGCCCAAAGCCAGCCATCCCAGTCCAGCCTCAATCATCAGACGCTGCCAAAGTTTTGAGCCGGATTTTCGCCACGCCCACTCAAAAAGACATGGAAAGCCTGTTCCATCTACCAGCTGACATCATGCATCGTCTGGCTTCTGATGCCGGCTACATTGCTCCACACAAAGAGCCGGCTGAACTGGAAGAACGATATAGTAGTAGTGCTAGTGGTGCTAATGGTGGTTTCTTCGGAGGCGGAAGTCCAGGCACGTTCAGCTTGGGTGGTACGGCTGATTCTGAATCGGGCAGCTTCACTACACAGTTTGGAGATGGTGCTTCTGAAGCTGTTGAGACGACCACTGCCATTCCAGTAGCTGCTCCACCTAAAGTCATGTTGAGGACTTATCAACAGGGAGGGAAGCTGTAAGTTTTAACTTTATTTATTCTATTATATACGATAAAAGTGGCATTAAAATATTATTTTAAAAGTAGTTTATCTAAAAAAGTCTGAGTAAATACCAAATTTCAGACTTTTTTCACGAAAAAATTTAATTTAAAAAAAAAATTTTTTTTTAAAGTTGATAATCAGTAATGTAAATCATAGTATATAGTATTTATCCGAAAAGTTTGATAAGGATATATTCAATAACAACCGAGTTATGCTTGTTTGAAAATGTTAAAAATCTAAAAAGTTCGAATCCGGCCAGAAAACCGCGCTTTTTTGATTTCTAACAAGCTGTAACTTTTGTACTAATCAACATAGCTTTACGAAATTTTGTGAAAAGTTGCTTAATTTTATGCTTTTTAAAATGCTTGATTTCAATTTTTTAAAAAATTTCAAAGGCGGCTAAAAATTTACCTGTAAACTTGATTTACCCCTATTTTTCAAGCTTTTTGCCAGTTTTTTTGGCCACAAAAATTTGAAATCAGCAAATAGTTTATCAAAACCTAGTTACACTGAAAGAATATACACTAAGAACGTCAATATATAATTTCCAAATTCCAGAGTCCAAGTCCCAGTCCTAGCCGTAAGATTACCAACCGGCGAAACCCGCTACATTCCTTACGAAAAGCTCTCCGACTTCTCCGACGCTCTCTCCAAAGCCATTTCGACCGGTCAATTGCCGGTAAATGAGGACGAAAAGCTTGGTGTAACTACGCCAAGAGTTGTGAATGCGCAATTTGCTGAAGCCAAACCTGGAGCTATGTTCAATTTCCCCGAGAACTTACAGGTATAGCCAAAAAATTTTAAAAACCAAAATTTTTTGAAATTTTAAAAAATTTAATTTTGGTCAATTTTTATTTTTTTTACCTATTTTTTATCATTTACTAGTTACTATAGGCAGAAATAAGGGCAATATAGAAAAAAACGCAATGCCGTGATCTCGTGGTGTAGTGGTTATCACATCTGTCTAACACACAGAAGGCCGGCGGTTCGAGCCCGCCCGAGATCAAAAATTTTTTTGTTGTTTTTTAGGCCTGTAAATCATGTTTTTTAATATATAAGTTGATTTAAAAAATAAAAAAAAAGAGTTTTTATGACTTTGTCAATTATAAAATGGCATAAAATTAAATTTTACAGTTTGATTTTGATGTTTTTTTGAAAAGCAAACATCGAAGTTGGGCTTTTTTTTGGTAAAACTCTTTTTTTATTTTTACGTAACACTTTTTGAATTTTTAATTAATAAACCTTATTTTAAATACAACTTATTACCCGAAAAACTTTTTTCAGGTGGAGCCCCCTACCACCTCCTCCCCTGTCAACGTTCGCACTGAGACCGTTGAAGGCAGCTCCTTCGTACAACAATTTGATAACGAATCCAACGAAAACAAGGACGCAGAGACGGTAAGTGAGCCAGCTGAGCATCGCTATGCACCCACAGCACGATCACCCAATAGTACTGCACAGTATCAGCCTAGTAGTGAACTGCTGGCCTTGCTAGAGAAGCTGGGACAATATAAGGAAGAGTTGGACCATGCTGTTGGTTATCTTCAGACTACAAAGGCTCCAGTTGTAAATCCAAAAGTTGAAGAAAAGGCTTCTGAAGAAACAGTAGCTACGGATTCTGAAGTGACGGATTCAGAATCCGAAGCATCATTGAGTAAGGCTTCAGAATCTGAAGCGACGGCTTCAGAAGTAGTAGATGCCACGACAAAAGACGAGTTTCCAAAGCCAAATGAAATGAAAGAGCCCGAGTTTGAGCTGAAACAAGAAGTCGAAAGTCTTGAGACTACTGAAGAACCAGTACCAACTACTAAGAGCACTAGTAGGGCTAGTACTATTAAGAAAAAGACACTTGCACCTAGCACTACTTTGGAGGTTTGTAGCACTTTTTAGTTGATATGACACTTCTTTTTATCACCTTTTTGTTTACTAACATTATATTTAGTAAACAAAATGGCAAGAACTTTCTTTACAAAACATTAAAATGGCAAGAACTTTCTTTACAAAACTAAAAATTGCAAGAACTTTCTATACAAGATAAGAAATGGCAAGAACTTTCTTTACAAGCCAAAAAATGGCAAGAACTTTATTTACAAAACAAAAAATGTGATTTCTTGTATACCTTGTCACTTGCAGGCTGCAGAACTCTAAATTATGTGTTTTTGCGTTAAAATGGCAAGAACTTTCTTTACAAAACAAAAAATGGCAAGAACTTTCTTTACAAAACAAAAAATAACACGAACTTTCTTTACAAATCGAAAAATTGCAAAAACTTTCTTTACAAAACAAAACACTCAAATTTTCAGCCAGAAACTACCACATCAACCACCCCTGCCCCTAACACAGCCAAAACAGCTGGTGAAGTTGTTCTAAATGGCCGACGTTATAAGCTAGTAGAAGCTGAAGAAGAACATCCTGCAACTACAGAAGTCACTGAGGCTACTGAGGCTCTAACTGAAGCCATCACTAGTACAGCAGAGCCAAAGAAAGCTACAGTAATGAAAACCCAGAAGTTGAACATGAAGTCTAACTTGGAACAAGTTAGAAATTTGGCTAGACAGAACAGATTGAGACAGCCGACTATCAGGAAAGCACTGCCTAATATGTTTGGAGAGGTTACGGTAAGTTACTAGGCTATACCCTACCCTACCCTACCCTACCCTACCCTACCCTACCCTACCCTACCCTACCCTACCCTACCCTACCCTTACCCTACCCCTACCCACCCTACCCTATCCTACCCTATCCTATCCTACCCTACCCTACCCTACCCTACCCTACCCTACCCTATCCTACCCTACCCTATCCTACCCTACTCTACCCTACCCTACCCAACTCTATCTTATCTTGCCTTACCCTACTTCTCCTTACCCTATCCTACCCTACCCTACCCTATCCTACCCTACTCTACCCTACCCTACCCTACCCAACTCTATCTTATCTTGCCTTACCCTACTTCTCCTTACCCTACAGTACCTTGTGTTCTCGTCTACTGTATCCTTTGATCTAGCGTAGACTATCTCTCAATACTACAGTATTTTGTGACGTATTTTACCTCATACTCGACCCTAACTAACGTCTTACTCTATAGCTTATACTACTCGGGTTTACATCCTACAGTAGATTCTTTTTGAGTCTAAAGTATCCCTTACTCCTGTCTATCGTATACTCTAATTTAAAACCTTTTTTGTACCTATAAGCTTATTCCGAATATTGTAGACGTTAACATCAAATGATTTTCAGGCCGATACCACCCTAACCCCAACCACCATCCCACAACATCGTATATACTCTCTTCGTGAGCTAGAAGATATCATAGCTAGCGAAACTGGCCATCGTCCTCAAGATTCTGAAGAAGAACGAACCTTTCCTCGCCGACCTCTGACTTCACAACAATTACTGTCAGCTGGACGAGTAACTTCAGCAGTAAGTAATTGAGAAGGCATGGCAAGAACTTTCTTTCCAAATACTTTCACATCTGTCGCTTACAACTATTTATTTACCATTACTTCCTACTGTATGTAACATATACCTTGCTGTATGTACCTAATAAAATAACAAAACCGTGACTTGATCTATCTGTGTGCTGTGATCTGTGGTTAGTTTAATGTAAAATACGTAATCGAAAATACGTAAAGTTATCTTCCATGTAAGCTTAAAAATAGTAAAAAAGACTATTTTTCGTATAACTTGTAACCCGCAGCCTGCAGAATTCCAACCTTTGTTTCTTTGCGTTAAAATGGCAAGAACTTTCCTTACAAAACTTAAAATGGCAAGAAATTTCTTTACAAAACAAAAAATGGTAAGAACTTTCTTTACAAAATAAATTTTAAATATTAATTTCATTTTTCTTAAATCTATGCTATTTTCATTACCATAACCATCATACTTATGAAAGTACGTTAATTTCAAGACATTCATTTTTGAAGCTTTTATAAACTTTTGTATGTAGAATCGAGCCGATTTACTGCGACAAGAATACATGTTAGAAAAGACGGTATGGAGAGAAAGAGCAGTTGAAGCTTTTCGAAATTTTGAGGACAATCCGGTAAGTCTTCACTTTTAGCCCAGAGCCCTAATTCAGAGCCCTAGCCCAAAACCCTAGCCCAGAGCCCTAGCCCAGAGCCGAAGCCCAGAGCCCTAGCTCAGAGCCTAGATCAGATCCCTAGCCCTAGCCTAGAGCCCTAGCCCAGAGCTCAGAGCCCAGAGCCCAGAGCCCAGAGCCCAGAGCCCAAGCCCAAGCCCAAGCCCAAGCCCAAAGCCCTAGCTCAGAGCCCTAGCCCAGAGCCTTATGCAAAACGTTCTTGCAATTACATAAATCTTCTTCCGAAAAAATGTCTGACGTTACATAAATTTATAACACTTTAAAATAGCCTTAGAGAAATTGCAAGAATTCGTGTTACGCAACTTTTTCTTATGCAATATTATGGTTTTATGTCGTATTTACCTCGGTGTAATACGACCCAACAAATGACTGCAAGTGCTGGGATTTTACTCCGTTTTTCCTCGAGGAATCTTATCTAGGTCCGTTTTCTTCATAGTTTCTGCCCTAACCTGTTCTACTCCACCCTACTCCTTCCCACTTCCCACGGTTGTCTAGCCATAGCCTCAGTCATGGCCTCAGCCCTAGTTTTTAGCCCGTTCCTTTATGTTTAGCAGTACCCTAGCCTTGCTTTATCCTTGCCTTACCCTTACTCTACATTTGCTTTACCTTGCGCTACTCTTGCCCTGCCTTTGCCCTGCCTTTGCTTTGCCATGTATTTGCCTTGTCTTACATTACCTTACCTTACCTCATCATTCCCTACCGTACGCGTACGCTAAGTTAAAAGATGGCCCAGATCTTTGATATTATCAAGTTTATTGATTACTACTTACACCTAAAGTGTATATCCCAAGGTAGGGAAATATCAGACCTACAAATATAAAGGTACAAAAGGGACGCGACTGCGTCCCAGACGTTCACAAGTTATTCTCCTCGATTCAGATCGGGCTTTTAGGATCCACCCAAGTGGGCGGCCCGTTTACTGTTACCTAAACCTAACATACCCTACTTACCCTACTTTACTGTATTTTACCTTACACTTTTGTTTTATCCTACCCTATCCTGCCGTACCCTGCTCTAGAATGTTGTATTCTACCCTTCCCTACCCATTTTTTAATTTTTTAAAAACTCAAAATCTTTTTCAGAACGACAACATTGAAGAACGCTGTCGAGTAGCGAATGAATTTTCTCGTCGCTTTTTCATTGATGATTTGAGTGAATTCGCGAAATTGAATTGTGATTTTGTGGAAGACTACATACCTGTTCATTGTCACAAGTTGGCAGAGTTTTATGAAAATTGTGATGACAATGTAAATATCACAGTTGTTAGTAGTACTCCGAGTAGTACTAGCAGTACTGTCAGGTCAAAGACCACAACAATTGCTACTTCTAACATCAATTTGGATGTGCTACGATAGTTTTTATTTTTAAGCATAAGCAATATGTTTTGTGATTATATGATAACTTACTGTGATAGTATTTTGTAACGTGATTGTACTATTTAATATATTGTATAATTTATTTTATTTATTATACTGTATTATAACTTATTTATCCTTTATATAAACTGTAACACGAAAATAAATAAATGTTTGGTCTACCACTCCTCCCTAACGTTGGCGTCTACAAGTAGCTTTGCGTAGAGTGTTGGGGGTAGATGAGACAAAAAATAATCATACTTTACCTGTGTCATCTTTGATATTGGCTTGCATGAGCAAAACAAGAGCTGAAAAATACTTTTTTTCAAAATTTTGGTAGGGAAGGCTATGATTAAGGTTTGAATACAAGCTTAGATAGGACAAGCCTATAAGAATGATGACTTACACTGTTATCTTGGGTTTCAACATAGAAGCAAGATGGAAAAAAGCGTTTGTATAGCACCAACATGACATGTCGATGTCGTTCGGCTTCAAGCTAAAACATTATAATTAACGTTGTTAACGTTCATATTAATTTAAGCCCATCAGATCTCAGACTCAAACACTTACTTAAATAAATTAGGATGTATAAGCCTAAACCTAATAAATTTAAGCTTACTAAGCTGCAAATTACTAATTCTAAGCTTAATAAAGTTAATCCACTGTTAAGGTTCATCTCTTGATAACATAGTTTAGTAAAATACGAGCGTAATTCCGAATTTAAGTAAACATAATATTAAAAAAATACCATTTTGTCAAGTTCGTGATGTCGCGAATAGGTATTCACCACCACAGCACATTCTTTGTTCATATGTTTTTTTAGATTCTTGACAAATTCAGGCGTGGTAAAACTGTCAACTGGAGAGATGAACAGATGAAGATCATCACTGTACGATGTGTCTATGAAAGCGTAGTCGAATTTTTCTTCTGAAATACATGACTTTACTTTTTGACCCTAGCCATATGATCTGTAATACCGTACCCTAGAATACCTTACCCTAACTTACCTTACCCCCCCCCCCCCCCCATCGTACTCGGCAATACTTAACCCCACCCTACCTTACCCACAATACCTTACCCCACCCAACCCTACAACACAAAGCGTGTTTATGTCATTCTTTTTTGATACAATACGTTTAAAATACTTTTCTTAATGATTTTATATATTAATATAATACCTTACCACTTAGACTTCTCGTAGCAATGTACTCAAATCCATCTTTATGTATGATATTGTGCTTTCTACTGCTAGGTATGCCAAAATATTGTTGAGCGATGTGAATTACCATTGGCTCTAACTCTACCGTGGTTATACTATACTGTAATTTATTTTTTAAATAAGAGTATATTTTAATTAAAAAAAAAAATTTTTTTAATTTAAAAAAAATTTTTTTTTTAATTTTAGACCTACATCAAGAGTCTCCAAAAAGCCACCAGATATTCCAGCTCCCAAACCAATTTGTAGAGCATTCTTTTGTGTTAGGTTGAACAGAAATGGTGCATGCAAAGCCAATCGTATGTAAGGTGCCCAAATCTTCTCTGGATCTATCGTGTTTTTGCCTGAAATTTATCTTTAGGCCAATCAATGTCACCCCACCCTACCATACCCTACACTACCCTACCCTACCCTACCCTACCCTACCCTACCCTACCCTACCCTACCCTACCCTACCCTACCCTACCCTACCCTACCCTACCCTACCCTACCCTACCCTACCCTACCCTACCCTATCCTACCCTACTCCACGCTCTCCTGCTGCTCTACCCTTGACCTACCCTATCCTCTTCTCAAGCCTACTCTAGGCTCTACTTAAAAAATGCTTAATTAATGTATTTAAACGCACCAGTAAGATACCCAGCTCCAAGAATAGTATGATGTTGAGGTTCTTGTTGCAGTCGTCGTAGTACTTTACTAAAAATGACTAAAACTTTATAAATTATACAAGACCTTACTTTTGTTGCAACATGACGTCGGTAACGTAATAGCAATGATCTTGATGTCTTCTACATAGTATTTCTCGTAGTTCAACATGATCTTTCGGTTCCAGCATTAAACTACTAAATGGCCTATCTTTTGCTTCTGCACTGTACCAATCAGGACGATGATGTAGTTCATAGTGCAAGTAAAATATTGTGCTGAGAAACATTATTAGCACAATAACCATGACAATTTTGCCACGCTCTTCCCAAAAGATATCCGACTGCCATCGTGGTATCCTTTTGTCTTTTATCGTTTTGTACAACATCATGAACATACACAAGTAAAAGATTTGATTTACAGTCAGGTAGAAAAGAGTGAAATGTTATCAATAAAACTTACTATAGCTAAATGTTAAAAGTAGGATAATATACAGAAAATAAAAAGTTTTTGCTAGACTTCGATGGACAACACTTTTCTGTAAAGAAGACGTGGATTTCAGATGTTTGCACAGTTGATCGTTAGTGCAATAGTATACAAGTTACAGATACATAAAATTATTCAGTTTTATAAACACAATTTTAAAAAATTTTCGAAAAGAGCTTACTAAGCCTAAGCCTACGTGTAAATCTAAGTTTAGCACAAAGTTTAAGCCATGCTTCAACCCAAGCAAAAAGATAAGCTAAAGTTTAAGTTTCAGGCTAAGCCTCAGCATGAACTAGAGCTAAAGCTAGAGCACTAGTTAGAGCAAAGCAAGAGCTAGAGCTAGAGCTGAGCTAGAGCAAGAGCAAGAGCAAGTGCTAGAGCTAGAACTAGAGTTAGAGCTAAAGCTAGAGCTAGAGCTAGAGCTAAAGTTAGACTCAGAACCTAAGCCTATGCCAAAACTTAAACCGAAAACTAAAAATACGTTGAAGAAAGAGCTTTAGCACGAACGTAATCATAAAGGAAACCCTAATGATAAGTGAAGTAATTAAAAAAATTATGAATAAACCGAAGCCCAGACATAACTTTTAACCACAGGCTGACAATTTTAAGTCCTTCAAACTAGACGGTAATGACATTTTTTATAGGATGTTTTTTTCAAATTTAATTTTAAATATTTTGACGTAATTTGTACTACACTTTGGTTTTTTTGTATGTTGATTACTGTTTTTTTAAATATATTTAATTACTTTAGTATTATGGATACATATTTATATTGTATTCATCTTTTACTGTTAAATTTTGTACTTACCACACTCAATTTCATTTCAACCCATTGACAACACCGAAAAGACTGGCAAAACTATAAATAAACCGGACTCCAGTGTTTAATGTGCTTCGCATCGTGCCGTCCAGAATGTTTGGAAGCGTGCGCGCAGCACGAAACCATCAAAAAATAGACAAATGCCTCAGCTCATTTGGCTGAAAAATCTGGACGCTTTTTTTGGCAAGGGGGGGGGCGATTTTTCTGTGTTTAAAACGCAATAAATGGGTTAACGGAGTGTGGTGTAGCCATGTGATACAGCCTGAAGCCGTGGAAATTAGATTTTATGTGTTTCAAATAAATAAACGACCGGCGTTGGCAGAGTAACATGGGTTTTGGTTTTAGTCGATTTGTTAATGAGTTGAAACAGTTCTAGTTAGTCTTAGCCTTAGCGTCTGAACTAGCTTTAACCAATAACTTTAGTCTTAACCCTATCATTAACACTAGCCCTTGCCAAGAGCCCTAGCCCAGACCCCTAGTCCAGAGCCCTAGCCCAGATCCTTAGCCCAGAGCCCTAGCCCAGAGTCTCAGCCCTAGCTCCAAACGTTCCCAAGTTTGCTCCAACCTGAGCTTTAGCCTAAACTAGTCTTAACCCTAGCATATACTCTAGAATAAACTAATTCTAGTTCAGCCTGCGCTAGCCCTAGACTGAGCTCTTGCCGTAGCTTGAGCTCTAACCTAAAATATTTTTAACCGTAGCTTGCGTTCCAGCCGCAGTTTTAGAATAAACTAACCCTAACCGCAGCGCTGGCCTAAACTAGCCCAAGCTCCAACTCTAGCCTAAACCAGCCTTAGCCTTCTTTCCTATATAAAGTAGCCATATTTTTACCCCTAGCTAAATCCCTTTTCCGACCCATGGCCTAGTCCATACTAGCCCCTATTGTATTTTCTAACTTAGCTTCTAGCCTGCTGTCTAGCATCCACCTTAGCCTAAACTCTACACTAGCCTGGCCTCTAGTTTAGCCTTTACCTTTTGTTTTTCTTACCCCTACTATTTAAAAACCTTAGCAGTCATTTCCCCCAACTTTTTGACCAAACAAGAATATTAAAGCAGTAGTTTCAAAACAATTTTTTTGACATGAATAAGCCTTCAAGTCAAGTGACTTTAAAGTTTATTTTTTATGACACGGCACAGGTTTTTCGAGTGAGTAATACTTATTGATACTTTAATGCTTTAGGCAAACTTATTGCCTTTGAAAGTTCATTTTGAAACTGTTTTTCAATTTTGAAATGCTTTTTGTGAACCCTTGCCCTGCTCAACGTATCTTTTAGCCTCAGTCTGTCCCTAGCCTTAGCCCTAACATCATCCCTAGCCTTATTATTAGCATCAGCCATAACCTTAACCCTAGCCCTAGCCTCAGCTCCTACCTTCCGCCCTAACCTCAGCCCTAGCTTCAGCCCTAGTCCTAGCCCTAGCCTTAGCCTCAGCTCCTACCTTCCGCCCTACCCTCAGCCCTAACTTCAACTCTAGCCTCAGGCTGAACATCTACCACTAGCCCAGAGCCTTAGCCTCAACCCTAGCTAGCCCAAAGAAGGGTTATAAAGTCAAAAAAGTTTTGTCGTATTTTAACGTAGAATGTATAAAAAAATGGCGACAAAACTTTTTTTTTACATTTTTTTTCAAAAAGTTTTCTATATTTTAACTAGCCCAATTTGCCACAATTCCAATCCCTTTTTGGCACTATTTCAAAATTCATATCCTCTAAATTATATTTTTCAAATCGCGTTTTTATCTCTCTGTCAAATCTCATTTTTGGCTGGAAATAACAACTTGTCTCGATAATATTTTATGTCCAAAAACAGTTTATTTTTTTCCACAGCCCACTTCATGTACAATCCAATTTGCTCTTGAACATGTGTTTTCTTGGCGCGGCAACGGTTTGACAAAAACATAAATAGGCTGTAGAAGACGTTTGAGCTGTGGGAAGGGGTGGGGAAGATAGGAGAAAGGAAAGAAAGGAAAATGGGGTAGGGCTATTTTAGGAGGGTAAGACAAGGGTAGGGCAAGGACAGGGCAGGGATAGTGCAAAAGTAGGATAAGAGTCGGGGAATCGTAGGGCAAGGCTAGGGCAAGAGTAGGACAAGGGTAGGGCAAGGGTAAGGGCAAGGCTAAGACGAGGCTACAGCAAGATAGGGGTTAAGAGGCTGAGGCCGGAGGGCTAAGGCTATGGCAAAGCAAAAGTTAAAGGAAGGGCCAGACTAGAGCTAAGGCTTCGGCTGTCGCTAGGGTTGAGACTAGACATGAGGTATGGGCCGGGCCGGCTTTGATCCAAATTTAAGTCGGGCCAGGCCTGAAAACCAAGGGAAAAGCGCGGCCCGTTTGCGCTTTAAAAACTAAGACCGGGCCGGGCCTGTGGAAAATTTAGATCGGGCCGAGCCTATCACTCAAGCCCGCGGGCTTTTTTTTCCGGCCCGACCCGTTCCTCATGTCTAGGTGAGACTACGGCTAACGCTCTGGGCTAGGGCTCTGGGCTAAGGCTCTGGGCTAGGGCTCTGGGCTAAGGCTCTGGGCTAGGGCTCTGGGCTAGGGCTCTGGGCTAGGGCTCTGGGCTAGGGCTCTGGGCTAGGGCTCTGGGCTAGGGCTCTGGGCTAGGGCTCTGGGCTAGGGCTCTGGGCTAGGGCTCTGGGCTAGGGCTCTGGGCTAGGGCTCTGGGCTAGGGCTCTGGGCTAGGGCTCTGGGCTAGGGCTCTGGGCTAGGGCTCTGGGCTAGGGCTCTGGGCTAGGGCTCTGGGCTAGGGCTCTGGGCTAGGGCTCTGGGCTAGGGCTCTAGGCTAGGGCTCTGGGCTAGGGCTCTGGGCTAGGGCTCTGGGCTAGGGCTCTGGGCTAGGGCTCTGGGCTAGGGCTCTGGGCTGGGGCTAGGTTTAGAGCTAGGACTAGGACACATTAAAAATTGGCCATAGGCTCAATTTCAGATCAAAAAGTTATAAGTTTGAAGGATGAACTTGTCATGAGATCAGAGATGTTAAATGATAACAAAGACGTTTATCTTCTTCTTCACGCCTTCAAAAACAATTATTTTTAGCTTATGATGACATTTTTTTGCCTTTTTGATCTTAACATTTGTTTTTGAAACGTTTGAGTTCGCTTTACATTATGCATAACAAATTTTATGAAATTTTTTTGGGCAGGTTAAATTTTATTAAAAAAATTTTTTAGGAGGGGTAAAGTAAAAAAAATAATGTTGGGCAGGGTGAATTTTATGAAAAATCTTTTAGGGTGTGGTAATTTAAAAATATTTTTTTTGGCGTTACAAATTTAAAAAAAAATACGTACATTATTGAAATGATATTTTTGGGTGTGGTAAACTAAAAAAAAGTTTGGGCAAGGTGAAATTTAAAAATGTTTTTTAGGCGTGGTAAATTTTATAAAAAAAATTTTTTAGGCGGGGTAAAGTAAAAAAAATAATGTTGGGCAGGGTGAATTTCATGAAAAATATTTTGGGCATAGCAAATTTAAAAAATTTTTTGGGCAGGGTAAATTTTGGAAATATTGGAGGCAAACTTTCAAAAATCATCTCCCAATTAAACCAGCTCTAAATCCCCTGCCATTCTTTTTTAAATTTGAAGAGATAAACTCTGAATTGGATTTGATTCCCCAAAGTTTAGCCATTTTTTGTTATAATAGCGAGAGAACGGTTTCTTTCCTCGCTCCGGGCCGACTCATCTCCCACTTTGCGGGCCTGGGGGAGGGTTTTAATGTCTTTAACCTTTCGTTTTACTACTTTTCTTTCTTCTTCTTCTGGAAATAACCTGAGAAGAAGGGTTCTTGGCTAAACGTATTTTAAAAATTAGGCTTTTGGGTTCAGCTAGACTTGCATGAGGGCTCACTAGGCGCGGCTCGCATCGGTCCAGCTCTTTTGTTGGTCTAGGGCGGGTATTTTTTTCAATTTAAAAATTTTTTTTTGATTTCACTAACCTACCCTTTTCTAAACTACCTTTTCGTACCCTACCATACCATACCCTGCTCTACTTTACCCTGTCCCACCTTACCCTACCCTACCCTATTCAACCCTACCCTATTCAACCCTACCCTACTCTACCCTACTCTCCCCTACCATATCCTACCCTACAATATCCGAATTTACCTTGCCTTACCCTACCTTACTCTATCCTACTTTACCCTGCCTACCCTTTTCCTGAATTGCCCTGCCTTATCATCACCCTCTTTTTCTATCCATGCCCCCTACCCTCCTCCGTACCCCATTTCTCACCCTCGCCCAACCCTAACACAAAGCCGTCTCCCCTTCTGCAAGCCTCACTATACCCTACCCTTTCTTTCCCCATACCTCCTTTCTCACCCTCTCCCACCCTAACCCCAACCCAAAGCCATAGCCATATGACAGTACTTGAAAGCAAGATCCACCCAATCTTTTTTTGTTTGTTTGTATTTAATTTTATCTTTTCCCCGAAACAGCCTTATTTTCGGTTTTTATGAGCCATCATTGCCTTTTTTGGCTTTTTATGGGTTTTTACTGTGTTTTTGGTTGTAAGGTAAAACGTTCCTTTTAGTTTTTTATGCGAATAAACGTTGGGTTCGGTTTTAATTAAATTTGAAAGGTAAAGGTAATGAGCGAAGGTTTTGTAATTATTCAAAAAAAGAACGCTTTCTTGAGTTTTGTAAAATTGGGTGTGGTAATTTAAAAAAAGACAATTGGGGTTTGAAGTCTTTAGTAAAGGTAAGGGGTTCATAAGTTAAGCCTTGGTCTAAGTCCTAGCCTTAGTCTTAGTTTTAGTCTTCTTGGCGTAAGCGTACACCTAAGTTTAAGTATGAGCCAATGGCTAAGCCTTAGTCGAAGCGATGGCTTAAGCCTAATATTGGGCTTAAGCCCAAGTTTAAGTCCTAGCCTAAGCCCCAGCTCTCGTCCTAACCAAAAAGGCGTTGCTTAAGCCCTGGGCTAAGTCCTAGCCTAAGCCCTAGCCTATGCCCTAATCTAAGCCCTAGCCTAAGCCCTAACCTAAGCCCTAGCCTAAGCCTAAGCCCTAGCCCAAGCTTAAAACAAAACCTTGCCTAAGTCTAAAACTAAGTCCTAGCCTTAACCTAACGTCTAAGCTGCAGCTCTAAGCTTGCTCTAGACCTACCACAAGTCTTGCCAAACCCAGCTATACCCTACCTTAATTTTTACCACCGCCCTACATTGTCATATCGCTTCTCTGCCCTTATCTTACCTTGTCATATCCCATCCCTACCCTTACCTAATTTATCCCACCTGCCGTTATAAAATTATTTTCAAAAAGTACTCCCCCCCCCCATAAGGTTATTATGGCCTGATTAGCATATTTCTTGTTTGATGTGAGGAGCGGAATTATTCCGTCATATTTGTTGTGTCTTCCCTCACACTCTTGACCGACCTTTTGTTTACGTTGCGGCTTTCGGCTTCATGCTTTAGCGCGCCCCACCTTGGCAATGACTTCGAAATACCTCGAAAGCCGCCAATTTCACGTGGTATTTTGGGATTTACAGATGTATGATATTGTTTACAAGTTACATTATTATTGGAGGTAGGGGCGGGATTAGCGGTAGGGCTGGGATTCGGGGTAGCGGTGGGGTTAGGGGTAGGGCTGGGCTAGAGGTAAGGGTAAGGATAGCGTTAGGGGTATGGGTAAAGGTAGGGATAGGGGTGGGATTAGGGGTAGCGTTGGGGTTAGGAATAAGGGTGGGATAGCGTTGGGGGTAAGGGTAACGGTAGAGGATGGGGTAGAATTTCAAATTAAAAAAATAATGAAAGATGTTTCACCCCCCCCACAATTTTTTATTTTATTCCTCCCAGTGCCCCATTCAAGTTTACACCTTTCTTTCACATTCAACTTCCCTCTGGAAACAAGACCTTCCTCACCCCCTCCCCCAGCTAACCAAATTACCCTGCCTTCCCTGAATACTACCTTTTCGTATTTTACCGTGAAAACATATATGAATGGACGACAACATAGCCATGCCCATTTTATTTTGCAATTTCAGAAACCATGGCCAGTCTACCTCTGATAACCCTAACATTGCTAGCGGTGTTTTTGGGTACGCAAGCCGATGTCGACTTGGATTTGAGCATCAGAGACAGTACGCCAATTTGCGTGGGAAAAATTTGCGACAGCTCATCTGCTTTTCATTATTACACGTGTTGTGGCACTGTAAGCAATTTTAAGTTCATTCAGGTTTAGAGCCCCTACCCTACTCTACCACCCTAATCTACTCTACCATACCCTATCCTACCCTACCCACCCTACCGTGGCTTACCCTACCATACTCTATCCTACCCTACTCCATCATACTTTACCCTACTCTCGCTACCTACCCTATCTGCATACCCTACCCAAATTTACAGTACCCTATCCACAACAGCCTACGATACCCTATTTTAACCTTCTTTACTCTACCTTCTTTTACACTGATTTGCCCTACTTTACCTTCAAAACCCCTGCTCAATCCAAACTTACCTTGCCATAATCTACCACGCCCTGCCACATTATATTCTTTTATGCCTTGTTCGGCCATACCCTGTCCTGCACTGCCAACTCTCGTTCTGTCATGCCTTTTTATGCCCTATCCTTCTCTACTCTACCATAGTTTATCCTATCATACTCTACTCCAGCTATACCATGCCCTACCAAGCCTGGTCCTGCAATGCCTTTATATGTCATACCCTACCTAAACAAACAAAAGTTTCAGCTAATTACAAAACTTTTTTCAGCTAGCCCAAGACTGCTGTTTCCGATTCCAAAGCTGGGTGATCGTATCACTGATCGTATGTGGAATTCTCTTTGTGGCTAGCATGTTAATTGGCCTAGTCAAGTGCATATGCTGCTGCGACCGTTAAGAAATCTCAAAATTTATGTAAATAAGTGCTTGTTAGTTGTAATTTTATAAATTTATTACAAATTTTGAATTAGCTTGACCCTATGCTATAGTAACCTCTTTTATTTTAAACTTTGTGCTACAGTAACCTCTGTTATAGATTGTCAACTTTTATTGTAAGTTTTAGCGCCTTACTGCCAGTTCTTGTTTTACATTATATTTTTTTTTACATTTTTTGCATTTTCACAATAAATTTTTAATTTTAAATTGGACTTTTTTGAATTTTTTTCAAAACATTTTGCGGACTTTTTCACAAATTTAAAAAATTGGTTCTATGAACTTCACTACCGTTTTTTAAAGTTATTATTCCTTACTAGACATGTTTTCAACCCCCTATTATCAAAAATGACAGCAAAGATCAGTAAAATCAAGCTTGCAAGATAATGCCAATTTCGCGCAAAATTTAAACGTAAGTCTGTTAAAAATGCAAATAGAAATCAGAAATTTTGTATACACATTACCTATACTATAGATTAGCTGCGACAAAAATTTTAGTCAAATACAATCATTACTTGGCACGTTATGCCAAAATTAAATTTTTGCACCAAATTCAAATGCTCAATTTTTAAAAGTGCAATTATAAACTTGAAATTTTGCACGTTCATTACTGATAATAAGAGAAAGCAGTATACAAAATTTTATTCTATTCTGAACTTTCTTAAAAAATTTATACCAACAAAAGTTTCGAAAGTAGTATAACTCAACACTCTATAGATAGAGCTCTAGGGTCCTTTTCAATATACAATGACTTACCCTTCCATTTTCGCAACATTATTAAAGAAGTTCACAATTTTGACAGCTATTTCCATCGATGTCAGAAACACAGTTGACTCAAATATTGAGAAGCCAAGAGAAAGACTTGGCTCAAAGTTGGAACGTCGACAAATTCGGTCGATTTTTTCATATTTTTTGGAATTTATGCTAATTTCTGGACGAAAAAACGTTGGCAACGTGGAGGAAAGTGCGATGGGATCAGTTGAAAATGGTATTTTATTCTTTTCGACCGTTTTTTGGTTGTTTTCTGTGAACTTTTAACTAGTTTTTGGTCATTTTTCTTGAATATTTTGATAACTTTGACTTTCTCGATTATTCTCTGACATTTTCAGATCAAACTTAGACAAAATGGATCATGTATACTCGACGAAAACTCAAGAAGATTTCGCTTATCGAGTTGAACATGGTGGCAACGATGTTTTTGGTTCTAAACCTGATGTGATTGATGTTTTTCGAGGTAAAGGTGATGGAACTAATGCTTATCGTGCTGAAAATGATGGAGATGTGTACCGTGCTAAACCCGATGGAGGCGTTGTGTTTTCGCCAAAACCATTGGAAGGTCAAGTATATTCGACCAAATCGGAGGAAAATCAAGCCTTCATCGAAGATCACGAGCTGATGGATGATCAGACCTCAAGTCCAGCGCAACGTACGATTGGAAGTGAGATAACGGTGGGCAGTGAGGTTATTCTTCACGATCACAAGTCCTTGCTTTGTGGTGAAAAGTGTTTGGACGAGAATGGCACGGTGTCTTCAACGTGTTCGGATCTGGTGGCTATCGAGCAGATGTGGTTTGAGTTCAGGAACAGTGTGATCAAGTATGTGCCACTGAACGATAGGTATACCTTTCTGGAGGGATTGGACACATTGTTGAAGGCAAATCGACTCAATAAGCTGCAGAAAACGTGAGTTATCATGGATAATATCATGAATAACATGGTTTTTGGCGGTTTTTATCGAAACATTTGTGTTTTTGTTTGATTTTAGGTAACAAATTGTATATTTTAAGTAACATTTTGCATATTTTAGCTTCTGAAAGGTTTATATATCAATATTATAGCTAAAAAAGTTACTTTAAGGCTAATATTTATGATGTTTTACAGGTTTTTGAAGCCGAGGAGACCACCACAGCCTCGAGGTGAGAAGAGAGGTCGAGGACGGCCGAGGAAACGAGTTGTGTTTGATGAGAAAATGAGCTTGGATTCTGGATCTCAACCCAAAAAGAGTAATGTTGAGGTAGGATTTTGATTGAAAATGGCGACAACTTTCTTTACGGTGCATAAAATGGCAAGAACTTTCTTTACAAAACTCGAAATGGCAAGAACTTTTTTTACAAAACAAAAAATGGCAAGAACTTTCTTTACAAAACTCGAAATGGCAAGAACTTTTTTTACAAAACAAAAAATGGCAAGAACTTTCTTTACAAAGCGCTAAAATTTTACATTTCAGAAAGACGACGATATAATCGAGATTCATCGAACAAGAAACGAGCCATCAACATCATCACCCTACCCTTATGTCCATCGGCCAAACTACCGTATCCCATCAACGCTTTTTCAATTTCCTCCACAGTACGGTAGAGTAACGTATGTACCACAGCCTTTTCCAATGTACAATCAGATGGGAATGGGTTCTCATTTCAATATGGTATGTTTTAGGTTTTATTGGTCAAAATGTTTATGTATTTAGGTCAGAAAGTTTGTAGAATTGGGACGCTTAAGCAAGCTCAAGCTGACATTTGTGTTACCTATTTTTCAACCAAAATCTAATTTTCCAATTGCTCCCTGATTAGCCTACTACAACATCAAGTATAATATCGTTTTTCGTATAGATCGAGAAAATCAGCTTTATTTACCTTAACCATGTCATTTGTAGCATCATCAGTTGCCAGCCACACCTTCCGAACCCATCGAACAACAAATGCCAGCTCTAGCAGAAGCGGTCAACAACAAAGATGAATAACAACTTTGGTCTCTCTTCATACACATTTAGCCTCATCTCATATACAAATCTGTGATCTATTATTAATAAAAATTATGTTGTTTATATTGTCTGTTAGTTTGGGATAGTGATTTGGCTCTAGGTTTTGAGAAAACATTGGAAAATGATGTTATAGTAGATGCTGGCTGGTTTAAAACCGATTTTGTCATGTTTAGAATTGTTGCGTTAGGTCTGATGGATATTTATGTGAAAGAAAAGCATGACTGTTATGTGGTTTTAGAGTTGTAGCTTCCGTTTTATAAAATTTTTACTTTAAAAACATCGAAATTTGATGTTACACAAGCGGATACCAAGTGTAATATAATTTTTGATGTTTCTATATTTATTTTGATGTCAAGTTGAGTTTTGTATTATGTAAAATTTACTTCTTTATCTTCTACTGCTATCCCGGTTCTAGCTTTGTCCAAATTTCCACCTAAAAACATCAAAATTTGATATTACACTAGCTGATACCAAGTGTAATATAGGTTTTTTGATGTCTATATCTCCCCAACCACATAATACCTTTAGTTTTAGCATAGTCTTAATACATAAACAAAAAATTTGCTCAATTACGTCCTTAAACATTGTCATGAGGGAGTAATGATGCTTTATGTTCACCTAAAACACCTTGGCCAAAGCGTCTCGAGCTTGAGGTTTCGTGAAGAAGCAGCGATGTTTGAACTGAAAACAATAACAACCAAGTCAATATCGATATACATTTGTTGTTTCAAAGGCCACAGAACACCGCTCTCATGTTATTTTGTTTTCTCTAATACTTGTTTACGTTTTCTGTCGAAATTCGAAGAGAGAGTGCGAGAAGAGGAGAGAGTGGTTAGAGAAAAAGGGAAGGAAAGGGGGATTCTGAAGTTTTTAGCTGGAAATTTTGCATGATAGTGAACGCTTGAAGCTCGAATTGAATTTTAGGGCCACGTAGGTCCTTAATTTGTAAAATTTTTTTTGAAATTTCGAAAAATTTTTAAAATTTTAAAATTAAAAAAAATTGTTGCTATAAGGCATTTTTCATCTTAATAATTTTAAAAAAATTAAATTCTACAACATTTTTAAAATTACAACCACCCTAGGGCCCCATTCACAAATTTGTCAATTCAAAAAAATTTTCTCCAAAAGTTCAATTTTTTCCAAAAAGCTTTCTCCAATTTTAAAATAGCCGTTACTAAGAATTTCGGGAACATACGACCATACCCAACTTATATATGACGACCACTATGCACCAAAGACCAGTAATTGACCAAAAAACAAGCGAAAACAACCGAACGGCGGTGAGAGAGCGCGCGAAACGAGGAGAGACGGCCGAGAAAGACCGTTCGGAACATAGAGAGAGGCGCGAGAGAGTGTGATGAAAGAAGAGGGCGGGTAGAGCAGGTTAGCGTGTGGCAAAGCAAGAAGAGCGGCCCGTGAGAGAGTGTGGAGGACGAAGAGAGCGGGTAGAGATGGCTCGGGTGTCCGTAAAAAACAAGAGAGAAGCCCGCGAGAGAGTGCGTAAAGACGAGAGAGTGGTTAGAGCCGGCTCGCGCGTCAACAAAAACAAAGCGAGAGACCGTGCGAAAGAAGAGCGCTTACACACAAAAATAACGAAGAATAGCGTGCGAAAAGCGGAGAGCGGCGCGAGACACCGGGAAGGAGGGATTTCGTTATTGTTGTTTACGATTACTGGTCGTTTCAAAAGCAGTATAAAAGCAAATTTCAGCCAAGTCTTCAGTTACTCGACCAAAAAATATTGTCAAGAGTTCAAGCCTTCCGTTCAAAATGCAACGCTCAATTGTTCAAGTCGCTCGTGTTGCCACCGAAACCGTCGCTGTCGCCGCTCGTCAGGGTAAGTTGCTGGGCGTGGTATTTTTTCATTTTTTTGGGCTTTGGCATAGGTTTTTGGCTACAGGCGGATTTTTTTGGTTTAGGTAGATTTTTGATCGAAGATTGATGAAAATTTAGTGTTTTAGGTAATATTTAGCACCAATTAGGGAGTTTTTAGACAAAAACAAGTTGCCAAGATAGGGCATGTTTTCTTTTAAGTTTTTTACTCAGGGCATGGGTTTTCATCTCAGGGCGGATCTTTTTCTGAGATCAACCTGGTTTTAGGCCAAAAATCTATAAAAATTTAGTATTTTAGGTAATATTTTTATTTTTTTCAAGGGAAATGAAACGCGAAAGCTTATGAAGGTTTAGGTAATACTATATAAAATGTAAATTAATTTTTTTGTTTTGGGTAGATTTTTTAATTTTAAAACTATTTTAACCTCTAAAGAAGAGTTGAGGTGAGAGTAAGTTTAAATGGTCATAAAGTAAAGGGAATTAAAAATTTTAAAAATTTTTTGAAAAATTTGGCTAGGTTATGAAATTTTCTTTCGAAATTTATAAATTTTGGGGCAGTTATGATTGGTTTTGGCAACTTATATTGATTTATGTGGGTATAGGTGGAGCTGAATTTTTTCTTTTTTCGGATTTTTGGCTATTCTTTGATTATACAATGTCAACTCTTATGAGATAAGACCATTTGTCATTGTAAAAGTATCGTTTCAATGTAAAGTTACGAAAACATTGCTAAAACAACTATATTTTTAGGCGAACGCCGCTTCCTGTCCACCACCACCATCCAAGAGAAGAACATCATGGACAAGGCTAAGGAGACCACCGCTCAGGCCTGGGAGACGGCCAAGGAGAAGACCGAGCAGGCGGTGGATGCCGCCAAACAAGCTGTTGGATCGGCGTCCGACCGAATCAAGGAAACCGCCACGGAAGCCAAGCACGCTGCCCAGGATTCGGGACGATCGGCCGTGAATGAGGCCAAGGATAAGGGCCAGACCCTGAAACAGCAAGCTCAGGAGAAGGGTCAGGACCTGAAAGAGAAGGGCCAGGATTTGAAGGAGCGGGCCAAGGACGCCGTCTACGAGGGAAAGAAAGAGTTCAAGAAAGTAGGTAGGCTTATGTTTTGGGTTTTTAGTGATTTTAGGCTTATGGGTTTCCAGGGATTTTAGGGTTTGTGAGCTTAGGTTTGTTATTAAGGCTTTAGGCTTTTTTTTGGGCTAGGCTCGGGTTTTTGGGATTATCTGCTTACTCTTTGAATTTTAGGCTTGCTTTTGTGAGGTTAGGTTTGCTATTGGCGCTGTAGGCTTAGTTTATAAGTTTCGGCTTATCTGTGGGATTTGGTGCTTATTTTTTGAGTTTTAGGCATTGCTTTAAAATTTTTAGGCTTATATTTTAAGTTTTAGGATTGTTTTTGTAATTTTAGGTCTATTTTTTAGATTTTAGGCTGTGCTATAAAGCTTTTAGGCTTGTTTTTAGGGTTTTAAGCTTAATTTTTGATTCTTGAAGCTTATATTTTGAGCTTTTAGGCTTCTTTTGGGAAGGTAGGCCTAGCTTTTTCGTTGTAGGCTTATTTTTTTGATATTTTAGTTTTCTGTTTTGCGTTTTTAGCTTACTTTCGGGTTCATAGGCTTAAGCTAATTGGTTTTTTTAAACCCAATTGTGGTTTTTTAAATATTTTGAAATTTGAAAAATTTTTTTATTTAAAAATTTCAGAACTGAACAAAGACGATGCCGAGACCCGAACCCGTTACCAGTAGTTTGGAGCCGATGGCCATCCCTCTGCTTATAGATGTATAATTTTAAAGTAATCTCGATCGGTCTAATCTCCAACGCTTTTTATATAAAACGACGGTGCTCAGTCTCAGCAATGTAACTTTACTGTATATATTGTTTGTTTTCAATAAATTATAGATGTTTTTGGTTTGGTACTTGGATTTTTGTTGTTTTCGAATGTTATTGCGGTCAAAAAGTTTGTACAGTATATTGGCTTTGGCTCGAAAGGGGGTATGGGTGACTATTAAATGTGTAAACTGTGCAAGAGAGTATCATGCTTTTCATGTAGGGCTTTAAATGGTCTATATGTGGTATAGGTTTGACGTTGATATCGCAATTTATAATAAAGTTATACCTATTTTATATAAAATGACGTTATGGTAAAGCAAAAACAGTTTTGAACTTCCATACCTAGAATTTCTCCTTGCGTCTCACTTTGTCAGCGCTAGCTTCAGTCCTAGTCTCAACCCTAGCCTCAGCTCTAGCTTTAGTCTTAGCTTCAGCTCTCATTAGCCTCAGCCTTTCTTTTAGCTCCTTCCACCGTTTGGCTTTCGATGTTTAGGCTTAATACAAATGAACAGGTGGCAAACCTATTGCAACATACATAAACAGTATCATTACAAGTTTTTTGTGTTTCTCGATAAGCTTTGTTTATTTGTTTTCAATTTGGAAACAACAATTGAATACAATGAAACTATACAAACTCATCTTTGATTCACAATTTACTTATACCGTTTGCGCTTGTACCAAGCCGCAAAGGGGGAAAACTTCGAAACCCATTGACTATGTTATAACTAGTACTATATGTTGCTATTTTTAGTAGTTGTTTTAGTTACATTTGTTGTTGAATTAAATATTTGATTAAAAAACCGTGTAACAAAAATTGTGGCGCACGCTGTAAACTTTATTACAAAATTAATCAAAGTCAATAATCAAAGAGAACATACAGCCAAAGAAAACTTTGTTACAATCGTAAACATAAGTCAAACTACAATTCTTTAGGCCAAAAACACAAATTTAAAAATTTTCAACTGCACAATATTAATCCGCCCGCATTTTGTTGATTTTTCTAATATAAGCCCTCGTTACCGTCTCCATTTTTTAATCGTAAGCTCTTCATTTGTTGACTTTTTGAAGCAGAATCTCTCCCTGATTCAATTTTTATTATAAGCCAACGTTATTGACTTCAAGGTATAATCTGACGTGGCTGACTTCATGTAATCCTTCACGTTCCATGTTCGACCCTGATTTCGGGAACGTTAAGTCGCGCGGCAAATACAACTTTGAAACGCCCGAAATTTCAAGGATTGTTTGTGTTTGGGTTTGGCCACAACGGCCACAACAAATTGGGTATAAAAAGGGTTGGCAGCATGGGGTAATGTCATCAGTATTGTGATCAACACTCTTGTACAACAACATGTTCAAACTGTGAGTTTTGAGCGGGTTATACTGTTATTCTGTCATATCATGGAGCTGAAAGTGAGATCACTAGGCCGGGTTCAAGCCGGGCAGGGCTGAATCAGGCCGAACTGGGCCGCGCTAAGTTAGTTGGGCCGGGCTAGACTGGGCCGATCCGGACTAGGCTGGTCTGGGTCGGTCTGGGCTGGGCCGAACTAGGATGGACTGGACCGGAATAAGTTGGGCTGGGCTGGGCTGGGCTAGGCTGGGCTGAGCTGGGCTGGACTAGGCTGGTCTGGGCCGGGGTAGGCCGGACTGGGCTAAGCTAATCCGAGCTAGGCCGAACTGGGCTAAGATGATCCGGACTAGGCTAGACTGGGCCGGGAAAGACTGAGCTGATGAAATGTGTCTTCCTGACCAAGAACCTAATGTTAAAAATGTCATTTTCAGAATCTGCCTCGCTGTATTGGTATGCGCCGCTGCCGCTCAATACTCGGTAAGTATCTTTAAGTTAGTCTGCTACTAAAAAAGGCCCATAGTCTAACGATAAGGCTACTTCTAAGAAGATAGGACCATTCTAAACAAAGTAAGACAGTTTCTGAAAAGATGGGACCATTTATAATAGGTGCCGACATAAAGAACCCGCCATTTTTTACAAGAAATTACAGGCATAGTATGGCGGGTTCTTTATGTCGGCACCTGATAAAAATGTAGGGCTATTTCTAAGATATATTTATTTACCCTTCCAGAACTACGGTACCTACTCCCAACAAGGCTACCCCTCTTCATACTCGTCCAGCCAATACAACCCATACTGTGACCCCTCCCTCTTCGGTGGACAATCCTCGTACGGTGGTTATGGCCAACAACAACAATATGGCCAATACGGACAATCTGGCTATGGTCAATCGGCTTACGGTAGCTCATACGGTCAGCAATACAGCCCATCTTCATACTCTTCATCATCATACAGAGGACGACGAATGGCTGTACCAGTTGGACCAGTCTTCTAAGAAGGGGTGTACTAGTCTTTTAATGCTGTAGTAGTCTTATGTAAGCCTGTACTAGCCCTATAACGACTGAGGTACCAGTTGCTCCAATTATATAAAAATAGTGGTAATGGTGACTAAAAACTGTAGATCTATTGGTACCAACTGTTCAAAACCACCACCCAAACATTGTACCCTACCAGCCATATTCTCCTTCGAAAGTTGTTCCCGGTGATATTTCTTCCATATTTTTGCTAATGTTTTGCACTTTTTACCTGTTTTTGCAATAAAATTGGTCTCAAAGAGTTGATTTTTAGGAAAAAAGTCGATTTTTATTTAAATTTTGGTCAAAAAGTTGATAGCATGGAATTCCACAAAAACCCGACCAATGAACGAGTACCAGCGGGAGGGGTGGGATGGGTAGATGGAGGTTCACAAAAAAAGCGGGAGAGAATGAAAAAGGTCATTTAGGAGGGGTGGGAGGGATAAAAAAGGATCAGGATTGATCAGGAGAGGAGAGAAGAGTGAGAGAAATTCGGACGAGTAGGAGGTGTAGAAGAAAGTGGATTAGAGAATGTAACAACAGTTGAAGAAGATCATTTAGAGGAGTGGGAGGTGTAGAAGAAAGTGAATTAGGAAGGGTGGAAGGCGTAGAAAAAATCGATTTGGAGGGGTAGAAGAAGGTGGATTAAGAGATGTAACAGCAGTAGAAGAAGGTCATTTAGAGGAGTGTGAGGTGTAGAAGAAGGTCATTTAGAAGAGTGTAAGGTATAAAAGAATGCCGACTAATAAAGGTAAGAGAGGCAGAAGAAAGTAAACTAGAAAAAGTAGGCGTTGTAGAAAGTTGATTAGGAGGAGTGGGAGAAGGAGAAAAAGATTGTTTAGTAGAGATGGGAGGGATAAAAAAGCCTATCAGTAGGGGTGAAAAAAGCAGATAAAGGTAGATTTGGAGGGATAGGACGGAAAAAAGAACGTCAATTGTAGAGTAAGCATGGTAAAAAACGCAAAACAAGTATAGTATTATATATTGTTTATTGAAAAAATAAATTAATGTCAGCTTAAATTAAAAAAATAGATATAATGACAATTTTTAGACCTAGAGTAACATCATACAGTAGAAAAATGCGTAACATTTTAAGTTGAAGAAGAGATGGCAGTATTGAGACACAGCTGTACATAAAGAGATAGAAATATATAATATATACAGTGGAACTCCTGGAACAAGAGTTCCACTGTACTACTCGACCTAAGTTGTAATAGTATAAGACTTGTCATATGAATTAAAAAAATTATGTTACCCCTATGTTTTGTCCTCATTATGTTTCCTCTTCCACCTCCCCAGCCTTCTCTTATTCTTTTTATTCTTTCCTTCTTCTTCTTCAGGTTCATCTTCTTCTAGATCTTTCCTTTTATCATACAAAGGCTTCAATTTTCTATGAACTTCTTCAGCGGTTTCAGAAGTTTCTACTCCATTCAATGGAGCATGAACTAGCGTTGGCTTCTCGGTATATGTTACATTATCAGTGCCAAAAGATATATGACCTGGTGAGAAGTCGACTGGTGGTAACGTGATTCTTGGTTGTTCTGTAGGGTTGGCTTGAGGTGGAGGTACTGTAGGTTCAACATGATTTGGGTGTACTGTATCTTCACCATGACCGTGGTGTACTGTAGGTTTGGCATGACTAGAAGGTACAGTATCTTCACCATGACTAGGGTGTACTTCAGCTTTACCATGACCTGAGTGTACTGTATCTTCAATATGAGTTGGTTGTACTGAACCATCTACAAGCTTTGGGGGTACTGTAGCTTGAAACTGGTTTTGCCCTACAGAATCTTCACTATGAGATGAGTGTACCACACCCTTAGCCATCTTAGGGTCTACTGTGTGTTCAGAAACCTTTGAGTGTACTGTATTTTCAAAATGCGTAGCATGCACTCTTGTTGCAGAAAGAGTGGCGTGTACTGTAGTTTCGACCCTTTGCTCATCTGAATTTTGTGATTTTGATGCCATTTCAGCTTGAAACTTAGGTCTTTCAGCTGGTAATGACTTTGAAGAAGTAGTAGTATATGATTTGTCATACATCTGGGTAGTAGTCGACATTGGTTTAGTATTGGGTATTAGGGTTGGAAACTTATTTTTAGAGGTTGATATGGTTATTGGTGGTGTTGTTTTAATGGAAGGGGAGTTTGTAGTCTAAAAATAATTTTTAGGCATGAAAATGGGTTTAAAATTTAAAAAAAAATTTTCTAATTTTTCAAAAAAATTTGAAATTTAAAAAAAAATTTTTTTTTGAAAATTTTTTTTGAATTTCACAGTAGTAAAGCTGCCAAAGAAGCTAACCTACGCTATTATATGGGTTACTCATGAATTTACTGGGGGTTTTCATCTTCTTTGCCGCTATTGCTTGAGTGAATTGATTCCTGGATTGAGCATACTTGAATCGAACTCTTTCTCCGTATTCCGTAGCTGAAATTGAATTTTTTTTAGAAAATTTCAACCAAACCATACAGGACAACGTATTTTACCATTTTTAATAGTTTTTTTTATTTTTTAAAGCCAATTTACATGACTAGACTTAAATATCAATGCTAGGGCAAAAGCTAAGGCTGGAGGCTAGGTATATTTCTAGGGCTGGGCTAGGCCTAGATATATTACTAGGATTAGGCTAAGGCAAGGTAAAAGGAAACGGAAAAGGTTTTGAGCTCTGGGCTAGGACTCTTGGCTACGGCTCTGGGCTAGGGCTCTGGGCTAGGACTCTTGGCTACGGCTCTGGGCTAGGGCTCTGGGCTAGGACTCTTGGCTAGGACTCTTGGCTACGGCTCTGGGCCAGGGCTCTGGGCTAGGACTCTTGGCTACGGCTCTGGGCTAGGGCTCTGGGCTAGGGCTCTGGGCTAGGGCTCTGGGCTAGGGCTCTGGGCTAGGGCTCTGGGCTAGGGCTCTGGGCTAGGGCTCTGGGCTAGGGCTCTGGGCTAGGGCTCTGGGCTAGGGCTCTGAGCTAGGGCTCTGGGCTAGGGCTCCGGGCTAGGGCTCTGGGCTAGTGCTTTTGTCTAGGCCTACAACTGTGACTAGAGGTAATGCTAGGGCTCGGGGTAAGACTAGAGCAAGAGCTTACCTTGTGGAACGTTCAAGACGTTAGTAGCTAAAAAGTCAAACCGTGCCAACGTTCTCTTCTTTCTTCTTTCACTATTAGCTGACTTGTTCTTCTTTTTCTTTTTCTTCTTTTTGGGCAGGGGTGGGGGTGGTATGTCAACTACATCTTCGTAATCATCATCTTCTACTGCGACTCTTCTTCTAGCCCCGTTGGCAGGATTGTTCTGTGGCATCTGAGTCATTCCACCTGGATTCTGGTTGTTGGCGGTGCCGCCTGGATTGCCTAGCTGTAGCCCAGGTGGGCATTGGTTTTGTTGTTGACAGTTACAAGCATTCTTGATGACATTGTTGTAGCAATTTGTATCCGGCATCAAACATTGCTTCACCTTCATAGGGATACAGAGGTAGTACTTGCGTTCACAACATTGGCAACAACTATGCAATTTCGCACCGCCCGCCAGTTGGGCAGGGCCGCAGCATGGATTGCAACATGCACATTGACATCCTGGATTGCATGGAGTGCAGGCTGGAGCACAGACACATCCGCCTCCACCGCCGCAGGGATTGCAAGCTGGGGCGCATGCTGGAGCACATACACATCCACCCCCGCCTCCGCCACAGCCTCCGCCACATGGAGCACAAGCTGGAGCACAAGCCGGAGCACAAGTTGGAGCGCATACACATCCACCTCCTCCACCACATCCACCGCCTCCACCACATCCACCACCGCCCCCACAACATCCACCCCCACCATTACCACACCCACACTGGCACGGCTCACAGGCCGACACAATCATCACGGGCGGTGGTGTGGTAGTCATCGGCACCATGGGCATCTGTGGATTGGTAGTACCATTCAATTGTAAACCCGGAGGGCACTGATTCGACGGTTGTTGTGAACAAATACAAGCGATTGGGTTCAAATTGACCGGTAGAGATTGCTGACAATTGCAACAACAACTACATCCGCCACTACTCAATCCTAAAGGACCTGCGTTGCAGCCGGGAATACTCAACCCACCGCCATTGCAACAGGAGCAGCTGGAGGGCAGGAGCAGACCTCCACCTCCGCCAATACAACCACAATTGGCATTGACATGGAGGAATAGAAGAAGTAGAAGGAGTGTTGTTATTAGCGTGGCGAAACTAAAATTTTGGTTTGAAAAATAATGATTAGTTTTAAAAGGTTGGTAAGGTTAGACTTTTGATAAGCCTAAACTTTATATATTAAAGCTAACAATTTCAAGTTTAATAAGCCTATGCCTACAAAGCTAATGCTGACGAATTCTAAGCCTACTAAGTCTAAGCCTACTAAGCTTAAGCCTACTAAGCCTCAGCCTACTAAGCCTAAGCCTACGAATTCAAAGCCTACTAAACCTAACACTACTAAAAACCTAAGCCTACTGAGCTCAAGGCTACTAAGCCATATATTATGATGCCTAAGCATATAAAGCTGATGTCTACTAAGCCTAAGGTCACTAAGCCTACAACTGCTAAGCCTACTACATAAAACTCGTGCTTAAAGAAACAGAGCTTTTAAACTTGAACTTACTATGCCTAAATCGGTTAAACCTAACTGTAAGCAAACTAAGCCATTAAACATTATTAAGCCTAAGCCTACTATGCCTACACATTAAGCCTGCGCCTAATAACCTAAATAAATATAACTTGAGTTTGTTAAACATATGAAAACTAAGCTTAAGTTTATAAAAATTAAACCTAATAAGCCTAAACCCTAGTCCAAAACCCAATTTACTAAGCCTAAGCATCTCTTTTGCATACCTATTACATAAACCTAATTTTACAAAATCCAGGTCTAAGCTTGCTAGGGGTAAGCTTAATAAGCCTAGCCTTCTTAAACCTAACTTTAGCAATCCCAATTCTAAGCTTACTAAGCCTAAGCCTAATAAGCCTAACCTTCTTAAACTTGACTTTAGCAATCCAAATTCTAAGCCTACTAAGCCTAAGCCTAAGCCTAATACGCCTAGCCTTCTTAAATCTGACTGTAAAAAATCAAATTCTAGGCCTATTAAACCTAAGCCTACTAAGCCTAAGCCTGCTAAGTCTAAACCTACTATGCCTAAGCCTACTAAGTCCAAACCTTAAGCCTAAGCCTACTAAGTCTAAACCTACTAAACTTTTTAAAGCTAAACTTACTAAGCCTAAGCATATTAACCTCAGTTTAACTTTAAAAAGTCAGACCTAAAACTTCTTTTTGTTACCTAAAATCCAATCAAAATCACCAAAAACCCGGCTTACCTGAGCCGTGCGGCCGCGAACATGCGCTTTCGGCGTTCACCCGACGCTTCCGGGTCAATGAGATGTAGATCGTCCCGCAAGGACACATACATCAACGCGGCCGGACCCACTTGATGATAAAAATGACACTCCCGCATTGTTTCACCACCATAATGGTATTTGTTTGCAGCGTATTTACATTGCGGGCTATTATGAAGCGAGCGTATGGTGACCGGTTGAGTGGACAGGGTTCGAATCGTATGTTAACGTGAGTTGTATAGACGGTCGAAAAAAGCGGCAGGAACTTTGTTTACAATACAAAAAATGGAAAGAACTTTCTTTACAAAACGAATAATGGCAAGAACTTTCTTTAATAAACAAAAAATGGCAAAAACTTTCTTTACAAAGTAAAAATCGCTTTTATAAAGTACTTTATTAACAATAATATTAAATTATCAATTTCAATACGACCTCATTTTACGTTGAATGTAAAACTCGTGCATCAAGTTGGTTTTCATGTTGCTGATATTAAACATGGTCATAACAGTGAAGTGATTGTCTTCGATTTGAGAGGTGGGCTAAAGAAATGAAAGTTTAGTCTGAAAAGCGTAAACCCACAAGGCTAAGCCTAAGCCTACTAAGCCTAAGCCTGCTAAGACTAAGGCTACTAAGCCTAAGCCTACCAAGCCTGAGCCTACTAAGCCTAAACCTACTAGCCTAAGCCTACTAAGCCTAAGCCTACTAAGCCTAAGCCTACTAAGCCTAAGCCTACTAAGCCTAAACCTACTAAGCCTAAGCCTATTAAGCCTAAGCCTACTAAGCCTAAGCCTAATAAGGCTAAGCCTACTAAGCCTAAACCTACTAAGGCTAAGCCTACTAAGCTTAACCCTTTTAAGCCTAAGCCGACTAAGCCTAAGCCTACTAAGACTAAGCCTACTAAGCCTAAGCCTACTAAGCCTAAGCCTACTAAGCCTAAGCCTACTAAGCCTAAGCCTACTAAGCCTAAGCCTACTAAGCCTAAGCCTACTAAGCCTAAGCCTACTAAGCCTAAGCCTACTAAGCCTAAGCCTACTAAGCCTAAGCCTACTAAGCCTAAGCCTATTAAGCCTAAGCCTACTAAGCCTAAGCCTAATAAGGTTAAGCCTACTAAGTCTAAACCTACTAAGGCTAAGCCTACTAAGCTTAACCCTTTTAAGCCTAAGCCGACTAAGCCTAAGCCTACTAAGCCTAAACCTACTAAGCCTAAACCTACTAAGCTTAAGCCTACTAAGCCTAAGCTATAAGGTTCATAAAAGTCTAAGCTTTTTAGGCCTAAGTCATGTCCACTAAACCTAAGTTTCAACCGAAGCCTAAGCTTAAAACTATAACCATAAAGAATAAAGCAAAACCTCGTTAAAACTCACTTCAAGATTAGGTACCAAACACAATAAAGCCGAGATTCTTTCAGTGATTTGCTGTTCGTTAAGTTGAGGATTATGCGTTCGAATCACATCCAACAGAACACTACTATAGAAGGCCTGTGCTTTGCGCACAGCCTTTCGTCCTTCCTTCGACAAGCCGGGGACGAAAATGAAAAAGGCTAGTACTCTAAGGATTTGAAATTCGGAATTTGTGACATTCATCTCTTTTGCCAGATCAATGTAGTTCTCCCACATTAGGTTGCCGATTTCGGAATAAACTGGGAGGAGGCTGAAAATGGAAGTTTAAATTTTGGAAGAAAGATGATTTTCAGTATCGTACTATTTAGTACGTGATGAAAAAACGTTTAGATTATCTTTTTTTTGTAAATTTTAAAGCGTGCCGTACTATGGTTTTTGAAAAATTGTCTTTTTTTAAATTTTTTAGTATCGTACTATTTAGTACGTAATAGAAAAAACGATAAAATTTTATTTCTTTTGTTAATTTTAAAGCGTTTAGTATTATGGTTTTTCAGGATTTGATGTTTTAAGAATTTTTTAGCATCGTACTATATAGTACGTAATGATAAAAACCTAAAATTTTATTTTTTTATGTAAATTTTAAAACATTTACGTTAGTTTTTTCTTTGAAACTTGGTATTCGAAAACTTTTTCAGTATTGTACTATATAGTACGTGGTGAGAAAAAGCTAAAATTTAATTTTTTTTACTTTTTAAAACATCCACAGCATTTTTTTCACAATTTAAACTTCGAAAATTTTTTTAGTATCGTACTATTATATATAGTACGTTGTAACAAAAAAATAAAATTTGAGGTTTGTCTTAAATTTAAAATGCTGAAAATTTTAAATTTTAAAGTATTTTTTTAAATTTAAGTATTGTACTATATAGTACGTTCAAAAAAAACATACTATTTATCCTGATATTCCTTCATTTCATCCTCTTCCAATGGCACATAAGTTCCACTACTCAACGGAATGCATCTTTTTTTCAAGTCTTTTGACCTATAAGCCACCATATGATACATCATAGGTACACATCTCCCAACAACCATCTTCAATCTGTCATCCACCCCCATCTCCACCAGCTCGGGCAAATGCGATACCCAGTCGATGTAGTGCAAACAAGTACGACACCAAATCTTTGAAAAATCCTCGGTTTTACAGTAGAACTGAGGCTCGTACAGTATCAGAGTACGGTCACAGAGTTTGCCAGCACCCGCCAAAAATGCGTCTTCAGTTACGAGGTCCATACTGAACTTGACGTTGGTCGTTAATAGTGGTGAGGTGTTTTCACAGTAGGTGTCGACGAAATGGTCAACCATGAAGAGGTATTTGACTACGGATGCCGGATTCTGACGATTGAACCATGGGATCACCTTTTTGTAGCCTAAGGGTGCTTTTGAGTCTTGGCCGAGGTGGTAGGTTGAGGCGAGTATAATGTTACATTCGTACTGAGCTTCTTCACGTAGGGCGGATTCTGATTTTTGTGGGTATCGTGAGAGCTGAGAAGGCTTTGACTTTTGGTGAGGATGTCTTGAGATTTGCGTAGATTCTGAATATCTTGAAGCTTGACCAGCTTCTGAATACCGTGAAGCTTGGCCCGCTTCATAAAACCCTGAAGCTTGGCCAGGTCCTAAGTAACGTAAAGCTTTAGAACATCCTGGAAGAATTCCGGCTTCAGAATGTCGTGAAGACTGTTCAAGACTTCTAGAGCTGCCAAAGTACCCTTGCCTAGATCCGGCTTCATCTTCTTCATCAGCGGCTTCAACTTTAACAACGAGAAATGGCGTTGGGTCCGAGGGAATAGACTGGTTTTTCCGCGAATTTCGACGAAACCTTAAAGCGTCTGTGTCGCACGCACGGTCGCTGTGAACTACTGAAAATAAACTTGCTAGGTTTAGGATTAGGTATTGTACATGTATAAACAGTACTTGATCTGCCAAAAAACATTTTTTCAAAAAAAAAGTTTTTTACAAAATAAAAAGAATTTTTAAAATGACTTACAAACTGGCTGTAGCCCCCTTTTCGAGACAGATGCGCAATCGACAAGCACGGCAAGAGTTTCTGGCATCTAAAATAAACATAAAACTACAAAAAAAATTTTAATTAAGTTTTTCAAATATTTCTGTGCCCTAAATGCAAAAATTTTCTTTGAAAGGAAGCACAGAATTACTTGAACAAACTAATATGTTTAATGTACCTCCAGCTCAAAGCCCTAGCCCAGAGCCCTAGCCCAGAGGGCCATCTTATAGACGTGAGACAGAGTACGGGAACAAGCCTGGCTGAATTTTGGGGCGGTTCGAGTCTGAGTGTAGGGCCCGGGCTAAAGTTTGCTTAAGACTAGCACGGTCCGTTCTTCATGGCTAGCCCCCTAACTCCAAAAATTTACTTTGAGAAGAGGCAAAACATTATTTGAACAAACTAATATGTTTGGTGTATCCTCCCAAGCCTTATCGTTAGCAATAGCCGTAGCCCAGAGCCCTAGCTAAGAGCCTTGGCCTAGAAAGTCCTAGCCTAGAGAGCCCTAGACCAGAAAGCCCTAGTCCAGAGAGCCATAGCCAAAAATCCTAGCCTAAGGCTTTAGGCCAGTATCCAGAGCTCTGACCCAAAGTTCTAACCCGACTCCCTTGCCCAGAGCCATAGCCCACGCCTCTAGCATTTGTTCTAGATTTTCATTTCCTTATAATCTACCCTTGTTTAACCAGCCTTATCCTTAGGCCTATTTCAAACTTTTCTTAACACTACCGTAACCCCTTCCTTACTACGTCACTGAACTCAAGAGCATGATTACACACTTACCATTTTTGATGTTGCAGCTATTTTCGAACGCACACACATATTGGCGACGGAATCGGACGGAACGCCGAAAGAAGCCTTTACACCCGCTGTAATAACCACAATTAAGATCTCAATTCGACCGTATCCATCAAAAACTGATAGTTTAGGTAGGATGAGTCATGCTTGCTACGAATAGTCATAAGAAGGTCGTTCTTACCTACAACAGTTCTGACCGTAATGTTTTGAAGCGCCGAAATCTTCGCAGACCACGCACTGGGTTTTTTCTTTGCTCATAAGATGATCGATCGAATAGTGGGGCTGAAATTGAGTACTGTAGGTGTAAGTATAGGGTAAAGAAGGGTACTGTGTACTGTGGACCCCGCAGTGTGAAATCGTCTTACTACACAAAGACCAAACATAAGCATCAAAGTTCATAAAAAGCCAAGGTATTAAAGTAAAAGGTCCTATGGTAAACTATAGTCCATTAAATAGCATAACATTTATATTGTAGATCATAAAGGCTTAAAATAGCACTTCAGACGTCACGTTGTTTATCAAGGCACAAGGTATAACCTACATATTTGTACTAACAATCACATTGTACGTATATGACAATATAAATTGTATCCCACATTACCCGGTCGCATCCTATCCTACTCTGTGAAATGCTACCCTACCCTGTCGCATGCTACCCTATCATGTCGCATGCTACCCCACCCTGTCGTCTACTACCGTACTCTGTCAAATGTTATCTTACTCTGTTGAATGCTACCCTACTCTGTTGAACGCTACCTTACTCTGTTGAGTGCTACCCTACTCTGTTAAATGCTAACCTACCCTACCTATCCTACTCTAACTTGAAACGAAAACATCAAAAAGTATCTTGAAGTGCTATGGCAACAAATGGCACACAGTTACTACGCAAGGCAATTAAAAGAAATGTGTAAATTAGTGCTTTATTGTACATGGCTTACTAATGTGTGCCAATAAACAATTTTAACACTACTTTAAACACGTGGTATTACACTTGCAAAACGCACTATAAGTTCCTGGCTTGGCTCAAACTAAATAGTATTACTTTTTTTAACTTGATGGTGTGTATTATAGTACACAACCATAAGGTTTCTGCATACGTGCTCCTATCATAATGTTTTTTTGGGCAGAGGGCACATAATTATTTGAAAAATATGATACAAAAGAAACTTGCAGCCAGTTGATACCATGAGCAGTAAATGTAAAACAAGCCCTAGCCCTAGCCCTAAACCTAGCTCTAACCCTAGCCTTTGTTGTCTTACAATTGTCAGACAGACATCATAAACCACATTTTTAAGCTTACAATCCATTCAAAAATCAATTTTTTTACTTTAAAAAACCACGCTTTACTGTTGCAAATATGCTTCACAGTAACGACTTTCAGAACAACGTGACTTTGCTTAGTTCCCCACAAAAGTACGTTGAGCTCTCATTGATAACGGAGCGTTTGTCAAAGAAAAACGAATTACAAAAACAGCAGTCGCTGTGGGTGGAACACAAAGTAAAACACAAGAAAGTTTCCAAAAGGGTCTTATTAACAGAAGGGTTTGTGGGCTACAAAACTTTAATGAGAGGTTGTCCTACCCTTCATAACGTAGCCGTGCCTTTACTTAATTTTCTCTCCCCATAGCGTGCCGTACCGTACTGTACCGTACTGTGCCGTAACGCACCGTACTGTGCCGTACCCTAGTCTACCCCACCCTACCCTACCCTATCCTACTCTACCCTACCCTACGGTAACTGCGCGTAAACTGCCACAGACAACCATACATTACCGTTAAATTAACCGCCATCATAGGGCGACCCCCAAAAACGCCACAGCGTGATCATAATCACCGGTTTTTTAAACAAACGTATTTTTTGGAAAACCGCCTTTGGCTTCGCGTCACGCTCTTTCTGTACCACCCTCTTTGTTTACAATGATCTCTTCATAGGCTACAGACAGAGGGAGTTTCCCCAGTTGAAAAAAGTTTCAAAGACAAAACGAAGGTGCAATATCAAACGAATCAAACGAATTGATTTTGACAAGTAAATTTATATAAAAGGCTTATCAATGTACTATTATAGGTAAGTATTTCATACCAAAAAATATACTTTTAAGTTAATATTAGTCAGAGAAACCCCCTCGTACCCAAAAGTTCCGCAAAAAGTTAAGAAAAGGTATAAAAGACCGCCAGGCAGTAAAGGTAAAGTACACGCGGCCTCAAAATTATATTATACTTCGCTTTCGACGTTTACGTTAAAGGGCGCTCTATCAGAACAAAGTGTATTATACATTTATGTTACACTTTTACTGCTTAACTCACGGGTTTTTACATAATATTGCAGTTAAAAAAGTTTACTGCCGCGGAACTACAGTTAAATCTTGTTACTATGAACCTTTATTGTATAGCACTGTCTTTTTGAATATCCAGCAAAAACTCTATAGTATAATACTCAAGGGCTAGACCAAAGTTCGATTATAACCAAACTGGTGCACTATTCTGCGAGTTTTTGATAGAAGTTCTATGACAAAGCCAATCAGAAAGTTTTTATTATAAACAGGGTGTCATGATATCCAGAGTTATATTAGCGGTTTCAGTAGATACTATAAGGTCTGGCTTGGCGCCCTGAATGACAATGTTAAAAAGTTTCGAAGACATCACATGTTCCAGCCTGACTGCACAAATGGCCTTGTATTCTAATTTTTTTAATTTGAACGTTCATACAATGTTTCAGAATTATGTACCAACGTAAAGTAAAATAAATATATTATTTATTAAATAAATATTAATATTAATATTAACAAGGATACCGTAAAATTCTTCTATGCAATACCAATATTTTATACATTGAGATCAATTTAAAGTTTGTAGAGTAAAAAAATAGAGTTAAAAAGTTTTTGGTTGATAATAATTTTTAAGCCAAAGATAATCTATGTAAATCTCAAAATAACTTAGTATTTGTAAACAAACGTTTTTTTCAGGTAGATGAGCTTTTGATATAAAATAACTTTGTAGAAGAGACAAAAGTGATATTTTAATAATAAATATGTTTTACTAGTTCATCGATCACAAATGAACAACAGTATACTGATATTCTGGTGACCCTTATGTTACCTATAGGTTGGTAAAATAACTGTTATGTTCTCTATATGTTGATAAAATAACCATTATGTTTCCTGTAGTTTAATGATAAATAGACATTATGTTGCCGAAAGGTGTAACACACTGATCCAACAATGACCTTTAGTCGATTAGTGACAAAACAAAAAGTTACAGTCGCATTTTTCGCCGGACATAGAAGTCATACATTAAACTCGTTTGCATGTTGGCTAGGTTGAACAACACCAGCATTGTAAAGTGATTGTCTTCCAGCTGATTGGTTCGCTGCAAAAGATAATTTAGTAGGATAGAGTAGTTTAAAGTGGAGGAGGGTAAAGTGGGGTAAGGTAAGATGAAGTAGGGTAAGTTGGAGTAGGGTATGGTATGCTAGAGTAGGATAGAGTACAGTAGGCTACATATACTTACATCAAAAGCCGGTAAAAGCAACATGAGCTCGCTCATTCGTTGACAAACCTCAACCTCGGTCATTTCCGGCCGACTTTCGGTAATGTATTTTTGAAGACAGTTACGATAGAAATGTTGAGTACTTTTCACTTCCCGACGACCTTGCACACTCAGGCCGGGTACGATACTGAACAAACCTATCAGTCGCAAAAACATGAGTTCGGATTGTGTTACGCCAAGTTCCACAGCTGGTTCAAAGAATGCGTCATTCAACCAGGTGCCGGTCTCAATACAAAAGTTGAAAATTCTGAAAAACGTTTTTGGTCAGATTTTTGAAATTCTTGGAGACCAGCTCATTTTCAAAACTTGGTCAAAAACTGAGCGGTGGTTCCAGACTTCCCATGATTTTAAGTATTTATATTGTTTAATCTTTTAACTGTTGTTCTAATTTATGTTTTTTTAGGATCGACCGACAGCAGAGGTTAGCCGTGTTTCTCTATTGACAGAAAGAAATAAATTAGCGTGTTTCTTACACTTAAAAATTAAAAAATATGGAAGAAAGCTCAAAAGTCTGTACAAATATCTCAAACCACTTACATTTCCTCAGTTTTTCCCTCCAAGACCTCTGCATCTGGAGTGAAGTATGTACCACCACCAAGCAATATATACTTCTTATCAACATAAGGTAAAGATCGAGCTGCAATGATATGCCAAATAATGGGCACTGATCTACCAACTATTAATTTCATACGATCTTCTGCTTCTAGCGCCCGAATTTCTGGAACATGGGTGACCCAGTCGATGTAGGTTAACATAACACGGCACCACATTGCTTTAAATGTTTGGAAGTTTATTATTATTTTGGGTTCCCATAGCATCTAGAAGTAAATTTATGAGTTGTTTTAGGTAATTGTATCTCGTATATTTTTCTTATTTTTCTTTTTGATAAAGATAAGATTTTTATAATCTTTTAGTGTTATAATGCATATACTCACCACAGTCCTATCGCACATTTTACCAGGATCATAGAGGAAAGCTTCATCAAAGCTCATTTCCAAGTCGCACGTGATTGGGTCAGTAAACAATACATTTTTGTCATCCTCAAAATAACTGTCACAAAACCGGTCTACCGTAAAGTAATACTTTAGCAACGATATCGGGCTTTTGTCTCCACTCAACGGTACTAGGTTTAGAGCTCCTAAAGGTAACAGGGATCGTTTTCCACGCTGAAAGAAAAGCTTTGACGTTATTTTAAGATTGTTCACTTAAAGCAATGTTAGTAGTATTGCTAAAAATCACGTGTTATTAAAGTGTTAGTGCTATGTCTTTTGTCATGTACGGTATATTTTTCATCAAGTTACCATAGAATGCCTCGCCAAAAGCAACGAATCACACTGCTTGTTTGCTTCTTCAACAATTGTAGCTTCATCGACGAGCGCTGAAACGCTTGGTAGTTCTTCGTCATCCGTTTTGCTTTTGTCTTCTGAATCTGACTTCTTAAATTCAATCTTTAGCTTTTTCTTTGGTGCATCTGCATCACAAGCTCTGTCACTGTGTACTACTGAAATTCTTATTTGATTCATGAATTACCTTAGTCTGGTTGATGAAAATTAACTTGAAGAAACAACTGTATCATTACGGAATATATTACAAGAAAGTATATCTCCATTGGTCTTCATCTGAACCTTGAAAATCCTTGCACATCAGCACAGTACGTTACAATCTACGGCATCAAACTACTAATCTAATCTATACCTCCCGAATCGTAATTGTAAACGCTTGAAGAACGAAAAGTAAATAAACACTTACAGTTAGGCTGCAGCCCACCTTCGATGCATGATCGATACCTACAAGCTCGGCATGAGTTTCTGGCTTCTGAAAAACGATTTTTAGTGGCTCAGAACGATTTCCTTTAGAATTACTTCTATTAAACTACTAAAACAAATAGTAAAAAATATTGAATAACCTCCTACCTCCAATAACATTGCACTTGTTATTAAACGCGCAAACATATTGTCTTCTGAATCGGACGGAACGACGAAAAAACCCTTTGCAACCGCTGCAGAGTACTGAGATTAGACCGTTTTGCTTACGATAAGCTACGAACTCACCTACAACATGGCTGACCATAGTGTTTAGAAGCGCTTGTGTCGGCACAGACTACACAGCTGCCTGATGATGACATTGTTTTTAAATTACAAATAAAGCCTTCTAGAGTTGGATGTGTCGTAGTTATAGTTACTGTAAGATCAGATTTGTACTTTTTATGGGTTTACACTTGCCAACACTACCACTTCTTAGGTCAACCACTATGACGCAAAAAATTAAAGAACCCTGAAGGTAAATTACTACATAAAACTTTATTAAACCGTTGAGCAAGTCAAATATGGCATTACACTGCCCACGTGAGGTAATTATAACACTACATTTACCTTAACGCTAATTACAACGTAAATTATTTACTTCCAAAACAAAATTACTTTTGACGGTCATGTTGGGACATTTCATAAATTTGGAAAACTTGTTGACAAAGAGTAGCAATAACAGTAAACATATCACAGAAAAGTATACTTCAACTAACTACAAATTGTAACGGTGTAGCACTTGTAATAGAAACTAAATGAAAAAGTTGTGTTCACAAACTTGAGTGTAGCAAAAGTACTGCAACATTAAAAGCATAGATTTTCGTAACATTAGCATTAGCCTTAGGCGAATTGCTTTAGCCTTAACCTTAGCCGTAGCCTTAGCCGTAGCCTTAACCATAGTCTTAGCCTTAGTCTTATCTTTAGCCTTAGCCATAGCCTTAGCCGTAGTCTTAGTCTTAGCCTTAGCCGTAGCCTTAGCCTTAGCCTTAGCCTTAGCCGTAGCCTTAGCTTTAGTCTTAACCTTAGCCATAGCCTTAGCCTTAGCCTTAGTCTTATCCTTAGTCTTAGCCTTAGCCGTAGCCTTAACCGTAGTTTTAACCTTAGTCTTATCCTTAGCCTTAGCCGTAGCCGTAGCCTTAAGCTTAGCCTTATCCTTAGCCGTAGCTTTAGCTTTAGCCTTAGCCCTAGCTCATGCCTTAGCCCTACACCAAACTTAAAATATCTAAAAATAAAAAAATGTTTTTAAAAACAAAAACTTTCAAAACAAAGACTTGACGTATGTTTACAAAACCCCCTATTAAAATATTGTCATGTGTGGGTTGCAGAACTCATCAGTACTGTAAAGAATACCCCAAAAAAATTAAAAGTCAATTAAGGACGATTGATGAACCATTTACAACCAATTAATCTTATGAGTCATTGCGACGAAAAAAAATCTGTCAAAGCTCAATTTGTTTTTTCCTTATACATCAAGTCATTTTAGTGTAAGGTTGCATGTTTGCTTTGAAAAGAAAAGACGTTTTTGAAATAAAAAAATTAAAAATAGGGCAGAACGTTGGAAATGGCATTTTGCAATGTTTTTGCAACAAAAAAATTTAAAAAAATAAAAATCACCCCGCGATAAAAAAAATTTTTTTTGAATTACCCCCGCCTTAAAAAAGTTTTTTTTTGAATCACCCCCCGCCCTAAATTTTTTTTTGAATCTCCCTGCTTTAATAAAACTTTTTTAAATCACCCCCGCCTCAAAAAAAATATTTTTTGAAACAAATGAGTTAGGTCTCTCTTTTAACAGCAAAAAAAATGTTTCTACGTTTTTTCTCTACCCTGCCCTATCCTACTCTACCCTACCCTAATAAACTGTTCCCATGCCCACCCGAAACTACAAACATACTACCAAACTTAAACACAAACAACCGTTGAAGACTTTTTATTTAAAGTAAAAAGTTCCTGGTGTGCCTCTAGCGGTATTCCTCCCTCTTACTAAGGTTTGTTCTTGCTTTAACTCTAATTTTCGTTGTGAAGTTATTAAACACGCATGACAATTATTTGCTCTTTTTACCCTTAAATTTTGGTAGGGTAGGGTAGAGTAGGGTAGGGTAGAATAGGGTAGGGTAGGGTAGGGTACGGTAGGGTTAGGATAATGTAGGGTAGGGTAAGATAGTGTAGGGTAGGGTAATGTAGGGTAGGGTGTGGTAGGGTAGGATAGGGTAGGGTAGGGTAGGTTAGGGTAGGGTAGGAAAGATTAGACATGGTCAAGTACGGTAATGCAAGGTAGCATACGGTACGGTAAGGCTATTTATGCTAAATAAAGTTAAAGGATGTTAGAGTAGACCTAAAAGATTGCCTACTAAGGCCGGAATGGGTCGTAAATAAGCTGAAGAGGGCCGGGCTGAAAAAATTGAGCCTATCCGGCTACCTTTACAGGTGTGGACTAGTAGCCGTGGATAAAAGAAGAATAGGTTATGATTTTTTTAAAAAGGACACTAGACCTGTAAAACGGCCTGACAGAGCCAAAGATGGGCCGAGGTTAGGCCAGGTCAGAACTAGGCTCGGCCGAACCCGTGAGCTTCCTTTCACAAGGTCTATAAGTCACAATAGGCTAGACATGAAAAACGGGCATGGCCGGTTTTGAGCAAAATTTAGATCGGGCCAGGCCTAAGATTCAGACCCGGCCCGTTTCTCATGTCTACAATAGGCTCATACCAAAAAAATAACAAAAAAATAAAAATTGTTCTGGGTACATAATAACATTAGAAATGGCTGTGTAGATAACAGCCGTACACAGCACGTACTCAACTTATTAGTAAAGGTACAAAACGTGAAAGTGAAAAAGTGTGCGCAGCATGTGGCTACAAAAGCTTTTAAAACAAAGAACAGTATGGCCTACGGTTTTGTGCCACTTCTTGTTAGTACAACTTTAAATTCCCATGCTCATTTTAAAACAAGGAAGTACTGTAATAACAGGAAGTGATAGACATTGTAATTCAAAATCATAAATTTGAATCATTTTGGTTTTCCGCGAATTTGGCAAACTTGGCATTGTGTTTCAAGCGCTTTATTCGAATTTTTTAGACAAGCGACACTTACAAATTGAAAAATGTAGGTTTATTTAACGATATTCTACTAGTATATCAAAAAAAAAGTCTTAAAAGTCAAAAAATGGCAAAGTTATAAGCTTAAAACACAATGCCAATTTGGCGGAAAATTCAAAACGTAATTTTTTGATCTCGAGTTTTTCGAGGTTGACTTGACAGCGCGATTCAGTAGGTTGCTGAATATCTTATATATATACATGATCTTTCTACATAAAAAGTTTGAAGTCAATCAAAACGGGACAGGTCGGGTACTTTCTTCCTTGTTAGCTTTTCCTAGTCCCAGCCAGGGGGGAAGGGAGCTGGACGGAAAGGGGGGGGGGACCCGCCCCCTAAAAAAAATATCAAAAAATGTTGAACGTGGTGCCCCCTGTGAAGATTGAAAACTGTCTAAAAACAAGACCGTGTGTTTCTTTTACGCATAAAATCTTTCACGTAAATAAGCGAAACTGTCGAGAGAAAACGAGAACTGACAAGGGAATATTAAATAACGCGCTTAGTTTCATACAGCCACGTGGCTACATTAGTGGTAGGGTATTATAGTGAAGGGAAAAAACTGGATTGTAGAGTAGAATAGAGTATGGTAGGTAAGCTAGGGTAGATTAAAGTCAGCTAGAGTAAGTTAGCATAGGGTAGGGTAGGGTAGGGTAGGGTAGGGTAAGGTAGGGTAAGGTAGGGTAGGGTAGGGTAGGGTAGGATAGGGTAGGTTAGGGTAAGGTAGGGTAAGATAGGGTAGGATTGGGTAGGGTAGGGTAGGGTAAGGAAGGGTAGGGTAGGGTGGGGAGGATTAGGTATGGGAATTGGGCTGGGCCTAAGCAAAATTTATGTCAAACCGGCCTGAAAATCAAGGCGTGGCAAAAGTCGGGCCGGGCCGGCTCTAAGCAAAATTTATCGAGCCAAGCCTAACATAGGAGGGTCTGGTAGGGTAGGGCAGGGAATAGTAGAGTAAAATATTGCGAGAGTATTCCCAGAGTAGGGAAAGAATAGTACAATGTTAAGGCATGGGTAGGATAATAGTAGGGCAAGGGTAAAACAGTTAAGACAGACAAGTGTAAATCAAGAGAAAAGCAAGGGTAGAAAAAGCGTAAGGGTAGCTATGGTAAAAAGAGTAAAACATGATCTGATGACGTCGAAGACCGTAAAACATTGGTTAAAAAGGGGGTTTCCGAAACTTGCTTTATCGCTATGTATGAACAACAAGAAAAATAGAAATTGAAGCCTATTAGAATTAAAGTAAACGTAAAAAATTTTTTTTAATAAAAATTGCCCTAAAAGTCAATTTTTAAAAGCGAAACATTATAAAAACAAAGGTTTTAGCTCCTTTTTTTATTTAAAATCGAGAAATGACCTCGTAAAATTCCTCGACTGTTTGCACTTTCAATAGTGCATTCAAATATAGGAGCGGGTAGTTAGGAGTGCGTATGATTCCTTTTTAGAATATTAAATCTGCACAAACTAAACAACCCTAGCCCACCCTACCCTACCATACTCTACCATAGCCTACCTACCCTACCCTACCCTACCACAGCCTACCTACCTACCCTACCCTACCATACTCTACCATAGCCTGCCTACCCCACCCTACCCTACCCAACCTTACCCTACCCTACCCTACCCAACCCAACCCAACCCAACCCAACCCAACCCAACCCAACCCAACCCTACCCTACCCTACCCTACCCTACCCTACCCTACCCTAGGCCTTGATGTCTGGCTTCACATTGTTGTCGTCCAAAGCCATGTTCATGATTTCGTTCAATTTTAGGCCTGGAAATGATAGTATTCTAGGTTTACTGTAGTGAAAATACTATATCAGACCATTCTGAAGCCTTACCGTACTGTAACGTATTCTACCCTACCTTCCTCTACGATACAGTCACATATTGTACCATACCTTGCCCTGCCCGAGTTTACCTTAGCATACTGTATCGTACCCTATCTTATCCTGCTTTACTCCACTCTACCTTTATTTACACTCGTCTACTCTACAATAGACTTGTCTTCTCTACTCTAACTTACTCTGCCTTTAACAAGAGGTAACGTTAACCCTTCCTCCACCAAAACAAAAGTTGTACCCCTATCTTTTTTTACCCTACCCTACTTTATCCATTGCTTTTTTACTGTCATCCCTGCCTTGTACTACATAAATTTTTATCTTCACGTTTATCACAAAAACCAACAAGTTTATTATTGTACGTATGGCGATATAATACGATTCTATTCTAATTGTATGATATGATAGATGACCAAAGTATTATGGCAAGAAAAGATTAATTTAAAAGGCACTGTAGTTAGTTTTGAGTAAGTAACAAGGCGTTGGAATGTAAAAAAAGTAGAAATTTCACAATTAAAAAACTTCAAAATTCAAAAAAATTTCAAAATTTCAAAAATTTAAAGTTTAGACAATTTGTTGATTATCCACACTTCTCGTCAAAGTCTTTTCGTCATCCTGTCTTGGCCGATTATTGGCTAGATATTGTTGGAAATCGTCCAATAACTTTTGATTTTCAGCAAAAGCCTTCAAAACGCTAGCGGGTGGGCTTTGTGTACCATCAGCGGGCTGAGTGGATGGTTGGACTGACGGTGGTCCTGAGGTACGGCTGTTGGGTATTGGGGGTGGATAAACGCGGGAGTCGGCGTAATGAAGGCCTGGGTCGATTTTGGAGCGGTTAAAATCTAGTGCTAGGGGGGTGTCGGCGTAGTAGTCGTCGTTCGGGCGAGGCTTGCGGCGCTGGCGGACGTAGTTGGCGCGGTTTTCGTACTCAGACTGGTCTTCCATGGCTGGAATATAACGTTTTTATTTTCAAGGTTTGTAAAGAAAGTTTTTGCCATTTTTGGTTTTGTAAAGAAAGTTTTTTAATGTTTTGTTTTGTAAATAAAGTTCTTGCCATTTTTTGTTTTGTAAATAAAGTTCTTGCCATTTTTTGTTTTGTAAATAAAGTTCTTGCCATTTTTTGTTTTTTAAATAAAGTTCTTGCCATTTTTTGTTTTGTAAAGAAAGTTCTTGCCATTTTTTGTTTTGTAAAGAAAGTTCTTGCCATTTTAACGCAAAAACACATAATTTAGAGTTCGGCAGCCTGCAAGTGACAAGTAATACGAGAAATCACATTTTTTGTTTTGTAAAGAAAGTTCTTGCCATTTTCCTAATAACCTACCCATGGACATGAAGCTAGGTGGGGGTAGATCAAAGTTGGTCCTCATTTTCTCCTCGATACCCAAATAGCTCTTGTAAACATCGACCAGCAGTTCCGTGCCAAAGATCACGCCAGCTTGGAAGACCAACGTTCTGATGACGAACACACCGTCCATTCTCAAGTAATCCCGGACAAATCGACTGACCAGTCGAGAGTGTTCGTAGGTGTCACCTGGGAGTTCGCTCATCTCGAGATGCTTGAATATGAACTGTCGATTGACACATGGCATGAGGAAGGTCCACAGCCAGAACATGAATGAGGCGAGGGTGAGAAGGAAGAGGAAGAAGTACCAGAACCAAAGGAAAACAAAGATTTTTTCGTTCAAAAGATTGATCAGTAGGGTGCATTGCACTGTATGTTCTTGAATATTACCCATCACTCGGACCTGTAAGGGTATGTTGAAAAAAAGTATAATTACTTGTATGACTAGTTTTGGTATGGGCCTTTTTAAAAAATGTTTTAAAGTTTCGGTCGATTTATTGCAGTATATGTTGAGAGAAAAACCAATTTTTCTGTGTTGATACATTCACTGAATTTTTAATACAAAGCCTACCAAAGTTTATATCAGGCCTTGTAAATCCAAGTATAATAAAGAAAACAACTGCTAAGTCTAAGCCTAATATGCGTAAGCGTACTAAACCTAAGGCTACTAATCCTAAGCCTTCGTCTACTAAGCCTAAACCTAATAAGCCTGCAAAGCCTAAAACTACCAAGCCTTCGCCTACGATGCTCAAACCTAACCCTACCAAGCCTGAGTCTACTAAGCCTAAGCCTGCAAACTCTACTAAGCCCATGCTTATAGAATTTGCGCTACTAAAGCTAAGCTTATTGCTATATATAATAGACCAACTTATATAATGAAAGCTTAGAGAAAACAAAGAAAAAACAGAATTATTTTAAGTCATTACCTAATATTAACATATGAAAATATTATAGATAGCCTTAGAGAAATTGTCAGGAACCGTGTTACGCAACCTTTTCTTATGTAATATTATGGTTTTATATCATATTTGCCTCGATGTAAAACGACCCAACAAATGACTGCGAGTGCTGGGATTTCACTCCCTTTTACACCAAGCTATCATTACATATAACTATAAAAATTCTAATAAGCCTCAAATAATTTCAAGTCTAACAAGCCTACTAAGTCTAGGCCTACTAAACGTAAGCCTACTAAGCTAAAGCTTTGTTTCCGAAAGCAACTAAGTTTAAGCCTACTTACCCTAAATCAAAGTTTACTAGACTTAGCCTAAGCAGATTCAAAACAAACGCACCTTGAAGTCGCAAAGTGTTGTACGGGGAAACAGGCCGCTTTTGTCCCAATTTCTTCCATTCAAGACGTCCAACAACGCGTCAATCCCGTAGAATTGATATCGATTGGTCTCTAGGAACCTAAAACAATATCATAATTAGACTGATTATTCCTTATTTACCCTGCTCTACCCTATCCTACCCTACCCTACTTTACGTTACCTTACCCTATCCTACCCTACCCTACCCTACCCCACTCTACCATACCCTATCCTACCCTACTTTACGTTACCTTACCCTACTTTGTCCCGCTCTAACCCACCCACCATAAACTATAGTACTTTACCTGACCCTACTTTACCTACCTGGTCCTACAGTACCATACACAACCATTCCCAACAATCTAACTTAATTTCTGGAAACTTTTTGACCACAATTCCCCCTAACTCAAAAATGTCAAAAGATATTAACGTACATGTTCATAGCATATAGTTGAACAAACACATTCATCAAGTTCAAGAACCTGGTCAACAAGAACATCATGGTAACATAGCAAGTCGAGTAGGGTAGATTGAACAAGCAAAACACTCGATGCGGTTGTATATGACGTTTGATAAGCCGACGATGGAAATGTAGAGCTCCTTGAAGATGTGTGGACAAGGCTTTGATGTTGTTGGCCTTGATATCTGGCTTAACATTGTTGTCGTCCAAGGCCATGTTCATGATTTCATTCACTTTTAGGCCTGGAATTGATGTCATTAGAGGTTTACTGGAGTTAAATAGCTATACGTAGTCATTATGGAGGGCTACCGTACCGTACTTTAGCTTGCACTACCCTACCTTACCCTACCCTGCCCTACCCTACCATACCCTACCTCTACCCTACTATACCAACATGACATTACTTACCAGAGTAATCCGAAACATAAGACCAGATGATCGACGGTATTCTGAAGCACGCTGCCTGCATGATCAAAAAGAATGGCACCCATTGATAGTAGCTAATCTGCCTCTCTTCTCGGTCCATTCGAGGCATGGCATCCACAACCTCGTCAAATGGCACATGGTATGTGTCTTGGGCGAAGCAGAACATCTCGGTGTACTGTAACAAATCAAATTTCAAAATTGTTTCATACAAAACAGGTAAATAACTCTTTGTTCATAAGACACCCTCATATAAACAATGGCAACCTTACCTCTTCCCATGATCCAGTGAAGATGTCCGGGATCAGACATTCGATTGGACTGCCTCCGAATTGCTGAAAAATATGGTATAAATAGGTAGATATAGTAAAGTGCTAACCCATACTATAGTGTACGTAGCATAATATCATCAAAAAAAACCTTTTACAACAACAAAAAGTAAAAAAAATCGATAAAAGCGTTGCGAAACTCCAAAAAAACACAATAACTCAGTTTTTGGCCACGTTTTTGTCCATATTGCTATGTTTATCACAGTCTATATGAACTCAATTGCTTAGTAAATCAATCCTTCTAGAATAGAAAGCTTTATTGTTACCTATTCTTTCATTATTCTGCGGTTTTTGTAAGTATTTTATCAGTTTTACAAAGATTTTGAGTTGAAATCTCGATGTTTTACCTAAAATTTTGGTCCTCAATTTGTTCCAAAGGTGTTTTCAAAGTTTAAACATCCAAAAAATAAAAGAAAAAATGAAAAAAAAGCTAGTTATTACTTAAATATTAAACTAAAAAACGATTGAAATCAAATAAATTATGTTGAACATGGAAAATCGGCCTGAATTACGAAAGGTTCGTCGAGAAACAAGTTTAAACCTAGAAAAGTAAGTAAAAAATTAAAGAAAAGGTAATAAAAAATAACAAAATGACTTCAGAAAACTTGAGAAATAATTTTAAAAGCAATCGAGATCAAATAAATTATGTTGAATATAGAATAAACGGCCTAAAACACAAGAAATTCGTCGAAAAGTCCATATAAACCTAGAAAAATAGGTGAAACTTGAAAGAAAAACAAATAAAATGTAACAAACTAACTCTGAAAACCTCGAAAAATAATTTGAAAAGCAATTCTGATCAATAAAATTTAAAAAAAAAAACTGAAAAATCGACCAAAAACTTGACAAAAACCTTATTTTCCTCGATCTTTTTCCATATTTTGACATTTCGTCCACGTTTTTTTGACTTTTCGTTACTTTATAAGATGTTTTTCTAGTTATTTGATGTGAAATGGAAGGCCAGAACCAACTTAATCAATAAAAATGTAAAACTCACTTTAAACGACACCAGAACGGCGAAAGCAATCAAAATATTGGTCGTGAAGACGCTGTGCAGTCGTTCGATAAAGTCCTGTTGGCCGCGTCCGCCGACGAAGCGGAGCATGGAAAGGAAGGAAGAGATCATATTTTGTCACTTTTCAACAAAATAACCAAATATTCAAATTTTTTATGGTTTTCTTATACAAACATCTGAAAAGGGGGGTTTATATTATATTATAATAAGTTCGATATTATAGTAACAAGTCTAAAAAATAAAAAAAAAATTGTTCGTATAACTTGTCACCCGTAGACTGCAATAACCGAAAAATTGCTTATAATTGATATAAATGGCAAAAACTTTCTTTACAGAACAAAAAATTACAATAACTTTCTTTACAAAACAAAAAATGACAAAAACTTTCTTTACAGATCAGAAAATAGCAAAAACTTTCTTTACAAAATAAAAAATGGCAAAAACGTTTTTTGCAAAACAAAAAATGGCAAGAACTTTCTTTACAGATCAGAAAATAGCAAAAACTTTCTTTACAAAACAAAAAATGGCAAGAACTTTCTGTAAAAACTAAAAAATTGCAAAATCTTTCTTTACAAAACGAAAAATGACAAAAACTTTCTTTACATACAAAAAATGGCAAAACGTTCTTTACAAAACCAAAAAATTAAACTTCAAATTAATTTTAAAAATTTCAAACTTTGAAAATCCCAAAATCAGAAGCGAAAGCCTCCCCTCCCTTATATAAACATAATAACTGAATTGCCATATCATTATCACTCTATAAACAAATCGATTGCATTTTCGACCAAAAAAGTCATCTTCACCTTTTGCACAAGATTTGTTTAAAATTTTGTCTATAAACTTGTAATGTCCTTACAAAAAAGGCTCGTCATACAATCAGAAACAGTATAAACACACAATGAAGCCTATAACAATATCATAAACATTAACAACGTGCTTTCTTTTTTGATGATCAAAAAGTAGAAATCAAGAAAAGTTTTTAGTGCGATTAAGCCTAACCTAAAGCCTAGGCTTAAGCCCAATTAACCTTAGCTTCAGTTTGAGCTTGAGTCAGAGCTAGAGCTAGAGCTAAAGCTAGAGATAGAGCTAGAGCTAGAGCTAGAGCTAGAACTTAAGCTTGAGCTAGAACCAGAGCCAGAGCCAGAGCTAGAGCTAGCGCCAGAGTCTGAGGCTGAGTTTATGCCTGAGCCTGAGACCAGAGCCAGAGCCAGAGCCAGAGCCAGAGTTTGAGTTTGAGTTTGAGTTTGAGTTTGAGTTTGAGTTTGAGTTTGAGTTTGAGTTTGAGCCTGAGGGTGAGCCTGAGCCTGAGCCTGAGCTTGAGCCTGAGCCTGAGTCTAAGCCTGAGCTTGAGTGTGAGCTTGCAAATAACTTTAAACCTAAAAAAGACAATGTTGAATCTTAAGCTTAAATGAACGTAAAACGTCGTAAATAGTAATCCCAATATGCCATGTTTTGTTTGTTAAAAGTTTTAAGTCTTCGACAAATAATACTAGCTTTACAAAATTGAAGAAACACAAAGCTATTGGGTTAGCCGTATTTGATTTAACCAGTGATTTTTATTGTGTTGTTATGCTTATTGTATTCAGAAAGCAACGGAAACACATTCATGGCTCGTGTTCTTGTTAGCCTGTTTATTTCATAAGTTTTCAGTCAAAAGCCGCGTTTTGTTTGTGTCGTAAATTACATATTAGGAAAACTGTGTTCTAATTTGCGTATTTTACATTACATTTCTAGTAAATTGGGGAAATGTAGAGCAAGAGTATGACAATTTTAGAGCAAGGGTGGGCAAGGGTAGGACAAGGGTAGGGCAAAGGTAAGGCATTTGTAAGACAAAGATACGTCAAGGGTAGAGCAAGAGTAGGGCAATAGTAGGCCAAAGATAATGCAAAGGTGAGGAAAGTGTAAGACAAGGTTAGGACAAGAGTAAAGCAGGAGTAACCCTCAACGTTTTTTTAAATGTTACATTTTTCAACTATACTGATGTATGTAATAGATCAACCCATGAAGTTCGTCAAACTGAAGCAGTTTTTATAAAGGAAGTTGTAATTAATTCGAGAAAAGTGTAACACTAAAACTATTATACGTCAAAGAAGTTTAGTTAAGAAAGAGTATAAAAGTAGAATTGCTTGGCATTTTAACATTCAAAACTGTTAATACCGGTCTGTAACGTCAATAATTTAACTATTTTTTACTGTGTATATAATAGTACTAAGATATGTATATACGTTAGTACCAAAACTTCTTATATATGAAAATTGTATATGTTACTTTGATATTAGGCTTAAAACGTTAGCGACTGGTCTAAGATTGTAAGTAGTGGCACCTCCTTCAATAAATACCCTATACTTACTTCTACCATGTCAATTTTAAACCTATGTTTAATACTAACAATTCTACTTGTATTGCTTTCATCAACAGAAGCATTGTTTTGGAGTTTATTAGGACTAGGAAGCTGTGGCTGCCCACCACCACCTCCTCCTCCACCCTGTGGTTGTCAGTATGGTCAATATGGCGGGGACTATGATTATTGATTGTATATATTTGAATGTGTCATATGTTTAAAATTTATATGTATAATAAATCATATTTTAAGCTTATTGGAATTTTAAATTTCAGTAACGAAAAATAGTGAGAACGTTCATTACAAAACAAAAAATAGCAGAAACTTTCTTTACAAGACAAAAAATGACAAGAACTTTCTTTACAAAACAAATTATTGCAAGAACTTTCTTTACAAAACAAATTATTGCAAGAACTTTCTTTACAAAATAAAAAATGGTAACAGCTTTCTTTTCAAACAAAAAATAGCAAGAACTTTCTTTACAAATTAAAAAATAGCAAGCGCTTTCTTTACTAAACAAAAAAAAAGTTTTTTATCGTATAACATGTCTCCCACAGCCTGCAGAAACCTGTTCTTTTGCATAAGCTTTGCAAATTGCCAAAACTTTGTTTACATATACCGTAAACAAGCTTTACACATACTGTAAACAAGGCTTACACTTAAAACTTCAAAAATAGCCTGATCTGTTGTTGTTACGTTAACATTTAGTTCAAACCCTTTGCCCAACACCTTGTTTTACCCTTTCAAAGGTCTAAACCTCCGCTTCTGATAGTTGAAATGTGCTGTCGAGACAAGGTGTTTACCCAATAAAAGTTGAAATTTGATTTGAATTCGTCAAATTGCTTAAGGCGTCTTATGATAAAACTTTTCAACAATCACATTTACGTATTTTATTGGTAAATAGTCGTGTATTTAAAGCACATTATGTAGGTGTAGGGGTCGGTAGGCTTACATTTTTTTAAATTTTTTACGTCTTTGGCAAAAATTGATTTTTTGGTATACTGTAACTTTTTTACCGTATACTGTTGGGTTTTTACAGTACTACAGATTACAGTAATTTTAGTTATTAAGCTAAAACTACTGTAATTTTAAGCTAAGATTACTATAATTTCAACCCTAAGGCTACTGTAAATTTAAGCGAAAACTACTGTAACTCCAATTTCTATAAAGTAGCAATTACTGTAACGTCTATACCTCAACCTTGATACTACTGTAATTTTACTTATCAAAGCTTTTTACTACAGTACGTTTGCTTATATAAGCCTAAAACCTACTGTAACAATATAGCCTTATATACAGTTTTATAGATTACTGTAATTACTTGTCACTGTATATTTATTGCAATCCTCTTTCACTGTACCTAAAATCCAAAAAAAATCCCACAATACTGGAAACTATGCCTTTTACAAAACATTTTGTACTTTTAACTCTACTAGTACTAGCCTTGTCAGTATCAACAATAGAAGCCGGCTGGAGCTATGGAATGGGCTTTGGAGGATGTGGCTGTGGAGGAGGGTACTTTGCTCCACCTCCACCGCCACCACCATGTATGTGTGGTGAATATGGAGGCTACGGTGGATATTGAAGCTATGGAGGATTTTGTGGCTGAAAATCTGGTTTTTAATAAATTTTAAAATGATTGATTGAATTCTGATTATGAAAGTTTTATTGATAACATGTTGTTATAGATAAAGGACTTTAGAAATGCTTTGTCTTTTTTACTTTAGGAGGCTTATTTTAATTACGCTTAGACTTGGTAGGCCTATATTACGGCTTAAACTTTAGTTTAATAGGCTTATCTTTAAGAAAATTAGGTTTGGACAAACTTAACCTTAGTAAGCGGAAGTTTTTGTATGTTTAAGTGTATAAAGCTTGCGTTTGATAAGATTAGAAGACTCAATAAACTTAAACGAAGTAAATTTAGACTTAGTAACCTTAGACTTAGTAAGCTTATGCTTAGTAGATTTAGGCTTAGTAATCTTAGAATTAGTAAGCCTATGCTTAGTAGACTTAGGCTTAGTAGACGTAGGCTTGGTAGGTTTAGGCTTACTAAACTTAGGCTTAAACTTAGTAGTCTTAAGCTTAGTAATCTTAGGTTTAGTAATCCTATGCTTAGTAGTCTTAGGCTTGGTAGGCTTAAGATAGTAGGCTTAGGCTGAGTATTCTTAGGCTTAGTAGATTGAAAACTAGAAAACTTAAAATTAGGCTTGCTTAGTATAGTTAAGCGTACTAAACATAGGCTTAGCTTGCTTAGATTTAGCAAAATTAGGCTTGTAAAACTTAAGGTTAGATTAAAATTGTAAGCTTAGGCTTAATTAACTGAATCTTAGCAGGCTTAGTCCTAAGCTTACGTTTAAGCTCAGGCTTATTTTCCAATGAAGAATATCAAAATGACAACTTTATGTAATATAATTTTATTACAAACTTAAAAACCGTATAATTCATACAATAACATCAATAATTGGAAATAAGGTAATAAAATTGAGTTAATTTATATAAAACAACATGCATACAATTTAGAAATGATAGACTTAGATATATGGTATAATCCGTTGATAATATTACAGCATATTTGATGAAGTTTTTTTTAAATGGCATAACAATGACTTTACTATGTATGCTACCAAGAAGTCATCATTTATCCATACATTCCCATGCCCCATGGACGGTACATGCCCATGCCGTAGCCGCCCATGCCACCGTAGCCCATACCCCACGGGCGGTACATTCCCATGCCTCCCATACCCCATGGTCGATACATGCCCATGCCCCATTGAGCGGTGGAAAGTTGGACCACTACGGCAAATAGTAGAACTAGTAGAACAAGCTTTGTCATTTTTCTGAAATTAGGATACTGTAATTTTGAAAAAATTGTTTTGTTTACTGTAAGTTAAAGATCAAATGGTAGAAATACGGTAAAAAAAAGGTAAAAGTAAAGTAGAGTAAATAAAATTCTCTAGGTTACGGTAGAAAAGGGTACGGTAAAATAGAACACGGTAAAGTAAGACCAGGTGGAATACGGTACGATAGGGTACACAAAGATAAAGCAGGGAAAACATTTATTAGGGTAGGGTATAGTAAAACAGTGGTAGGGCAAGACTAACGCAAAGCTAGGGCAAGACCAGGGCAAAGCTAGGACAAGCTAGGGCAAGGCTAGGGCAAGGCTAGTGCAACGCTGAGGCAAGGGTAAGACAAAGGTAAGGCAACTGTAGGGCAAAGGTAGGGCCAATCGAACAAGGCATGGCATGGGTACAGCAAAAAAGTTTTGTAGATTACAATAAAGTATAAAGTATAGTAAAGTAGTGAAAATAAAAATAAAGCATGGTAAAAATATAGTAAGCCGTCCCACGTGACTTACCTCGTAAACACAACAATGAAGCTGCTGTTGCCACTAACTATACCAACATGCTTATATACTCTTCGCAGTGGGTGGTGACTGTTTACGATGCAACGTTAAAACTTAAGCTTTAAGGTTAAAGCTCTAACTGTGTCATCAGACCAAGCTTGTCATCCTAAGTTTAGCAAAGTCCCCCCCCTTCCTTGCATAACGCACACACAGCCCTACCCTTAACATTAGTAAGACAGTAGCTGTTTTCTGTGTCAGCTACGGCATGTTTGATCACGATTTGGAAAGGAAATGTCATGTTCGGTGAACATACACCCAGATTTCAAAATGCTATGTCATTGTTCGGTGAACTCTTCCCTTTTTCGTCAAATAGACATTGATCAAGATCTCTACTTACTATGTCACGTTCGGTGAATTCGACTGATATTTCAAAATACTTTGGTCAAATAGAAATTATTCACATTTAAAAATAGCAAGATCCGCCTAATTTTTCATATTTTTATCAATAGGGGAATGTTCTGGAAAGTTTACAAAGCTTTTTTAAGCAGAATTAAAATTTTTTAGCGAAAAATCAAGGAAAAACCAGAAAAAGTGGATAACTTTAGTTACTTATCACAGTTATTTACCGAATTTGGTCCCGAAATGGATACCAACCGAGTGGTCGTATTCATCAACTTCCTGTTTAAAATATCAGAGAACTGTAGTCTGTCAAGCAAAGTCGTAAAAAACAACCAATCAGAAGACAAAAGATATAAACAAGTCTTGTTTATCACGTTCTAACCAAATTTTGTAAAGCGGAAGAGAATATAAAAGGACAATATAGTTAGTTGACTCGAGGGTCTATTTATGTTTTTTAAGTTTCGAGTAACTTTAAAACCCAGTTTTCTTTTTTAAAGTTGTTGAGACTCTAGGACTACGATTTGCGCTTTCTGTGAAGGTTTACAAGTACAAGTGAATACGTAATAAAGACTAGTTTGACGCTGTAGGGCATATAGTAATACTCAAAGTTAGCCTTGTAAAAAGGCCGGACCAGCCCATTTTTCGGCCCGGCTCTTTTCAAATTTAATTCGGCTGGATCGCGCTGAAGCTGAGCCGAACATGATGAGCTTCTTTTAGAACTACTATTAGGTGTTAAAGAGATTCAAGGTTTATACAAAGGCAGCTATTTGTTTGCTTTTAAGTTTTTTTGGTTGTTACATCCAGTGTTTTGCCGGACCCGTCCGGTCCAGACCGAGGTCCGGTCCGGGCCGGACCGGTCCGGAAAAAAATTTTTTTTTTATTTTATTAAAACTGCTTTAAAAATTGCAAATAAAACATATTTTTAAGAGTTTTTAAACGTAAAGAAAGCAGTTTTAGCGCTCCTGGCTCTTTTTAAAAATAAAAAAAAAATTTTCCGGACCGGACCGGACCTGAGCGAAAAAAAATAGAGCCGGACCGGACCGGACCGAAAATTTTCGGACCGGACCGAAAAAATTCTCATCCGGACCGGTCCGGCAAAACACTGGTTACATCTATTGTCAAGTGTACTGATCTGAAATGCGTTTGGCTTTATGCTTCATCAACCACTTGTGTAGTCCAAATAATTTCAGAACACTATCTATAAGTTCTAGGACACTACTTATTCTTTTTGTTTACGGTTTGTTCTGATGTACTTCTAAGTATGAGGTTAGCGGGACGTTTAAATTAAGCCTTTATGAATGCCACAGCTCCAAAATACATTAGTAATCAAGTAAATTGTACTACAATTTGCGACAGTTTCGATTCATTACAAGTACAAATAGGTTCTTCCCAGATTCCTTAAGGATTCTAGAAATAGTGTGATATTTTTTTAAATCGAAGCCGGAGCTGAAGCCGGAGCCGTGAGTTTTAAACGTTAGTTTAATATTGCTTTATTTCGATTTAAAATTCAGCTAAAAGTATAAAAAGCCGCATAGTACAGTTTGTTACAAAAAAGCATATAGTACAGTATATTAGGCATTGTTTCTTTATATGTGTTTGCCATCGTATGTTCTAGTCCCACATAGTTGTAGTCGTTTGTTCTATCCCCACATTCCGGGGTACATGCCCATACCCCATGGTCGATACATTCCCATGCCATAGCGACCCATACCGTAGCCGCCCATTCCATACGGACTCCACATGCCGTAACCCCATTGGGCTGTGGCGAGTTGCACCAAAATGGCAACGAGTAGGATTAGAAGCAGCGCTTTTGCCATTTTTCTAAAACGAATTTTAAATTAAAATTTTAAAAAAATTTTGAAACCTTCTATCTTTTGCCCTAGTCTTAGCCCTAACTCTAGCTCTAGCTCTTTCTCTAACCTTAGCTCTAGTTCTAGCTCTAGCGCTAGCTCTAGCTCTAGCTCTAGCGCTAGCTCTAGCTCTAGCTCTAGCTCTAGCTCTAGCTCTAGCTCTAGCTCTAGCGCTAGCTCTAGCTCTAGCTCTAGCTCTAGCTCTAGCTCTAGCTCTAGCTCTAGCTCTAGCTCTGGCTCTAGCTCTAGTCCTAGCCTTAACTATGAAAACTTTAAACTTACTCAGTAAAAGTCTACAACAATGTAACACTTAACTGTTATTTCTCACGCATCCTCTGTAGCTTATATACTACAAGTTTAATGGGTGGATCACACCGAAAAAAAGAAACAAAATAAATCGTAATGTTTATTTTACTTTCTACACGTTTCTAGAAGTTATTGATGCTTTTGCTCTTTCTTGTTCGACCACACCAAACTCGGCAAATTTTGGACAAAAACCGACTATAGTTTAGTCACTTATTGTAACATCATATAGCTTCAATTGGAAAAAAGTAAACTTTAAACCTTTTATTAACAGTTTTTACTTCCTAGTCGGAGTTGTGAAATCAGTTACGTCGTGAGAAGGTATTTCTTTGTTCGGCCAATTCGAAAATTATTAGGTTAACGATCTAAATTACTGTAAGAGTTATGAGGTTGTTACTATAAAGTGTTTTAATGATAACTTTGTCATTATTAATTAACAGGGAATTCTTGATATAATCAAACTCCCGAACCGCATAGGCAATTGAACGATCATACGGTGCAGCGTTACATACTTTGTTATATCTGAAGTTTTCTTATACGAAATGGTTTTTTCTATGGGGCTCAGATAATTTGCTATAACGCGGTTGTAAGAGGATTAGCGGGATTGGCCGTATTTTACCATTTTTTGTGTGCGATGTGCGAAACGTTGATAAGTTGTAATGGTTTACGTTTGTTTTATAGTTTGGTCTTGCACATTAGAAAAAAAACTGGAAAATAAAAAAGAGAGTTGCTTATACATTTTGCTCACTATATAGAGAGGCCACTGTATCTACTTTGAGGTAGACCTGGAAAGGAACTTGACATTTATTTGAGCTACGCCTTGTGGATTTACGTCTCTGCCTGTCTTCTTTAAAACTTGCTTTGACACGACCCGGGACCTTAACTTTAGAGTCTTGGTTTGGGCCCTAATTCTTTGGTCCACATAACTCCGGCCCGGCTTGACTTCTCTTAAATTTGCTTTGCCTAGTAGGCCGTTTTCAAGTCTAAACAGCCCTAATCCTAGCAGCTCTTTTCTGGCTTGGTGCCATTTCTCACGGTTTGTTTCTGCGGTCAATTATTTTGTCAACTATATCAACTGTTTTTTATAATAGCGTTGCTTATTTCAATTTTGCAGTTTATTCATTTATTCCAACAGATACGTTAATATTTTCTTTATTAATTTTTTCATTCAAAAACATAAATAATTTTGTACATGACGATTGGCACTGTATATAATAACGGGGTAAGTAGATAAAATCTGTGATTAAGTTGTTTGATCTATCCCCACATTCCCATTCCACGGTACATGCCCATGCCGCCCATTCCTGGGTACATTCCCATGCCCCATGGTCGATACATGCCCATACCGCCCATGCCACCCATTCCATATGGTCCCATCATGCCCCATTGGGCGGTGGAGAGTTGTACTAGCACGGCGAGTAGGAGAACAACAAGCAGTAGTTTTGACATTTTTGAAAGAAAAACAAGAAAACGCTAGTTAGGTAGAAATATAGCAGTGGCTAGTTGACTGTTGTCTTAACATGATTTAACTCTAGTTTATATACAAAATTTAGTGGGTGTATCATAAACTATAGTGCGATAGAATTCGGAGCATGAACTTTGTTATTGTTGCGCATTTTTTCAAAATCCATTAATATTTTCGTTCTTTCATCTTTAGTGTTTTATCGAGTCGAGTTCGGCAAATTTCGAACAAAAATCACTTTTAACACACGGTTTTTAGCCGTTCAAATAAGGAAATGATCTCTAAACGGTTCGAAAAATAGTGACATCATCGATAAAATCAGTTTCCTTGTGTCACAGTTAGCTAGCAAAAACAATTTTTTAATAACGCTTGTAAACGTGACTTACAAGAAATTTTTTAAATGAAAATTTAATTTTTTTCTAATTTTTTTACACTTGGCCAGCCAACCTTTGACACATCGTTACGGTTGTTTATGGTCTATTATATTGAAAATACGTGGCTTTTATTTTGGTGTCTTTTTCTGGTATTAACCATAGTTTTTTAATTTTATTGTTTTTTTAAAAATAAATTTTGTATACGTATTTTACCAAACTCATTATAATGTTAAATGTATAAAATTGTTTTATTTTCAAGTCTGCAGCCGTTTTCATTTCCTACGTAAAAATTAATCACAACGGTTAAAAATGTTGTTTTAAAAGAATGACAGTTTACAGACTTCCAAAATCAACTGAACTTACTTGTAACCGGCTGTTCAACCTTTGTAATGTATTGTTTCTGTTTTTAAATTTACAGAAGTACAGCGGAACTTTTGTATATTGAAAATCCTGTTTGACTAGACCTGTAAAAACACGGCCGGACCGATCTCAATTTTTCTACAAGGTCCATGAACCAAGCTTTGGTTTGGGCATCAGACCTTGAGCATAGGTGTGCCTGCCCAGCCCGGTCCCCAGCAAGCCAAATATTTTGTTGACAAGCTTAAACCCGGCTCCTGAGGCCGTCATTTAAGTTCAGTTCCTGGACCCACATGTGCCGTTTTTCAAACTTGTTTTGAGCTGACCGTCGTGGGCTGAACAATATTTACAGTATGTAGATGCTAAACATTACGCATTGTTAAATACTTTTGTTTTGTTCAGTTGTGGTCAATGTTATTTTGTTATTGTTTTTCGTTAATAAAAAATAGTAAGCTTATGAAACTCCGCAGTGTCCGGCGTAATGAAATAAGTAGTCATTACTGGTGTTTTAGTGACCTTAATCTTTAACTACTAATTTTTTTCGTTATATTCTTTGTGCTTTTTTGAAACAATTTTTTAGTCTACTAAACTAAAGCTTAGTAAGACTATGGCTAAGAGACTAATAGGACGCGCGGGCGTATTTTACTGAAAAAAAATTTACTTTAATTTTTTTTAAAAAAATTTTTTAAAATTAAAGTTTAACTCAGTTTTTATAATAAAATCTATCTTATCTAATATTATACCATAAAATTTTTTCTTTTTTGTTTACTAAAACTTTTCAACTAAATTTAACTTTCTTTTATATAGATCCTTACTAACAGCTTACTAATTGACAAAGTAAAACGCTTTCAATATTACTTTACACTTTTGCGTATCTTCTTGAATGTTCTACTTTGTTTTCAATTAACTTGATTTGTTTTTTTAAATAGAAACTGTTTACAAAAAACTTTTTTGATGACCTTCAAACGTTTGATACGTTAGCATTTTGAAATATAGTAGTAGTTTTGTATAAGGAGTTACTACGAGATTAAGTTTGTCCGTTGCAAAAATGTTTTTATGTACAAGGGTTTAAAATGCACTGCTTAGTGTTGGCAAAGAATTAAAAAGTTGATCCATATACAGGAGTTTCGTTACAGAAGAGTTGGTTATACAGAGGTCTACTGTATATAAACGTAGTTTGAGAAATATTACCCATAAAAACTTGCATGCCAACCAATTTGTCCTCGAATAGTCATACTATTGTTCCAATGTTTTTTTTTGTCTTTTAATATCAATCAGTCAATCCAAGAAATAGTATATTGTTGTTTATTATTAATTCAAATCAAAAGTTGAAAAGTGTCAAATATACATCAAAGAGAGAGTTCTTGGCTTATCCCCACATTCCCATGCCACGTCCGTAGCCTCCGTACATTCCACGGCCATAACCACCGTACATTCCACGGCCGTAGCCGCCCATTCCACCCATTGGGCCGTAACCCATTCCCATGCCAGGACCACCAAAGAATTGGGCCTGCGATACCTGGACGAGGGCAACTAAGACAATAAGAGCGAGCAGGAAGAGTTTCATTTTCTGAAAAAAATAGGTTTAGTAGGTTAGGCTGGGTTTCATATTTACAACTGGTACAATTGGTTGTAGTAGATAGTAATAACTTAGTATGAAAATTTTTTAGGCGAGGGTACAAAATTAATGTCATCACTAGTTGGAGGGGTACGTTGGTACTAATATAACGGTTGATGGTACACGTCAATAATAACATAACGTCACAATGTCACAAAAACACGTTTTTGATTACGTGAACATTGTAGACACATAAAGGCGGTGTGTTAATATGCCTTTAGTACTACAACTTCTAAAAACCATAAAGATAGATAAAAATAAGTTTTTGATACCCAAAACACAAGCAAGACAAAAACCATTTCTTTTTTAGTCACAAACAGCCCAAAAACCAGCAAACCTATTTCTGACATGTCTACCATAAACAAGCCGGCTATTATATACGCTTTTAAAACGGTTGTAACAAACCGTTTGACGTAGACGATAGAGATCGAAAACCTTTTTTTGGTGTTGTTCAAGCTGTAATTTCTTAATATTTAGCTGCTATACATTCGTACGCCCTTTTTTAGTTGTTACTAGTTTGATCAAAAAATATTCGGGCAGTATAATTTAAGGTAAAGCAGTTTTGGCTAAACGGTGAAACGGTTTTTCTAAAGAAAACTAACAAGGAAAGTACCCCGCCTCGTTCTATTTGATTCCAAACATTTTACATAGAAAGATCATGTAAATTTAAGAGCTTCAGTATGTAAAGTACATACTGAAACACACTTCCCAGTCAACCTCGAGAAACTAAAGATCCGAAATTACGTTTTGAATTTCCCTCTAAATTGGCATTATGTTTCAAGCTTATAACTTTGCCATTTCTCAACTTTCATGAATTTTTCTTTGACATAGTAGTAGAATACTTTTAAATGAACCTACATTTGTAAATTTGTCGGCGTAGTTGGTCTGGAAAGCCAAAGAAAAGTGCTTGAAACACAATGCCAAATTTGCTAAATTTGGCGGGAAAAAATCCAAATAATTCAGATTTAAAACTCGAAAGCGCAAGCTAAAATATTTTATTATTGGTACGAGAAAACATCCAAAAAATTTGACTTGATTCTGAGTGGGGCAGCTTAGTACTTCTCTGTAAGTTGCGGTAAGGGAGGTTAAGTAAGTTGCGGTAAAGTAGAGTAAGTTAAAATAAGGTAGGGTAGAGTATGATGAATTATGGTAGGGTGGGTAGCAACGATAAAGCAGGAATAGAAACAAAGAAAGGCAAATAATAGGATAAAGGTTGGGCAACGGTAGGGAAAGGGTAACACAAGGATAGTGCGAAGGTAGGACTAGAACAAAAAAAAGATAGGTAAGGTTTTAGCCTCTGTGTTTACTAGAAACATTAAAAGATCTATAAAAGTTTTGTTTTAGTATTGTCTTCTTGAAAGAAACGTTTAGATTACACTCCTTCTAACAATCGATCTACCTCAACATACACCACATAAGCCAAAAATAGATATTATTGTTTATTATCATATATAATGCGGCATAATTACAAATCATTTCAAATATACATCAATTCATTTACTTGGTTTATCCCCACATTCCACGTCCGTAGCCACCGTACATTCCACGGCCATATCCGCCGTACATTCCACGGCCGTAGCCCATGCCACCATAGCCGCCATAGCCCATTCCCATGCCTGGGCCATAGAATTGGGCCTGCGACACCTGGATGAGGGCGATCAGGACGATAAGAGCGAGCAGGAAGAGTTTCATTTTTCTGAAAAACGGGTTTAAAGTTTGGAGTTGTGGGTTGGATATTGTAGTACAGGATCGTATAAAGTAAGTATAAGTAAAATAAAAATTTTTCAAAAATTGTAAAATTTGGTGTAATTTTTGACCTAAGTTTCATGTTTCTTGGCTTTTGGTTTAAACTTGAAAAACTGATTGTTTTTACTACAGCGATGAAACAATTACCACGTTTTCAGGAAGCGTATAGTAGTTTACTACAAAGAAAGTTATGTTTAGGGTAAAAATAAAAAGTAATTTGAGCTTAGGAACTTTACTAAGCAATGTAGTAAAAATTTTTTAATTGGGTTATAGGGGTTGGTACTATCAATCCGGTAACATACTAGTAATACTACTGCTACTGCTGCTGCTACTACTACCACTACTACTACTACTACTATTACTACTATGATCATTTAAGTCACCCATTGATACTACTATCGCTTAAGTAACATACCGCTACTACCACCGGGGTAAAAGACTACTACTACCACTAGCATAACGTACTAGGTTTAACAAGGCATGGTACAACATTAAAAAGTTAATATACAAATTTTAAAATTAAAAAAAAGTTTGGAAAAGTGGCTAAATATCAACCCAAAAAAGAAGTCGATGATAACCAAACCAAGCTCACTCTTACCAGTGTAAGTAAACCTCTCTACAAAGATAGAACAAGAAATCAGCCTTCATTATATACCATTATTGTTGTAATAAAGTTTTTTCATAAAAAAGGCTGTTTACCTCCAGTTTCTGTGAAAGTTCTGTATCACAGGGCGTGTTTCTTGATGTATTTTAGTCAAAGATTCGTTGAACAAAATGTGAAATGACGCAGTAAGTTTAATAAACGACCCAAATCGTTGATTCTACTTTGTATTTTGATTGTACGGTCTTGACGTTTGAATTCTAAGATCCAGATTTTATTTTTTTAATCTTATTGGAGGTGATATTAACCTTGTAAGTAAGGCTGAACAGGCTCAATGTTTGCGGCTAAGTAACCACGATTAAAACTGAAAGCGTTTTACTGAGCCAGGTCACCGGCGGGCCAGGCAAGGCCAAAGCAAGTTTAAAAAGGGCCGAGCCGGCGCATATGTGCTTCAAGGCTTAGTACAAAATTTTAAAAAAAATTATGGCCCTAGAATTCTTCTTAGGGCTCTTTATATGCTGGTGTTAAGCATTGCAGCGTCTCATGCTACATATAATTTCATATTTTATAATAGTTAATACTACACTAATACTAAAAGTACTTTTAAAAAAATATTTTTAAAAATGCACTTTAAAACGTTTTTGAAGGTATGCTTTGACTAAACTGTAAATAACTCGTTAATTGATCACATGGCTCAATTTTCTCAAAAGTAAAGATTGTTTTCAGTTTCTCATAGTTAGCGCGGCACAAACATTAGTTATTTTGTAACAATTCAAGCCATCTTGATGCTTGCTCATTACTACAACGAAATCATAGTAAACATACATGAACAAATATGTTTAGTTGTAGATAGATAGTTTAGTAGTGTTTTTGATGTTACGTATTGGTTCTTGAGTTTAGGAAAATGTTGTTATTACTAGAACTGGAAGAAGAACTACTAGGCACAAATTAGACCCGAACCGGGCTGGGTTGAGCCAAAGCAATCTTTAAAGCGCTAGTTAAGCCGGCAACCATGAGCCTAAGGGTCGGTGCCCAATCTGATAATTAGGCTTGCTTTGGCCGTTTTACAGTTATAGTTGATATGTAATTAATTTTGATTTGATTGTTATACACATTGAAAACGCAAAACGTCGTATTTTACAATTTTTTAAATTTTGTGCTGTCTAGCAATCTATAAAGTCGTTTTGTAATAATACCTTTGCACATTTGTTGATTCGTTTTGTTATTAGTACAAATTCTTAACTTTTGGTTTTAACGTTAAGTTTAGATTGCTTACGAACGAAATATTTATTAAATTTAGCTCTTTAAATCAAAACGCAAACCAAGATGTGACCAATTCTTCTTCAACAGATGTACCAAAACAAAGAATGTCTGAGTTATTTTTCTTCAATAACTGTGCCAAAAAAAGAGAAGTGCCTCAGTAGTGCACTGGCAGCATTAGTAGCTGTTGCTCAAAATGACGTTGTTTCGGGATCTAAGCTAGACCCCTGGTTTTGGCCATGGCCTGAGATCCACATGTGCCGGCCCTGCCGTTTCAAGTACCTTTCATCCCAGTCCAGTTTTCTGGCCCTAGTGGGTCGCATTTTAGTTATATTTAGCGAACCTAGTAGTAGACTCCTTTTTAGGTCTAGGGGAATTCTTTTAAGTCTATTTACTGTACCTAATGGGCCCCATTTTTAGTCTATTTACTGAGCATTGCAGGAATTCTTGCAGGCCTATCTTCTGGGCCTAATGGACGTCCTTGCAGGTCTATGTACTGAGCTTAATAGGCTTCTTTTCAGTCTATTTGCTGAGTTTAGCTACCTTGCAAATGTAGTTGCTGGATCCAGTAGGTACTTCATCAGGTTTGTTTACTCGGTCTAGTAGGAGGTCTTCTGAGGTCTATTTACTAGGTTTAGTGAGCTCTCTTTCCGTTCTATCTATTGGACCTAAAAAGCCGCATTTAGGTCTGCTAATGGGTATTACCTTTCACATAGAACTGCGACAACACTTCCACTTATGTTTTAACTTTTTGTTCTTCAGAAAGACTATTTTTGCATTTTCTCGTCAAGGTTAAACTTTGAATTGAAAACTGTTCGGCGAAATCATCTTAATCACAATTTCATTACACTGAATTGTCCGTGAAAACATTAATGACAGACGAAAGATTGTACAAATTTATGAGATTCAAACATTGACAATATGTATTTTTAAATAGTATATCATTTGATGAGACAGTAAAAACTGATTTTATTACGTAGGCTTGTCTTTGACGAAATCTTTCAACGGCTAAAAAAGTTTTTTGTTTTGAGAAAAAAACGTGGGCGGAGATGACTTATAGTTGTAAACAACGGCGGGACGTAAATTGGGAAAGTAAAAGCATGTAGAACGTTAAAAAATACATTGAATATGAATCAAGTTAAAAATTTTTAAAGCATGTTTTATACTATGGTATAATAAGATAATACAATGATGAATAAACATGTAACTTTAAATTAAATTTTTACAGCTAGAATATCATAATAAAGCATGAAAGGGGTACCAGGCCCGGCCCAGGTTAGACCAGACAAAAGCAACGCCGAAAAGAGCTAGCCAGACAAATGTGGACCAAAGAGCTAGCGTTCAAACCGAAGGAATAAACTTCCAATTTAAGCCCTGCAACCAGGGCCGGGCGGGGACTTTTGGTATGGTGGGGGTCCAAAAATCGGCACAGCTACTCTAGCCAACTGTGCCGCTTTTTGCGAAAAATTTTTTCCGAAAATCCGCAAAGGGATTACACGTTCGACTTTTTTCGAAATTTTTTTCTGAGGGGGGGGCCCTCCCGTCCACCCCCTCCCCACCAGCGCCCGGCCCTGCCTGCAACCCAGTATTTAATTTGTAAAAACTGTAAAGTCGTGGCCTGAATCCGAGCTCATGTTGGCCGCTTTAGATGTTTACCATTTGGCAGCTTTTTGAAAATTTAAAAAATTTAAAGAATTAGAAAAACCTTAAAAATTCCGTTTCTAACATGTGATGTTTATAATAAACTTTACAATAGTAAAGAAGTTTTGAAACGCACAATAAAGTAAACAATTGTTGACATAACTGTGAAGAAAGAATTTGTGTGAAGATGATATAATCAAAATGTGATAATCAAACATCAAATGTAAAAATCGTAAAAGTTATTTCGAAAAATATTTGAAAGAAACATTTGTTTACAATCTTTAATGTTACTTGCTTAATTTAGAAATAGTGTTATATTGGCAAGTATGATGGTATATGCATAGCTATTCGTAGGTTTAAAAGTGTTTGCTTTTTAGGCTTAAGTGTAAGCTTAAAATTTCTTGCTTTGTAACTTTAACAGCCCTTTATTAATATATAAATATATAGTTCAAATGAGCCTAATATAACTATTAGCAGCTTAATGCACAATAGTCCCGCTCATTCGGACGTTGTACAAACCAGTTTTTGCAAAAAGCTGCACAATCATCGTACTTAAACTGCGCGTGTGTAGCTTGTGTTGTGGTGAGGAAAAAAGTGATCATTTTGTCAACTTCTGTATTTGCAAAGTAAGCCGGAAGGCTATTTCGTATTCTATCGGCATCACAGTCGCCTTCAAAGTAGGCACTAAAAGTGTGTCCTTATACTTATCGTACAAGAGGGTTGCATCTTACCCTTGCCCTACTTTTGAACTATCCTTGACCTACCCTTTGCCTAGAATTGCCCTACCCTTGCGTTATCCCCACCCTATAAAACGTACTTTACAAATCCATTGTTTTTCAAATACCCACGCATCAGGTCGGAGTTGTTGCACCGCGATATAAAAATGGCATAATCCTTATTGTTTTACCTCAGCTCAAATATGGCTGATTCGTCTTGATCACTTATGAAATACTTTTCGTGATTCAATATTCCATCAAACACAGCAACAAAAACTTTTTCAGATAAAGGGAATTGTAGCTTAAATTGTTTAAAAATTCGATATACAATATCTGCATTGAAGCCGTCTTTGTCAATTTCAGCACGTGCCATCTTTCTCACACTATCTGGCCAAAACAGTTTGTTTAAGCCTTCTTGACGAGCTCTCAACAAAGCGTTATATATCTCAGTAACGATCAAGTTACAGTCTTCAAACTCGAGTTGTGCCGTCTCGTTGTCATGAAGTAAGCCGGCACCAAATGCAACCAAGAACCGAAGAATTTGCACGTTTTCAATTACCATCTTCTCCATTTTGTCGTAGACTTTTTTGTCATAATCAGAATTTCTGGCAAATAGCCACAAAATTGAATTGTCTGGATCGGCTAGCCGTTTTAGCAGCTTTTCCAACAACTCTCTGGGCGTGTCACCTTCACATTCATATAACTTTAGCATGTTATTCAAATAGTATTCACTTTTGCATCGCATCAAATCTTTAGCGCGACTAAGCCTACGCACTATATTGTCTTGAATGTCAGTTCGTTAAAAGTTCTCAATTTGGCTTTCTAGTATTTTCATTTGTCGTTCTGTGTGTTCCATGACTTTTTGGAGCAGTGGTACAATGTTCACTATTGGCGGTTTTTCTTTGAAAATTTCAAAGACTGTTTGGATGAATTCTCCTATGGCTATGGTCTGGAAATGAAAGTGTAGGGTATGGTATGCTAAGGCAAATGACCTAAATGTGGGTCATGCCAGACATAAAAATCAAAGCCGGGCCCGAAATGTCCGCTCCGTTTTCACGGAAAAAATTGAACAAGGCCTCAAAAATGGGCCCGGCTCTTTCATGTCTAATCAGGCTATAGTTTGGACCCAGCTAGAATTAGTTTAAACTATAGTTTTTGTTAAGTCTAGCGCTAGGGCGAGGACTTTGGGTTAGGGCTGTGTGCTAGAGCTCTGGGCTAAGATTCTGGGCTACAGCTTTAGGCTAGGGCTTTGGGCTACAGTTTTGGGCCAGGGCTTTGGGCTAGAGTTCTGAAATAGGGGTGTAATCTAGGGCTTTGGGCTAGGGCTGTTGTTAGGATTCTGGGCTCGGGCACTAGGCTAGGGCTCTAAGGTAGCTCTGTGACTAGTATTAAACTTTACACAAATAAACAAACTTTTTGCACACTTGCATTAATAAAAATCACGTTATGATCAATCCAAACAATATAATATACTTCTTATCTAACAAGGAAAAAGCTCTCTTGTTTGTCCATGATATTTTCTTTTATAGTTACAAAACATGGGTAGCCTTCTTTAAACTACAAACTTTACTTGATTAAAATGCTCAGAATATAAGGAAAGACTATTAAAATGATCGAAGACTTACATCATTGCGTTTTCAACTTCTTTTTGTTCCCTATCGTTTTTCAAAAAAGAAAATTTAAATTTTGAAAATTTTGATTTAACCCGGCTCTTTATAATGTTGTTGTATGTAGCCATACTAACCCTAATAGTATGGTATCTCTACCGTTTCTACTCTTCTTTGTCAGACCTACCACCAGGACCATTACCTATACCAATAGTTGGTAATCTACTAAGTTTTGTCGGAATCGACCGATGGGAAGACAAACTGGTCGAATGGAAACAAAAGTACGGTGATGTGTTTACAATTCACATCGGCTTACAACGTTTTGTCACTGTGAATTCGTACAAAGCTGCTGTAAAGTATTTTGTCAAGGATGGTGACTCTTATACGGATAGGTTGAGGAATGGCGTCAATGAGATCGTGAGGGGTGGCAACTATGGTGTAGTAGAGACTGGTGGCCATTTATGGTTGGAGCAGAGAAGATTTGCCTTGAAAGTTTTGAGAGATTTTGGGTTGAGTAAGGCTCAAATGGAACAGAGGGTAAGTTTTTATTTTCTCTCTTTCCCTCTCTCTCTAGACTTGTGATAAGACAAAATCAATAATATAATTTAAAAGATAAGAAGTATACTACCTTACCTGACTCCCTTTTACCTAATTTTGTCGTGCTTTCCTCTACCACACTCTAAAAACTAACTGGCACTATTCCAGGTACTAGACGAAGTAGAATACATTCTAAACCAAATCGACAGTAAAGTAAAAAACGGTGTGAAAAAATCGATTTAGAACACTACACCGACATAGCTGTCGGCTCAGTAATCAACGCTGTCTTATTTGGCTATCGCTACACTGATGGTAACGAAGCTGAATTCTATCATCTTAAAAAGGTTTTAACTGTAGCCACAGATCGTTTTGCTTCTATATGGGGCACATTCTTAGTCTTTAATACAGAACTTTTCAATTTGAGAATACTAAAACCGTTCATAACATATGTCACTGAAATGATGGTTCAGATAATAGATAACTTGCTGAAGCAAATTGAAGACCATAAAAAGAACAATGACTACAGTAATCAGTCTACTGAAGCTAAAGACTTTGTCGACGCTTATATGATTGAAAAGTATAGGTTAGAAGCCAATGGTGAATATGATACAACTTTCAGTGAAAAACAACTAGCTAATGTTTGTTTTCATTTGTGGATTGCTGGTCAAGAAACAACTAGTATTACCCTAACATGGGCTATAAGTTACATGGTGAATCACCCAGAAACTCAGCAGAAAGCACAAGATGAATTGGACAGAGTAATAGGATCAAATAGATTGATTACTATGGCTGATAGAAAAGACCTTCATTATGTTAACGCATTTGTCAATGAAGCTCAAAGATGTGCTAATATTTTGCCAATCAACCTTCCCCGTAGAACCACCAAAGACGTTGAAATAGACGGAAAATTATTGCCAAAGGGTACCATCGTCTTTCCACAAATTTCTACCATCATGCATGATCCAGAGGTTAGTTTAATGTTTATAGGGCTCCATTAGGGCAATTTTAGGTATATCACTGTAATTTTAAAGGATGATAAAGTAAGACAGAATAAAAACAATTCAAGAGTAATGCAGGCTTAATACGTAAGATATCAAGTTAAAAAAATGAATTTTTAGGTATTTGACTCCCCTTCAACCTTCAACCCAGGCCGTTTTATTGATGAAAACGGCCGTTTCAAACAAATAGAAGAAGTCGTACCTTTTTCAATTGGCAAAAGAGCTTGTTTAGGTGAAGGACTAGCTCGCATGGAGCTGTTTCTTATCACAGCTAACATACTCAACCGATACAAGTTATCTGTCGGCGATCAACCACCTTCAGTAAGAAGAATGGCCGGCATGATGGCCAGGTTAAATCCATTCAATTCTCATGTTGAGTTAAGACAATAGCAAAATAAATAAAGTAACCCTGTGTAAGTACGGCAAATCAGACTTTAATTAAAAAATTTAGAATAAGAACTGTCTTACAAAAAAAATCGCAAACAGTTTATTTTCAAAATATAACATTGCATTAGTCCATACAAGATTTTCAACCTAGAAGTCTTCAGAAGTACTACTCGTTAAAGAATACACCTGTAACAAACTCAGGGACCGTTCTCTGACTTTAAACTCCGCTTAAATAACACGTTTGCTAATGCTACGGATTTTGGCTAACATCTTGCTAAAACGAAGCGGTACGTAAAACCAACGCCTTTGTTAGCAGAAGGGCTATTGCTAAATCCACTAATGTACAGTGTATATCCAGAGCCAAGGTTAACGCAAGCGTTCAAGAGCCGTCAGGTCTCTGAGAAGCCAACAACCTCATAAATAACGTTATGAATTTTGTTCTCCACACCGGCTAGTGCGTTGTTGGCTTTGTCTCAGACGTTTAACATTTCAATTCTTAGAAACAATCTCTGACCATTTTGAGAGTTGCAACTCCCTCGTTGATTTGCCAGCGACGTCATCGGTGGGACGAAAGCCAACCGCTCGGTACTGCGGCAACGGAAGGAATGAAAACTTTCGGCGCTGCTCTGTTTAAAGGTCCCACACCCAGGCTTGGACGCAGGGCAGGGTGCCCTGTACCATGCCCTGTAACAGGGCATGGTAGGGCATGGTATAGCTTGGAACAGGGCAGGGCATCTCATATGCCCTATTTGTGCTATAGTAAGCTTTGGCGGACGCCTCCGCCGAGCGGTCGATAATCGGCGGACGCCATAGCTTGGTTAGTTTAGTAGCTAGAAACATGTAGTTCAATTCAGAAGTTATGATATGTTATAGGCTACGAATAAAAGCATAGTTTTAAGATTTTAAAAGTAGTATTATTATCGACCGGTTGATAATTTTTAGTATACATTAATTGCAAATTTTATACATATTCTTATCGCTCTAGTTTTCTAAATCGTATAGGAATTACATTAGGTACAATACTAAGCGAAAAACCGTGTTTTTTGTACAAATTAAACATTTGTAAATTATCGACCGGTCGATAACAATATTGCTTTCAAAAACATAAATTAATGTTTAATGTGTAGATTATGACAGATAACAACGAGTGCACTTAACTACATGTTTCTAGTTGCTAAACTAACCAAGTTATGGCATCCGCCGATTATCGACCGCTCGTCGGAGGCGTCCGTTAAAATATACCCAAATGCCCTGTAAATACCCTGTAAATGCCCTAATGCCCTGCAGGGTAAGGGCATGGTAGGGCAGGGCATGAAAGTTGAATGCCCTGTACAGGGCAGGGTATTGCAGGGCACAGGGCATGGCATGGAAATTTGCCAATGCCCTGCCCTGTGTCCAAGCCTGCCCACACCACCCAAATCTTTACAAGAAACGGCAAACATTTCTTTTACAAAATTTGTTATGACAAAAGCTTTTTTTACAAACTAGTAAATGACAATCAAAGTACAACTTGTCTCTGGCAGTCTGCACAAACTAAGCTTGCAACAATGTCGTTTACGTTAAAGTAGCGATAATATTCAATACAAAACACTTTTTTTAAAAAAAATCAAAGATCAATTGTGCAAGCCCTTCATTACCTATTGTGTTTAAAAAGTTAAACTTTATGTGTGTTTAACCGATTAGAACCATCAATGACTAATTCAAAAAAAGTTAATCTTTTTGATTTTTTTGCTTAACTAGCAAACGCTCTCTTTCTCTGTGATATTTCTTTCAAAGTGACATGAAACAAGTGTAACATGCGTTGTACTACAAGTTTTGAATGATATAAAAGTTGAAAATAAAGAGTGATGGTTTCAAAACGACCAAAGAGTTTTGTTACTTTTGTTTTTCTGCTAAACATTGTACTTAGTCATTCAGCCATTCTTATTTTTTAAATTTTTGGCAGTTTCAAACAATTTTAAAGCCTATAATGTTAATATTCATCATCCTACTAACCCTAATATTATGGTATCTCTACCGGTTTTACTCCTCTCTCTCCGACCTACCTCCAGGACCATTACCTATACCAATAGTTGGTAACCTCCTTAGTTTCGTCAATGTCGACCGATGGGAAGACAAACTGGTCGAATGGAAACAAAAGTACGGTGATGTGTTTACAATTCACATCGGCTTACAACGATTTGTCACTGTGAATTCGTACAAAGCGGCTGTGAAGTATTTTGTCAAGGATGGGGATTCTTATACCAGTAAGCTAACTAATGATATTAATGAGGCAATCAGAGGTGGCAAGTATGGTGTCATTGATACTGACGGTCAATTATGGTTGGAACAAAGAAGATTTGCTTTGAAGGTTTTGAGAGATTTCGGGCTGAGCAAGGCTCAAATGGAACAGAGAGTAAGCGATGGGTCCTTGAGGGATAGGGTGGGGTTCGGTGGAGTAGAGAAGAGAGTGAGGTAAGGTAGGTAAAAACCTTATTCACCTTTTATTATTTCAGGTTCTGTATGAAGTAGAGTACATCCAAGATCAAATAGATAGCAGAATAAACCGCGGTGATAAGAATATTAATGTAGAGAAATACACAGACATAGCCGTCGGCTCTATAATCAACGCTGTCCTGTTTGGCTACCGCTACACTGATGGTAACGAAGCTGAATTCTACCTTCTCAAAGAGACTTTAAGCGCAGGCACAGAACGTTTTTCCTCGGTTTGGGGAACGTTTTTAGCCATCAATTCTAGTCTTTTAACTGGAACAATTGCAAAACCGTTTCTAAAATATCTGACTGAGAAATTCGCAAAAGTTTTTGACAATTTATTAAAGCAGATTGAAGAGCATAAGTTGAACAATGACTACAGCAATCAGTCTACAGAAGCTAAAGACTTTGTTGATGCTTATATGATAGAGAAATGTCGGCTCGAATCTAATGTTGAATATAACACAACTTTTTCTGAAAAGCAGCTAGCTAATGTTTGCCTAGACTTATGGGTAGCTGGTCAAGAAACTACAAGTGTAACCCTGACATGGACTATAAGTTACATAGTGAACCACCCAGAAACTCTCAACAGAAAGCACAAGCAGAATTGGATAGGGTAATAGGATCAAACAGATTGATTACTATGGCTGATAGAAAAGACCTTCATTATGTTAATGCTTTTGTTAACGAAGCTCAAAGATGTGCCAGTATTTTGCCAATTAATCTACCTCATCAAACTACAAGAAACGTGGAAATCGATGGAAAAATGTTGCCTAAAGGCACTATTATCTTGCCTCAAATTTCTGCTATTATGCACGATCCTGAGGTTTGTTTTTAATACGATGGGCTATAGCGGGCTAAGGTTGCAATAAGTTATTGCGGTTTCGTAACGTTTAGTATGAAAAGCATAAAGCTACAGTAGGATAGAAAAAAAGCAATACGATAGGACAAGTTAAATCAAAAGTGAGAATGTGTTAGAGCGGGCTAAACTAACTATATAAGTTTAGATTGAAGCTAGAGCCAAACTAAAGCAAGGCTAGGGCAAGGCTATAGCAAGGCTAGAACAAAGCTAGGACAAGACTGTGGAAAACATACACTTAGAATATCACTTTTTTTAGGTATTCGACTCCCCCTCAACCTTCAACCCAGACCGTTTTATCGATGAAAACGGTCGATTTAAGCAAATCGACGAAGTCATACCATTTTCAATTGGCAAAAGAGCTTGTCTTGGTGAAGGTTTTGCCCGAATGGAGGTGTTTCTCATCACTGCGAACTTATTGAATCGCTATAGGATATCTGTCGGTGATAAGCCACCTTCAGCAATGGGAATAGCAAACTATATAGCCCGGTTGAGGCCTTATACTTGTCATATTGAAGTTAGACAATGAACTTGAATTTTGTTATCGTGATAACTTTTATTTTAATAAACAAGTGATGTTTGTAAATTAAGTTTCACAAACATCAAATAACGACTAATTTAATCAACATGTTGTTGTTGTTATCAAATTTGAAGAAAGACGACTTGTTTGTTCGAAATGTACTCAAAATGTACCCTTTAAGTAGGTATAGCATGTTTTAAATTGACTTTTTTATCAGTCGAAGTGTTCTAGCTAGCTATCTTAGGTTTTTTTTAAATTTTTACCGGCAATTATGTGGTTGTTTATAGCCACACTAGTCCTAATAACATGGTATCTCTACCGTTTCTACTCCTCCTTGTCCAACCTTCCACCAGGACCATTACCATTGCCAATAATTGGTAACCTACTAAGTTTTGTCAATGTCGGCCGATGGGAAGACAAACTGGTCGAATGGAAACAAAAGTACGGTGATGTCTTTACAATTCACATCGGCTTACAACGATTTGTCACTGTGAATTCGTACAAAGCTGCTGTGAAGTATTTTGTCAAGGATGGAGACTCTTATACGGATAGATTAGAAAATGGTGTTAATGATATTATGAGAGGTGGAAGCTATGGTGTAATAGAGACTGGTGGTCAGTTATGGTTAGAGCAAAGAAGATTCGCTTTGAAAGTTTTGAGAGAATTCGGGTTGAGCAAGGCTCAAATGGAACAAAGGGTAAGAATTGTTTTTTACCCTACCTCCCTACCCTACCCTATCTTACTCTATCCTATCCTATTCTACTCTGCTCTACCCTACCATTTTCTACTGTACCTTACCGTACCTTATCGTATTCTACTTTACAATACCGTATTCCACTCTCACTTACCTTAACCTGCTCTATTATGTCTTACCTTTGCCTACTTTATCCTACTCTACTATATCCTAACCTACCCTAATTTACCTTTCCGGCCTACTTGTACCATGCTCATCCTGCCATGTTTTATCTTACCTTACTTTAGCTTAACCTACTATGTTTGCTATTCCAGGTACTAGACGAAGTAGAATACATACACAACCAAATAGACACTAAACTAAAAAAAAGTGACAAATTTTTTAATCTAGAACAATACACAGACATAGCCGTTGGCTCAATAATCAACGCCGTCGTATGTGGCTACCGTTACACCGATGGTAACGAAGCCGAGTTCAATCATATTAAAAAGATTCTGAACGTAGCGTCGGATCGTTTTTCTTCAATGTGGGGAATGTTCTTGATGTTTAATGTGAACTTTTTCAATTTAAACATAGCTAGGCCATTTATAAAGTATGCAACAGAGATGACAGTTAAGGTGTTAGATAACCTGTTAGAGCAAATTGAAGATCATAAGAAGAAGAATGACTACAGTAATCAGTCTACTGAAGCCAAAGACTTTATCGATGCCTATATGATTGAGAAGGCTAGGCTAGAAGCCAATGGTGAATATAATACGAACTTTAGTGAAAAACAGCTAGCTAATGTTTGCTTTGATTTGTGGGTGGCTGGTCAGGTAGGTTATGATAATTAGTCGAATTGGGCTCGGTAATGACTAAAGAAGCGGAGAGTCGAACGAGGTAAACAAATTCTAAAAATTTAAAGCAATTTAAAAAAAAAGCTATGCCAAAGATAATATTAGCCTTATAAGTAACTTAATGTTTTAGGAAACAACCAGTAATTCCCTAACATGGGCTATAAGTTACATGGTGAATCACCCAGAAACTCAGCAGAAAGCTCAAGAAGAGTTGGACAGAGTAATAGGCTCAAACAGATTGATTACTATGGCTGATAGAAAAGACCTTCATTATGTCAATGCATTTGTTAATGAAGCCCAAAGGTGTGCTAATCTAGTACTTATTAATATATTACGAAGAACTAACAAGGAGGTTGAAATGGACGGAAAAGTATTACCTAAAGGCACTGTTGTTTTGCCGCAGATATCTGTTATCATGCACGATCCGGAGGTTGGTTTATTACATATTTCAAAAAGAAAAAGCGGGACAACAGTAGGGTAGAATAAAGGAAGTGTAGGGCAAGGATATGGCAAGAGTAGAGCATGGAAAGGAAAAAATAAAATAAAGACTCGGCAGGGGTAGGGCAATAGTTGGGCCAGGATAGAGCAAGGGTAGGGCAAAAGTAGATCCAAGGTAGAGCAAGTATAAGGCACGGATAAAGCAATAATCAAGCACATAAGACAAAGGGTAAGGCAAAAGTATGGTAAGAGCAGGGCAACGGTAGAAGAAAAGAGCAGAAGCAGGACAAGGAAGAGCAAAGTTAAGACAAGAATTAAGGCAAGGGTAGGACAAGGTCAATATGAGTAAAACAAAGCCCAAGCTTACAATATCAAATTAAAAAAATATTTTTAGGTATTCGACTCTCCCTCAACCTTCAACCCAGACCGTTTCATCGATGAAAACGGTCGATTTAAGCAAATCGACGAAGTTATTCCATTTTCAATTGGCAAAAGAGCTTGTCTTGGTGAAGGTCTAGCTAGAATGGAGCTATTTCTAATCATTGCCAACCTATTGAATCGCTATAGGATATCAGTTGGCGATGAATCACCTTCATCAACGAGAATAGGTGGAATGTTCTCCAGAATAAGACCTTTCAGTTGTCGTGTTGAGTTGAGACAGTAAAATAAATAATGCAGTAACTTTGTTTACAAATTGAGGATTGGCAAGAACTTTCTTTACAAAACAAAAAATCGCAATAACTATTTAAAAATCGAAAAATGACAAAAAAAATTAATACAAAAAACCCTTACAGCTTTTGACCTGTTTAATTCATACAAGCTTTTTCTTTTCTTTTCGCAAATTAACTTTCTCTCGCAGCTTGGGCTCTGGGCTAGGGTTTTGGACTAGGGCTGTGGGCTAGAACTTCGGGCTATTGCTTCGGGCTAGTCTTGACAGAACTCACATTATGACCAATTCAAACAATATAATATTTCTCTTATCTAACAAGGAAAAAGCACTCTTGTTTGTCCATAACATTTTCTTTCGTTGTTTCAAAACACGCTGCCTTAAACTACAAACTTTACTCGATTTAAAAGCTCAGAAAGAAGGAAAACATTATTAGACGTTCGAAGACTTACATCATTGTGTTTTTAACTTCTTATTAAATATTTTTCAAAAAAAATTTTTTCATTTAAAATTTGATTCAAAGGCCATAATGTTGCTGTATATAACTATACTAACTCTAATACTATGGTATCTCTACCGTTTTTACTCTTCTTTATCCCACCTACCACCAGGACCATTACCATTGCCAATAATTGGTAATCTCCTCAGTTTTGTCAATGTCGACCGATGGGAAGACAAACTGGTCGAATGGAAACAAAAGTACGGTGATGTGTTTACAATTCACATCGGCTTACAACGTTTTGTCACTGTGAATTCGTACAAAGCTGCTGTAAAGTATTTTGTTAAGGATGGTGATTCTTATACAGATAAGTTAAGGAATGAGGTGAATGAGATGGTCAGAGGTGGCAACTATGGTGTGGTAGAAACTAGTGGCCAGTTATGGTTGGAACAAAGACGATTTGCTTTGAAAGTTTTCAGAGAATTTGGGTTGAGCAAAGGCCAAATGGAACAGAGGGTAAATTGTTAATATTGTATGAACTGAGGGTAGGGTAAGGTAATTTAAAAAAGCGTTACCATTCATTATTTTAGATTCTGGAAGAAGTAGAGTACATTCACAATCAAGTTGATAGCAAAATTAAGAACGGTGATAAGAACATAAATATACAGCCTTACACAGACATTGCCTCAGGTTCAGTCATCAACGCCATCGTATGTGGATACCGCTACACCGATGGTCACGAAGCTGAATTCTATCATCTGAAGAATACTCTTAACACGGCAACGGACCGTTTTGCTACAGTATTATCACCATTCTTGATGTTCAATTCAAATCTTTTCAATGTAAAAATAGCACAGCCAATTCTAAAATACGTCAGAGAAATTATGGTTACGGTACTAGATATTCATTTAAAACAAATTGAAGAACACAAGAAGAACAATGACTACAGTAATCAGTCTACTGAAGCCAAAGACTTTATCGATGCATATATGATTGAAAAGGCTAGACTAGAAGCTAATGGTGAAGATAATACATCCTTTACTGAAATACAGCTAGCTAATGTTTGCTTTGACTTATGGATTGCAGGTCAAGAAACCACCAGCACTACTCTAACATGGGCCGTAAGTTACATATTGAAGTACCCAGAAACCCAGCAGAAAGCTCAAGAAGAGTTAGACAGAGTAATAGGCCCAAACAGATTGATTACTATGGCTGATAGAAAAGATCTTCACTATGTTAATGCCTTTGTTAATGAAGCTCAAAGATGTGCCAATGTATTGCTTTTGAATTTTCCACGTACAACGACAAGAGAGGTTGAAGTGGCCGGAAAAGTGTTGCCTAAAGGCACTATTGTCGTACCACAAATGTCTGCTATCATGAATGATCCGGAGGTTAGTTTAATATAAGATGGGCTAGGATAAGGGAAGGTTGGGTAGTGTAAGTTCTTTTGAATAATGTTGAAGTTGAGTAAAGCTATAGCTAGAACTAGGGTCAGGGCATGGGTAAGACAAGACTAAAGCACTACTAAGAAAAGCGTAAGGCAAGAGTAAAGCAAGAGTAGGGGAAGGGTAAGGCGACAATAAAAGAAAGGTAAGACCAAGTAGGACAAAAGGAGAGCAAGGGTGAAACAACTGTAGGGCAAGGGTAGAGCAATATTAAAAAAAGATGTAATACAAGGGTAGTGCAAGGTCAAAATGAATAAAACAAAGCCCAAGCTTACAATATCAAATTAAAAAAATATTTTTAGGTATTCGACTCTCCCTCAACCTTCAACCCAGACCGTTTCATCGATGAAAACGGTCGATTTAAGCAAATCGACGAAGTTATTCCATTTTCAATTGGCAAAAGAGCTTGTCTTGGTGAAGGTCTAGCTAGAATGGAGCTATTTCTAATCATTGCCAACCTATTGAATCGCTATAGGATATCAGTTGGCGATGAACCACCTTCATCAACGAGAATAGGTGGAATGTTCTCAAGAATAAAGCCATTTAGTTGTTGTGTTGAGTTGAGACAGTAAAATAAATAATGCAGTAACTTTGTTTACAGATTGAGGAATGGCAAAAAATTTCTTTACAAACCAAAAAATAGCAAGAACTTTCATTACAAACCACAAAACTTCAAAACAACTATACAAATAACCAATTTACTGTGACGTTATGATATAGCTTTAAGTATAAACTCGTATTGATTTATGGCTGGAGGGTTATTTCCTCAGTGTTGGTCCATGGCTGCGAGTAGATTTTAGACTTGACAGTGTGCTTGTTGGTGACTGGGGCATCGGCGGCACAAACAGTGCCCTGAAAATGATTTTTAGAAAAAAATGACAAGAACTTTCTTTACAAAACAAAAAATGGCAAGAAGTTTCTTTACAGAGCACAAATGGATAAAACTTTTTTTACAAAACACAAAATAGCAAAAACTTTCCTTGCAAGGCAAGAAATAGTAGAAACTTTGTTTACAAGGCACAAAAACCCAAGAACTTCCTTTACAAAGCAAAAAATGTCAAGAACTTTCTTTACAGAATAAAAAATAGCAAGAACTTTCTTTACAACACATAAAACGGCAAGAACTTTCTTTACACTTTGAAAAAAATAATTTTTAATCCGCCCCTTCCTTGTAATTCAAAAAAAAACCCTACCCTACCCAAAAAAAAATTATTTCAACCACACCCACCCCCGTATTCCAAAAAAATCAAATTTCACCCTACCTTTTTGCAGTCGGTTCTGCCAAACTCGTACTCAATCTTGTAGTTCACGCCGGACACGACCTGTTGTTGAGCCTTGGTCGCCTTCAACGCACGGTGATGGCTGACATCATTGTTTTGTTGATTGTACACCTTCTCCACCTTGGCCATGTACTCCGTGACCTTGGGGTCGTCCAATGGCATGTCGGACCAACCACCCATCAATTGAGAAGCGGCCAATGGCAAGAGGACGGCTAGGCAGAGTACGGTTTTCATTTTCTGAAAAGGAAGGCATTACAGTAGGTATTGGTAAGATCATACATTGTTATAAAAATAGGTATCGATAAGGTCAGATATTGATATGGGTCACAAAAAAAGTTTTGTCGTTTTTCACCGTGGTGAGCAAGGTAAAAAAAAGACAAAACTTTTTTATGGTGACATATAGTCATAACAAAGCTAATAAATGTCAAAAAACAAAAAAAAAGTTTTGTCGTTTTTTCCCCTACAAACCAATGTAAAATAACGACAAGACTTTTTTATCACTTTTCTGGGTGCAAAAAACGGTAAATATCACAAATCACGTTAAAGAACAACCGAGAAAATTTAAAAACGACCAAGGAAACCCAAAAAAGACAATTTTCTACAAACTTCTTGACCGAAAAAACACGAAATTCGATCAAAAACAGCTCAAAACCCATGCCTATCAGCAAATCAAGAAATGAAACAATAAGCAACGAGAAGCCCCCCTACTTATATACGTTTTGTTTATGTGATATAAAAGAAAAAGGTCTCATCGTTACACGAGATTGATGTTTATGTGGACAAATTTGTCACTGTTTAGTCATCAAAAAGTATCAAAATTGAAAGTGCAACGTAATAATAGATATAATGATATACACAATATAATGTACCTCTAAATAGTAAAGGAAAGAGAAATACTGCAGGTTAGGGTAGATATAAAGATACTGTTAAAAAACCAATCATATAAATGGAAATACTTTAAGCAAAAGTTGGAGTAAGCGTAGGAATACTGTAGCCCAGAGCAGGGTTGGGATAGGGAAAAGTGTTTGTAAGGGTACGGGTAGAAATAAGAGCATGGGTAAAGGTAGGGGTTAGAGTAGGGATAGGAGTAAAGAGATAGGAAGAAAAAAACGCATAAGTAAAGATAAGGATAGACGTAAGGGTGTAAGTACCAGGACAGGCTGAAATAAGGGCACAGGCAAGGGTATAGGTAGGGGTAGAACTAAGAACATAGTTACGGGTAGGAACAGAGGTAGAAGTAAAGGCATGAGTAGGGGTGTAAATAGAAGTAGCGGTAGCAGAGAGGCATAAGTAGGAGAACTAAGGGTATGGGTAAAAATAAGAGCATCTGTAGGGGTACAATTTAGAGCATAGTTACAGGTAGGAATAGGGGTAGAAGTTAGACATGAGCAACGGGCCGGGCCTGAGCAAAATCGAAAACGAGCCGGGCCTAAAATCTAGGCCCGGCCCGTGGGCCGGGCTTGAAAATTGGGCCCGGGCCCGAAAAAAAATTTTTTTTATTTTTTAAAATTTTTTATTTCAATTCCCGTTTATGTTTTTCGATTTTATTAGATTCTAGGATCCATAAATGACCTAAAAACACAATTTAAAGCCAAATTTCCGTTTAGTTTTTAAGTTTTAAAATTTTTAAAATTTTTTAAAACGGGCCGGGCCGGGCCTAGAATTTTTCTGATCGGGCCGGGCCGGGCCTGACCAATCAAAAACGGGCCGGGCTTGAAAATTGGGCCCGTTGCTCATGTCTAGTAGAAGTAAAGGCATGGGTAAGGGTAGGGGCATACGTAAAGGCAGAAACCGTCACGGGTAAGAGTAGAAATAAGGGCAGTGGTACGGCCAAAAACAAGGGAATGGGTTAAGGATAGAAGTGGAGATAAGTCCACGGGAAAAGGTATGGGTAACGCTAGAAATAAGACCATGGGTAGAGACGTGGCTGTGGTATAAGTAAGGACAGCGGTACGGGTCGAAATAACGCATAGGGTAGGGTAAGAGGTATAAAGAAGGGCATGGGTAGAAATAGAACAAAAAGCATGAGTAAGGGTACAAATAACAGCACGGATAGAGATAACGGCAAAAAACATATCAAAACTATAGTACCAACTTACAATAACCTTCAAACCAGAGCTTCAAATACCATGAGAAGAATATCACCAAACGGCTTCCTTGAAATCACAAGACAATGAACTGATCCGTCATTTGCCACGAACAACTTTATAGTTTCGAAATATGCAAAATTTCAAAATATGGGAATTAAAAGTGACTTTAATAAAAAAATTAAATAAAAAAATTATATTTTATATTCCACCCCGTCCACATAAAAATTAAAAAAATTCAAAATTATGCAATTTTAGAACAAATATCCCAAGAAAAACCTTTTCAAACGTAAATTTTTACGAAAAAAAAAATAAATTGAGGTGCAAGGTAATACAATAACTTCCAAAAAGCAACACTACAAAGGCGAATCAAGAGCTGCAGCTGACCAAACTAAAGTCAGCAAGATGCGTGGTAAGATAATATATGTAGTTGACACCATATTCAGTTCTATATAACGATGAAAGCGCAGGTGGGTTATAAAGAAACAAAGAATACCTATATCTAGGTTAAGATCAACCATTTTTAAAACTCGTACCCTATTTTAGACTTACCTACTTTATCCTAACATAACCTACCCTACATTACCCTACCTTACCCTACCCTACCTTTCCCTACCCTATATTACCCTACTCTACTTTACCCTACTCTATCTTCCGTACCTGCAATGTATAGAATGATGGCTTTATAGCAGAGGATTATTAATATAAGTGTTAAGATTTTTAATATATCTGCAGAAATGTTTTTTTATTAACTACAGAAAGTTATTAGGGTGAGAAAATCGTTATTAGGTTATATCGTTACTAAGTAGAAAACTACAGTAACGACACTCCCCAAGGGCGGGCGGGGACTTTCGGTCTGGAGGCGGGGGTTTAAAAATCCACAGGGGGGATTCAACTTTTTTCGAAAATTTTTTATGGGGGAACCAGCGCCCGGCCCTTCACTACCCTATCCTATCCTACCCTACCCTACCATACTTTACCTTATCATACCCCACCTTACCGTACTCTGCTCTACTCTTTTCTACTTCACTTTACCTACTCTACATTTATTTTACCACACCCTACATTCCACCCCATTTTCACAAAAAACAACCCGCTCAACCATTTATATTTACCTTACCATTACCTACTGAGCTCAACTATCCAAATGAACATAAAAGACATTTTTTAAACTCAAAACAGCCTAAAACAACATCTTATACTCAAAAGACCTAAAACAACATGTTCTTAACTCTATTTTTTCTAAATTCGAGCTTAAAAAAGTATTGTTCTCAAGTAGCAAATCACTTTTTCACGATCGAATTACTCATTCCCTTAGGCGTTCGTTTCCTTTGATCAATACAATATTATTCATGAACGGTTTTTCAATTAGAAACCTTTTAAACCACAGATATAAAGGGCAATTTTCGGTATGAAAACGAGAAACAGGAACCCGATCGAATTGATAAAGGGAAAAGCAAACATTTCTTGACATTTTATTAACAAATATCAATACGAGTTGATATGGATAATATTATAATTGAAGAATATTGTAGTAAAAAACGAATGTAGTATTAAAAAAAGACATCTATGAAACATTGTAGTAGGTAAAACAGAAAAAAATTACATTTTATAATATTATAGAAAATAAAACAATGAAAACATGACGTTTTACGATATTGTAGTAGGTAAAACATGAAAAAAGACGTTTTAAAACATCAAAAAACAATATAAAATGCCATTTTTTATAACTAACATACAGAAAAAAATGACATTTCACATTGTAATAAAAAGGAATCAAGAAAAATCATAATTAAATTACAAAAGCGACGATAATTGAAGCTATGACATCATGAACAACATTGAGAAATAAAGTAATTGTGAATTGAAGAACAATATCAAGACATAGTAATCAGCCGTAAAATTGTACAGTAAACTAATATTTAAAAAACTTTAGAAAATTAAAAATATATTATACAATGTTGCATTTACAGCACTGTTTCTTCTGATTTCTATTGCGACCGGCTTCCGGGTATCGTCGGTTGATTTGACGCACCAGATCGTGGAATACTTCGTTTACATTCACCTTGGCTTTCGCCGACGTCTCCAAGAAGGCACTGTTGAATTGCCTGGCCAAATTGTGGCCTTGGTCTTTGCCGACAACTCGTTCGTCTTCTAAATCGCATTTGTTTCCTACCAGAATCATGGGGACCTAAAACAATATGGGTTATTGAAGGTTTTAGGACATAATATAGCTTAGGATAACATAAATATATGTTTATAATATTGAAAATACTTTCTTTCGTAAAGAAACGTTAATTTTAAAGCTTTGAAACATCAATAAAAAAGAAAAAAATTATAAATAGCTAAATATTTTCAAAAAATTTAGTTGGTGCCATAACTTATTTGACCCAGCACCTAAAACCTCGAAATTCTACTTGATATTCGCCTATACATCCCTTCAACTACTAGAAAAACAAAAATTCTGAAATTCGAAGCCGATCAAAAGTTACAGTTATTTTTACCATACTCATATTAACCCCAACTTTTTAATTTTTTTTGTCAATTTCAAATGAATAAAACGGTCAAAACTCAAAGTATGATCCTTCTTGTATTCGAAAATACTCGTATAATCTAAAATTCAAAACAAGAAAAGCAAAAGACTCACATCATCTGTGTCTTTGACTCTAAGAATCTGATCTCTCAAGTCCACAAGGTCGTTGAAGGTTGACTGTGCTGTAATTGAATACACAAGCACAAATCCTTGCCCATTTTTCATGTACAGATCTCTCATGGCAGTAAATTGCTCCTGAAAGTTAGTTTATTACCTAAACCTTCGTTTTTTAATAACAATTTATATTATCCATAGGCAAACGGCACCTTTAGCCCTAAAAATCAAACTTCCACTAAAAATAACAACTTACTGTTCCAGCTGTGTCCAAAATCTCCAACATACATTGTTGTCCATCAACTTCGACCTGTTTTCGATACGAATCCTCAATTGTTGGATCGTATTTCTCCACGAAAATGCCTTGAACAAACTGGACGGTCAATGCACTCTTTCCAACACCACCCGAGCCGAGGACGACAATCTTGTATTCCCGCATTATTCAACCCAAATTATGTGTCTGAAAAGGTATAGTTTAGATTAGAATTTCATAAAAAATAATTAAAAACGCATTTCAAAGGAAAAAAATCGCGCGAAATAAAAAACTTTCAGAGCGAAAAAAGTTTAAAACTCATATAACTTGATTGTTTTAAGATACAGGTAAGTGAAATTTGGCACAAATGAAGCTTAATCTATCTAGTTTGACTATGTCTGGTCTCATAATTTCCAAATCCAAATCAAAGCCAATATGAATTTTTGAAACAAATGGATCAACACTAAAAAATCGAGAAATATAAAGCCAAAAAACTCTCAACCAACCTCCCCAAATCAAAATCACCCCTCTTAGCACTCCGCACACCTAATCGAAGCCACTGAGCTGCTGTACAACACCAACTGTCGCCATAAACACGAATACAAAAGGTCAACCTATATTATCCATGAATCATGTTGTGAACGAATTTCTAAGCCGAGTGAGGGTTGAAAACGAACTGATTCATAGCCCCAATATCGGGTGGTTTTGTAAATTTTGCGGTTTTTTCTCGCTTCGTATTTTCTCATAAATGATTTATTAATTTTTTGTAAAACATACGTTTTGTTGAAAGAATGAGTAGTTGGTTGAATGATTCAGGATTTTGAAACAGTTTTTAGTTGTTCATGGGGATTTGTATGTTAAAAGTTACAAAATGGGCTGCAAACTTCAAAAAATTTTTTTTATTTCAAAAATTTTCAACTTGGTCCCCCCCCTGTGAACTTTTCTTCATAAAATTAAAATTCTAATTTTACCCCGCCCTTAATAAAAATGACCCGCCCAGTATCTCAAGCGATCATAATGTGCCATAAAATCCAAATATTACTCCAAGATGGTTTTATAAATGACATTAATAAACCAAAACCTCAACCTTCCCCCACTAAAAGGCCTACCTCAACATCCTATACTTAAGTTTTTTCAAAGAAAACAGTTTTTAATCAGCTGAAACTAAAAATCATCGTAGATTACAATATAAAAGTCAGCCTTACTCTATGTCGAACATCAAATGCAACGTATCAACGCAAGATTTAAACAATGAAACCAGGTGCAAATTTTAAGCCTAATCAAAAATTTAAATGCCATTTTTAATTAGCTGAACGGCTTTTGCTAAATTTTTAGTTTTTACAAGACAATCGTACAAACTTAAAGAACGTTGTGTCCTAAAATTTTTTAGTTTTGTCACCCCTTCCCTCTCCAGCCTCAAAAAATTTTTTTTGAAAAAAATTGAAGTTGGTCCCCCCTGTGGATTATTTCCAAAAAGCTTTTTTTTGAAAGTTCCCTCACCTGCCATAATATAAATACGAAGGAAGACGCTTATTAAGGATTTATCAACCTATTTTTGCAGGAACTTCCATTTCTACATAACTACAACAAATTCTCACACCCCTACACATTAAGCGTTGCATTAAGCCATCCAACCCTTTTCTTGTTCACATAAGAAACTAACCCCCTCCCTCCACACTCACACGACGTAATAAAGCCAACTAAAAGTGTCAACAAATTAAAAATGGACTGTCATCCTGCACTAAACAACACTAATCCCTTCACCCCGCACCTTTTATCTTTAGCTGTTTTTCTTTGGGATATCTTGGCCTAGTGAGTAGTAAACCGCACTACGCTATCTTATCCTACCCTACCTTTTCTTATCTTGCCCTGGCCTACTCTACTCTACCCTACCCCCTACTCTACCCTACACAACCATTTTTTCAACGTTTCGGTCGTTCGAAAAGCCGAAACTCCATAAAACAGGACAGTTACCAGCAATAAAAGCCATTAAGCGGCGCTTTTTCTCCACAACCCTTTAGCTTTGGATATTTGTCGGTTTGTGAAATACATTTCAAATTTATATTCCTCCATTCCAACCCGACCATTAATCATAAAGCAGAAAGAGGGCATGAAGGTACGGAGACTTGAAACGAGCAAAAAATCCGAAAATATAAAACAAGTAAATAGTAATGGTGGTTAAAATAATCACAAGGTTTGTTAAAGATAGGGCAAGGCTTTAACAATTCATATTTTGGATATAAAGCCTGTACAAAGGTAAAACTTGACACATAGGCAATGTAATGAAGTTGGACCTTTCTCTTGAATTTCTTAGTTTATAGGAGGTGAATTTCTTAGTTTATAGGAGCATATTAAGGTTACTGTAAGTGCTTAAACATTCAAAAAAAAAACCTTTCTATGCTCTTAAAAATCAAGAAATCCATAGAGAAAGCACCAAGTTAATTACTTTGTCTATGAGTCAAGTTTTACCTTCGTACCAAACAGGATCCCAAAAATATGAAGTGATAAAACCTAAGACTAGTTTTAGCGAACCGTAGTTACTTTTAGCCACCATTACTATTCAATTGTTTTACATTTTTAGAGTTTTTGCTCGTTTCAAGTCACCGTACCTTCATGCCCTCTTTCAGCTTCATGATTAATGGTCGGGTTGGAATAGAGCAATGAATGAGTATCAGTACCAAAATAACCAAAAGCAAGAAAAATATCGTTAGAGTGAACACCAGGCAATCTTGAACACAGGACAGGGCGGAGCGTTAAAAATTTTGCATGCCCAGCTATGCCCCGCCCGATATGGGACATTTTAGTTGTGTCTTACCCTGCCCTAAAGCAAAACAGAGCATTGTGCACCAGTCCCCTTATATTTAATTTCACTGATCCCACAAATCCCGTACAGAGTAGAACAAATCCCCCAGAGCACCTATACATAGTAAAACAACCCTCATTCCGCCTCAAAAGAACGAGCATTACACACCGGATACGTCTCAAAACCCAGCCAAAAACATTACAACAACATAAAATCCGACCACATGCCCACCTAAAGGCTCCTAAGACGTCATGCAAAGAAAAAAAAGTGTAAAAGGAATGAAAATGTTCGCTTCATTATACAAATAAATTCCCAAAACTTGTTGGGACGTGTTTCGTAAAGACGAACGCCTCTACTGAATTCTAATCTATTTAATTTTGCAAAATTCAAATTTTAAGATAATGAATCTCATTTGGAAAGGTCTGTAGTAGACCTGAAAGAGGGGGGGGCAAAGTCTATCTGAAAAGGTCCGGGACAACAAGTATGAGCCTAAAAGCCGGGACACAAACGATGGCCAAACTGAAGCCCAGCCCTTTCACAGATATACTCTTACCTCAAAAATTTAAGGTAAAGAACACCCTTAACTCAAATTTTAAGACAAGCCTTACACACACCTCAAATTTTTTTAAAACCTCAAATCAAATCAACCTCCCCCCTCCAAAAATAGACCGAAATCCCCTCCTAATTCGACGCATGGATCAAGAAGTCGCAAAGGAACGCCGGTATGAAAAACAAAAAAGATTCTCAACTCTGGTTTTTGAAAAGAGAATGGGCGCGAGTGACCCCTAAAACAGCGAAGGAAAGGTGAGAGCAGCCTTCTCTCACCGCCTGCCTGTTTTCCGGACTTGAATCCCCCCTGTTCAGCCGACTAGACAAGAGGCGAGTCAACCGGTCATTTCATGTCATTCCACTTCAACCTTTTTGACCATCACTTCAAGGGTTTGAGGTTCAAAATTCCCTCGAGGGTTGGTTTATTGAAATTTGTGAAAGAGGTAGTGTTGTTTAGTTTTAGGTTTGAAAACTAGGTTTTAATCAAAGTTCACAAATTTAAAATTTCTGGCTGCGGCTCTAACTCTGCATAAAAATTTTTTGTTTGAAAATTTAGCCCCAGATTGAGCTCCAGAGCCGCTCAGGGGTGTTTTTAGTACTAAAGTTCGGCATTTTTTGTCTCCGGATTTATCAAATACGGCTCCAAAGCACTGGAGAATTCTGGTGTTAACCTTGGAAATGAAAAGACCTAACAGATTTTCGTATTAGAAACTATTAAAAAAGTGTTTAAAGACCCTTACACAAAAAAAGTGATAGTTCTAGGCCAAAAAATCAAAACTAGTCCAACCTTTAGAAGTCAGAAAGGTACTAAAATACCTAAATAAAGCTCCAGACATAGCCAATTCAAAATGTTTAAGCCTTTACCAAACCAATCCTCAAAACATAATTGTTCGTTTTACCGTGAAATCGCTCAAAATTCGTCTCGAAATGTTCGTAAACCTTTTTGGGTTAAAATGACGTCAAATGTTCCAAAAAAATTCAAAAAATGGGCATGGCGAGAGCTAGGCCTAGGACAAACACAATTTTTTCTAAAATTTAGCTTGTGTTTTGTTTTTACTATAGCTGTGACTAAATTTAGGCTTTCAGAAAGGTAGAAGAGAACTAGGAGAGATCATTTCACAAAACAAACTCCTTTCCCTAACCCCAATGATAGAAGAAGGCGTATTTGAGGTTTAACTTACACTATATAAGACAATATGATAACATAGACGTCCTAGAGTTTCTAACACAATCTTAAGATTTCAAAGGAATGTTTAAACCTCAATTCTATGACAAAATACTGCATATCTCAAACTTAAATTTCATGTTTCACGCAAAAAGCAAAGACTTGTGCTCAAAATTGTGTAAATTTCGCTTTCTCTCCACCTCCATAATCTTCAAAAACATCCGGTGTAATGGGATTTACGCATCCTACCTAGAGAATCCGAATTCTGCAATTAACCGCTTATAAGTGTTCTGTTTTTCATTCATTTGTTTTGCCTCTTTCGAAAGGTCTCTATAAAGCCGTGTACTTTAATAAACAAAATATAATGTCGCGCAATTGGCGGCAAAACAAATCTGCGGATTCTTAGATGGATGTGTGGAAAAACAAGTACTCGTAACTTTGAAATTTGAATAACAATGACTTGTTGGCTTCTAGGAATTGATAGATAACGTCATCAGCTCTACGGATTTTAATTACAAGTGCAAGATATGAAGCCTATCAAAATATAAAGAAAAAGCTTTCCTACTTTATTCTACGTAATCTACCCGACATTTTCCTACTCTATCTTGCCCTACCTCATTCTACCCTACCCTACCTTGCCTTTTCCTACCTGCCCTAATTTGACATGCCCTATCTTACCCTAACCTGTCTTAATATGCCCTAATCTGCTTTATCCTGCACTATCTTACTATACCCTACCCAGTCTTGTTCTCCTCTAGAATCCGTACAATACAGAAATCAGCCATACTAAGAACAACACAGAAATATGACCAAAAAAGATGTTTTTCTCCAAAAAAACTTTTAAAATCAAATTTCGATAAACTAAACCCAATATTTTAACAAAAACGCACAAATAAACAGCAATTCGATTAGGATCGGGTCCGAATAAACAAATCGAACAATGCGTTTCAAACAAAAACTTTACACATTGTCATAAAGAAGTGAGCAAAAACTTTCTTTACAAACCTCAAAACCTTAAATTTTTTTACAAACCTTAAAAGTAGAGAAATTCTAACTTTTCAGAAATGACAGAGTTAATATTAATATATCAAAAAGACGTTCGCATAAATTTTCAAAAAACATTAGAGAATACGAAAATATCCAACCGTTTGTCAAAACCTAATCCTTTAAGTCTTATTCCGAAACGCTAATCAAAACGAGATTTCGAAGACGAAAGTCAACGTTCAGACTCTACGTCTGTTTATAGAAAAAAATCCAAATATACTTTCTTTAAAAAGCCAAAAATGCAAGAACTTTCTTTACCGAACAAAAAATGGCAAGAACTTTCTTTACAAAACAATCAATGGCAAGAAATTTCTTTACAAAACCAAAAATGCCAAGAACTTTCTTTACAAAACAAAAAATGGCAAGAACTTCCTTTACAAAACCAAAAATAGCAAGACCTTTCTTTGCAATACAAAAAGTAGCAAGAACTTTCTTTACAAAACTAAAATCTTCTAAAACTGAAAAACCTTAATTCATAGTATAAGACGTCTAATACAGACTGCAAAGCAGACAAACTCACTTACCCAGCCCTGCCACGATTTTTTTTATTAATCCACACCTATAAAAGAGCCAACCCCAACATTTCAGCTCAAGTCACAGGTCAAGATTCGGTGTTTTGCTACTTCTACCTCTATCCCCAACCTGTACCCCAAATCCTACCCTTATCTGTTCCTCTACTCTACTCTATCTCTAACCCAGCCTAGTAGAATTTTTTTTAGAGTTACTCTACCGTACAGAACAACATGATGACAAATTCAAGAGCTTCTACCACAACCCTAATACTCTTTTAATTTCTTATATATAAGACATCAATTTCTTATATTATATATAACACATCTATAAAACAAAACAAGACACTACGGCCGTTTTCTTTAAAAAGCAATAAAGCAGGCCCGGGGGCCCGTAGACCACATATTATGAGTCATTTAGAATTCGCCCATTATTCTCTTCTATCTCAGAATGCGTTTTAATTTTTTGTCTCAACACGCGAATGTCATAAATAAGGCCAAAACACAATTACCAACGTTTTAGCGCCCAGACCTACGATAACATTCGAGAATACCAGAATATTAGCCGGATTACGCCGAAAATGGCATATTTTTATTAGAATTTGTTGTTTTGTCACAAATTCGAGAACAATATACAAAGCATGGCATTTTAAAGCATGCATTGATACTGTAATTACAGTAAAAAATAAATTTTTTGAAAATAGCAGAAACTTTCTTTACACAACAAAAATGGTAAAAACTTTGTTTACAAAGTCAAAAATGATAAGAATTTTCTTTACAAGTTGAAAAATGGTAAGAACTTTCTTTACAAAACAAAAAATGGCAAGAACTTCCCTTCCAAAACAAAAAATATCAAAAACTTTCTTTACAAAATGAAAAATGGTAAGAATTTGGTTTACAAGTTGAAAAACGGCAAGAACTTTCTTTCCAAAACAAAAAATAGCAGAAACTTTCTTTACAAATAAAAATTTATCGAAAATTTAAAATTCTCCTAATGTTTTCTCCCAAAATCTTGCAAATTGTCAGCTCTAATCCAGCCAACACTAAAAAAACAGCTTTGGTCTATTTTGGGTCGTAATTCAAGCCACAAGCCGTCGGATTATATGACCGGAAATTGTTGCTCTCAAATCCATTCCAGCCCTGTTTAACAAGAATATTTTAAGACAAAGACGTTTAGGCACGACCCATTACATCGCCCTCATCTGAAAGCCAGCAGAAACCCAGAAATGTAATTAAAGCGGCGACAAAAGTCACAAACTTTGTGCATAAATTCAGAGGGCCTAATTACAAAAACAACACTCTTCGCGAGCTAACTCAATTTTTTGCAGCTTTGTTTATTAAGTGCTTTGATTTGGTCATTAGGGTAGGGCGTTTAGGGTGTTTCATTAAAGGTTAGAGCAGGGTAAAGCAAGGGGTGGGTTAGAAAGAGGCTAGAGAAGGGGTGTGGTAAGTTAACAAAACTTTCTTTACAAAGCAAAATATAGCAAGGACTTTCTTTACAAAACAAAAAATGACAAGAACTTTCTTTACAAAACAAAAAATGGGAATAAATTTCTTTACAAAACAAAAAATGACAAGAACTTTCTTTACAAAGCAAAATATAGCAAGGACTTTCTTTACAAAACAAAAAATGGCAAGAACTTTCTTTACAAAACAAAAAATGGCAAGAACTTTCTTTACAAAACAAAAAATGGGAATAACTTTCTTTACAAAGCAAAAAACGGCAAGAACTTTCTTTACAAAGCAAAATATAGCAAGGACTTTCTTTACAAAAAAAAATGGCGAGAACCTTCTTTACAAAACAAAAAATGACAAGAACTTTCTTTACAAAACAAAAAATGGCAAGAACTTTCTTTACAAAAAATTTCGACCAAAGCCACTCACTACAAAAGTTATGGTAAGGATACAGTAAAACTAAGCCTTAGTCGCTTTGCCTTGGCATTAGCCTTTTCCAGCCAAAAACTTAGCTTTACCCTAGAGCTACCCGAGCCCTTCCATGACCCTATGTTAACCTTTTCCAGCCAAAAAACTAGCTTTTCCTTAACCAAATCCTAAGCTCTACCCTAGTTCTATCCTACGTCTGCTCTTTCCTAACTTCTAATAAATAAACTAGGTCTACATCTCTAATTATCAAAAATAGTTCTGCTTTACAAAAAAAACATCACATTTGAACCAAATGATCTAACATTCTTCTATTCCTGCATTGTTTTCTTAACAACCAAAATACATATTGTTTCAAGAAAAAAAAACTTTTGTCAAGTGTTTACCTTTTCCTCTTTTAAATAACTAGTATACACCAAATCCCTAGAAGAATGAATAACACCTTATTATCATCCCTTTATGCCATTCAAAAACAATTTATTCTCAAGTCAATTTCCTCTTCCTCATCAAAAAACAACCACAAACAAACAATAATTACCACGATTACGCGACAAAAAAGGCCAATAATTCATGGTATACGACCATCATCGAGAAAAGTAAGTGTCAATAGTAAACAAATAAAAATATTTATTGCCTAAACGTATCATACAATCCAATGTACAAGAAATATAATGGGAATAGTAAGCGGTAGAAGGTTACTAAGGATATGAGGAAGCTATATCTAAAATATTAGAAAAACGTATACTTTGAGCTATATCTTAATATTTTTATAAAAAACACTGTAGTAAACCCTACACCACATACTGTATCCATTTAAAACCAAAATATTACATTTTGTCTCAAGAACTAACACAATATTTGGTATTATGTTAGGTTACAATCAACAAATATAATATAATTAAAAAAAAACAAAATTAAGAACGATTCAATAGCTTTTTTGTTAAAACATCCTCTTCTTTTGGTATCTGACCAGGACCAGAGCCTCGAGGATCTAAACCAAACCACACCACTCCACCAACCAAAAAGCAAACTGTCGCAAACTGAGCTGCTATACGTCCTCTCATGTAATATTGGGCTCGAAGTCGTTCGTTATTCAAAGAGGCTTTCATCATTCCTATAAAATATCATTATTCAACTATAGAACAGTATAAAAATTTTTGTAAATTGCAAAAAACACTTTCAAAAGTAATTAGAGTGCAGAAACTACTATAACATCCGTCTCCCCTTAAATATTAAAATTTACTTTTTTGCAAAAGTTGAAGAAGATAATCTAACGTGGAACAAAATTTTAGGTTCCCATCTAGCTTTAGAAAAGAGTTACGAATCAAATCATGTACACCAAAATTTAAGGCATTCTACTACAATATAGCCGAAATTTCAATCAATATTTTACTCGTTAACAAATGAAACAAAATCCCTGGAAATTGCTTTTCCATTACCTAAAATCAAAACCAACGAAGAAAACACTTACCACAAAGACAAGCCACAGTAGCGCCCATTCCCAGCGGAACCAATGGGTTTATAGACAATTTTCCATACAGTTTACCTTGATTAACATTTTCGCTAGAGCCGCCCAACAAATCCTCAGGAATCATCGGTACTCCAGCTCGACCCAACGAGTTCTTCTGATAAAGCTGTTTTGTTTGATTCTTGTTCTTCTCGGCAAAATTCGGTTCATTCACCATCTTCCACACCATTTTGGCCTTTTCGACTTCATTCACCTTCAAATCTTTTGCTTCTTCTGCCATTTTTGCTGAAGCTATTGAAAATCGGCGTTAGAACGGTAAATATTTACGTGAAAAATCAGAAATTTACAAAACTTTTTTGTTAGAACAACGTAAAACGAAACGCCAAAGAATTTTCGCAATCGTTTGATTTCCAGTCGGGACTTGGTACTTTATTCTAGCTTTGACGAAACGTCTAGAAATTGTGTAAGCGCAGAAAAAATAAAATATTTGTGCCGTATTTTCGGTATCATAATATTCTCCATCCAGTTATACGTTTATTTTGCGCATAGGCAAAGTCGGTTGATTAGTTTTTCTCAGTTTTAAATTATGGAAGACAGTGTTGATGTATCTGCTTTGCTGGACGAAGCTGTGAATGGATCTAGCAAGGAGAACGGAAAAGTTGATGAAAATGGAGATAAAAGGTATGTTTTTGTATTATTATATTAAATTTATGATTTTAGTCGATCACCAAGGAGTAAAGAGGTCAGCAAAAGGGATAGGAGGACAAGATCTAGGTCCAAGGATAAGAAAAGGTAAGAGCTTGTGAGAATTTTTAATTAATTTTTTAGGGATGAAAGTGATATTAATTTGTTCATAATTTTATGCTTTTTCTAACTGATGTAAAAACTTGAGTTTCAAGGTTGTATTTGCGTCTATTTTTCGATTTTTCTCAGGGTGTATTTACATTTTTTCAGGGATCGAGACGTTGATAGAGACAGAGACCGTGATCGCCGACGTAGGCATAGAACCAGAAGCAGATCTCCAAGACGTCGTTCACGGTGAGTTTATTTTCTACATTTTTGAATATGAAGGGTCTCAACGTTCTTTAACAACCTCATGTTGTTGTAGATGGCACCAAACTAATTTTTATTATAACTTTTTTGAACAGAAAGCTAGAAACTTGAAATTTTGTGATGTTTTATATTTTATACTCCTTTAACTTTTAAAGCTGTTACAATTACACTGAAAACTAAAATTGTGTTATATCTACAGATTCCCGGCTGTAACAGTTTGACTGCGACTTGAATTCTCTAGGTAAGAGAACCTGCCTCGAAAAAAAAGTTTACTTATAGGAATCAGCGCATATCGGACACAACATAATGCCCAATATTGTCTATTCATTTGTCTGTGGGGATTGTTTCTTAATTTCAGGTTGTGCACGAGGAGATCGGTCAACGATTTTGCTGGTTTTTCTTTTTCGAATTAATATCATGTGTTTGTTTTGAATATTTTTATATTAATATTAGAGCCAAACGCTTCTAGATTGATATAAAAGTATTCATAACAAATATATTTTGAATTTTTAGGCTTTTTGACCAAAATCTTGGATTCCATCTGACCTAAAATGGAGTTAGTCGCAAAAATTATTCAATTTTAGGTTATCTACAGCAAATTTTAAGCCAATTTAATAGAAAACAGTTGGATAATATTACAATGGGTTAGATATGTAAGATTTAATGGTTTATTTTCAGTTCCAGAGACCGTGAACGTCGACGATCGCCAAGAAAAGAGCGTTCCCGCGACCGTGACTATGAAAGAAGGCGGCGTAGCCCACGTAGAAGGTCACGATCTCCAGTGAAAATTGGTGGAGGACGATTGCCTGGTCCTGAGCGAAGAGATGTGTAAGTTTTTTTTTGTTTTGTTGGTTTTCAGGTAATATTGTGGTAGGCAAGAGGATCATGTGGTATTACGAAAAGAGCTACATTGTTAGAAATGCTGTTTAAATTGATCGTATCACCGTTAATATCTTTTTCTTTTGTTAAAACAGCTAGGTTTACTTCTATTTTTTCAGAATGCCCTTCTCAGCCCGTCGATCCCCACCTCCTGGTGCCAACATCGATATGACTCCAGAAGAGCGAGATGAACGTACAGTATTCATTCTTCAGCTGGCTAGAGACACAAGACCTCGAGATCTTGAAGAATTCTTCTCCAAGATCGGCCATGTTCGAGATGTACGTATCATAACAGACACAAGAACAAGAAGATCAAAAGGCATCGCCTACGTTGAGTTTTGGGAACGAGAAGCAGTAACATTAGCCATGGGACTAAATGGACAACGTCTGATTGGAGCCCCAATTCAAATTCAACCAACTTGTGCGGAAAGAAACCGGCTAGCCAATAATACAGTAGGCTCGGCCATTGGCTTCGGCCCAACGAATTCCTTCGGTCCATTAAAGATTGCCGTCTCTAACCTACACCCAAGCATCAGCGATGACATGTTAAGAGCTATATTCGAGCCGTTTGGTCGATTAGAAACCTGCAAAGTGGATGTAACTAAACCTGGATGTGGTGTGGTCAGCTTCCGGAACGCTGACGAAGGCAAAAAAGCAATGGAACAGCTGAACGGCTTCGAATTAGCCGGCCGAAACATCAAAGTAATCAATGTAGAAGAAGAAACTCAATCAAAAATAGCCTCCGGACCTCAAGGAGGTATCAAGAACATGACACTAACCGCGGAACAGCAGGCCGAACTAGCAAACGTGCCGTCGTTCGCTACGGAATGCTTTATGCTCTCCAATATGTTCGATCCACGCACAGAAACAGAAGAAAACTGGGACGAAGACATTCGTGACGACGTCGTAGAGGAATGCAACAACCATGGTGGTGTAGTACATGTATATGTGGATCGAACATCGGATGCAGGAAATGTCTATGTGAAATGTGTCAACGTCCTTGCATCCTACAAGTCAGTGCAAGCTCTTCATGGACGTATCTTTGCTGGCAAAGTGATAACGGCAAACTACATTCCAGTTCAAAGCTATCACGACCTTTTCCCCGACTCCAGATACTCGATGGCCCCCTTGTTCTCACGCCCAAGACAATAAGAGATAAATGAAGTTATGATTACTGTATTGAAAATACGGTAGCATTGTAACGTTATAAATATTATGAATTCACGCTATCAACTCTAAACTATTGACCTTTTCAAATACATTATTATTCGAATAAACGTTTTTTGTTAATTTTGGCGTGGTTAGCACCTAGTTAGCTCAGGATTGGCATCTAAAAAAATTAACTTTCAAAAAATTTTTTTTTCAAAATTTTAAAATTGAAATGTAAATTTTGTAAGGCAAGTCAAATGCTATGTAACTTTCAGTTTTTACCATAATATCTCCACTTTCAACAAAATTATGACCATTTAAAAAGTCAAAAAAAATTCGAATCCGCTCAGGGAAAATTACCCTTTTTCTAAAAAACACGTCCAAAAACAATCGTTTTATGTATAAATTTATTTAGTAAGTACAATATAAGGCTGTAAAATGATTAAATGATAAGGCACGATACTGTAAAACTACTAGATTTTACAGTAAGGATTAGAGATGTTAAGAAATTGACAATATAAGAGACTATTAGGTGGTACTAGTGGGGTTTTAGACGTTATAAGATGGTAATGCTATGTCAAAAAGGTTATAAATGGTACTAAGATACCACATCATAATTTGGTAATAAAAGGTAGTACTATTATAAAATGGTAATGCAAGGTAGTACCACATTATAAAACAGTAACAAAAAATATTACCACATTAAAAAGGTACTAAATGGGTCATATACATCATAAAACGGTACTAAAAGACATATAAACCTTATACAATGGTACTAATAGGTCACAAACATTAAGTCATCACCTTGACCATCTAAAACAAGGTCCCCAAACTTATTCCGTCTCCTCCTCGTGGATCTTGGACTGTTGCATTTGGCCGATCATCTTTCTCAACGATTCCGCATCTTGTGGAGTGTAGGTCTTACTCAACTTCTTTACTCCCAAACAACATGTGCGAACGATGGCATCCGTCACACTGTATGGATCACAGTTGGACGATGGTCTTCTGTCCTCAAAGTAGCCGAATTGATCCACCTCAGTTTGACGTGGGATTCTGACTGAAGCACATCGTGACGCTACGCCGTAGCTAAAGTTCGAGATGGAGGCGGTTTCATGAAGTCCGGTCAGACGACGAGCATTGTCAGCACCACCCGATGGGTCGTAGTAGGCAATGTGTTCGTTGTGGGACTTGGACAACTTCTCAATGGCCGAAATGATCTCTTTATAGCCTCCGGGTTTGCGCATTTTCTCGGTGGAAAAGTTGGTGTGACAGCCGGCTCCATTCCAGTCGCCGCTGATTGGCTTGGGGTCCAAAGTGGCAATAACTCCGAATTCTTCGGCGATTCTGTGCAACAACCATCTGGCGATCCATAGTTCATCGCCCATGTTGATACCTTCGCTTGGGCCGACTTGGAACTCAAACTGTCCTGGCATGACTTCAGCGTTCGTTCCGGAGATGTTTATTCCAGCGTACAAACAAGCACGGTAGTGAGCTTCTACAATATCACGGCCGTAAACCTTGTTGGCTCCAACTCCACAATAGTAGGGTCCTTGTGGGCCGGGGAAGCCGTTCTTGGGCCAGCCGAATGGATGTCCATCCACGTCCAACAGAGTGTATTCCTGCTCCATTCCGAACCATGGGTGCTCGTTCTTGGCCGCTTGCATGGTCTGAAGACAACGACGACGGTTGTTGGTGGGGTGAGGTTGGAGTTTGTTGTCCAGGGTCTCACACATTACTAGGACATGCTCGCCGAGACGGAAGGGGTCCTTGTAGATGGCTACTGGCTTCAAGAAGACATCGGAGTCGGCTCCACCGGATTGGCCGGTCGAAGAACCGTCAAAGTTCCAGATGGGGAGGTCTGAAAAAAAAATGGTTTAAACTCTTCCATAAATCATGATGCCAACGTAAAACTTCTTGAATATATACAGCTTTTCGTGCTTTACAACATATATGTTTCAATTTTTAATATAAAATAATTTTAAAAAATGAAAAATTTTGAAAAAAGTAGGTTACGGTAAAATTACTGTAACTTCGAAATGCCAAAAAATTTTAAAATTTTCTTTTTTGGATAAGGTAGCCAACTGAATTATCTACCTTCACTAAAATTTTCAGATCTTTAGCTCTACTTCCCCAAAAGTTATAATTAAAAACCTGCCGAATCTCCCAAAATTTTTCGAAAAAATGAAAAACTTCTAACAGTAACAAAAAAAAATCGAAAATATTGTCGCAGCATACCTTCAGGAGACTTGGGAGCCTTGTCCAAAGTTCTGGTCTTGCATCTCAAGTGTTCGCCAGTTCCGTCAATCCAAATGTATTCGGCTTGGACCTTGCCGCGGGTGTCCAACTCGGCGAACCGATGAGAGATAAGCTTGTCAGTGTGGAACTGTTCGCGGATGTTGAACGACATCTGAAAAGACATAAAATTAGTTCAAATCTAGAGTTCTAAATTTATATTTGATATTCACGATGCAAAATGAATTCCTAGGCATAATCGCGATATTATCCATGATCAAAACTTAAAAAGTGATGTTCCTACAAAAGGACAAGATAAAACCTCAATAGAAAGGTTCAAAAGGTAACATAGACCATAGTACGCCTTATTATTACAACTATTTAAACAAATCATAATAGATTTTGATTAATTTATCAAAAAATCGTCGAAATGGGCGTCAAACTCGAGTTTGCAAGGTTATCACATGAAAAATAACAATCAAAGCTACTGTTTAATGAATGTAAAGACATAAAAAGAATTCTTTACAGATTTTATTCAATATAAAATAAACCGTTTTTAATCATATAATGGCTAAAATATATTGTTTTGGACCTCAACACCTCAATTTTTTGGCCGCAAAAGCTGGATGCATCCCTGGATAACCTCATTTTCATGCCTGTTTTTTATAAACAAAAGGTTGGTACCTAAAAAATATATCAAAGAAAGATTAGATAATCTTTTACCATTCTATAATCAACCTATCTTAGTCATCTAACCTCAAAAACACGTTGTTTTAGACATCAAAACCTTTGGTAGTCGCCTTCAAACCTTGAAAGATGCTATTATCAAGCCTTTCCTCATTGATAAAAATGTGTTACCTAAAATTTTAATCAAAGAAAGGTTAGCAAATCCAAGATCAATGCACAGCTAACATAATTTTACCAGTTGGACCTTCAAAAAACCTTGTTTTAGCCAGCAAAAGTCTTGTTTTAGCCATCAAACCCTTATTTTAGCCAGCAAAACCTCAATTTTCAGGTATCAACCCCCAAAAAAAGCTCGAACCAAACGCGAGAACCACTCCCCATCCACAACAAACCTCTTTATCAGTTCAAAGTTGACCAAAATAGCGACAAAATGCAGATAACCACCCTATAAGTGCAATTATCTATCAATGAAACGAAAAATCGAAAAATCCGACTCCGCCCACTTCTCGGTTTCGCGCTGTAAAAATGGCAAATTGTGATGACAAAACCCGCAAAACGGTGTGTAAAAAACATTCACGATGCAGAGAGCAGAGTAATATTCACTGTTCAAGGTTTGATGAATGTGGGAATTGACAAAAATGATAAAATTTGAGTAAAATCGACGAGAAATGGCTGGTTCCGACAAAATATTGCTTGAAAATGGGAGAAAATTGAATTTTTTACATTTTTTGGGCAGGTTTTTCACAAACTTATGAGAAAAATGGATGTTTTAGGTAAAGAATATGATGGAGAATTTAATTTTGATTCGTAAACTTTAAAAAAGAATGGTTTTCAATTTGAAAATTAGCTTTAAAAATGCAAAACGCGTCTGGAACGTGGGGCTCCCAAGGAAATATTGAAAATAATGTGGTTTTTAGGTATAAAATAGATAAAAAAGGCGATTTAAATTATAAAGTTTTAAAAACCGTTTAGTTTTTTATATTATAATTATAAAAAAATTTTGATTTAGATATGAAAAAAAAGTAAAACACGTCTACTGAACTAGCAATTTGGTGAAAAAAAGTGATTTTTAGGTATGAAATGAATAAAAAATTGTTTTTAGTTATCAAAATGATAAAAATTGATGTAAACTACAATCTTTTATACAAACAAATTAAAAAAAAATTTTTTTTTAATGTTGACTTTTTTAAAATTTGAAAATCATATAAAAACTACTGTACCTAAAATTACATTGTATAATTACTACACCTAAAATCACATTGTATAATTGCCCTTTTAAACCAAAAAATCTAAAAAAAATCTTGTTTAGCACTAATGATATAATTGATAAGGCAAAAGTTAAGTCCGAGCTTAACTAATAAGCAGGCATTCGAAAATAAGAACACTTTACTGATAAGATAAGAAAAAATTCCTTTTTCTTTAAAAATGGACAAGTATGTATTTTGGGGAGAAAAAGTGAAAACACAGACATGTGGCAAAGTTCTTTACTCAGGTTCTGTTTATTCGTTGAGGTTGGGGACGATTTTAATCTCTAAAACGAACAGTTTGAATTCGATTAATAGGCTTTTCAATGGAAAGTCGGCTAGAATTTGACTTTTTTGTTTGGGCAAATACAAAACAAGGAGGAAGTTACAAAAATTTTTTAATTTCGTATACTAGATAGAGGGTTTGATAAAAAATGATTTTTTGTAGGAGCACTACCCATGCTTTACTCTAGCTTCTAGCCCTATATTCTAGCCATAGCTTCTAGTCTTAGTTTCTAGTACCAGCTTCTGGTCCCAGTTCTATTCTCAGTTCTAGCCCTAGCTTCTAGCCCCAGCTTCTAACTCTAGCTTTTAACCCGGGCTTCGAGCCCTAGCCTGTCTTTCTCATCTTCTGTACCTCAGTACTCTATACTTCATGCTACTAAGTATATTCGGAACCGATCAGAAAACAAAGTGTATACGGCTTGACCTAATATTGATGGTATAACAACATAGCCTTAGAGAAATTGCAAGAAACCGAATTACGCAACTTTTTCTTGTGTAATATTACAGTTTTATATAACATTTGCCTCGATGTAAAACGACCCTACAAATGACTGCGAGTGCTGGGATTTTACTTCATTTTTCTTCGAGATGTTATCATGTAACAGCTATAATAATTTTTAAGCAGGACTTTTTGCTACACCTAGGTGCTCACAAGTTTTAAGCCTAAACTTAATAGGGCTAATCTATCTGTTCTTAAATCTATAGCATAACTAAACTAAGCCCAATCCTAATAAGCCTACTAAGCCTAAGCTTGGTAACTTTATGTAAATATAATAAGTCTCAGACTATTAAACAATGTAAATATAATAAGTCTCAGACTATTAAACAACTATTAAACAAACTAAGCTTATGAATACTAAGACTAAATCTATTAAGCCTGAGCCTATTAAGTTTAAGCCTACTAAATTTCAGCCTAACAAGCTTCAGCGTACTAGGCCGGCTTACTAAGCCTAGGTCTACAAAGCATAATCCTAATAAGCTTAAGTCTACTAAGCATAAGTATAATAAGCATAAGCCTACTAAGCCTAAGCTTACTAAGCCTAAGCCTACTAAGCCTAAGCCTACTAAGCCTAAGCCTACTAAGCCTAAGCCTACTAAGCCTAAGCACACTAAGCCTAAGCCTAAGTTTACTAAGCCTAAGCCTACTAAGCCTAAGCCTACTAAGCCTAAGCCTACTAAGCCTAAGCCTACTAAGCCTAAGCCTACTAAGCCTAAGCCTACTAAGCCTAAGCCTACTAAGCCTAAGCCTACTAAGCCTAAGCCTACTAAGCCTAAGCTTACTAAGCCTAAGCCAAGAAAGCTGAAGCTTACGTTTACTAGCTACAGCTTTAGCTCTGACTATAAAAGACCACCAAACCAACAAACTTACCTTCAAAACCAATCTTTGTACTGTATGACAAAAATAAAACTCACCCAGGTATTTATAAACCCATGCCAAACCGTAACACCTAATTCATAATAAGAAAAACGGTTACAAAATACACTACACTCTTCAGTTTAACGTCTGAAAGCCTCGAAACCCCGCCCTCCAAGAACAAAACAATCTCTTCTCTTGTACGAATGTTCAATTGACAGGTAGCTATGGGAAAGATGGCTCGAGTGTAACGTGTCACTTTAAAAAGTGCCCATTCTAAGAAGTTGGAAGCGAATGTTTACAAAGAACGGTGAACAACATTGTTGTCGTTCCGCGTTCAATCAAAAGTCACTAGTTGTTGTACTGGAATATTTGAAACGTTTTCACCAAAGGTGTCGTTGAAAAGGCCAGTTTGTAATAGTGTTATGAAAAAAGCGATTTTTTGACAAAGTGATCGTATATGGTTGTAGAGGTGGAAGGCTAACAAGGAAAGTACCCTACCTGCCCCACTCAGAATCAGCTCAAAATTTTTATATGAATTCTTTGTACCACCAATAGTCCCCATAAAAAATTTTAGCTCGCGCTTTTGAGTTTTAAATTTAAATTATTTGGGTTTCCCGCCAATTTGGCAATCTTGGCATTGTGTTTCAAGCACTTTTTTCGCAATAATTTTTGTTTCGGTCCGTCTGGGTCCGGCAAACACTGATTATATACGAAGTTTATGGTTTGGTGGACTTTCCTTAACTATGGTTACCTTTTTTGCAATTCAATACAGTTTTAAAAATTTAAAAATAAATAAGCAAAATCATACGCCATAAAATTGTTGACAATAAGGTACGTTTTTCAATCGTACTTACCGTATACAACATTAGCGTTATTGGTACTGAACATTAATAGTACTAGTTTACCATTATTAGCAATTGTTTTTCATAAATTTTGTTTTTGCTCGAAAATCTCTGCACTTTTACAACCGCTCCAAAGTTGACAGTTCACATTATTTACAAACGAAAAACGCCATGGACATTTAAATTATCACTTGTTTTTTTGATAAGACGGTTAATTTAAACTTGAATTGGCTTGAAAATGGTCATGAGGAAGAAAAACTTAAAACGATTTTAAAATTTAAAAACTAGGTAAAAAAAAGTCAAGCTTAGGCTTAAGATAGGGACTCTGGGCTAGCGAGAAAGTTCTGGGCTACAATAAAGGCAAAGAAATTCAAAAACAATTAGCAAAATCAAGCACTATATATGTCATCAGGGCCGGGCGCTGGGGGGGAAACCCCTCCCTCCTCGCAGAAAAAAATTTTTTGAAAAAAGTTAAACGTGGTCTCCCTTGTGGATTTTTTTGGACCCTCGCCCCCTGAGTGGAGCTTAGACCAAAGGTCCCCGCCCGGCCCTGTATGTCATAATATGAATTTAAAATCCTTTAAAGCTCAACTAGCAAAACTATACGTAATAACAAAAACTTTGTCGTAAATCAAACCCAATCTTTAAAAAATGTGACAAAGTTTTGAAAGAACCCGGTCAAAAATAACAGTCATTACTGGTCAGTTGATCTTTATAAAAAAAGTCAAATGACCAGTCTGCTATTTTCATCAAAGTGGTCTGCAGCCGGGTTAAAGTTCATTTTGGCACAAAATAAGATCTCTTTAATAAGATGAGTTTTAAAGATGGGGGTTTGAGTAGAGACGAAAGTGTACTTTGGAGTTAAAAGAGCGCTCAATTTAATCATTTTAAATGAATTAATCATTATAAACTAAAGTCATTATTGGATATAAAAATGAAATTTTGGGCGAATAATATAAAAAGATAAAATTTCAGTCATAAACAGTAAACATAAAGTAGGTTAGAACTACGGCTAAGGCTATGGGTGCATTTTTCAAAAGTTGTTTATTTATGATATCACAACTTTATGATTTTGCACGTAAAACAGTTATCAATCATGATGACTCATATGATGATCTCGTTTTTGCGCGGCTTCTAAGCAAGCTCTTGATATCGTGCATCATATAAGATCAAAGACTGTTATTGATAAAAAAAAAACGTCTGGACTTTTGCTTAAAAAAAAGCTAGAGCTAGAACTAGAGCTAGAGCTAGAGCTAGAGCTAGATCTAGAGCTAGAGCTAGAGCTAGAGCTAGAGCTAGGACTAGAGCTAAAGATAAACCTAAAGCTAGCGCAAGAGCTGGGCTACAACATTTACCAATAGTTAGCAAATATTGACACCAAATACCACTTACCATGCCTTTTATCTACTAGTGGAACTCCTCTATAACAAAACTCCCGTATAACGAACAAATTTCAAGTCCTCGAGCGATTCGTCATACACGAGTTTCATTGTATCTCTTTTTACTATACAATATTCTTTTACTATACAACATATTACTGTCAACAATTTTGTCACCTGCTTTTTATACCACGACAACATTAGAAGTTGTTGTCGCTTTTTGTTAATTTTTATTGTCGCAACTGCCACATGGTAAACAACGATGTTTTGATTTGACACAATTTTATTTAAATTTGTCAACAACTTGAATCGTATAGTAAGGCTATCTGAAAAAACAATCTTAATTCGATCAAAATTATAAAAATAAAATTTAAATTTGAAACAAAAGTTTAAAAATATATTCAACTGACTGTTGTGTACGTATTTGAATTAAGATGTCTGTAACGAGACACTGTTTTCGTCTGATTGATTCGAATAAACAAGATCAAAGAATAGAAGTTTGGGTAGGGTAGGTGGTAAAGCAAGACTAGAGTAGAGGCTAGGATAGAGCGAGAGTAGAAGGTGGTATACAGGCATAGTCAAGAACGTGTATGAGTTAAATTAAGTCTATAGTGAAGTTATAAAGGGTAAGTCAAGGCAAGGGTAGGGATTGTAGTTGCGGTAAACTAGAACCAGAAAGAAGAAAAGGTCAGAGTAAGAGTTATAGTAAGAGATAAGTAGATATTAAAGTTAATCGAGGCTAGGAACCGTAGTAGACTTGTATTGAGCTATAGAAGAAGATAGCTTAAAGCAAGAGTAGTAGTAATGGTAAATCAAAAAAAGACCATTGGTAGGAGTTAGGCAAGAATGAGAGCTATAGTGAGAGAAAGAGTTCAAAAAAAGCAAAAATAGAGCTGCGGTTGCAATACAGTAAGAAAATTTCAGACTCCCCTATGTATTCTGACCACATTAAGAAATATGCAAATACATAGTATCTTATCTACGAAATGAACAAATATTAATTATGATAGTGACCATTAGTAAGTAAAAAGTCACGAGGTTAATGCAAACATACCCTACCTATTGATGGCGGCTTTCTCATCAGCTAATGCCAACAAAATTAAACAGGATTCAAGAAGTTTGAACTTTAAAATTTTCGAAAATGTTGGTACTAATATATGGGAAAAAATTTTGGAATTACAGTGGAACTTCTGTATAACGAACTCCTCTATAACAAAACTTTCGTATAACGAACAACTTTTGAATTCCGATCTATCATCACACAGTGCATTTAAAACTCCTGTATAACGAAACTCCTTTATAACGAACAAATTTCAAGTCCCCGAGCGATTCGTTATACAGGAGTTCCACTGTATTATAAAATTTTTTGTTGATTTTTTAAAAACTTGTTTTATTTTATAGCTCATTACTTTTTAAACAACCTATTATGAAGAATGGCTCATTAATTTTTTAACAAATAAATACTTTCAATTTTACAGTCATTTTAAGCTTATCTGCTTTCATTTTTTAAAAACAACCCTAATCTGCTTTACTTTCCAAAACAACTTTAATTTTAAACACTGTTGACAGTTTCACAAATTTCTGTAGCACTTCTTCTTCCTTCTTTTTTCAACAATTTGGTCATACCAAGAAAGCAGACAACAAAAAAATTAAAGGTATTGATCACAAAGTCGGGAACTTTTGCCATTTTCCCACTGCGAATGTGAAAAAAACATTTCAATGATTTTTCTCGCAACTTATCACAATTTGTGATAATAAACAGTTTTACGGAAAAGGTGTTGATTATTTGGAGAAAGTTGAAATTAAATAAAAGATTTAAATTGAACACAGAAACCAGTAAAAAATAAAACCAAAGCTAAAAAAATATTTAAAAATAGAATTTTTAGACAAAAATGATAAAAAAAGAAAAAAAAATTTTAAATGCTTAAGTGGTAAAAGAATTAACGTTAAGACAAATATCAAGTTAGTTGTTTTAAAGTGCACATTTGGTTTTTTCTATATTTGTTTTGTTATTTTGGTTGTCACTTCTTTTCAACACAAACTATGTAACGTTTATAGCTATTACTGTCTCAAGTCATCCCAAAGAAAAGCAAAACAAAGCCGTAATTAAAGGCTTTAATTACGGTTTAACGCAGAGCACAAAATTGACCCAAGGCACAGTCCAAGGCAGATCATAAGAAAAAGCAGAGAAAGGCGTACCAAAGGCAGGCTTTACGCTTGAAAGGTAGGGTAAAAGCGAGTCAAAGGCAAAGGCAAAGGCAAAGGCAAAGGCAAAGGCAAAGGCAAAGGCAAAGGCAAAGGCAAAGGCAAAGGCAAATGCAAAGGCAAAGTATCGGCAGGGTAAATCGTAACCAATTTTAAATCAATAATTTTTATTTGACTAGATGACAAAAAAACTAATGACACTCGTATTAATATACTTTCCTATACATATAAAACTCCATTTCTCAACTTTGTGAAAGATGACATTGACTTCTACTGACTAAAGTGCTACTTTTTGTAGTGTACAGCGTAACACCAAGTCCGTTATCAATTGAGGTGTAATCAGACACTAGCACAGTGCACTGCGGGCCTGACTGTTGTTTTAGCTCTTTGCATTCTAATGGTGACATACATAGATCTTCGGAGAGTTTGCGACGCAGTTTTGTTACTCGGTAACATTCGTATAACGCGGCAGCGTATGGCTTGGTTCTTGGGAGGTTTATGAAGGCCTAAACCGAGGTAGAGAGGGTGATAGGAAAAGGCAATTTAGGGTAGGATAAAGAAAGCTAGGGTAGGGTCGGGATGGGTACAGTAGGGTACGGTAGAGTACGGTAGGGTACGGTAGGATACAATAGGGTACTGTAAGGATAGAAGCAGGATAAAGCCACATACCTCCATAACCACCGGGTTTTTGCTCATCCTTTCCATAAAATCATACTGTATCTTACTGTAATCAGTCAAGTTCATATACAAATTATACGGTCGTAGCTCTCCCCAGTCAGCTTCATACAAAGATTCACGTAAATGCACAGCATATGCATCTTGATATGTCAACTTGACATGGGTGTAGTTGCCAGCATAGTCATGGTCAAACAATGGAAAATGTATCAGACCTTGTCGTAGCCGTTTAGGTAATACTATTGATTTACCGTAGTCGGCAATATTGGTCACGTGGAAGCTCGATATGACGTCACGGATGTTGTAACGTTGGGGGTCTTCGTCTGAAAATTTTTTCCAAAAAAATGAGCCTTACCCTACCCTACCCTACCCTACCCTACCCTACCCTACCCTACCCTACCTTACCCTACCCTACTCTACCCTACCCTACCCTAATTAATCCTATTATCATACCCTCAAGACAAAAATATTAAAATGACATAAGCCTACGTAATTTAAGCCTAGTAGTCGCCCACATGAATTCAAACGACGGTGCGTCCGGAAACCTATTTTGGTAGTACTGGGCTTCCTTTAACAGCGAATTGAACTTTCGAGGAATAATAACGTCATCAATATCTCCGAAGATGATAAAATCAGCTGCATTGCGATATTCATACATGCACTCTGTTTGACTTGGCATCATGTTTAAGGAATCTGTTTGAGCATTCGGATCGCCTTCTAGTTCGGGCTAAAACAATGTGTAAATGTTAACTTAAATAAAATTAGGCTTATTCTTGGCGTTTTTTTAGATTTAGGCTTAGGTTTAGGTTTAGGCTCTGGCTTAGGCTTAATCTTAGGTTTAAACTTAGGCTTAGGCGTAGGCTTAGACTTAGGCTTAGGCTTAGGCTTAGGCTTAGACTTAGACTTAGACTTAGACTTAGACTTAGGCTTAGGCTTAGGCTTAGACTTAGGTTTAGGCTTAGGCTTAAGCTAGCCTTAGGCAAATCCTAGACTAGATTTAGACTGAATTGATACTTCTTCCCTTAACTTACGGTAGCATACATGTGCGGCGCTTCTGCACTTGACTAACATTGCGATACTTTTACCCTACTTTTTACCTTAAGATTGCCGTAGCCCTACGCCTCAATCACAACCTAGCTTTACCTTACCCAAAGCCTCTGCTTCAACCAACAAGAAATACTTACAATTTGCGGCAAAATGACACCTTTCTTCAATCTAACATGGCCAAGTTGCTCATAATGTCGTAGAATTGTGTGAAGCTGCTCTACCACACTTATTATTGGAATCACAAACAAATCAACTCCGTGATGTAAATATAGCTCTAAGGAGGTGAGTGCTACTTGCCAATTTTCATAGTAAAACATCCTGGCCACACAGAATACTAGCGGCACTTTTTTTGTTACTGCTGGTGTTATTGGTACCTAAAATTGATTTTGAGCTTTACTGTTCTAAACTTTTAAGCCTAAGGCTATTAAATTTAGCTCTTGGATTCACTGGGGTCATTCTTACCGTTTTTCAAAACAAAATTTTTAAAATTTTTAATTTTTGTAAATGATTATATTGATATAGACACCTGCCTTCAAAACCCCAGCTCCATCTCCCACCAAGTCCAAGCTTCGAGAGAGTTGTCTAAAATGACAGTCCAAGAAATAGTCCTTCCAAAAGCATGGTTTCGGACCACTCATAAACTGCCATTCACCAGCTATGATATCATTGTGCTCGTTGCGACAGAACACTGGTGGTGGCCGAGTCACAATATCATCCCCACGATCATGAGTTGTCACTAGGACTCGGATTGTGTGCGTCGTGTTTTGACTGAAAAATTATGTTTTTACTAATATTATAGTTTATAAAAATCAAAGAAAGTTTATTTTTTTAGGTTTTTGATGTTTTCAAATAAATGAAACTCTGTCGTAAATCAAGATAACAACGTAAGTAGTTGTTTTGAATTTATGTTACTTTAAGGAGTTTTAAAAATTAAAAAGAAAAAGAAACAATTTGTTGATAACCTTAAGCCTACTGTGTCTAAACCCACTAAGTTTTAAATTACTAAGTTTGAACCTACTAGCTATTATTCTTAGAAGTTTGAATCTAATGAACAAAAAAACTTACAAAGCATGTGTTACCAAGTACATGTTTACGAAGCCTTAGCTTTTTAAGCCTACCAAGCCTACGACTACCTAGCCTAAGTTTACTCATTTTAAGCTTTCTAACTTTAAGCCAACTAAACCTAAGTCTACTAACTTTAAATTTAAGAAAAAACAATATTTTTGCGCTATTACCTAATATTAATGATATTATATTACAACTAAGTAGCCTTAGAGGAATTGTAAGAAATGATATTACGCAACTTTTTCTGATGTAATATTATAGTTTTATATCATATTTGCCTCGGTGTAAAACGACCCAACAAATGACTGCGAGGGCTGGGATTTTACTTCGTTTTACCTCGCGATATCATCATGTAACAGCTATCATAGTATGTATTTTTTGTGAGCTAGGAAATGCTTTTTGCCATAAGTCGGTTGCTGGGACAAGAGTTTAGCATAAGCTTAATAAGCCTAAGCCTACAAAGCCTAAACCATCTGAGTCTTACTCTACTAAGCTTAGAACTTGTTAGGTCTAAAGCTACTGAGCCTAAGTTTACTAAACCCAATCCTAATAGCTAAGACTACTAAGTTTAAGACTACTAAGCTTAAGCCTACAATGCCTACTAAAACAATATGCTACCTAAAAATTCCTGACTGCTAAAAAATATTTACCTTTCAATTCCACCAATATCAAAAGCCGAACTGACAAATATATGTTGTTGTGGTATCCATTTTGTGTCAAACACACTGAGTTGTTTTAGATTGTAGATCATTCGATTTACTTCTAAGTTCTGCTGCCTTTGGTAGATTAGTACTGAGAATAAACTTAAAAATAGTATAGCTATGGCTGCTGATCGCCTTAAAGCGTTTAGTCGGATAAAAGATGAACCAATTGAGATCATGGTGATTTTTGGTTTGGTACGATGATTTTTATGTTACAGTAGGGTTGTTAAGGCAAAAAAAAATATTTTACAAATAAGTAGATATGGTACTATTTTGTACCTAGTATAATATGCTTTATGGTAGTAGTACAGCTATAACTGTGCTGAATGTAAAGCTAAATAAAATTTACTGTAGCTTACTGTAGGAAGTTTTGAGGCCGATATAAGACTCATATGACGTAGTAAACCAAAATAGGTTTAGTATACTGTAGCAGGCCAATATAGTACTAGTAGACAGTAGGAAGCCGATATAGCACTAGTATACTGCAACCAATATTAGACCTAGCGCCTTACTAGTACACTGTAGCAACGTTTTGTACTAATTACAGTATTGACAACACTACAGTACAATCAGTAGTACAAAAACTAAGAAATGACCTTTAACTAGCACTACTAAAACCTTACTGAGACTCCAGAGAGCGTCATAAATCTTTACTGAGTAATCAAAACTGAAAATTTTCAAAAAAGACGTAAGTGAAGATGTTCAGAATGCCTCAACTTATCCGGTTTTTCGATAATTCGAAGACGCGTTTTCTATTTTTATTAGATTTTAATCAGCTTCAAGTTTGACAACGCAATTTCACTATATTTGACTCAACAATAATAAAGCAATTAACGTTATCTTGACAACTTTTGTAGACATTTTGTAAAACCGGTAATTTTGTAATGTGCTTTGAAAGATGTATTCTTTTGTCAGGAAGTAAGCCCTGAGCCTAAATGTCAATATGTTTAAGCCTTAGCTTACAAAACGTAAGCGTCTAAGCCTACTAAGTCAAAGCCTACCAAGCCTAACACCAAGCCTACTTAGCCTGAAACTACTAAGCCTAAGCCTACTAAGCCTAAGGCTACTAAGCCTAAGCCTGCTAAGCCTAAGTTTACTAAGCTTAAGTCTACTAAGCCTAAGCCTACTAAGCCTAAGCCTACTAAGCCTAAGCCTACTAAGCCTAAGCCTACTAAGCCTAAGCCTACTAAGCCTAAGCCTACTAAGCCTAAGCCTATTAAGACTAAGCCTACTAAGCCTAAGCCTATTAAGACTGAGCCTACTAAGCCTAAGCCTACTAAGCCTAAGCCTACTAAGCCTAAGCCTACTAAGCCTAAGCCTTCTAAGCCTAAGCCTACTAAGTCACAGCTTATTAAGCCTAAGCCTACTAAGCCTAAGCCTACTAAGCCTAAGCCTACTGAGCCTAAGCCTGCTAAGCCTAAGTTTACTAAGCTTAAGTCTACTAAGCCTAAGCCTACTAAGCCTAAGCCTACTAAGCCTAAGCCTACTAAGCCTAAGCCTACTAAGCCTAAGCCTATTAAGCATACTAAGCCTAAGCTTAATAAGCCTAAGCCTACTAAGCCTAAGCCTACTAAGCCTAAGCCTACTAAGGTTAAGCCTACTAAGTCTAAACCTACTAAGACTAAGCCTACTAAGCCTAAGCCTACTAAGCCTAAGCCTATTAAGACTAAGCCTACTAAGCCTAAGCCTACTAAGCCTAAGCCTACTAAGCCTAAGCCTTCTATGCCTAAGCCTACTAAGTCACAGCTTATTAAGCCTAAGGTTACTAAGACTAAGCCTTCTAAGCCTAAGCCTACTAAGTCACAGCTTATTAAGCCTAAGCTTACTAAGGCTAAGCCTGCTAAGCTTACCAAGCCTAAACGTACTAAGAATTTTACATTGCTTTAAAGCTTACATTTGAAAAACTTTAAGCCACGTTTTTTAATAATAGTATACTTTAGACTATGGTTTTAAATTCAAACTATTTTTAAAAAAAATTTAATATTTCCAGACTGATCTCTTGTACAAAATGATTTTTTAAAAACACAATTAGCCACGGAATGACTTCCTTCTTGAAAGATAAACAATTTTCGAATAACAAAGTGTTTTAAACCAAACTGCCATAGCTTTATTTTAGCCTTTCCCTAGCCTTAACCTAGCCCTATACTTACAAAATTGCTTACCCTAGCTTTATCTGTGTTCTTGTCTAGCATGGTTCTAGTTTAGTTTTAGCCTTACCTCTTGCTTTCGTGGACTACTCTTGGCCGTAACCTTAGCTCTATCATTAGTTCTACCCTTTAACCATAAGCTACTCCTCTCTGCCTTTGTCTTGCTCTTACAATTAGCCCTACTCTGTGCCGTACTTTTAACCGCACTCTTAGAGTTACTCTTAGGCTTACTTTTTACCTCACTTATCATTGGCCATGATATTAGTTCTGCTCTGGGCCCTACTTTAAATATTCTAACCTTGTCTGCATACCCATGGTCTAGCCTTATTCCAACTGTTCAGTTCTGTCTTTTTCTTGTTTCTTTTCTACCTATTTCTTCTTCTTATTTCTACCATCTTCTCTTTTTGTCTTACCTTCTTATACCTTACAATGTTAGTAAAACCCAGTTTCAAATTACTGTAAAAACTTTTATGTCAATTTAAATTCGATTCAAAATGTTTCGCAAGCCTTTATCCTTTGCATTTCCAATTGTCACATTTATTTGGTAAGTGCAGTTTGTTTGAAATGGGTTGTAACAGTGATGGATCAGCGGTGTGTGCAAGTGATCAACCTTCATTAAATTCCATTTTAAAACTTTTTCAACATTTGCTCTTCGCGGAATTACACAAGACATGAATTTTCAACACAAATTGGTCACAAAAACTTTACGTTTTTATAAAATTTGATTTAAAAATGGCATTTTTTGAGTTGAATTCAACAAAAAAAAGTTATTTTAAGCCTTTGCTAAAACAAAAAAAGTCTTGACGCGTTTTTGCACTAACATTCACAGTGAAAAACGACAAGATTTTTTCGATGCTTTGTTTTATTTTAAAATGGCATTTTAGCAATTTCTAATTTTGAAAAAAGTTTTGGCGCCATTTTGCACTGGCTTCTACAGTAAAAAACGACAAGACTTTTTTGCCTTTTTTAAATTTGATCTAAAATGCCATTTCTTGTGTGTTCAAGACGCAAAAGTTAAAAAATCAAGCGTTTTCAACAAAAACCAATTAAAATGGGGGGTTTTAACACTAATTACAAACAGTTTTCAACAAACTTGACCCGTACGTTCTTCCACCCTGCCTTCGACTTCTTAACACTTTCTGGTAATCGGTCTTTATTAATTTGTGGTGGGTAGTTGTCATTTGTTTAAGAATATTAATTGCCATACTTGTTGAAAAATTTTTTGTATTTTTTTGATGAATATATATAGACTTATGATTAGTTTTTTTTCATTAGAGTAAAGCTTAGTTACAGAAGCTTTTAGTGCAGTAAAGCATATTAATCAGTTTTTTTAATACAGTAAGGCATAATTACAAAAATTTTTGGTACAGTAAGAATTCAATACAGCAAGGGTTATAATTTGCTTTTTATAGCACAGTAAGGTTTTAGTACAGTAGGAAACTGCCAGTGCAGTAAAGCTTTAGTACAGGAAGGCCCTTTCAGTGAAGTAAAAAACTGGCAGTACAGTAAGGCTTTAGTACAGTAGGAAACTGCCAGTGCAGCAAAGCATTAGAACAGGGAGAAACTTTTGGTAAAAGATAAAACTGTCAGTACAGTAAGGTTTTAGTACAGTAAGAAACATTTAGTACAGTAAGACTTTAGTATAGTAAAAGATTTTTCGGTATAGTAAGACGGCAAGGTTAAGAAATATTTGTTTTAAAGGTGAAAAGCTTACTGACAGTCAATTTTTTAATGCTATAAGGCTTAGCTATCGTACTTTATTTCTACATTACGGTACAGTAACAGCATGTTTTAATACTTTAGGTTGGTACGGTTAACTTTTTGTACAGTAAGTTTAAGTACTGCCTATTTTTATAGCTCTAAGCCTTGCTGTTCTACAGTACCGCTTGGCAACAACATTTTTTAATACTGTAAGACATAGTTACCTAGTTCTAATACACTAAGATTTAGTCATTAAAATTCTTTATACGGCCATATCAAGCTACAGTGTACAGTTTAGCACTTGTAAATACTGCAAGTAACACTTTTTTTTTGACTTAATTAAGTTAAGTAGCTTCTACGTTTCTGTCGCAAACTTTTGAAAATCGACCTTAAAGATTAACAAAACCTGTCTAAAAACTTCAAAATTCCAAAAGTTTCAATGTATATCTATCTATACTACAACACAATCAATCTTTATTTATAAGTTCTAGTTTGTGGTGAGAATGTGACACTTTTTCATAAACCACAATTTGCAAAATATCAGGGTAATCAATTTTTCAACCAATTTTCAACGACTACCAAAGTGGTTGGGGCGTTGGTTTTGTAATCTCATACGGTCGCTTCCGTGGAGCTTGTTAAAAATCACGCTGCTTTGTAATCTTGTTAAAACTGCTGTGTTTTGTTACCTTATTAACGGGCGTTCTGAAAACGGATTATTCGACAAACTGTTTGGACTTTGGTTAATAGTACGGGCTTTTCTTGTACTTTGAATAACAGTGCGGGCTCTTACTGTACTTTGAATAACAGTACGAGATTTTACATTACGGTGTGTCAAGAGTACGGAGTTTTTTGTATTACTTGTGGAGAGATAGATCTGGTTGTACTACTAAAAAATAGTAACGTTAGTACTACTAGTACTACTAGAAGGTTGCAGGGTACCATTGTATACTAACAGAAATTAGTACGGTATTAGTTTCTTCTACTAAAGAGTAGTATAAAGAATTACTTGCTATTAGTCAAAAGTAGTACTGAATCGTTTGGCACTACTATAGGGCAGTCAAACATTGGTTAGTACTACTAAAAAGTAGGCGAGTACTGGATCGTACAAATAAAAGGTAATTAAGTTGCTTTCAGCACTACTAGTGAATAGTACGATACTTTTTTTGTTTGACTACTAATTACTACAGTACTCTTTAATACTACCAGTCAATAGTACGGCATTTTATTGTAGTGTTATTCATCAGTACTTAAGTATAACTTGTATAACTTATTTTACAGACTTGACTCTTACGTTCTGTATCTTTTATTTTATAGTACTAGTAGTACTACTTTATTCTAATTAATTTTTATTACTGTAAGCCTAAAACTCAAAAATTCTATCTAAAATTGCCTAAACCAACTAAAAATGGGTCTTTTCCTTATCATCATAATCACGATCATTACCTTCTACACCCTCTACAACCTCTTCACCAAAAAACACCAATACTCCACTCTACCACCCGGTCCATCACCCTCCCCCCTATTCGGCAATCTACTCACGTTGAAACAGCAAGAACGTTGGGAAACAAAATTTATAGAATGGACTGAGAAATATGGCCCAGTCTACACATACTGGCTCGGCCCATTGCCAATCGTAGCTATAAATGAATATAACTTGGCCCACAAATACTTTGTTCAAAATGGCGATGTGTTTGATGGTCGAATGTATCGACCAGAGTTGTGTAAGATCGTTAGAGGTGGTCAGTATGGATTGATTGATACTCATGGTGAGGTGTGGAGTCAGCAGAGAAGATTCGCGATTAGAACGTTGAGAGATTTTGGGTTTGGCAAGAACAAAATGGAGCAAATGGTAGGTGAAGTTAGGGTAGGGTAGAGTAGGAGAAGGCGAGGTAAAGTAAGGTAGAGTAGTGTATGGTAGGGCAAGTTAAGACAGAGTAGAATAAGGCATTTTAATTATAGGCAAATTAAGTCAATTTAAGGTAGGGTATAATTGAATAGGATAGAATAAGACATAGTAGGATATGGTAGGATAAAGTAAAGCAGTCAAACAGGGTAGGGTAGGATGGGCTAATCCAAATGGCAGTATTAACCATCTTCTTAGGGTTAAAAAACAAGGCTTGTAGGGATTGCCCGACCTAACCAAGCCTTACGATAGAGCCGGGGAAGCCTTGTGCTAAAGCTGAAGCAGGTCGAACCAAAGATTTGAGTCTGGTTAGAGGGCTTAAAAAGTAACCTCAGGCCTTTTCTTTAATTAAAAAATTTTTTAAATTTTTGATGACGTTTTTTTGCTTTTGTTTCAGTAGCCCAATCAATAGATGATTTGAAAAATTTGAAGCGAAATTTAATTTAATTTTATTTAAATTTAAAATTTTTTTTTAAAATAGAACCCGAGCCAGACCGGGTCTAAAATATCTTTGACCAAGCCGCCGGTACGGCTTAAAGACAATGAAAACAAGCTAGGCTTAACCGTTGGGCACAGGCTTACACCGGTGAAAAAAGTAATCCTGACCCTGGACTGTTTCTCACCCCTAAATCTTTCCTATAAAATGATGATATTGTATATAATATAAACAAAACATTTCTCTTTTTTTAGATTCTAGCAGAATTTGAAGCCATGTGTACTAGGCTAAACGAGGCTTTAGAAAAGAGTGATGCTCAAGCTGAACATGACATTGAGTCTTTTACAGATTTAGCCGTTGGATCTGTCATTAATTCAATGCTTTGTGGCTTTCGATTCACTGAAAATGTATGTTTTTTTAAATCTCAAATCGAAAAATTTTTTTCGTTGTTCAAAAAAGAATGAGCTACAAACCAAAATCATAAAAAAATAATAAATCAAAACATTAAAAAAATTTTTATTCATCTCAAAATTCTTCAGAACCGAGAGCAGCAATTTGCCAGACTAAAAGCGATTACAACCAAAGCCATTCAATTAGTCATCAGTGAAGGCCCGGGGCTTGTGTTGAATAATCTCTGGCTGCTCAACGTTCCAATAATCGGCCGACCAGGCCGTGAAACAATCGACACATTCAAGCTGATCTTTGACTATATTGATCAAGTTATTCGGGATCACTTGGATCGAAATGATTATAGTCAAGAGTTCGAGCCGCAAAGCTTCATCGACGCCTATTTGTTGGAAATAGAACGGCGGAAACGGAACGGTGATGGCGACAACTTTTCGGTGAAACAATTGAGAAATGTTTGCTTTGATTTGTGGATTGCTGGACAGGTTGGTTAATATAATTTTTAGTTTATGGCTAGTGCTAAAAGTGTGCTAAAGTTAGAGATCTGGGCTATGGCTCTGGCCTAGAGCTCTGGGCTAATGCTCGAGGCTACGACTCGAAGCAGAGGCTTGTGGCTAGGGCTTTGGCCTAGGGTCTTGGCTAGGTTTCTCGGCTAGGACTCTGGGTTCTGGCTCTAATTTGGGGTTCTGGTCTATGGCTCTGGGCTAGGGCTAGAAGCTAGAGCTAGAAGATAAGGCTAAAGCTCTGCGCTAGAGCTCTGGTCTATGGCTTTGGGCTAGAGTTAGAAGCTAGGGTTAAAAGCTAGGTCTATAAGCAAAAGCCAAAAGCTAGGGCTAAAAGCTATAGTTAAAGGCTAGGGCTCTGGTCTATGACTTTGGGCTACGATTAGAAGCTAAGGCTAGAAGCTAAAGTTTAGGCAAGAGATCTGTGCTGGGACTTTGGGCTAGGGCTTTGGACTAGGGCTCTGGGTTAGGGTTCTGAGCTAGCGCTTTGGACTACGGCTCTGGGATAAGGTTTTCGGCTGGGCTCTGGGCTAGGGCTCTGGGCTAGGACTCTGGGCTAGGGCTCTGGGCTAGGGCTCTGGGCTAGGGCTGACGCTAGGGCTTGCTCGACTAATGATGGGTTAAAAACTTTTTTCTTAGTGTTTTAATATACAGTAGCTTCTATAAATGTTAGAGTTACAAGTCACACCATTTTTGTTGAAAAAGCAGGGTAATTTATCTTTACATTGCAACTTTATCTGTTAAACATTTTGATGAACCTATTAATCAAATACACTCTCTACTACTGTTTACTAAACAGGGTACTAACTGCAGAGCAATTTATTCATTTCTTGTAGTCTATTTACGTCATCGCTTTTATACTTTACACTTGTAACAACTACAATCAAATGAAAGCACCCACCTAATAGATCACTATGGCTTGCAGTCTTTGGCTTAGCTTTAGGCTAGTTTTTCGGCTAGCTCTAACCCTTCTCTTTAGAGTAGTCGTGATCCTAGCCATATCTTAGCTCCGACTCTAGCTCTACTACAGCTCTAATCTAGCTCGAATTAGCCCTGTCCTAGCTTTACACTAAGTTATGATTATAATAGATATACTTTAGCCATATATTATGACTTTGGCCTTTCTATAGCTCCACCTTATCTCTAATTCAGCCCTACTCTAGCTTTGCTCTCGCCCTAATCCTTTCCCTACCCTAGTCTTACCTCCGTGTTGGCCCTTCTCTTAGAGTAGCCATGATTCTAGTCATACCTTAGCCGAGAATCTGGTTTTATTAAGGCTGTAAACCAAGCTTTATCTTAGCTAGAGATGACGACCGTGCCAGCCCGGTTTAGTCCAAATTTAGGACGGTCAAGCCGCAGCCCAGGCTTGACAAAATTGAAAATTGCAGCCCAGGCTTGACAATTAAGCCCGGTCCGTTTGCACGTTAAAAAATTCAGATTTGGCCAACCTTGATTAACTTCAGATTGGGTTTGGCTTGAAAATCGGGCCAGGCGTGTTCTTCTTCATGTCTAATTTTAGCTCACTCCTAGTCCTACTATTGCCTTGCCCTACCTTTACTCTAGCTTCTTTCTTTTTCAATTATAGCCTTACTGTTGTGTTATTTTGTTATTTTTGCTTTACTTTTACAATACTCTACCTTAACTTCTAATAAACAAAACGAATTAAAATTCACTTAATGCGTAGGTGTTTTGCTTGAATGTTATAGTATGCAAACAAATTAATTAACGGTTAGCTTAACAACAGAAACGTGATTTTTACTCTTTGATGAAATTAGCAAAAGTTTGTAGTTTATGGTGTTACTGTATAGCTAGCTGTCAATCTGTAAAGTATTGTGTGGACGTTGATGAACACCCTCTTAAGTTGCAATCAATTATGGAACAAAAGTTCAAGTTTGTTGCTTTAAACAAGATGTAATGTCACATTTCTTCGAAGTATCGTTTGTACTATTGGTCTAAAAGTTTGTAGAACAAAAGTTCATAGCCTTGGTCAAAAAGTTTATAGAACTCAAAAACCAATTTTTCAGGAAACCAGTAGCACGTCGATGACATGGGCCGTAGCCTACCTAATCCGCTACCCTGAAGCCCAAAAACGAATTCAAAAAGAGCTGGACTCTGTAATCAATGAAGATCGATTAGTTACCATGGCTGACAGAGCTAAATTACCGTACATTCAAGCAGTCATTATGGAAATTCAACGATGTTCAAACGTAGCAGGACAGAATATTCCACACACAGTCACTGAAGATACTTATGTAGAAGGGTATTTACTGCCAAAGGGCACGATTACTGTACCTCAAATTTCGGTCATGATGATGGATCCTAAAGTAAAGATGAAGAAAAAGTTTTTTATGGGGGGTAATAATAAGATGGCCAAGTTAAGATTAAGGTAGGAAAAGGGTAAGTTTGGGCTAGGGTAGAAAGTGCAGTAATGCTAGCGTAATAGAGGTTAGTGTAAGGTAAAGACCATAAGAAGAGCTATAGGTAAGGCTACGGTAGGGTAGGTATTTGAATAGGCCCAACGGCAGACGTCTAGGACTAGCGGTATGAAAAGGGTTTGAGTAAAACTACAGTAAAGGCTAGGGTAAATACAGTAAAGCTAGGGTAATAAAGCTTTATGTAGGGAAAACGCTATAACGGAATCTGAGGTATGAACTCGTATAGAACTAGGGTAAGGTAAAGGTAAAAATAAAGTAGAGCTTAGATAGGGTCAGGGACAAGGGTGAAGTAGCGGTATGATAAGCACTAACCTATTGCTGCCTTCAGTGGAGAATAGGATAGAGGTCAGGGTAGAAATAGGCTACAATAAGAGCTGTAGTAGGAGCTTAGATATAGCTGGGTAAGAACTTAAGTAGAGGTATAGTAGGGGTAAAAAATTGTCATGTTTACAGCTGGGACAGCGCTACGGTAGAACCTAGGGTAGAAGTTTGTGTAGGTTAAAATATATTACAAGAGCTGAGGTATGAACTCGTATAGAACTAGAGTGAGTGTAAGGTTACGCTAAAGTATGGTTTAGGTAAGCGCAAAAGTAGGGTTGAAGTAGCGGTATGATAGAGGCTACGGTAGATATAGGGTATAGAACGGAGCTATACTAGTGGCCGTAGTAGGGGCTTAGATAGGTCTAGGGCTAAGGCTGTGTAGGGCTAGGGTGGGACTAGGGAAAGGCTGGAGCACTGCTAGGGTAAGATAGGATAAGGACCGGGGTAGAAAATAAAGTCAATCTTTTTTTAAGTTTTCGTGCTTTAATGTTTAAACATGAGTAATATATTAAATTATTTTGTATACTTCACCTATATTTAAATAATATACCTTCCAGGTCTTTCCCGACCCTCACAAATTCAATCCAGACCGTTTTCTGGACGTTGATGGTAATTTCGTGCCAAAAGCCGAACATATCCCCTTTTCGTTGGGCAAACGACAATGTGTTGGTGAGCCGTTGGGGCGGATGGAGGTTTTCTTGTTTGTCGCCAACTTGTGCAATCAATACGAGTTTTCGGCCGGCGCAACGCCTCCAACGCTTAAGAAGATTGGTGGAAACGCTACCGTAACCGAGCCCTTCAAATGTGTCATACGAAAAAGGAAGTGATCGATAAGAGGGGTTTTACAATAGATGAGTGAGATTGTCTTTTGTACTGGAAAATTATATTTTTGTAGCAGTAAAAATTATTTTGTAGTGGTAATGCTAACATTAGTAAATTTAGTTTATGTTATGATTGTAGATCTCATTGTTATATTGCTAGTCATAAACAGCTACTTTTTTTGTACTACAGTTAGATATTCTTATGTATTTGCGTTTTTTTGGCTAGAATAAACGTTTCAAACATTTTTTATAATTTTTTTTGAATTTTATTATAACTCTGCACTGACAATAAAAACAAAACAAAAGAGTACACGCCGATGACGAACGGACCAGACCAGTATAGAGTAAAGGATGGAACTGTAAGAAACATTCTTTAAAAGTGCAGCATAGTACCTAGTGTGAACTTAACAAATACAATTTTTCTGCCTTTGCTTTGCCTTTGCCCTGCCTTTGCGTTTGCGTTTGCGTTTGCGTTTGCGTTTGCGTTTGCGTTTGCGTTTGCGTTTGCCTTGCCTTGCCTTGCCTTGCCTTGCCATGCTTTGCCTTTGCTTTGTCTTTGCCCTGCCTTTGCTCTGCCTTTGCCCTGCCTTTGCCCTTCCTTTGCCCTGCCTTTGCCCTGCCTTTGCCCTGACTTTTGGTCTGCTTTACCTTAGTCGACCTGATTTTATACCTACTTGCCTACGGGTATCTAAACATTGTTCTTTCGGTCAATCTTAACTTTTTTTACAATTTAAAGTTGAGTATTGTTTAGCGTACATTTCAAACTGATTGATTATTTTACAAAGTTGTGTGTTGCTATAAACTACTAAAACACTACAGAACAAATAGCTGTTGAACATGTTTTGTTACCAAGTTAAAATTAAAGATTCAACAACCTTTTGCTTTGTAATGGAGTAAAAACCAAATGGAAATTAACCAAACAAACCAATTAAGGCAACTTTAATTAATCACGCTTACACTACCCTACCCTACCCATCCTACCCTACCCTACCCTACACTACCCTACCCTACCCTACCCTACCCTACCCTACCCTACCCTACCCTACCCTACCCTACCCTACCCTACCCTACCCTACCCTACCCTACCCTACCCTACCCTACCCTACCCTACCCTACCCTACTCTACTACAGTATGCTGCAAATTGCAAAATTTATCAATTATATTACTCATAACTATAATATCATAAAACCGAACACTCATAAAAATACGGTACTCACTGCTAAAGTCATGCCCATTGCCTTATCAAATTGCAGTTAATAAAAAAGCAAAACGGAGTGGGTTTATCAGGTCTGACGTCTTTGTTGCCTCTGCATAATCCTCAATACCCGCATTTTAAAAAACTTACTGTGTAGCCAACAATATGTAGCATTAAAAGTGGCGCATAAAAAACCGCAAAAAATTTTTTTACAAAGCAAAAAATGGCAAGAACTTTCTTTACAAACCAAAATATGGCAAAAACTTTCTTTACAGAATAATAAATGACAACAGAGCAAAAAATGGAAAGAACTTTCTTTACAAAACAAAAAATGGCAAGAAATTTGTTTACAAAACAAGAAAAATTAACTTTTTGCTCATTTTGCCCTGCCTAACTGTAAAATTACAATACTCCAAAAAACCAACAATTTGAACCCGAATTGTAAAACAATATCCGTTTTCCTGAATCACATTTGCAGACCTCACAAGGACAACATATGATGAGTCATATGTGTTGTCACAAATGGTTAACCGGACTTTAACCAGGAATTTACGATTAACCTACGCTAAATGATCGTTAATGCTAATTATACATTAGCGTTAATGATAAGAGTACAGTCTGTTTTTGATTGTATCCGGGACATTCCGATGCACTAAAGAGCAAGAGAAGATAGCTTTTAGAACAATGTGTATGACACAAAAGTCCTAATCCTGGTCCTGGTCTTGGTCCTGGTCCTGGTCCTGGCCCTGGTCCTGGTCCTAGTTCTGATCCTGGTCCTGGTCCTGGTCCTGGTCTTGGTCTTGGTCTTGGTCTTGGTCCTGGTCCTGGTCCTGGTCCTGGTCCTGGTCCTGGTCCTGGTCCTGGTCCTGGTCTTGGTCCTGGTACTAGTCTTGGCCCTGGTCCTGGTCCTGGTCCTGGTCCTGGTCCTGGTCCTGGTCCTGATCCTGGTCCTGGTCCTGGTACTGGTCTTGGCCCTGGTCCTGGTCCTGGTCCTGATCCTGGTCCTGGTCCTGGTCCTGGTACTGGTCTTGGCCCTGGTCCTGGTCCGGGTTAGTCCTAGCTCAAAGCCATAGCCCAGAGCACTAGCCCAGAGCCCAGATTCCAAAGCCCAAGACCCTAACCCAGAGGCCTAGCCCCATTTCCCTAACCCAAAGCCCTAGCCTTACCTCTCGTCATAAGCAAAGCATTAGTCTTACCCTACCCTATAGTATACTTACTACTACCTACAGCTACAGTAGTTCTCTCCTAAATCCCAAGCTAAAACCATTTGACTCAAAACTTCCGGTTCAACCAATTCAAAATGACATCATTTGATGTGTTGACCTGAAACTTAAATCCTATAAATCAACATTATTATCATAAACTCCCAGCTTAACATGTTGATCATTACTAAATCAATCGAATTACACTTACGTCAATACTAGCTTAACCTGTAGTTAGAAGCAGCTTAGCGTCGGTGTTAAGCTGGCTTCAATTCTGTAGCAAGTGATAAGAAACAAGGCGGTAGTATAATATGACACCTTTTCTTGCGACGTCACAGGGAGTGATAAGAACGGCATAAAAGAGAGGGAACGGTCGATGAGTGACACCAAAAAACATCAACGTTCCTACGGACAGCACGTTCGCAGAAGAAAGTTACTGTACTCAGGCTTTAAAACTGTAAATTTTAATAAAGATACAGTATACTAAGCCTTTGACTACTGTATTTGCTAAGTAACTTTGACAACTTCACATATTTTACGCTCTACATACTGTGGCTTAAACTTACAGTAATCTCTTCATACTGTAACATTATATAAGTAAAATTAAGCCTACCACAAAATGATAGCTCAACTCCTACTGCTACTACTATTCATCTACTACATAGCCAACGAATTCTACCTAAAACGCAAAAATCTACCCCCAGGGCCAACACCCCTACCCATAATAGGAAACCTACTCTCATTGTACAACCAAACCCGCTGGGAACACAAATTCATTGAATGGAAGAACAAATATGGCCCAATATACACCTACTGGATGGGTAATTTACCGTTCGTTTCTATCAACGACCATAAGCTGGCGTACAAGGTTTTTGTCAAAAATGGCGCCAATTTTGAAAATCGCCTAGATTCGAAATTCATTTTGAAGTATTTGGGAAATGAGGACAAGATCAAAATGCCAATAGAAGTACCACAGAAGCAGAGGAAGTTCGCGGTTTCGGTCTTTAGGCAATTTGGATTTGGCACTCGGCAAATTGAGGAAAATGTAAGAATTTTTTAAAATTTTTTTAAATAAAAAAAAATTTTTTTAATACTTTTTTTTTATTTTTAATGTGCTTAAAGACCTTTTTTATATGTTTTTGCCTATTTTTTAAAATCAAATATTTGAATTTCAAATTTCCCGCCAAAATTTGGCATTCTGTTTTCTGGCCTATTTTCCCTAAACTTACCCAGAAAATTTAAAACCTACAAAAACTTTTTCAAAAATGACGTTTGCAAGCTGTAAATTACTTTCCAATCACTAATTATTAACCAATTAACCAAGCCACACCCTGGAACACCCTTAAACCTTAGCTGACATTTAAAAGCTGTCAATTTAGCGCAAAAATGTATAAGTTCAAAAAAATTATTGAAGATAAAGTTGTCAAATTAACGATGATTAACAGTTTTTTTATTTTTTTTACTGATTAGGTTTGAAATTATGGGTGTGGCAATACAATGTATAATAAGCAAACTATTATTCATAATTTTACTGGTATTGATAAACTAAATTGTTAGGAAAAACCTGTGGTTTGATAATGATAAATTTGTGTTTAGTAGTCGGGGTTGAGCAAAAGGCAGGGCACAGAACTAAATCGTACAATTGCAAGAGCACAGGGGAGGGCACGAAAATCCTCCATGCCATGTCCTTTTATGTAGCCTGTTTGTGTTACGATAGCTTTCTCTATATACATTTAAAATATTTTTTCTAGAATTACATAACATTATTTTCAGATTCTAACTCAAATTCAATTCATGTTTGGCAAAATAAACCAAGGTTTGAGTTGCGGTGTAGAAGAAGTGGCACTTCATATTCATACGGACTTGGCGGTGGGCTCATTGATCAGTGAAATTATTTGTGGCTACAAAGCAGACTGTCCTGTAAGTTTCTTTAATGTTTTTTATCAACTAACAGAACAAGCTAAGCAGCCAGTATCTTAAAACTTAAACAAGCGGAACAAGCTAACCAGCCGATAGCTTACAAACTTAGAACAAGTTATCCAGCCAGTATCTTAAACCTAAAAAAATTGCAATGAAATTTAATAGCATTGTCATCATTCCTCTATCCTTCCAGGCCAATGAAAAACGTCTCCTCCACATCAAAGAACAAACCGCTCGAGTATCTAGTACTTCAACTAACTTATGGAGTAACCTCATCTTCTCCTACCCATGGGTGCTTAACATCCCATTTGTGGCTAACGCCGGCAGAGAAGCGGCTTCAATCTACGGTGAAATACTCGATTTCATGGAAGAACAAGTCAACCTCCATCTAAAACAAAACGATTACACTGAAGACTACGAAGCTACAGACTTTGTCAACGCCTTTTTAGTCGAAAAGAAACGACAAGAAAACCTAGGCAATGATGTTAGTGAATACACCGTAGAACAACTAAAATCCATGTGTTTTAACTTGTGGGTAGCCGGTCAAGAAACTACCAGTCTTACTATAACATGGGCTATCGCGTTTATTCTACGGCATCCAGAAGTTCAGGAAAAGATACATGAAGAGCTAGATTCTGTTCATGGCTCAGAGAAAATGATTACGATTGGTGATAAACCATTGTTGTCGTATTGTAATGCAGTCGTTTTTGAGGCCATACGATGTGCTAACTTGTTGGGGCAGAATTTGACTCGAGTTGCTAATGATGACATTGAAATTGAAGGGTATTTGATTAAGAAAGGCACCGTGGTTTTCCCTCAAGTTTCTGTGATTTTGCAAGATGAAAAGGTAATTTTTAAAATTGCTTATATAAACTGAAGTTATCAAAAATTAGTGCTCTAAATCTTTTTTTTTCTGGTTTTCAACTTTTAATTTTTAACGATTCAAGCCTAATGCAAATTTTAAACGTTATGTTCTTTTAGGCCTTCCCAGAGCCCCAAAAATTCAACCCATCGCGGTTTTTGGATGAAAATGAAAATCTGAAAAACACGTCAGAATTTATTCCATTTTCACTTGGCCGTCGTATGTGTATTGGGGAGTCTTTGGCTAAAATGGAGCTCTTTTTAATCATTGCAAATTTGTTCAACCAGTATAAGATAATGCCTGGTAAAGTAATGCCTTCAGCTCGAAAAACCAGCGGCAACTCAACCGATACTGAGCCTTATTCTTGTCGGTTGGAAAAGAGGTGGTAAATTACAGGATTTCGGAGAATATTTTTCAGTAACACACTACTTCTGAGAATATCTTATAGTAGTATGAGTAACACAATGTCATTGACACTTTTTTACTTTTAGGGCTTTTCTTTTATTAGTCTTACTACATCAAGCATATTTGTTAGTATAGGCATAGTTCTTCATAATTTTACCCCATTTTTTAAAATTTAAGTTCTAGTCTAACTTTTCAAGTTCCAGTTTGTTTATATCATATTCAACACAATACCCATACGAGTAACCACAACTATCATTCCAAGCCATATGATTATAATCCGTCTTTGAAATACATGTTTATGCAATGAAAATCTCACTACTCTAACACTTTTTAAGGTGTGCCAACTAAATATTTTACTAACCACTCCCATTTACGCACTTGTATATTATAATAAACCCATTGTTTGTGAACGGTTTTGAAACTTGTTTATTATAATCATAAGATAGATACAGTAAAAAAACAAATATGGGCTTGTGCTTAAAAAATGTTGTTGGGGAATGCACGTATGTGGTCACCCTTGGCTAGACTAGACAAGAAAAAAAAGGTTAGGCATTGATTTCTAGGCTTTTTTTCGAAGCCTTTTCTAAGGCCTTCATGCTCTTACAACAATATTATTATTGAAAAATTAGCGAAAAGTTTGAGTGAGCTTTTTTTTAATTCCCCTGCCGACAGTCTTGCTTCGCAAACGCCAACCGCTCACTGTAACGGCGCGGAGAATTTGGCTTGCTCCCTGCAGGGCCTGAGCCTGTACTTCTCTCATTAACCGACCAGGAATCGCGGCCCTTCGACCGCCGTCCCTTGTCGACGCCGCCCTTGAAACGGACGTTCGGTCCACAGCAGAACACCACGGCACAGCCGTGAAGTCGACACGAGAACGCGCCTCTAAACTCAGCCACCCAGGGACGTGGTTTACAGACGCGCGCCACGACGCCCAGCTGTTGAAGCGGGTTTAGAAATGGGATTTGAAATCATTTTGAGATTGTTTTGAAATGTGATTTCGAAAAGGTAAAAATGGACTAATTTTGAACATAATTGAGAAAACAAAGCAAAAAAGAGCAAGGTACAAATTGATAGGGTCAGGGTACTACTATAGGCTAAACGATAAGGTAGAGGTTAGGGTAGGAAAGGTGGCAAGAGGTAGAGTAGAAGTTTGGGTAAAATCTGACATAGATTAGGGTTAGAGCTATGAACTCTGGTATAAGCTACGGTAAGGGTTTTGAGGGCTCTGGGCTAGGGCTTTGGGGCTAGGGCTTTGGGGCTAGGTCTTTGCGTCTAAGGCTTTTGGGGTAGGGCTCTGGGCTAAGGCAGCCTAAACTTAGGTCGGGCAAGTCTGGAAAATCAATGCCCAGCCCAAAAGCTTGGCCCGCTTGCACGTAAAAAAATCGGGCCGTGTTAACACTCAAGCCCGGTTTGTTTTTCATGAATAAAGGGCAGGGCTTGGGGTAAAGCTTTTATTTTTTTGCAAAAACTTTGTTTACAAAAAAAATTTTATATGTTTGTAGTTGCCACACTTATAATTGTTAAGCTGTTTTTTTTTGCAATTTATCAATGTCTAAACGTTCAAATAGTGTAGGTGTAGCCGGAACTGATATAGTTTTATTGTGTTTGTCTATGATTGATAAAAGCGGGTTAAAATTGAAAGTTTAAATTCTTGTAAACAATTAAAACGTTGTTAGTAGATTCCGTTGGTCACAAATGGACTAATAAAAACAAAAATTAAGAGGTTATGCAAACATTATGACTATTTTAAATTAAAAAACGTCGTTAAAACATCCGGTTTGTTGCTAAAACAGTTGCAATAAACATTGAAAAGTTGCTGCGCTGGCTGTTTTAACAATAAGCTCTATTTAACTTTGTCTACTAGAGCACGATAGAGTAAGTTAGAGAGGGTAGGTTATTAAAACAACTTTGCGGTTTAAAAATGACATATCAACAAAAATTTTCAAAAATATTTTCCTTTTTTAAAATGAAATATTTTTTCAAAAAAAGCTTTGTCACTATGACAAAAGTTTAAAAAAGTCTCGAGTGGAACTTGAGCCAGAATGTCTGATATAAATCAAGTGGAATGTGCGCAGTGAAATATTGCAAAAAGAAAAACGACGAAAAAGGTGAGAAGCCAGCTCATTTATTAGTCGGTGAAAGAAAAAACATAAAAAGACATAATTGGTAGCGGTTGAAATTTCGTTATAATAAATTTAAAAATTAAAAAAAATGTTATTATAAGTTTTACAATAAAACAAACATTACAGTAAGCTTACTATTGAAAAGATTTTAGTTTGGACAAGGCAGACCAGCTCAAGACAGAATAGGAGAGAGCAGGGTAGTGTTAACAAACGTTAAAGCAGAGAACGGCAAGATCGTTACAGCAGAGTAGAGTAAGGCAGTGTAATTCTTGATAAAACAAAGTAAGGCCGGACAGGCTAAAGCAGGGTACGACGGTATAATGCATGGTAGAGCAGGACAGGGCAAGAAAGACAAAAAAAAGGCAAGGCAAGGCAAGGCAAGGTAAGGCAAGGCAAGGCAAGGCAAGGCAAGGCAAGGCAAGGCAAGGCAAGGCAAGGCAAGGCATACAAAATCAGATTTAGGTAGGGTAAGGTAGACTAAAAAATTTTTTTGGCTTAAAAATGTAAAATATTTTTTTCAAGATAAATTTCATTATCATAAGCTAAAAATAAAAAAGCTTGAGGTGAAAGTCTTTCAAAAAAAAACTGATCGCCGTCACAGGTTCGAACGCACGCTAGAAATTCGAAAGAAAAACGGTCGATAGTGGAAGTGTGAGGAAACGAGTTTAACTGCTCGTCATCGCAAAGTTTAAACTTTTTTCACCTTTCGGATTTTTCAACTTTTTTCACCTCCAAGGTTTAACAGATTCCACCTCTCTTTAACAGCTTCCACCTTCGCGCTGCTTTAAAAGCGCTGCCCTGAGGCTGGGAACAGTCAGTGCAGCGACACATCGTCCAAAGCACTCTCATCTTAACAATGGACGTTGAGAATCGTCTTAAGGCTTATCGCTTCGTCGCCTACTCGGCTGTTACCTTCTCGGTTGTGGCCGTGCTTTCAGTATGCGTCACCTTGCCCATGGTGTACAACTACGTGCACTCCGTGCGCAAGCAAATGCACAATGAAATTGTGTACTGCAAGGTGGGTTATTGGGTGTATTGGGGCCATAATTTATTTTTTTTGAAATTATTTTTACAAATCTTAAATTTTTTTACTACTACAATATCCTCCTGCTACGGTAAAACCACCTTTAACCAAACAATCTTCAGGGATCCGCCAAGAACATCTGGGCCGAAGTCAACGAAATGAGACAAAACCCAATGGGCGCCCAAAACAGAACCGCTCGTCAGTCCGGCTACGGAGACTCCGGAGTCGGCGGCGGCCCAGCCGCCAACGGTGGAGCTGCTGCTGGAGGCAGCTGCGACAACTGCTGCTTGCCCGGTCCACCAGGTCCAGCCGGTACCCCCGGTAAACCAGGAAAGCCCGGTAAGCCAGGTGCTCCAGGTCTTCCAGGAAACCCAGGAAAACCACCAGCTCAACCATGTGAACCAGTCACCCCACCACCATGCAAACCATGCCCAGCTGGACCACCCGGCCCACAAGGACCACCAGGCCCACCAGGAGACGCCGGAGCCCCAGGACAGCCAGGAAACCCAGGGGCCGACGCCCCACCAGGCGAGCCAGGACCAAAGGGACCACCCGGACAACCAGGACAGCCAGGTCAACCCGGTGCCCCAGGAGAGCCAGGAGCTCCAGCCGTTTCGGAACCAATCGTCCCAGGCCCACCAGGACCACCAGGAGACCAAGGACCAGCAGGACCACCAGGCCCACCAGGACAGCCAGGAGCCGACGCCGGACCAGGACCAGCCGGACCAAAGGGACCACCTGGCCCACCAGGACCACCCGGAAACGACGGTCAGCCCGGTCAACCAGGTCAAGCCGGTCCATCCGGACAGCCTGGAGAGAAGGGTATCTGCCCCAAGTACTGCGCCATCGACGGTGGAGTGTTCTTCGAGGACGGAACCAGACGTCGTTAAGCTTGAAAAGAGCTGGCCTTACCTTCTGGTGGCTCTCTTTCTCGAGATCTCTAAAGTTTGAACACGTCTTTCGCATTTTATATACGAGCAATAAACTTGATCTCTTTGTAGTTGGTTTGGGATATTATCGTAGATAGGGGAGCAGCAGGGAAGGGAGTAGATTGAAAAGTAGGGGAGGGGTAGATTAAAACGTAGGAAAAGGGGCAGCTCAAAAACACGTCAGTTTTTTATAAATTTTATTGCCTCTAAGTATGTCATTTCAAGTAAATGTTATATCTGCAGTTGTTTTAACTACCAAATCCATTAAAAATTAATTTTAACCTTATACAACCCTATAAAATCCAAAAAAATATAAAGATATAGTAAAATTAAAGCACTTTTTGTAGTAGAATGTTCAACAGTACACCGAGCAGCACCCATGGTAAGATGGACATCGTTTTCTTGAATGATTTAGGTACAACTACTCGAGACCCCGACTTTTGCATCATCTTATACTTTTCTGGGGTGCATGGTGGGTAGCGGCAGCTGAAAATTTCAAAGTAAAATAGAATTTCAATTTGGGTATAATGGGTAGTACAATATTGTAAAATATGTTTTCACTTACGCAGTCAAATTGTCAGCGAAGAACCCTCGGTGAAGAACGGACTTCCAGTTACTGAAAGTATCATAGCCGGACTTGCCGCGGTAGCGACCCATTCCACTGTGACCTACACCGCCAAATGGTAGTGTGTCAACTGAAAATAAGGTTTTTTTAAGAGTTTGGCAATTCTGCAAGTTCATATATGTTAGGCAAAAAATCCTAAGTTAAGCTTGAGCTATAACCTGGGCTTCAACTTGAGCCTGAACTTGAACCAAAGCATGAGCACAAGTTTACGTTTAAGCTTAAGTTTGGGTTTAAGCTTCTGCTTAAGCTTAAAACAACGTAAGCCTCGGCCCACAAAGCTTGAGACTGAGAGTAAGCTTCAGCATAAACGTAGGTTACAGCCAGAGTTAGAGCTAGAGCTACAGGCAGAGCTAAAGCTAGAGCTAGAACTAAAATTAGTGTCTGAGCCTAAATCTGAGCTTAAGGCCAAATCTAAACTAAGCCCAAACTTAAGCTTTAACTAAGCCTGAATTTGAGCTTAAGCCTGGGGGAGTCGTGACTTGATCTTAAGCATGAACCAAAGCTTAAATTTAAGTATAATCTTGTGTTTGAGCTCAAGCCAAAGCCTAAGTTTAAAACTTTTAAAAGTGCCACTTACTAGCAAAATTCAGCATCAAATCATTGATACCAACATTCCCAGTCTGAACTTCCTCAACAAATCTTTGTTGTCGTTTCTTGTTGTTTGTGAAAATATAAGCCCCTAAAGGCTTTTCAGTTTTCTTCACCATGTTGTAAGCGTCGTCAAAGTTTTCAACACAAACAATTGGCAGAATTGGAGCAAAAAGTTCTTCTTTCAGCAGAGAATCATCTTCATCGACTTCCACAACCATTGGAGGGATAAACAGATCATCTCTGTCGAATTCACCGGCTTGGAAGAATACACTTCCTTTTGTGGCGTCGACTAGGGCTTTGATGCGGCTAAAAAATTTAAGAACAGTAATGTAGGGTAGAATAGGATAAGGTAGGGTACTGTGGGGGTACGGTAGGGTACGATAGGGTACGATAGGGCAGGGTAGAAAAACTTACTCAAAATGTCTAGTGTGAACCAGCCTCATCAAATCGTCGCTCTTTTGTGCATCTTGGCCATAAAACTCGATCAAAACTTTTTTCAAAATTGGCAGCAGTTTAAATTTGACCTCCGGAGTAGTAATCAAGTGATTTGGAGCCAAGCAGGTCTGTCCACCGTTTGATGTTTTACCCCACAGAATACGCCGTGCTGTGATTTCAAGGTTGACTGTTTCATCTACTAGTACTGGGCTAAAGTTAAAACACATTATGCTTTGAAAGTGGGGTACAGTAGGTAATCTGCTACCGAGCCTGAGCCTAAGCCTAAGCCTGAACCTAAGCTTGAGCTTGAGCCTGAGCCTGAGCCTGAGCTTGAGCCTGAGCCTGAGCCTGAGCTTGAGCCTGAGCCTAAGCCTGAGCCTGAGTCTGAGCCTGCGCCTGAGTTTGAGCCTGAGCCTGAGCCTGAGCCTGAGCCTGAGCCTGAGCTTGAGCCTGAGCCTAAGCCTGAGCCTGAGCCTGAGTCTGAGCCTGCGCCTGAGTTTGAGCCTGAGCCTGAGCCTGAGCCTGAGCCTAAGCTTGAGCCTGAGCCTAAGCCTGAGCCTGAGCCTGAGTCTGAGCCTGCGCCTGAGTTTGAGCCTGAGCCTGAGCCTGAGCCTGAGCTTGAGCCTGAGCCTGAGCCTGAGTCTGAGCCTGCGCCTGAGCCTGAGCCTGAGCCTGAGCCTGAGCCTGAGCCTGAGCCTGAGCCTGAGCCTGAGCCTGATCCTGAACCTGAGCCTGAGTTTTAGCCTAAGCCTGAGCTTAAGCTTGCGCCTGAGCCTGAGCCTGGACCTTGTATTTAAGCTGCTACAACCTTACCTTTGACCTCCCAATTCCAAAACCACCGGAGTCAAATGTCGGCTAGAAGCTTCCATAACAATCTTCCCAATCCTAGCACTGCCAGTATAACATATAAAGTCGAATCTCTCTTCAAGTAACGCAGCTGTAAATTCACCATCCCCCTGTACCACTTGTATCAGCCTTCTATCAAAATACTTGTGGTATATCTCTTCAAACACTGCCGACGTATGAGGCGACAGTTCAGAAGGCTTAATGATAACAGAGTTGCCAGCAGCTATCATGGCAATCAATGCAGGTACAGTAAGATTAATAGGGTAGTTGAAGGGTGAAATCAGAAGACAAACTCCAAATGGCTCTTTATATACATACGGAGTATCCAACATACACAGTAGAGTACGATCAACGTACTCTGGCTCCATCCATTCCTTGAGATTATCAATGAACTGCTCACATTCCATTCGAGCTACACCCATTTCATAGAACTCTGTGAACTCTTGACGACGTCGAGTGTCTTTGTAGATGGCTTCACAGATTTTGTCATTCTCATTGATCAGCATTTGCTTTATCTTTTTGATTTGTTTTATACGGAATTCGTAGGATCTTGTTGCTCCACTGTTAACGTAGTCTCGCATCATTGCAATCTTCTAAACTTTAGGATTGTCAAGGGTTTGTATAGCTAGGAACGAGCTAGACCAAAACCAGAGTAAGATGGATATAAGTGGGGTAAAACAAGTTAGAGTAAGGCGGGGTAAGGCAGGGTAAGTGGGTTGGGATAAGATATGGTAAGATAGAAAAAAGTAAGTTGGGCAAGATAAGCTAGAGTAAATAAGGGTGAAGTAAAGCGGGGTAGGGTAACTTAAAGATGTACTAGTTATGACAAATGCGGGTGAGTGTTTGGGGAGGAGAAAGGGAAAGGCTAGGGATCTTATAAAATAGCACAAGCAGCTTGTGACCACGTTTTTTTTAACTTTTGTAACGAAGACCATCAGAAAACCTCAAATTCCATTTGGAAAACTATTTTTAGTCGGTTTCTCCCCTTGCCTTCATTCTTCAGATCCCAACCCTAGTTAAATAATTAAGACAAAAATTATAAAAGTTTGAACTAAAACACTTTTTTTTGGTTTTTATTTGGATGTAAAATATAATAAAAAACAACGTACCTGTCCATTTTCAGTAAGCATCTTTGCCACTTTTTAGTATTGTATTAATATAGATTATAAGGTCAGTTTCAAAGTCTGAAATTTAAAGATTATGATTATTTTTGAATTTAAAAATCAAATACAAACAAAAACGTTTTCAATTTAAGACCCTTACGGTTCTGGTACATCTTTCAAAAAAAAAATGTACCTTCTACTCTTACCACCCTCTCCTTCATACCTGTAGTAACTTCTCTCATATTTTCTCTCTAATTCCAAACCGCAAAATTTCAATTTACCTTACCATGTACTGCTTGTTCTACCTTACACTATTATATATTGCATCGCCCCACCCTACCTTATCGAGCCATAACTCACTTTACCCTTCCCTACCTTATTCTACCGTAACCTACTTTACCCTACCCTACCTTATCCTACTGTAACCTACTTTACCCTGCCCTGCCTCAACCAACCCTACTCTATCGTGCTCTACCTTACCCTAATTTACCTTGCCCAGACAGAGTTACTCAAGTATATATAGTACTGATCTCCGGTTTTGTCATTTTTAGACATTTACTGCCACTACGCTAATTTCAAGGCTACTGTGATTACCAAGAAAAGAACGGTCTACTGTGTTTCTTTCTTTAGTTTAAAACCCTCAGTCGGTTTTTCCCTTTTACCTTTAATAGTCTACACCGCTTCCTTAACCAATCAAAAAATACTCAGAATATCACTGCTTTCTTCCTCTACTACAAAATAAACATCAACATGTACAGGTGAAGCGTTAACAATTAACAAGAAATCGAGACAATCCTTTTGTATTTGAGTCGAAGTTTGTTACAGCGCGTTGGTGTCATTCAAATTAAAGTCAAAATAGAAGAAAGGGTTGTAATTTGAAATGTCAACAAGACAAACTACAATTAATATAAAAATTACTGTGTTGTGTTGTATTAATAATTAGATATAGGTTTGGGTATAGATAAAGAAAAACAAGAGTAAGGCTAGTGGTTGGGCTGAAGATAAGGCTAGAGCAAGCCAAAGGTAAGACAAGGCGGCTAGAGGAAAGAGTAAGAAGGGATACAACATATAAAACTGTGTAACAGAACTTTTGACGCATCCTGTAAAAGGTAGAGCTAGAGGTAGGTCAATGGGAAAAGAAGCAGAGCTAAGAGTAGAACAAAATATAAGGCTAGTGGTAAAGCAAGAGTTAAAGCTAATGATAGAAGTAAGAATACGAGAAGGGGTAAGTATTGAACTAAAAAAAGAAAATTTGTTACAGTAACCAAAAAATACCGCCCAGCAAAACAGTGTAAGTCTGTCTACTAGTATTACAATTTAAAAACAAATTATATCAGGACACACTCGTTGATGATAATCAAAGAGTTTGTTATCAAATGAAGCTTGGGTTCATTTACAAAACAGTGTAATGTAAATTCAAGTTACAGTTTTTTTCTTGTAGTCTAGACGAAAGTACATGGTGTGGAACATATTCAAGGTTAATTTGGTTAAAAAAAAGTAAAAATTTACATTTTACACTACCTAGCGTAGCAAACGATAGTGCATGGTAAGATACGGTACGTGTTGTATATGGCGAAGTAAAGTTTACTAGGGCAAAGTACGATAGAACAATATACGACAGAAAAGAATATATTAGAGAAAAGCAAGACAAGGTAAGATAATGTAAAGTAGGGCAAAATAGGATATTGTAAGGCAGATTAAGGCGGTAGTTTAAGGCATAATATGGGGTAAGATAGGGCAAAAGCAGGGCAAACGCAGGGCAAAGGCAGAGCAAAGGCAGGGCAAAGGCAGGGCAAGACAATGACTTTATACCTTTTAACAAAGTACGATTAATAACCGCTTTGAAAGATGATTAATAAGTTAAAGAATTTAACTTTGTTTATCAACATAAGAAGCGTGGTAAACGTTGTAATAAATGAACTTTATCTGATTTTCTTTTTGTTCTCAATTAGTAAAGTAACTTGTTCACCTTATGCTTCATAGTGAAAATCATATACTTTTTAACAAAATCCCATTCTCAATATTAAAATTTATTCAAAATAAGATAATAATGTAATAACAAAAGCAAACAATAAGCTAGAAAAGTACGAAAATAGTTAATTGGCAGGACTTTGGTTCACATAGTTAAAATAGAGAAAAATGTAATGAGATATGATCACAGAAAACGCATTAGACATTGTAAGCTTTGGTTTTTGGGTTGTGTTTTGAGGATTCTTTTTCAGTACCATACTATACAGTATAAAAAATATTTATTCTTGGGTCGTACCATATAGTACCAAAAATATTTTTAGTACTGTACTATATAGTACCAAAAAATAATTTTCAGCATCGTACTCCAGTTTCTCAAAAAAAAAATTTTTTCCAAATAGTACTACGTCGTACTAAAAAATTTTTTATTCTTGTACTATACAGTACAATAAAATAATTTTTCAGTATGATACTATATAGTACCAGTACAATACTAAGACTATTTTTTAATATTGTGCTACATCCAAAAAAAATTTCTGTATCATATTTTTAGTATCGTACTATATAGTGCAAAAAAACAGTTTTTAATACCGTACTGTATAACACCAAAAACAAATTTTTAGTCTTGTACTAAACCTAATAAAAAAAAATTTCTGTTAGTATCGTACTATATAGTACCAAAACAAAATTTTTTTTAATATCATACTTGTTAGTATCAAAAAATATATTTTAGTACCGAACTATATAGAACACAATCACTATATAACCCCAAAGAATCCTCATTCCATTGTGATGTTACAGTAAGCTCTTAGTTGATCTCAGCCTCGAGTTGACGTACGTAGTCATCAATGTTGTCCTTGTTTGCACAACAACTGTCAAACTGATGGCTTGATGCGATGACTTGGGCGCCCAAATAAGCGGCGTGATAACGCCAAGGAGAGCCGTGAACTTGAACAAATATTGAACTTGGCGCGATCTTGCTCAGCTCTTGTTCGAGACGTTCGGCTAGGCCTGGTAGAAGAGATACGCCTCCGGCTAAGTAAATGTTTCTGAAATTTTAAGATAAGGTTTTGCTCTGACTTTACCATACTCACAATCTACCCTACCCTACACTACCCTACCCTATCTTACCCTGTCACCCTACCTTACCGCATCCTATCATATGTTACCCTACCCTATACTATCATTACAATCTCCCACTCTTACCTATACAACGTTCTTCGACTATCAATAGGACTTTGTTGAATGACTTCATGAATTAGATGATGAATCCCTTTGGTCTCAATACTCCATCTCTTTGGGTTAAACAATCCTTCAGCCACCAAATGCCTTTCCTCATCGACCTGAACTGAAGTGGGGAAGCCATCACCCAACTTGAAGCCACTCAAATCCACCGTTGCAGTACCCTTATGACTACTGGTACTCTCACTATCTACATAACAAGATTGTCTGACAATCTCCTGAAGTGCTACATGTTCTACTGGCGAATTGAAGCCGATTCCACTACCGTTTGCGGTATTCTGAAGGCGTCGCTTCAAGGCGGCACGAATTTGTTGACCTCCAAATGGCAATGATACTATCGCCGAGTCTACTATGTATTCGTCGATTACTGGTACAATATGTAGTGTCTCTCCAATGTCTACTACAACACCGGTGGTGACGTCGTATGAGTAGAGGATTAGAGAAGGTTGTCGGGCTATGGTGGCGGCTTCGAATTGAGTAGCTTCGAGTAGGAGGTGGAGAAGTTGTGATGCATATGTTGTTGGGACGTCTTGGGAGATGGAGAGGAGGATCTAGAATTACAAAATAAGATTGAGTTAAGTTACTGTAAGGCTAGAGTACGGTAAGGCCAATTAATAAACGTAAGCAGAAGGGTCAGCCCAGGCTACTGTAATGATAACATACAGTAGATCTAAGTTATAGTAGTATTAATAGGGGTAGGGGTAGGGGTAGGGGTAGGGGTAGGGGTAGGGGTAGATGCTTACCTTATAATCTCCAGGCTTGATCTGTAGCTCCTTCACCACTTTTCTAACCACAGCATCGACTACTTTGCTGTTAACATTGTACCTGTCCACACTAGTGCCATCACCAACGTCCATTGGTCGCACCAGCTGGCTATTCGTTCGGTTTTCTGGCCTTAATGCTTCACTACCAACAATAATGCCACTATCTGTAACACTAGCAATGGCTGGGAAGAACACTTGTGGTAAGGATGGCTTGTTGGTTAGTAAGCCTGCTCGTACTGATGCTGCACCAATTTCCACTAGTACTACTTTCTGAAAAAGTTAAAGTAAAGAAAGTTCTTGCCATTTTGCGTTTTGTAAAGAAAGTTCTTGCCATTTTTTGTTTTTTAAAGGAAGTTCTTGCCATTTTTTGTTTTATAAAGAAAGTTTTTGCCATTTTTTCTAAAAGCCTGTAAAAAACCATGACATACCTTTTGATAATGCGGTACGACCGGTCGGCCCGGCTGAACGTAAGCATCAATAAGTTCAGTTTGACTCTGACTCAACAGCACTTGTCGCCACTTTTCAAATACGTTCGATGGTGCTTTAACCAACAAATTTGCATTTTCCTTTCCGCCTTGAATTCGGAACGTCCAATCGTCCTTGTTCGCCGTGATTTTGGTATCAGTCAACAGTACGTCACTGATTGGGTGCTCGTCTGCGCAATGTGAAGCAAACCATTGGAATCGACCGTCACGGATTCGACAGTACAATGGCTTCCAAGGTTTTTCAATCTCTGGTACTTGGACGTTCTCATCGTTCGGAAACTCCATATGACCTTCCATTGTACGGTAGGTGATGCGGTGCTCCACCAGAGGGTTGTAGTCGACCTGGAATTTGGTTTTTGTTTAAACTTATGCAATTTCTTACCCATTTCTAAGAAGATGAATACTTACATAATACTGCTTCTTCAACAACTGTGTCGGATCCCATAAAGCCGTCTGTTCCGTGTCCACCGTGTTCTCCAAACTCTCCACTCCATTCACGTTCCCCAACGGCAATTCATCCTTGAGTTCGGCCATTCGACGATAGAATCGACCACGAATGTATGGTTGACGTGCTAAGTAGATCAAGTACGGATTCGATCCGAAATGAAGCCCGAATTTGAAATCAGAATCCGACGGATGACGAACGTACGGATCGCGACGTTTTAACGCTGATAAACGCCGCTTGCGACGTGTCGAACCGTTCTCAACGACGTGCCGAAGAAGTACTTGTGAGAAGGGAACGTCCTCTTTTAGTGACGGCCTTTTTGAGGGTTCAACGTGCCTGGAACGGTGAGATTTTAAGAAAATTTTTAAGAAAACACTCAGGTATCATAAAAATGCAAATTTTTTTAAAATTAGTAAATTCAAAAAATGAAAAAATATTTTTAAAAATAAGGGTAAGATTAGAAATAAAGTTAAAAGTAAGAAAAAAAATTCCAAAATTTTAAAAATTTTAAAAAATTTAAAATCAAAATTTTGAAAGCAAAGTCAAATTTGGTCGTTAAAATCATAAAATGAGATTAAAAACGCGTCAGAATCATAAATTAATCATATATTTTAATACTTATCACAACGTGATTCACAAAACAAGATTTCATTAAACTTTTCGATTTAAAAATCAAAAGCGGCCCCTTTACCTCTGGCCCAAAGCTCAGCCCTACAACTAGCCATTGTCCTAGCCTCGCTCTAATCGAACCTAGCCTAACACTTAACCTGTCATGCCCTGCCCTTCGCTTTTCTACCCAATACAACCCTATAGACACGAGGAACGGGCCAGGCCCGGGCCTACCATCAGCCTTGACCCAAATTTAAGTCAGACCAAGCCTGAAAATCCAGGCCCGAGCCAAAAAGGCCGGCCCGCTTACACGTAAAAAAAATCCGAGCCGCGCCGGTCTTGAGCAAAATTTAGATCGGGTTAAGTTTGGAAATTGGACCCCAAACGGCCCGTTCTTCATGTATACAACCCAAAACTACACTATCCTATCTCCTACCCCCCTCACATCTATTATTATAGGTGCCGACATAAATACCCCGCGATTTTTTAAAAGAAATTATAGAAAAAGTATGGCGGGTTCTTTATGTCGGCACTTAATAAAGTGTATCTATCATTACCCTTGTTCTATACAAACTCTACCTTTGCACTGTTAAACCCTATACTAAAGAATCTAGCTCTACAATAAGCCCACTTTCTGTCACATCTTACCCTACAGTAAACATTTTTTGAAAAATTCAATTTTTTAAAATTTTTTTTCAAAACACCCTTAAAATCTTTAAAAATCTGACTATCCCCACCTTTTCAGCCTCAAATCTAACCCGTTAAATCAGCGGTAAAAAGTTGTTGCTTGAAGAAAAAATGGAAAAAAGAGACCGCTCGCGCCCCGAGAGCGAATTTCGATAAAACGACGGTAAACAAATTTATGTAGATTTGCGATAAGCGTATAATCTTGGAGGATGTAAACGACACTAATTCAAGAAAAAATCAGTTTAAGCCAAAGGAGTTTACTTTTGGTAAATTTAAAAAAAATTTACCAAAAAACTCCATATAGGGGACTAGACCTGAAAGAGCGCCACACTGAGACCCACCCCTAGGCCAAACCGAATTTGAAAAGGAAGGACCCGATAGCCGAGACCGAAGCCTAGGCCAATGAAAAACTAGGCTCGGTCCCATTATAGGTCTTGAGAGAAACAAATTTAATTTTTTACAAAATTTTAAAAAATAAAAAAAAATTTGTTTTTCAAAAATTTTAAAATTTTCAAAAAAGTTGAATTTTAAACCCAAGAAACAAACAATTAAACGCCATTTAACTAAAACAACTCCCAAGTCATTTCGATTAACTTTGACGCTTCCACAACATGTTCAAAGGTCATCTACGAGAAGGGATTAGAAGGAAGGAAAGATTGGCGCAGTTTCAGGGTACTTAAAACTTGCTCAATATAAACAAGAGCTTTAAAAACGTAATAAAATTTTTGTTGATATCACGGAAGGGACAAACAAAGGCGTATTTTTTTGGGTTGGGCTTAGAACTGAAACGAGAAATGGATAGGAGGGGGGGTGGGGGGAGGGGAGAGGGGGGGAGGAGGTGTAAAAAATGGGGGGGGGGAGAGTTCAAAAAAAAATTAGTAAACGCAGATGTTATCCAACCCCGACAATTCGAAAAATATAATTTTTGCCTCCCTCCCCCCTCTCCCACCTCAACTCGAAAATACCACCCCCCCCTCAAAAAAAATTTTTTTTTAATTTGTTTCCCTTCCCTCCCCATAATCGACTATCAACTCCTAAAAAATTTTTTCACCCCCCCCTCCACCCACTTCAACTCCAAATATCCCCCCCCAAAAATAAGTTTTTATTTACTACTTTACCCTGTCAAAGCGGGGCAAAAACGTACAAAACCAATTCCCAAAAGAACGAAAAGCCTCGGGAAAAATGACAGAATTTCATGAAAAGCGGTCGAAAAACGGCCATAAAACAATGAGGGTTGGTCTGGAAGGGTTTACAAAAGCTGGGTTTGAAAATCGGTTCAAAAGTCCACAGAACTATTAGCATAAAACAGGTAAAACAGGACCATTTTAAAAAAGATGGACCATTTATAAAGAAGAAGGCACCATTTCCAAAAAGATGGGACCATTTCCTAGCAGACGAAACCATTACTAATAAAACGGGACCAATTCTAAAAGGATCGGACCATTGAGAAAGATGAAATCTTTTTTAAGAAGATAGGACCATTTTACAAAAAGGTGGGACTGTTTCTAAAAGATGAGCCCATTTCGAAAAGGATAGAACCATTTATAAGAAGATAAGACCATTTCTGAAAAGATGGGACCATTTATAAAAAGATGGGACCATTTCTAAGAAGATGGGACCATTTCTAAGAAGATGAAACTATTTCTAAAAATATAAGACAATTTCTAAGAAGACGAGGCCATTTATAAGAAGATGGAACCATTTTTATAAAGATGGGATCATTTCGCAAGAGACAGCAGCATGTTGTAAACGCCTAGACCGTTTATAAGAAGTTAAGGCAACTTCTTATAAAACAAGACCAGTTCCAAAAAGCAAATATCATTTATAAGAAGGGAAGATAACTTCTGAAAAGACTAAACCATTTTTAAGTACATGGCACCAATTATAAGAAGATAAGACTACATTAAGAAGATATGACCATTTATAAGCAGATAGGATAATTTCACAAAAAAGCTAGCTTAAACAAAAAAGTATAGCACCAAAATTAAAAAAGCCAACCTTATTTTTTCAAAAATAATATAAAATTTTCAAAAAAGCTAAAAAACATTGCCGAAAGATGCTTAATCATATAAAATAAATAATAAGCCAGAAAGCCCTTCAGCCCTTCATAAGCCTTCAGAACAACATTTTACACGATGCCAAACCGAAACCCATCCCCCCACGAAGAAGCGCCTCTTTTTGTCTTCAGGAAAAAAGTATTGAACTAAACAAAAAAAGAGAGATTTTTCGAATGCGGGCCCCCTCCCCCCTCCCCTCTTCGAAATTCTCTCGCTTTGGGGTTTTAAAAAGAGAGCGACAACCGGCTGTGCTCTCTCAACCTCCTGCCCTCAAAACGGTCGAGAGTCAAACGGAAAAAGCCGAAGAGAAGAATAGGAAGAGTAGTGGATGAGGAAGGCATTAGAGAATAAAAGGATGAAAGAATAGAAAAAAGATAATAAAAAAGTGCACAAGCTGTTGCTGTTTATTGACCAGAACCTTTCGAATGGTCAGTTTTTATAATCCAGGATGGATTAAATGTTCGAAAAAGAATGATAAATAACTCTAGTCTAACTTACCCTACCCTACCCTACCCTACCCTACCCTACCCTATCCTACTCTACCCTACCCCTACCCCTACCCTACCCTACCCTACCCTACCCTACCCTACCCTACCCTACCCACCATACCCTGCCACAATATCCTACCTTATGTTATCGTATAGCTCAGGCTAGCCTATCGTAGCCCACCATGCACTTTACAACCTTACTTTACCTTATACTACTCTAGCCCATCATATGCTACTTTACCCTACCCTACTCTACTATATCTTTCCTTATTATATCCTACTCTAGTCCAGCTTTCTCTGCTCCACCCAACTTCACCCTTCCTTACCCTTGCCGTACCCGATCTTCATATAAACTGTCTAAAATAAGTGTGCCATTACACTAAGCTTACTATTATAAAAACATGTCTAACATTACATAAACATTTATATTATACAATAAGGCAGCCTTAAGTAAATTGCAAAAAACCGAATTACGTAACTTTTTGTTATGTAATTTGGTAATTTTATGTCATACTCGCCTCGATGTAAAACGACCCAACAAATTACTGCGAGTGTTGGGATTTTACTCCATATTACCTCAAGAGATCGTACTTGATAAGCGATAACAACTTACCATTATCCCTACCCTACTCTATTTTACCCTGCCCTAAACTACCTTACCCTACCCTACCTTTACATATTCTTTGCCACCCTACCCTACGTTGTCATACTATGCCCTGCCGAAACCGACTCTACCCTACCCTACCTTACACTACTCTACCCTGCCCTGCAGTACAATAAAAATTTTTTAAAGACCACTGCCCTAATAGAAAAATAATAATAATACCCCATCCCTCATAACAACAAAGTAATGCCAAGAAAATAAGTAATAAAATATGCGCGTCTGATAAAGAAAGACGGCTTTTCAATTTGTCTCTTCAGTTTCGGGCCGGACCGCAAAATCTCGAATGCCGGAAATTCGGCCTTCGAACTGAACGCTGTGTCCACTTTCGAATCCCTAACAGCGAACAAACAAAGCCTTCGGGGCAGTGAAATGGGTTATAAAATGGCATTTTTAAGATAAATATCTGTTTTGATGAGATTGACAATATTCAAAAATTAAAAAAAAAATTTTTTAATTAAAAAAAACAAAAAGAAATTTTGAAAATAATTTTTTTAATTAAAAAAATTTAAAACTCATTTTTGGTTACAAAAACTCACCTCAAAGACTTGATCACAGGCACCTCATCATAGTCTTGTTCTGGTGTCTTCGGCCGTTCATAGATGTTCTCTTGACCATAACCTCTACTGTCCGAATAGTGATGATTGTCAAAGATAACTGAGTTACTGTATACTGAAGAAACTGATCTGCTATGGCCGTTTTCTTTGTCTGAAATTAAAAGGTTAAAAATGTGATTAAGATGTATAAATGAAATCGAGTAGAAGAATATGATAGATCAAGGTAAAGTAGAATTAGATAGAAAAAGTAAGGTAAAGTAAAGTAAAGTAAGGCAGAGGCAAGGACGGTCAGTGCAAAGCAGAGAAAATTAAGGCAGAGTGGGGGCAGGGTAGGATAGGGTAAAGTAGAGTAAGGAAAAGAAGAGTAAGACAGAGAAGAACAGGGCATGGCAAGGTAGAGTAGATTAAGGTAACACAGATTAGGGTAGTGTAAGGCAGAGAAGGAGAAGGCAAAGTAAGGCAGGGCAAAGTAAAGTAAGATAGGGTCAGGTAGAATAAAGAAAGTTAGAGTAAGGTAGAGTAGAGCTAAGTTAGGCTAAGGTGACTTACGATAGAATGAGGTAGGACAGGGCAGAGTAAGGTATTGTAGAATAAAGTAAGGTAGGGTAGGACTGAATAAAGTAGGGTAGAGTAAGATAGGAAAAACCAACTTACTATCAGGAACTTGATCATAACTCCTCTCATACACCTTATCATATTCATTCAATTGTTGAGCAACTTCTTTGCCTTGTTTAGTATGAATCGATCCATAAGTATACTCATCAGCATTGCTTTTAGCTTTTTGGAAGGCTCTACTGTACAGTAATTCATCCTTTTCTTTACCATCAACATCATTTTCGTACTGTTTTGAAGCTTTTTCATATCTTAAAGACTGGTTACTGTATTCTGAAGGCACTTTATCGTAATCTGAAGGCACCTTATCGTATTCTGAAGCCGTTTTCTTGTAGTGTAAGCTAGTTTTGCTAGGTTCTGGGGCCTTCCTGTTGTAGATAACATCCTCAACTTTGCTTTGAATACTACCACTGTGATGTTTTTGATGTCTCTCTCTATGTTCACCATGATGTTTAGCTTCTTTACGTTCATAGACATCATAGATTGGCCATTCTTTTGTACTGCCATATACATCATGAACTGCTCTTTCTTTTCCACTATATACATCATAGATTGACCCTTCTTTTCCACCACCATATTGGTCAGTATACCCTCGGCCAACAGACTGTTCTTGCCAAAGTTCCTCTCTAATATGCAGCCGATCTAGTCCAGCTGGGGCCGAGATATTTCTTCTTCTAGCCTTCAATAGAACACCCAACGAAATATTACTTTTGTTAGGTGTCAAAGTATGTTTACTGTCCTGTTCTACTGGTATAAGATAGGTAGGAATGGACCATTTTTGATGAGTTATATATTGATTTAAAAATTGATCTTCAGCTTCGAAATTTTTGAAAAATTGCCTTTGACGGAAAGAATCGCGGTTAATCTTGTAGAATTGGCTTTCGGTTGACAGTTGATTGTTGTAGCCGGCTTGAGTGTTTGATTGATTGCCGTAGCCTCTTTGGCCTTCCACTTGGCTACCATACCTAACCTGACCGCTTCTCTCATTACCATCATGCCTTCTCACATCAATATTATCATAGACCCTGTACTCTTCTCCCTTAATCCTCACGACTTCAACAACCTTTCCACTAAACAAGGTATGACTCTTCTTCAGCTTCGGCCTTGGAATCTGATAGTACCAGTCGGTTTGAGCTGTAGACGAAGCAATGCTATCTGAGTATTGTCTTTGAGGTCTTTTATATCTCGTAGGCCTTAGGGTTTGAATACCCGTAGCTGGTATAACACGAGCTGGGTATGGTTCTCCTTCAATATCTGAGCCAGTCTCTACTAGCATGTGGTCATGTGTACTGTAGATGCCTTTGTTTTCGTATATTGAGGTTTGTTTTTGAATTTGCTTGGTCTTGGAAGTAGCGGATGTTGTGGATGCTGAACTTCTTAGTACGTTTGAATCAAGTTTTTGGCCAATTGATATTACTGGGTCAATTTTCTGTCCAATCTCAGAAGTTCTTTCAACTTTTTGTCCAATATATGAGGTCCTCTCAACATTCTGCCCAAGTTCAGTACCAACTTTTTCAACAGTACTATAAGGTACATCATATTCTCCTTCATGCTTGTCCTCCACATCTACACCTTGCCCAACATTGACCGATACGCTGTCGTACGGAAAACTGTCAGCCGTTAAAGTATGTGCTCGTTCGTACCAATGCCCCCGTCGCGCGTACTCAACTTCATCGCTTTCTTTGTACCGTTCCGAGCCTTCAATTGGCACGTATTCATCGATAGAGGTTTGAGGAAGCTCTTCGGATCTCTTTAGCACTTCATCGTAATTTACCTGATCATCGTGGGTTACTGTATTTTTATCACCAATTTCTGTGTAGATGTCTTCTGAAGCTTGAGGGTCATTTGATCGTTTAATTGGGATTTCGTAGCCATCGTTTGTTGAAGCAGTACGTTCTAGCTCTTGATGATGGTGTTCTTCATCTGCTATGTGGCCTTCTGATTCTGTTGGTTCAGCTACAATATCGTAGTAGCCTCTAGAATCATGTTGTTGAAGTTCTTCCGGAACAACGTCGTAGATCGGCTCTCCTGTGGTTTCATTGTACAAAATACCCTGACCTTCCCCATCTTCTCCACCCTCATAATAATGAGTAGGAACGCCTGGTCGACTACCCTCCCATGGAAGGTAGTCCAAACCACTGGTGTAGTACGTAAAATGATCGTCGACGTATTCTGTAGCCGGTGAAAGAGCTTGCGACGAATTTGAGCCACTTTTCTCTACATCAACATGTAGATCTTTGTCAGTTTTGCCACTTGACGATGATTCTGGGCCGAATTCAATGGTTTGTTCTTGTACCTCGACTTCTGGGTGATAAGTTATTTCACTTAGTTCTCGTTCACGGTGTAGCGTTTCGTCTGGCAAGGCATCGGTTATTCTTTCTTCTAGGAGTGGGTGAGCGTACCTTTCGCTTGGTGAGTAATCATACCTTACTCCGCCGCCAATAGACGTACCTTGATGAACTTCGTCGTATCTTACTCCAGTACCAATTGATCTATCTTCCTCCATCCTCTTTTCATACGGTATTTCTTCGTAGTATTCCTCAGTAGGCACTTCATCGTACACATGCAAGTCCTCTTTCCTTCTGTACTCAAATTCAGCGTCATCGTACTCAAGTCGTCGGTGGCCTTCGTGCTCAACACTTCTATCTTCCTCATCATCACCATGGTATTTAACATGACCATGTCTGTACGAATCATCAAAGTGTTCACGTTCAACCACAGTATATTCTACATCTTTCTCTTTGTGTAGCTCTTCTACATCAAGTTGAATATCTTCTGGGAACTCAATATCAACAGCTTTTTGATGTTCACCAATAACCGTACCTTCACCAATGTTTAAGTCATCTCTTGAAACTACCGTATCATCAATACTCTCACCGTGCTTCAGTACCTGTAGACCTTCATCATAATCAACATCAATCACCAATGGCACATAGACCATTTCCATGCTTCTAAACAACATAACATCGTACACTTCTGGCACTTTTTCGCTAGAATGTATCGTCGAGGTACTGTAGCCCAGTTCATCCGAGCTTCTTCTCAGCTCATGAACTTCGGAATCGTAGAAATGGCCAGTATAGTGTTTGGCAGGGCTGTAATCCTCACGGATCGTGGTTCTTCTTCTGATTACAGCTGAATCCGCAGCCTTTCGTTTGAGTGGATCGGTTAGGATTCCTCGTTTACGATCTTCTAGAAGTAGATCACGTTGGTAGTTGCGATCGATTTCGAGTACTGACGCGCGGAATTCACGGTCTTTCCAGAGTAACACTGGTACGTCAATGTCACGGTCATCTCGTAGGGATTCGCGGGTTTCTGTTCGAGATTTAGGGACTGGTTCGAGGTATTGATCATGTTGATATTCTTCTTCCAACACTTCTTTTACAATTTCTGAAGGTGAAGGTAGGTCATGGTCGATTGTTTCGAAACCAGATGGTAGTCCTGTCGATAGGACATTGATGGTTTCTGAAGCCGAAGGAAGTCCAGTTTCAATGGATTCTGAAGTAGACGGTAAGCCATCATAAACAGGTTCAAATGGAATACCTTCTACATCGTTTTCTGGCTTCAGAATCTCAATTTGTTCACCAGCTCTGGGTTCTCCTTCCTTTGCTGGCCGATAAACAACTCCACCACCAATATCTTCATCATGACCTTGTCGTATTTCTTCGTACCTCGTATGTTTTTCATCATAACTCTGTCGTGTCTCTTCACCATAACCTACACCTTGACCAATATCAACTTCAGCATGTTCTCTAGCCAGTTCATGAGTTTGGTGTTGATGTCCATCATGTTTTCCTTCGTACAGATGTTCATGATGAGCACGTTGTTCCTGGTGTTTACCAGGTTCATAATGCCCATAATAGCCTCGAGAATCAATATCTTCATAGACATTTTCTTCGCGATGCCATCTAGTCGTATCGTGCTCAACATAATGAGTTTTATGTTCATCTACTGGTGGATAGTCGTAACTGATGTCTTGTCCGATTTCAGCACTTTCTTTGGATTTTTCAACACCTTGACCAATACTCATACCGCCTTTAGCTTGTTCAACATCTTGGCTTCGATGAACAACATCAATATCTTGTCGTACATCTTCTACAGCATCCCTAGTATGTTCATGTTCAACTGGTGGTAGATCGTAATGACTGTCTCTTTGCCATTTTGTTGTGTCATGTTCATGGTACTCAATTTCATCGTATTCTACTGGAGTTGGTGGCTTTATCGGAGGGAAATCGTATCTCGGTACAGTGATATCTTGGCCGGTAGAACCTTCTGAAGATGGTATCTTCGGTACATACTCGATTGAAGATCTCTGGCCTTCGTATCTGGATGTTTCGTGTTCATAGTATTGTAATACGTCATCCGTACTATGTTCGTGCACAACTTGAGTTCCAGTTCCAATATCTTGGCCAATATGTGCCCCACTACCTACATCAACATGTTGGCCAATATCACCATGAACAACACCTTTTTGTTCATGATCAATCTCTTCATTGACCGGTGGAAAGTCGTATGTAGGTATCTCGGTAGTAGCCCTTTCATATGGATATTGATAGTTTTGTCTTTCACCCGTCCATCTGATTGTTTCATGTTCTTTGTATCTTGTTTCATGTACCTGTACCGGTGAAGGCGGTTTTAGTGGTGGCACTTCGTAGATTGGAGTTCTTTCACTGATTTCATGTTCAAACGAAGGCTCTTTTACTATCTCAACTGGTGGTCTTTCAATAATATCTAATGGTTGGTCTACCGGCGGATAGTCGTAGGTATCATGGTGATAATCATATCGATGCTCATGTTCAATATGAGTATGTTCCAGTTCCCCATGTCTTGCTAGCTCATGAGTTTGATGTTGATGACCAGCATGAGAATCTTCGTCAATATGTTCCTGACGATCAATATCTTGTCCAATATCACCAATTTTTGTACCGTGCCCAACCTCAACACCTTGTCCAATATGTTGTACATGTTCATGATGAACTTCTTGACCAATATCAACATGTTCATTCTCGATATCCTGGCCAATATCACCAATGTGAGATCCATGAGCAACGTCAATGTCAACATGTTCATGATGAACACCTTCGCCTATACCAATGTGTTCGTGTTCATGAGTATTTCCTCGATCAAACTCATGTCGTTGATGTTGATGACCTTCATGTTCGTCATGGTATAATGGTTCGTGATATACATGTTCTCTTTTATGATGAATATGTTCTTCATAATGTCGACTATACTCATGTTGTTCTTCTTTAATATCTTCATAGTGCTCTTCTTCTTTTTGACGTCGTAACTCATCGTACCATGAAGAAGTCGGACGTTGATGTACATGATGATCAAGTTCATAGTGACCAAACTCCAAATCTTTTAGTAAAAGGCTTCCGCTTTCTTCTACTGAAGCTCCTTGACCAATTTCTTCGTGCTTTTCGTATGGTGCACTTGGTACTTTAATTTCATCATACTCATCTGGATTCGGTAGGTAACGGTCAATTACAACAGTTTCTTCAACTATATGTTCTGATGGTAGTGGCAAGTCCGGTAGATGGACTTCTTGACCAATTTGCTTTTCGTGATGACCTACATCAATATGAGCATGCTCACCATGATCTACCTGCCGTTCTAGTACAAGTTCACAAGCTACAAACTCTTTTTCCGGCTCCAGAAGATCAATAAGATACATTGGAGTATAGATTGGGCTTCTTCGTTGTCTGTATTCAATGTTTCCAGAGCCTGTTATTGGCGTTACTGTGATTGTACTATCAAGTTCTTTACCTTCTTGATGTTCTACAGATTCTTGACGACTTCGTTGGTACTCAGAATGCTCTAATTCTGCTCCATGACCTATAGAATCATCTATTTTTGAAGCTTCACGACCTATAGAACCGTCAACATCATCAATTTTTTGGCCAATGCCTCCTTCAGAAGCTCTTCTACTTTGATGAACTTCAACACCGTGCCCAATTTCATGTTCAACAACAGTTGTTTTCTTTATAACCTCAACAGCATGCCCAATATCTTCTCGTTTTCCTTCTTGAACTTCATACTCAATATCAATTGACTTGACAATCTTTTCGACTTCAATCTTGGCCCCAGCTCCAATTTGTTCATGACCAACTCCTTGACCAATACCTTCATATTGATGTTCTACTCTTTGTCCGAGGTCTACATGTTCAATTCTTTGACCAATAGTATCTTGTTCACGATGAACACCTTGACCTATATCAATGTGTTCATGTTCATGAGTATGTCCTCGATCAAACTCATGTCTTTGATGTTGATGACCTTCATGTTCACCATGGTGCAAAACATGATCACCTTCATTTTCACCATGGTGCAAGTCATGATGACCTTCATGTTCTTCATGCCCAATCACCACCCCCTGGCCAATCTGAATCGTATCATAGCTCCAATACTGTGGCTTCTTAGTATGAAACGGTATCGTAGGCATGTCAGTAGACCTATTCAGCAGATGATACAGAATAGAATGCTTTCGATTCACCACACCACCTTCTACTGTATGTTCTTCATCAACAACTTCTTTATTGATCTCTTGAGTGATCCTCCTCTTGGCCTTCTCAATCGTATCTTCAATCTCAATATCGTAGCGAGTTCTTCCTTCTTCCACAACATTTTTTGAATCCTCTAAGTCTGTAAGGTCTTCATAGTACCACTCTCGAGGGTATTTGTCTAAACTTATGATTAATGGGTAATGCTTGCTCTCAATGTAGAACAAAAGATCTTCTTTTGTAGATTCTGAAGGTTCAATGCCTTGTCCAATATGTTGATCATGCTCACGGTGGACTTCTTGGCCAATTTCACCAATTTTAGTATCGTGCTCAACTTCAACAGCTTGTCCAACGTGTTCTACGTGTTCATGATGAACTCCTTGACCAATGTCAATATGTTCGTGCTTGATTTCCCGACCAATATCACCAATTTGAGCTCCATGACCTACATCAATATCATCATGTTCATGATGAACAACTCCACCTATATGAATGGGTTCATGATGAACACCTTCGCTTATATCAATGTGCTCATGCTCATGAGTATGTCCTCGGTCAAACTCATGTCGTTGATGTTGATGACCTTCATGTTCACCATGATACAATGGGTCATGATGAACATGTTCTGAATGATGATGAATCCGTTCTTCGTTATGAATATCTTCTTCAACATTCTCTCCATAATGCCTACTATCATGTTCACCATGATGAACATGTCCTTGACTGTCTTGTTCATCATGATGACCATGTTCAACTTCATGATGATCTACAGAAGCACCTTCACCAACTTCTAACGCCTTCTTTTTCGTACTTTTACTCAAAGTTTCTTCAACTTCAACATCGTACTGATGACGTCCGACTTCAGTTACAGTTTTCTCATCATGTCTTGCCAACTCATGAGTTTGATGTTGATGACCAGCATGAGGATCGTCTTCTGAATGTTGGTGGCCAGAATGATACTCTTCAGTATGTTTATGTCCTGGATGATTTTCTTCTGCATGTCCTTGATATTCCCCTTGGTCAAATTGTTCATGACGCTCAACATCTTGTCCAATATCTCCAATTCTTTCACCGTGCTCAACTTCAACACCTTGTCCAATATGTTCTACATGTTCATGATGAGCTCCTTGACCAATATCAATATGTTCATGTTTGATTTCCTGGCCAATATCACCAATTTGAGCTCCATGACCTACATCAACATCATGGTCTTCATGATGAACACCTTCACCAATATCAGCACGTTCATGACAAACACCAATATCAATGTGTTCATGCTCATGAGTATTTCCTCGATCAAACTCATGTCTTTGATGTTGATGACCTTCATGTTCATCATGATACAAAGGAGCATGTCCGTGAGCATCGCCTTCAGATTCTTCTTCAATATCTTCCAAATATGAATCATCTTCTACTAGTACAGCCTTCTTTGTCGTCTTTTTGCTCAAAGTCTCTTCAAATTCAATATCATAACGGTGTTGTCCGACTTCTGTTATAATTTTCTCATCTGAATCTTGATGTTCACTAGGCTTCTTGTCTTCGAATTCATCGTTAACTCGGTCTTCATATTCACCATGCTTCTTCAAGCCTTCTGAATTATCGTGGCCTCCGTAGCCTCTAGAATCACCATGTTTTACAAGATCTTCACCTTCAGCATGCCCACCATAGCCTCTGGAATCCGCTTCGGCTTCTTCACGCTTCTGGAGTTCCTGTTCATCCAGCGTCGGCATAGGAGTGGTACCACCTGAGCTATACTGTAATGTAGAGCTCTCTTCATCCAAATAATTGTCGGAGAAGCGTAGCGAAATAGAATCCGTGTTACTATGTGAGGTTTTAGAAGACTGATTGGACTCTTTTGAATATTCTCGTCGATGATGTACATGTTGGTACTCGGTATGTTCTATATCTTTGTTGTAGTGAAGTTTTTCGGTTTCTGTAGATGATTTTTGATCAATTTCTGATGCGATAGTATTGTCATTGTCGTGTTCTGTTATTGTTGTTGTATCGTGGGTGTAGCCTCGGGAATCTGGCTGGGTTTGGGGTCTGAAATAGGGGGTTTAGTGGGTTAATATGTCTTGTGGTGACCAAGTTTTCTTTTGAAGAATATTTTATTTTACTGTGCCGTAACTTACATTACCCTAGCCTGCTGTACCCTTCCCCACCCTACCTTACCATACCCGACTCTACCATACCCTACTCTATCTTACTCTATCAACACCTAACCTCCCCGCTGCCATTCCTTGCTGAACCAACATACCTTCTAGAATCATACTTCACTCCACCATAGCCTCTAGAATCCCTCGAGCTTCTGTATCCCTCATACTCTTTCCTTCTTCTCTCCAAATCCTCATCGTACCTTCTCAACCTTTCTTCTTCATCCTTCTTCAACTTCTCCCTCCTCTCAAACTCATCAACATCAAAGTGTTTTCGGAACAAGTCTGGATCATTCTCGAACAACTCCTTCAAATCAGCCGAAATCTGGGCATCTTGATCTCGATTCAGCACCGTTTCCAGTCGGTATGACCTCACATGTTCATGGATATACCTGATCTGCTCGTCTGTCACCTCCCTCTTATCTCTGAACCGGTCTCTTCTTTCAATCACAGCATCAGCCGAGCTACCGTGCTCACCGTGCCCAAACAAAATCTTCTCATGACTTGTTGTAGTTTGGTCGGATTCATCGTCAAAGCTTTGTGGAGTCATTTGATCACTGAACTTTGAGTTCAAAGAGTCATGGTAGAACTTTTCGGCCGGTTCTATCCTATCACAATATGGGTCAGCTTCGAGGGTTGGAGCTGAACCGTAGAGACGATAGGTTAGAGCTTGGAAGTATTCGTGCCAGGACTGACGATGAGATTCTGTAGAAGGATTTTGAGCTGGTTTTTGGCCGGTTTTTGAGAATCTAGTGGATTCAGAAGCGATTTCTAAAGCCGTTTTGGCATCTGAATCCCTTTTAAAAGAGCTTTCAGCTTCTGAATCGCCTTTAGAAAAAGTTTGAGCTTCAGAATCCGAATGAAAGACTGTAGAATGTTGAGCTTCTTGTTGTCGTCGAGCCTCTTCTTGTTCGTGAAGATGCGCCTCGATTAAACGTTCGTTATCTGTTGTCATATCCATGCTGGCGGAGACTTTCAGCGATTCGACCGGTAAATGAAGCTTCCCGGAACTGGCTAACTACAAATTTTAAAATTTAACAAAATTCATGTTTTTTGGATTTTCTTTTCAAATTTTAAAAATTTGAAAAAAAAGAATAGGAAATTGAAATTTGTCAAAATTTTTTTAAAATTCATACCTTTTTCAACACACCAACTTTACGAACATGATACCGTGCATAGAGTAGCCGTTGTCGTTGTAATCGATATATCAACCAATTCCGCTCTTCCTGAAATAAAAAAAAGTCATGAAAAAACGTTTTTTTAGTAGTTCATGGGGGGGGGGTTCGAGGTGAAAAAAATTTAAAATTTCACGTTTTTCTACCATGCCCTATCTCAGCCTTACTATATCCTTACTCCAGCCTTACTGTGATGCTGCCAAGCCTCACTCTGACTATACCCTATCTTACACTATGTATTCAACCAAGCCCTACCGCACCCTTGATCTACCATACCTTACCTTACCTTACCCTGTCCTACCCTACACTTAATCTACCCTACTTTGCCTACCGTACCGTGCCCTACTATACCCTAAGCTATCCTACCCTGCACTATACAGCCCTGTGTTTGTCCAGACTTCCTTAGCACAGCCTATTGATCTACTCTACCTTGCCCTACCCACCGTGAGATGCTTTACGTGACCTTGCCCTACCTTTCCCTACCCGACCCTTGATCTACCCTACTCTGCTCTAGCCTACCCTTCACTACCTGGCCTACCATTCCCTAATTTACCCTACCATTGCCTACCCTACCCTACCCAGCCTTATCAAAGCCCACTCCCCCCTCGACAATAAGCCCCTTGTTATTCGACCTTATCTACCAGCCCCCAAATGTACTCTTCATGGCGAACTGGGATTAGAACAAGAGAATTTTGGTTCAAAAACTCAAAAACAAAAAATTATCAGTTCTAATCAGCGGAAATTATTCTTTACGACATGACAAACAAATATCCCGGAGTCGGCGCTACAAAAGGAATGTAATATGTTTGCACTTTTTGGGCATAAAAGTTTCCATATTTGTGAATTTATCGTCGAAATTTGATTAGAAATAGTACTGGATATGAGGTTTTTGACCGGCTTTAGAACAATGATTTCTATGAAGTTTCTGGTCGGTGTTTCAAAAATTTGTTCTACGGACTTTTTGACCGGCCTTAGGGCAATAAATTCTATGAAATTTTTGACCGCCATTTCAAAAATCAATTCTATGGACTTTTTGACCGGCCTTCAAACATTGACTTCTATGAACTTTTAGACCGGCATTAGAACAAAGAGTTCTACGGACTTTTTGACCAGCTATGAAAAAATTACTTCTATAAACTTTGTGAACGGCCTTAGAAAAGTGACTTCCATAGACTTTTTGACCTTTATTTCAAAAACCACTTCTATGAAGTTTTTTACCGGCCTTGAACCGTTGACTTCTATTAAATTGTTGACCGGTTTACAACCGTTGACTTCTATGAAATTTTTGACCGGCGTTTCAAAAATCTGTTCTACGAACTTTTCGACCGGTCGTAGAAAAGAAACTTCTATAAACTTTTTGACCGCCGTTTCAAAAATGAATTCTATGAATGTTTTCACCAACTTTTAAAAGTTTGCTTCTATGAATTTGTTGACCACAAACAAAGCCTTAAAAGGATGTTGTTTTAATGACTGTGCTTAATAGCAAAAAAAAAATAAAATCAATTAAAAAACCAATTTTATGACACATCCATGCGTCAAACCCGGTTCATATGCTAAGCTAGGTTCAGATAGCATAATTAGATAATGAATTTGTCATATTTTCGATAATGGTCATAAGAGTTGCAGTGATAAAGGTATTGTGAAGCCCTTTTGGCATATGATTGTAAACAATATGGTAAACATGTCATAGAAAGAATTTTATCAAAGCTAGTGGAATTTGAAATAAAAAAAGAAGAATATGAACATGGTAACAAAGCTTTTTTTTTAATTTTCGGTCAAGAAACGTCTGTGCGACATTGAACATTTTTTGATTGATGCCTATGATAATATCCGCCAAAATTAATAAGATTTGTAATTTTAAAAACCTGAACTATATCTCAAAAAAAGCCTAAATCTTAAAAGAATACATTACGAGAGTTGCAAGCCCCAGTAAATCGGATAACAATACAAAAAAAACTTTATGTTATCCATGCTCTAGTGTCTATGATAATATTGCAAACCAGTGAATCTAAATCATAACAAAATAAAATACATTTCAGAACAAACATGAAACCTCAAAACATACTTTTCTAGTTTTTCAAGACCATTAAAAACCTTTAACGTTCTAAAACGGATTATTTTATATTATCCTTGATGCCTATGATAATATCGCCTAACCTACGGCAATTTCTAACTTAAATAAACAAAGTTATACTTCAAAATAAACATAAACGCATAAAGAGTAATGTGTCAGCTTTTGAAACTCATCAGAAACCGCTAACTTACGAAATAATAGCTTTGTATATTATCCATGCCATCAAACCCCGAAATTCAATTAAAAAACAATGTAAAAACTCACAGTATCAACAGTCTGTTCCAGTAATTGTTCTGTATCACGACAATCAGCTTTGAGAGCAGTAATTCGTTCATCCAACGCCTTCACAGCACTTGACGCTTCCTGGAATTATAAATTTATGTTATCCGTGGGAGTCTTTGATGATAAAGTTAAAGAAATCAATTTTTAAGAAGATGGCATTGAAATTACTGATGGTGAATACAATTTTGATCAAAAAAAAATAATTTTATTCAATCAAAATGCCAGACTTTCTATTTTTCTTTAAAGAAATTACGAAAAAAGACAAGTTATACGTACGATTGTGCTAGTTCCGGCGGATTGGACATATTCCTGGAATTTTCGTTCGTCCGGATCGTCGATTGGTCGTGCCATCAATGGAATATCATAAAGTAAGTATTTTTACATATTTTACGTTGTATTAGAGTTTATATTCCATGATATGCCGAAAATATTGAGTTATACAGAGCGCACGATGTATTTTCTCACGAAAAAAGGTAACAATCAAGATGTTTTTGGTTGTAACTTTTTTAAAAAAACAGGTACAATTTTGAAATTCTGTGTAAAACAGGATTATATTATCTGTCAAAGGATTTAATTTTCAAATTTTTAAATTTGCTTTTGAAAAGCCGGAAAAATCAATGTTCTCCAAGCGGGGTCGAACTTTTTTAAATTTTTGACTTTTTTAATTCAATGTAGCTCGGTCAAATATCATGGTATAAATATAAAATTACTGAATTATACATAACGTTTTATGCTCTAAAAAATCTACTTTTTCAAATTTTCAAAAAAAATTTTTGGTAAGGTTACTGTAACTTTGAGGGTTTGAAAGATTTTAAGATTTTCTTTTTTTGAATAGCTGAGAAAAAGATTGGTCTTTAACTATGGCCAAGGTCAAAGTTCTATATGGTTGATTAAAAAAGTTATGACAAAAAGGAATTTATCAACCATTTTTTTATTAAAATTAGTCAGATATTATTCTATAAACCAATTTCAAACCAAAAAAACTTAAAACCAATGTTATCATACCCTAATTAGCTCAAAATTAATCAACAAAAAGAATCGTATATAATATATTGTGTAGGGAAAATGTTTCTACACAAAGTTTTCGGCGGCCTAATCATCGCCAACTCTGCTTGCACTCGCCAGTGATAAGCATTTCAAGCCAAACATTGCGGGTAAATGCAAATTATCAAGAAGATTATGGGGGTGAACTAGCCGGGCAAGTCATCATAATAACCGTGTTTTCTTTTTGAAATTTTGAATAGTTTGGTTTTGGGGAGAAAAATGGCAAGAACATTGTTTACAAGGTATGATATGGCAATAACTTTCTTTACAAAGCAAAAAATGGCAAGAATTTTCTTTACAAAACAAAAAAATTGTAAAAACTTTCTTTACAAGGCCAAAACTTCAAATTTTTTATTGAAAATTATTCTTACAGCTCAGTTTGGAGCAGAAGCTTTATCTGTTTAACCAGTTATTGATAACCAAGGCCTATGTTAGAAAAAGTAACAATAACTTTCTTTACAAAACAAAAAATGGCAAGAACTTTCTTTAAAAATCAAAAAATGGCAAGAACTTCCTTTACAAAACAAAAAATGTTGAAAACTTTCTTTACAAAGCCAAAAAATAGCTAGTTTTATGGTTCATCGTATAACATGTCACCCGCAGCCCGCGAAATCCTTAAATTTGCTAAAACATCGTTAGAATAATAAAAATGGCAAAACCTTTTTTTACAAAACAAAAAATGGTAAGTCCTTTCTGTACAAGGCCAAAAATAGCAAGAACTTTCTTTAAAAGCTTCAAAATGACAAGAACTTTCTTTACAGTCTTAAAAATGGCAAGAACTTTCTCTACAAACCAAAAAATGGAAAAAACTTTCTTTACAAATTAAAACACGACAAGAACTATCTTTACAGAACAAAAAATGGCAAGAACTTTCTTTACAAAACTAAAAATGACTCTTTAGTTAGAAAATAGCTGACCACTATATTTATGAAAATTTAGAATTTGAAAAAAAATTGTCCATGTTTGCCCTCTCAAAACAACTTGTCATATTTATGACCAGCAAACAATTTTCCCAAATATTCGAAAAAAGAAAGAATTTTGGTCCGATAAACAGTCGTTATTTGAAAAAGTTAAGAGTTTCATTATCAGCAAGTCATATTTGAGGGTATTACACGCAAAAACTGGGCTAGCCGGAAGTGTGCACTCCTGTTGGAGATAACTTCGAAAGGTATTACAATTTTTTGCAGTGTAATTTTTTTTTTTAGTTTTAAAATTGATTTTTAGTTTATTAAGAGTAGGATAAGGCTAGAGCAGGTATTATAGTTTAGGGCAGAGAGAGGTAATGTAAGACAAAAATTTTTAGTAACGTACGGTAAAGTTGGGCTTGGTAGATTAGGGTAAAGTAAGGTAGGGCGGGGTTGGGTAGGATATGGTAGGGTAGGACAGTACAACGCAGGACATAACAGTGCAATGCAAGACAAAGCAGGCTAGGGTAGCGAAGGGTAGGATAGGGGAGGACGAGGTAACATAATGTAAGGTAAAGTTAAATTGGGAACTGTAAAGCTGGAAGGAGTGGTATAGAAGTAAAGGCGGACTACAGTGATGCTGGTAACATTATAGAGTTAGTACAGTACTGCCACTAAGACTAGGGATTGTGTAACTACACTAATAATCTGATTGGTTAAGGAAGGGTACGCGGTGGGGCAAAAAGGCAGGGTAATGTGGTAGTACTAGGAGTAGAAGGAGGGAAAGGGTAAGGTGATGTAGAACGACAAGAGTTAGGGTAGGGTAAAATAAGGTAGGGTAAAGTAAGGTAGGGTAGGCTAGGGTAGAGTAGGATAGGATAGGGTAGGGTAGGGTAGGGTAGGGTAGAGTAGGGTAGGGTAGGGTAGGGTAGGGTAGGGTAGGGTAGGGTAGGGTAGGGTAGGGTAGAGTAGGGTAGGGTAGGGTAGGGTAGGGTAGGGTAGGGTAGGGTAGGGTAGGGTAGGGTAGGGTAGGGTAGGGTAGGGTAGGATAGGGTAGGGGAGGGTAGGGTAGGGTAGGGTAGGGTAAAGTAGAGTAGATTAGGGTACTTTATTGTAAAAACTAGAATTTTAAGCCTTTCTAAGCATCAAAATTTTATTAAAACACTAGTAAGAAAAGCTTAGTATGGCCAATCCTCAGCTCCAGTAAACACACCACCATCGAAGTTTTGTGGTACCAGTTTCGTGCACTCTCCAGTACTAGTTCTTGGGTAAATAATCAGTCGACAATCCTTCACATCGTACAACTTTGTCAGTTCGAACGTGTAATACGATATGAAAACGGCGTATTCGGCCAAAACCACATCGAACTTGACATAGGAATGGCAGCTGGGCGAGTCGACGAAAGTCTTATGGAAATGGTACAGGAAACCGGCCTGCCATACGAACATGACACAACAGGCGGTTTTGATGACAAATATGAGTTTGTCGACACTACTCTCGATACGAATGAATGTCACTAACATGGCATTGCTACAGAACGACAAGGCTGACGATATTATCCATATGGTGAAGACTATTTTGTAGGCTACTGTAATATAAAAAAAGTTAGTTTTTGAAGTTTAGGTATGAGCTTTAGTTTGTTCAAATAATTTTGTGCCCTTTCTCAAAACGTTTTTTTTAAGGTTGGCGAGGGGGAGCGCTCAGAATTATTTGAACAACCTAATAGTAAGCACGGTATTCTATTGTAAAGCTTTTAGTATGTTGGGCAGGGTAATTATGGTATTTTTGGTAACATACGGTAAACGTGATGTATGAACTTACAAGGGGAATCCAAGATGATATGAATGCATGATAACAAAGTAATACTAGTGACATCTAATAATGAACAGGCCAAACAAAAATGGTTGAGTATTTGGTACACGCAGTTGTGTCGTAGCAGAATGTAGTACAGTTCTTTGCTGATATGAAGTAATGATATATTTGCTACATAGCCCTAGCTCAGAAACCTAGCATAGATCAGAGCTCTAGTCATAGTGCTAGCATTAATCCTAGCCTTATTCCTAAATTTAACTCTTGCTCTAGCCGTAGCCTATAGTTATGTTGCGGAACCCCTCACAAAAACGAACTTTTTACACAATGACCTAGTATTGATTTTATAACAATATAGCCTTAGTGAAATTGCAAGAAATGGTGTTACGCAACGTTTTCTTATGTAATGTTGTGGTTTTATATCATATTTGCCTCGGTGTAAAACGACCCAACAAATGACTGCGAGTGCTGGGATTTTACTCCGTTTTTCCTCAAGATATCATCATGTAACAGCTATAATAATTTTTATAAGCTAGGCATGGTTATCTTGCCACAAACTACATAGTTGCTCACAAGTTCTAACAAGGAAAGTACCCTACCTGTAACTCTCAGAAATAGCTCAAAATTTTTATACGGATTCTTTGTAGTACCAGTAGCACATATAAAAAATCTTAGTTTGCGATTTTAAGTTTTAAAAATTAAATATTTGAAATTCCCGCCAATTTGGCATTGTGTTGCAAACACTTTTTTTGATGTTCCAGATAAGACAGGCTTACAAATTTAAAATTGTAGGTACATTAAGAACTTTTTTATCATTATATTAAAGAAAAATAGTTAAAAGTCAAAAACTGACAAAGTTATAATCTTGAAACACAATGCCAACTTGGCGGGAAATTCAAAACGCGGTTTTTTGATTTCGATTTTCTCAAGTCTGGCCGCAAACCGCAACTTAGAATTTTGCATAAGATCTTACATTCACGTGACCTTTCAATTAAAAAAAATTGAACGAAATCTGAGGTCGGGTACCTTCCCTGTAAATTTAAGCTAACTAATGTAAGTCTAAGGCTAAGCCTACCAAGTCTAGGCCAAATAAAGCTAACCCTACTAAGCTTAAGCGTTTTAAGTCTAAGCCTACTAAGCCTAAGCCTACTAAGCGTAAGCTTACTAAGCCTAAGTCTACTAAACCAAAGCCTACTAATCCTAAGCCTAGTAGCCGTAACTGAACAGCTCTATATGTCAGGCAAAACCTGTATAAACTTACTGTATTACAAAACAGTTCCCCATACGAAATGGCATTGATAAACAACAAGCAAGTCGCAGTGACACATTATTCCAAACATAAAGCGCTGTATGTCTCAACAATGACAGGTATTGCGAAGGCACAGCTGCTTCAGCGTTCTAAAAATATATTGTTGTTTAAATAATTCTGTGCTTTCTAAATTCTATAATGTATTTGGGTTGAGGGCGCAGAATTATTTAAACAGTCTACTAAATGAAGTATAAAATACAGAAGTTTGGTCAGGCTTACATGACAAAATCCCCATTCTTTGCCGAACGAATAGGCTAGCTGTTTGAAGAAGTCGAACTTTTCAAACGGAGATCTTGACGTGAATGAAGGCATGAATAACCCAACCATGGACAGTCCAAAAAACCATATGTAGTTAAACATTAGCGGCCTAAAGTCGTTCAGTTTTAAAGAAGTTTTTACTACTTTTTAAGAGGCTAGAATACGATTTCTAGTAGAATGCATTAATTTAAGGGTAAAGTCCCGTCTAACGCAACACCTACCACTTCAAGTTCATATTTAACCAAGCCAAGTCTTGATTATCATCTTCTTTCAACGGTACTTTGGCATCTAACAACTTTTTGGACATGGTCATAGTGTTCCTTTTATGAACTGCAATGAAAAGTCAATTTAAATTTTTGTTCATTATAAATTTTAAAACTAAAGGCTGATACTATAGTTAGGGTTGAGGCGATAACTGAAAACAAACGTTGAACGAGCGCTAGAGGTTGAGCAAATATTAAGTATGGGTTTACGACTAGGGCTTGGGATAGAGCTGGCACTGGTGTTGGGAATAGAGCCGGGGCTGGTGTTAGGGGTTACGGCTGAGGATAGGCTGGGCCGAAGCGGAGTCTCTGGTCATAAGGCAATGGCTGAAGGCAAAGCGAAAGCAAGGAGTGTGTGGGTCTAGCACTACGACTAAACCAAAAGACAGCTAGAGATGGAGCTAGACCTACAGCTTGAGCTTTTGCAAAATCTCAGGCTTTAGCAAAACAGCTGAAGCTAGAGGTCAAGCTAGGGTTAGGGCTAGCGTTAGAGCTAAAGTTAGTGCTGGAGCTAGAACTAGAGCTAGAGATAGAGCTAGAGCTAGAGCTAGAGCTAGAGCTAGAGCTAGAGCTAGAGATAGAGCTACAGCTACAGCTAGAACTAGAGCTAGTGCTAGAGCTAGATTTAGAGGTATAACTAGAGCTAGGACTGGTGCTAGTCTAGGATCCGGTAGGGCAAAATTAAAAAAATATAAAAAACTGTAATATACTGCAACTACCCCAATACGATCTATCAAACTACATTTTTTCTTTTTCCGCTTACAATAACAAAGATTAAAGCGCCCGCGCAAAAAACGAAAAAAAATTTGTTATCGAAATTAACTATCAGGCTGATAAATAAAATCCGACGCGAACCGAATCTCGAGACTGTTTTTCGTTAAACACGTTCCAGTGTTAAACTAGATGTTCGAACAAGGAACTATATCTTTTTGCGGTGTCATACAAAACATCTTTTTGTATTTTCTCTCGAATTTGTTTTGACTTACGGTATTAAGCTAATTATTCAATTTACTGATCGCAAAGTTCGAATTCTTTACATTACTCAATAGGTAAAGAGGCTGTGTCATATAAATAAACCTGTGGTCAATTACAATAGAAAAAGTTGAATTAAATTACGGTATATGAAGGTTTAATAGTTAGTATACTTATACAACATTAAAAAAAGCGCAAGATATACAACCTGATCATAAAAAACAAGAAGGTAATATACGACCCAGTTACAAAAACAATGTTTACGGTCAAAGAAAATACTTCCGCGTTGCAATTTGTGGTGCACGGGATTAGGCTAGAGTAGTACGTTTTATATTTTTAAAGTACAAGCTATGGCAAAGCTAAGGCAAAGAAAGATAGGGCATAGTTAGGGTCAGTGTGATACATTTGGTCGGTTACAACTAGGGCTAAGGCTAGAGCTGAGTTGAGGGCTGAAGCTTAATTGGAGACTACAGATTGGGCTAGATTTAAGGCTGAGGTTAGGGCCAAGGGTAAGGCTAAAGCTAGGGCTGAAGGAAGGGTTGAGGCTAGATCTGAAGCTAAATCTGAGGCAGAGGCTATGTTTGACAATAGCCTCTGCCTCAGCTTTAGCATCACACCGGTGAGGCAAGGGCTGAGTCTAGGGTTGACGCTAGGACTGAGTTTAGGGCCAAGGCTAAGGCTAAAGCTAGAACTAAGGAAGGGCTGAGGAGAGAGCTGAGTCGAGGGCTGTTTCTAGGGCTGATGCTACAGCTTAAGTTGGGGCTGAGGCTAGAACTAAGGCTAGGACTGAGACTAGGATTGAGGCTAGGGCTGAGGCTAGGGCTGAGGCTAGGGCTGTGACTACAGCTGGAGAGAATTGATGCTAGGGCTGAGACCAGAGCTAAGGCTACGGATGAAGCTAGGGTTGAGGCTAGGGCTGAGGCTAAGGTTGAGGCGAGTCTTTGGAAGAGCCAAAGTAAGGTTTGGCTACATTTCGACAAATTGTAATGTAATATATTGTTTATTTATTGTAATGTAATATATGTTTTTTTAAATACAGTATCTCTTTCTGTACTTGTCCTCCCAGTCAAATACTAGACTATTGAAGTAAACTTCTATTTCTTTGGCATTATCTTTATAGTGGACTTTTTTTGGTTGTAGCTTGATAATGATCCCAAACTTCCAGTAAGCATATAGTGTAGCAAATATTGTGTACAGTGAGATGAAAAAATAGTCTAGCTAAAGAAAATATTTTTTTATTTTTCATTTTTAAAATTTACATTTAGCCCTCACTTTTCAATAATTTCAAACAGAAACTTACATTAATAAACATGCGATACAGCTCCATCCAAATTGGGCTTAAATCTTTAGCAAATGCAATATAAACTGTCAATGCTTCACACGGTAGCCCCAAACAGCCTAATATGAAACAAACCAGCACCACTGGATACATAACAGCTATCTTTTGGCTCTGCTTTATTTCAAAACTTTCGCTTAGAGTTTGACTTTGAAATCGATGGTATGGTAGTCGTAAACGGGCGGTTCGTAGTAACTGAATATGAAAAAAATTTAGTTTTTTTTAAATCTTGATAAGTTTATGAATAGGACTAGAGCCAGAGCTAAAGTTAGAGCTAGAGCTAGAGTTAAAGCTAGAGCTAGAAAAAGAGCTAGAGCCAGACCTAAGAAAGCTTCAAACTGATAAAAAAGGTGCAAGACTTACCCACATACCAACAACAACTGAAGATTGATAAAAGCAGTTGCATAAAATGGCATATCGTGGCGAACTGCAAGGTTCGGCCGCTTTACGTAGCCTTACTTCAATGTCATTATCTGTGTCAAACAAGATGTAAAGTATTGCTTTAATTGAGATGTAGAACACACTCAGAAGAAACTGAAAGTATATTTATAAAAGTACATGCCCTTTTCTTTTTTTTCACCCTCTCCCGAATCCATTACTCGCCCGACCCTAATACTTACAATTCCAAGCAGAATCTTGACGACAATATTGTTAGTTTCATGTTCATAATGTCTTCGCCGTCTGAATGCCATTATTCGTTCGACTGCCAATATATAAAACTTAAAAAGCAAATAACTAAACACACATTGGTTTAAGAAAGCAGAAATTAGAAAAGCAGTAAATGCCAAATCATGTTGAGCATCATTTGAGTTTTCAGCCATATAAAACCAAAATTCAGAAATTGGGTGGAGACAAGGTGAAGCACAGAGGATAATATTTACTGAAATCTGAACAAAACAATTTTACCCTCACCTTACGTGGCACGTCCTATACAAACCATGCCTTAGCGTTACCTTAGCTTTATTCTGACTCTTATAATGCCCATTTCAAGATTTTAATTGTCATTGTCTTGGCCATACCTATCTTTTGCTCTATCATAGTTCTATCAAAGCCTTAGCCCTAGCTGATCTTAGTTTTGCTGAAACCTTAATCTTACGTTTTTTAACCTCAGGCTTCATGTAAACATAACCCTAGTCTTGCTTTCTACAAAAACTTACAAACATTTGCCTGAAACTTTTGTGAAACGCTTTTAGTGACCACAGCTTTTTAAAGTACACTAGATTAATAGTAGCCATAGCACAGCCAACCACAAATTCTGATATTACAAGACATCTTGATGCAATTTTAAGAGAGTTTATTGTAGACGCTTCTTCAGCTGCGTTCATAGCAAGACTGACATTAGGTAACATTTTTTAAAATTTCAAAAATTAAAAATAAAAAAAATTTAAGCTGTTTAACGTTGTAGCATTAAAAATAAACAATCAAAAATAGTTGGTCAAAAACGTCATATCATAACCACAATATTAAACTAAAATAAAGATAGTAAGTTATTTTGGTCTAGTCATACCACTGTATCATAAACCAATTGTACGCAGAGTAATGAAAAACTGAGCAAGTGACTTTCTACGTCGATTGTCAATTATGACATAATTGCTACTAAGAAATAAGTTATTAAAAAACTCATTGCTTACATTTGTATCAACTGTTATACAGTAAGTAAAAACAACTTTTAAAATGTAGTATAGTTGTGCTTTTTGAACAAGCACTGGTAACAAGCACTTACATTTCGTAAATGTAGGGGTTTGACAATGTGAAACAAAATAATATAAAATATCTTTCTTAAAATCCACAATTAGTAGAAACATTGTTTACAAAGTATGTATTATAAGTTTATGAGGACTACAGTAGAGCTAATCTAAGGATAAAAAAACTACTGTTAAAAGGCAAAATAAGATAAGAGGAGAACTATCACAAGATCAATGTAAGGCTAAAACAAGGCTTTTGAAAGGCTAAAGTAAAGACTAAAGTTATGCTACAGTAAAGCGATGATATTACTGCAAACATAAGGCTAGATGTGAGTAAAAGCAAACTTGGTATATAACCTTAAGTAGGACTAACATAGGGCTAAAAAATGCTTAAACAGAGCAAAGAAATGAGCTGAGTTATCGCTAGAGCAGAGCTGAAATAGAGCTAGGACAAAGCTAGAAAATAACTTAAACAGAACTAAAAAATTGCTGAAACTAGTTCTAAGATAGCTTTCAAATATGAATGAGTAGGGTTAGAGTAAGACTAACAAGGAAAGTACCCTACCTGCCCCGCTCGGAATCAGCTCAAAATTTTTATATGAATTCTTCGTACTACCAATAGTACCCATAAAAAATTTTAGCTCGCGCTTTTGAGTTTTAAATTTGAATTATTTTAGTTTACCGCCAATTTGGCAAATTTGGCATTGTGTTTCAAGCACTTTTTTCGGCTTTCCAGACAAGATACGCTTAAAAATTAAAAAATGTAGATTCATTTAATGGTTTTCTACTAGTATATCAAAGAAAAATTATAAAAAGTCAAAAAATGACAAAGATACACAATGCCAAGTTGAAACACAATGCCAAGTTTGCGGGAAATTCAAAATGTCATTTTTTAATCACTTTTCTCGAGATTTTCTGGAAAGCGCGATTTAGTACTTTGCTTAAAGTCTTATATTTACATGATCTTCCTAAATAAAAATTTTAAAGTCAATCAGAGCGGGGCAGGTCGGGCACTTTCCTTGTAAGTTAGGCTAAAGTAAGGCTGAGGTAGAACAAATAAGGTAAAGCTAGAGTTGGCATAGTTGTGCTGCAGTAGAACGAGTGTAGAACATCATGACAGAAACTGTACTTACAAAAAAAAGTTTTTTTAAATTTTAAAGATGGTGCAATGATCCTTTTGCAGTTTATATTTTGACATTTAATATCGATTAAAGTTGATATGTACAAACTTTTGATACAGAGCATTCTAGTTGTTCGACAAAGAGAATAACCTTTTCGTCTCAAAATCAACTGTAAATATAATCAAAGCAATTAATAAGTCGGATTATCACGTGAAACAAGTTATGCGATGGAAAGTGGGTGCAAACAACGTTCACGAGGTAACTAAAGATTCTGGTGGGGTCTATAGTTCAATGGGCATGTTTTGTATGCTGAAAAGGATGTTTTTGTACTATCTATACTCATCTTTTTTAAAAACAAAAAACAATTTTAATGATTTTTTGAAATTTTTTTCAGAGCGTGCAAAGTCTCTACTAAAAGTCTGAGGATGCCAGTTTGGCCAAGAAACAAGTTTTCTTTTGTTGTCTTATCACCCAAAACTTTATAATAATTATCAGAAAAGTCGTTGTTCATTCGTTCTTTTTTAATTTATGTTAAAATTATCTTAACCTTATCCTACTCTGCCTTTGACTTGTCCTTAACAAGGCTTGCTTTCTTCTAGTTTCTACTTTAGCCCCGCTTCTTCTTCTTGTCGTAGCACCTACTCTAGCCCTCTAACTGAATTCCTACCCTAACTTTATTCTAGCTTCTACTCACGGCCTTGTTTTAGCCTTTATCATAGCCCTTACTCTAGCTCTTATCCTTGCTTGTACCCTAGTCTCCTAACTCCTACTCTGGACCCTATTCTAGCCTTTACTTCGACCTTAACTTAGCCTCTCTAATCTTACTGTCAGCTCTACCTGAGCGGCACCTCTAACCCTTACTAAAACTCTATTCTAAACCTTATACTAGCTATATAATTCTTCTTCTAAACATTATACTAGCTATATACAGTAATCTTGCCCCCCTACTATAGCCTTCTGGCTCTACCTATGCCATACTTAAGCTACACTTTATTCCTGTTTCTGATCCACAAAATTCTAATGAAGTATGAGTTTTTATGCCTTATTAATCAAAGTTTATATTAGTGTAACAATTTTTGAACAGTTAACAGTTTGCAATTCGCAGAAGTCATTTTTGTTTTTATCGTTATGATCAAAAGTAAATAAACAGTTGTGTGAAAATATTAAAACGCATGAGAAATTCTTTCATAATCGCTATAAATAAGCGAGTTCGTATAAAATTTAAAAAAAAACATTTATTTGTAGAGGGTTTCAAGTTGATAACGGGTTTTCGTATAACAGTTTTGGATATGCCAGTACATTAGCTTTGCCATTTTTGGTCTTGTAAAGTTCTCTCCATTTCTTGGTTTGTAAAGAAAGTTCTTGCCATTTTTTTTTGGGAAACAATGTTCTTGCCATTTTTTGAATTGTAAAGAAAGTTCTTGCCATTTTTTTTGGAAACAAAGTTCTTGCCATTTTTTGTTTTTTAAAGAAAGTTCTTGCCATTTTTTGAATTGTAAAGAAAGTTCTTGCCATTTTTTTGGAAACAAAGTTCTTGCCATTTTTTGTTTTTTAAAGAAAGTTCTTGCCATTTTTTGCTTTGTAAAGAAAGTTCTTGACATTTTTCGTTTTGTAAAAAAAAGTTCTTACCACTTTTTTCTGTAAAGAAAGTTCTTGCCGTTTTTTTTGTAATGAAAGTTCTTGCCATTTGTAAGTGAAATAAGGCATGTATTATGTTGTGCAAGATGCGGGTGACAAGTTATACGATAAAAAATGTTTGAAAAGTCTAACGTGAACGTCCTTATTAAATTCAAAAAATATTCAAAAAATCATTCTAGAAAATGACAGTAACTGTCTCACCTGCAGAATTTAATCACGGTATAGAGAACGCCAAAGTCTATCGTGCCGTGCACGTTCAAAAAGAAGAGGGTCAATTTGTAAATGGCACCTATGTCAGAGTGAAAGGGATGAGTTGGTTTGTCACAGCTATATTACTCATTGGAGAGCTAGCTGGTGGTGGTTTAGTTACATTGCCGGTAGTTACAGTAAGAACAAGTTTACCAGCCTGCATATTGTTCACGTTGTTCATGGTCGTTTTGATGACATTTACTGCCGTTCTGATAGGAAGATGCTGGGTGATGTTGATTGAACGATGGCCTGAATATCGATGTCATACTAGGAAACCTTATCCTGAAATAGCACGACGTGCTATGGGAGAGAAGTTTAAGTAAGTACGGTACTGTATGTTTTGGCAGTAATTCAAACATCGAATTTTATAAAGTAGGGTAGGGCAGGATAGGGTATGGTAGGGTAGGGTAGGGTAGGTACCATTACTGTATAAATAAAGCTTGAAAGGCCATCTTATTTTTGATAGTGATATACTATTTTATAGGTACATAGTAAGCGTCTGCATAGATATATCACAATTCGGCTTTACCGTAGTATATGTACTCTTATCAGCACGTAACTTATGTGACCTTCTAAAGCTGTTCTTCGAAATCAACTTTAGCTACTGTTATATGGTAGTCCTACTAGCAGCTGTCATAATTCCTGTGACATTTCTAAAGTCACCTCAAGACTTTTGGCAAGCAGTTATCGTAGCCATGTTTACATCAACATTTGCAGCTGCTTTTATAGTAGCTGGTGGTATTATAGATCATGAAAAATGTAACAGCCATAAAGCTATGCCACCGTTCATACTGGACAATCATTTTTTGGCTGTTGGAACATTCTTCTTTGCTTATGCTAATCATGCTGGATTTCCAACATTACAGCACGATATGAAGGTACCAGCTGATTTTAACAAGGCTTCGTATTTTGCTTTTGGATGTAAGTTATTGCAACATAGTCACCGTATCTGTTGTCCCGTGCTTGTCTTGTCTTGTCTTGCTTTGCCAGGCCCTACTCTATCCTGCCCTATTATCCTGGCCTACAGCACTCTATTACGCCCTATCGTACTGTACTTTACTCTATCCTATTCCACCGTATTTTTCTGTACTTTACTGTATTCAACCGAACCTTAGAGTGTTCTACCGCATTCCACCGTATCCTATTGTACCCTACTATACCATATCCTGCTCTGCCCCAATCCTACTCTACTTGACCCTATTTTACCTTATGTTGTTTTACTTTAGCCTTTCCTTAACACTTATGTTAAGCTTCTCATATAAAGTTTATTTTAGTAACAACAGCCCTATACCTACCAGTATCAGTGATAAGTTGGTATACTTATGGGGATTCAGTGAAAGATTCAATTATAAATTCAATCCAAAACAAATGGCTTCAAGTTGGCATCAATATTATGATTACATTACACTGTATATTAACCATAACAATAGCTTCTAATCCTCTAAACCAAGAAGCTGAAGAAACTTTCAAAGTTCCTCAACGTGAGTTTTAGATACATTATTATTTTAAAATTGAAGGAGAATGAATCCTAAACGTATTTTACAAAAAAAAAATAACTTTCCAGACTTTGGATTTCAAAGAGTCATAGTACGAACCGGTGTTATGATGGTAGTGACGTTTGCTGCACTGTCAGTGCCACAATTTGGTGCTTTAATGGATTTGTGTGGAGCCACTGGTAACATGTTGACAGCTTTAGTATTTCCATGTTTATTTTACTTACGCCTACGAGCTGGCGAAGACCATGAAGCGAAGACTGGCTTTGTTGAAAGTGATCAACTTTCTTGGAAAGAGTAAGTTATAAAGCTAAGAATGAGAGTAGAATAGGGTAGTATGGACAATTATACTCGATTGCGGCCCAGTTGGGTAGAAGAGTAGGGAAGAGTAGGATAAAGTAGCGTAGGGCACGGCAAGTCAAAACAAAGCAATGGTGAGTAGAGCAAGAGGAGGCATAGTAGGACATGATTAGGTAGCGTATTGTAAGGTAAAGCAGCATGGGGTAGAGTAAAATAGGGAAGAGTAAAGAGATACTGTTGAGTAAGGTAAAGTAAGCTAGGGTACTGTAGAATACGGTATGGTAAAATAGAGTAGAGCGTTGTAGTATAAGGTACTGTAAGGTACGGTTAGGTAATGTAGGCTAGAGTGCTGTAGAGTAGGGTACTGTAGGGTAAGGTGCTGTAGGATAGGGTACTGTAAGATAGGGTAAAGTAAAGTAGGCTAGGGTACTGCAGGGCAAAGTCAGGTAACGTAGGGTAGGATACTGTAGGATAAGGTACTGTAGGGTACGATAAGGTAAAGTAGGCTATGGTACTGTAAGGTAGGGAAAAGTAGGGTATTTTGTAAAAAAGTTAAAATTTTTTAATTTCAGGGTGATTCATAGAAGTCCAAAGACTCGTACTATAGTATGCCTGTCCATAGCAGGTAAGTCTTCAACAACTTTCTACGTTACCTCTAACCATATACTAACATAAAATACAACAAACATCATTTTCCAGCCCTAGGCCTAGCAGTAGGAGCAATGGCCACCTTCTCAGCCATCAAACAGATCTCAGTAACACACTTTGTCACTCCTTGTTACCTGCGGCTGTTCTTTAACTCAACTGATGAGAGTGGAAACAGTAATACGGCTGTGGATTGTTGTGGGCATTACCAAAACATTACCGTATTTGATGGCATACAATGTACACCATATGTGTCACATGGTTATGAGTTATGATGGGTTTTGTAAATAAAAGATTGTTAATATCAAGCATAGGCTTGGGGAATAGGATAAACAGAGGGGAGGGGCAGGTAGGGAGGTAACGTATATTAGGGTGGAGAAGGATAAGGTAGTGGAAGACAAGGTAAAAATGAGAAAGGTAAGGTTGGGTAAAGTAAGATAGAGTAAAGAAGAGCATGGTAAGAAAAAGTAGGCTGAAATTGGGTAGGATAAAGTAAAGCAAGTTAAAATGGAGTAGAGTAAAGTAATGCAGAATAAAAAAAGGTAAAGGTCAATTTATTAAGGGGGGGGTTTCAAAACAAAAAATATTTTAAGTTTAAAAATATCACACCCCCCCCTCTCCTCTCTAACATTAACTCACATCCACCCCCCCCACCCACCTTTTTTCTTAGCTTCTTCCCTTGCCTGCAAACCTTCTAAATTTATTGTTATAGTCCATAGCTCATTACTTTTTAAAAAACCTAGGCAGTGATTTTTCACGCTACAGACATTTTTAACCGTTTAAATAAAAAAAAAAATTTATTGCTAATAATATAGTTATAAAACACAAAAAATAATAAATAAAATAATTATGATTTTCAATTTCGAATTCTCAAACAGAAAAACTTTTTGTTGTTACCCAAAGTACCTATTTCAATCAAAAAACCATGCCAAATCAATTTTTGTTTCGAAATCTGGCATTTTTGTTCATTTTCTTAAACTTCCTCAAAGCCCTCAACTTTGGTCGTTTTGTATTCTCCTCCTTAACAGTATCATTCAGCGCATTCAGCAGCTCCAAGTTTCCATCCAGCAGCTCAATATTAATATCTTCAGTGTCATTTCTATTCTTAGCACCAAAAGCAAACGCTGCTCCTAGATTGCCTCCAAAGGCCGCTTCAATGTTATTAAAATAAGCCCCAATTGTAGCTAACACACCACCGCCAAACCCTCCAGCCGCGCCAATAATGGCAGCGATGAGAGGTATGATAAGTTTTTGGAACTCAATTGGAATGCCAAGCTTGGTTAATATAGGGAATTCAGGTAGATCTAGTGGTCCATCTTGTTCTGGTATAAAGTCTTGTAAGGGTTCAGGCAAGCCAGGGATGTCAAACACCTTTCTCAAGCGCTTAACACTAGGCCTAGGCGTGTTCGACTGTTGGCGATAGCGATTATAGTACTCTTGGTACTGTCGATTGTAGTCTGGACCAGATGGTGGACGTACTATATTAGGACCGACGTTGTTTGGCTTAGGTTCGCAGCATTGACCTTGAGTTGGTGGAGGTTGAAGAACGTTGACTTGACCTTGAAGAGTTTGTTGCATATGCTCATGAGCAATTTGGATCAAACGAGCTCGGATTTGATCTACTTGGGCTTGTTCTTCATACGTTAGTCTCTAAAATCGTGTATTGTACTAATGTAGTTAATGTTATAGTACTTTAGGTAAAGATATCATAGCCTAATTTATACTATCTTACCCTACCCTACCCCACCCTAACATACCTGACCTTAATTTACTTTACCTTATAATACCTACCCTAACCATACCGTAACTTATACCATAAAAAATCAAAACTTCTTACCGCAGGTGCCACTTCCTGCTTCCCTTGAGCATATACAGGTGGTCCGACCGGTCCTCCAGGTATAGGAACAGCTTCAGGAGCCCCTAGCGAATATTGATCATCGTCGTCTCTAGGCGGATCTGATGCTGGGGGAGCTACAGCTCGTGGAGCAGTTGGAACCGAAGCCGACCCTTCTGACACTTCATTGTTCTCTTCTTCCTCTTCTTCGTCTTGTGATTGAAATTCTATTTCATTGGCATTGGTTACTACGTCTTCATCTCCTGTTTGGTCAATGGTGCCTAAAATAAGGTAATTTTGATGCTAAGTTATAAAATATAGTAAAGTAGAGCCTAGGTTATGTAAAATTAGGTAAAACTAGGCCAAAAGTGCTTATAAAAACATGGAATTTTGAATAAACATCTAAAAAAAGATCATTCATAGTATTTTTAAGCTTTTAGGTAACAAAATATACGATTACTAAACTATAAAAACAAAAAATAACATCAGGCTTTAAAAACTCTCAAAGATTTAGCCAAATAAACCCCAAAAAACTTATATTAACCATGCCAAAACACTTACCATCATCGGTGACATCATTCTCATCCTGTGCCAACAATACTGTAGCAAAACATAACAGCAAACACGTCAAGATTCGTCGCAAAATCATTACTGAACGAATAATCCAAAAACGCCATCAACCGCTCCAAACCCGATTGTTTTCGATGTTCTAGCCAATTTAATGTTGGATCATTGTTTTCAAGAAAAAGAACATTACCCACGCCAGATCTACACCCAATTAAATGATGTAAACATTATCTGTGCTTCCTTATTTTATCCAGTAATTTGTTTTGAACGTATTTCAAGCTAATTTTGAGTTTTATTTCGAAAGCCGATTGCTTTTTGGCATTTCGCTTCGTTGTTGACGAAATATTGCTTTTCGTCTAAATATTATTAAAATTTCTGAAACTTTATAATGTAACAAAGTGTGTAGAAGATTCAGAAGACAGTGTCAAAAAGAAAATTCAATGAAGCAGCAAGAAGATAAATGTTTTTAACATATGATACTGGATTGGCTACGTAAGCATTTTGTTATTGGTTTTTAATTTTTAGGTATGAAATCACGATTGACTGTGAGGAAAAGGTTTTTTAAAAACTGGAGGAGTGTGTTTTTAAGCTATTTTTATAAGTTTTAGGTGTTTAAAGTTCGTATTCTTAACGTGGATATCAGATTCAATATTATCATAGACTGTGAGAAGGGCTATTATTGGTTTTCAAGTTTTAGGTATGAAATTTTAACTGAAAATTTATAAAAATGCATTTGAAGGCTTGAGAATAGTATTCTCAGCGTATATTGAGACTTTTTGACTTGTTGTATTAAAGGCCATTTGATTATGGATCAGATTTTATATTATCATAGACTGTAAGAAGTTATTATTGGTTTTCAAGGTTTAGGTAATGAAATCAAGGATGGAATTGAATGAAATATTATTTAAAAGATTGGGATGGTTAATGTGAAGGTTGTATAGTTATATTTCTCTGTTTACATTGATTAGTTTGTGTGTAAGGAGGACGTTTTATATCATCATAGACACGTGATCTATATTTTTGAACCTTGAGTTAAAATGTGTGTTTTATGGCCGTAAATTATCGATATCAATTTAAAAAACGAGTTGGGTATTGACTTGGATATTGTTTTAGACAGGAATTGTATGTTTGAATCAAGTTAATCTACTATAAGTTATTATTCTCATCTTATAAGCTTTTATTTACTGTAGTATAGTAATTGCTCGTTATTTTATTATTCTCAAACAGTCTGCACTTCTTTTTTTTGAAACAAGAATGATCTTCACTTTTGTAACATTACTTTGTAACGAGTTATCCGCGAGTTTATTTAGCGTCTTCAGACGTATAATAAGCAACGATCATTAAAACGCGCCGAAACTTTCTCCCATTCACGGCATTGTTTTGATGCCTCAAATGGTCGAAGATGACGTTTAGAGTTGTTTTAACTATATCTTGTTTATGTGTTTTTGTTGGATTTGGCAGAAGAGTTTATTATTCTGTAAGATTTTTAAGTTTTTTAGATTTTTAGTGGATTTTTTAGTTACAATGACTTAATTTGAAAAACTTTTGTTTTTTGATTTTAAAAGGTCAGTACAATGGATTTTCAGAAACATGTTACGATTGAACCAAATGCAGCTTCAAATTCAAGTTTTTTGAGTGATTTTGAACAATCTGTAGGATTGTCCAGGCATCGTCATCATCGTACGTTTACGTATCTTTGTTTTGCCAGTATTCTAGTTCTCCTCTAGTCTTGCCTTAGAATTGACTCAGCCCTGCCATGGTCCTGCTCTAACCTTACTCTAGCCCTGCCTTAGCCTTGCCCTACCCTGGCTAGCTTTGGTCTTGTCCGAGCATGGACCTAGCCTAACTTCAGCTATTCCTTAGCCTTATCTCAACTCTGTCCTACCTACTAGTCTCTATATCCTATTGCTAATCTTATCATATCCTACTCTCATTATACCCTTACCATAACCTTAACCTACTACTCTGAGCTTTTTCCTTACCTTAACTTCATCGTAGCCTTATTCTTAAAAATTTTGATTTATAGTAGTTTTTATGTAATTTTATTTTTCAGTATCAGCCGCTGAACGTAAGAAGCGTTGTTTTGGTATTTTTGCTGGTTTATTCTCTGGATTCGGTGGTGGAGGAGCTGGTAATCTTGCAGCTTCAGCAAGTGCATTAGCGTCATACGCTTCAGCAAGTTCAGCAGCCTCGGCCGCTGCTTCATCTAATGCAGCTCAAGCTGCATTAGCTTCGCAAGCTGCACAATCATCTTTGGCATCTCAATCTTCTTCAGCATCTAACTCTGTTGGAGGAGCTGGTGCAGCTAACGCAGCTGCATCAGCTTCTAATGCTGTTCCTCCAACAATACCTCTACCAAACGTACAGGCTCCTCTACCGATACCCCCACCAAACGTACAGAACCAAGGATCAACAAGTCCAGAAGAGATTGAAGATTCAGAAAATCCGAATCAACTAACAGATGAACAACAACGTCAAATAATACAACAAGAAGCGCGCTATCCACTAAAACAATGTTATACTAATGCGGACAAGTTTATGTGTTGTAACGAAAGACTGGAAAAGTTTATGGATGAAGCCTACAGGATCTTGGAGGAGACTGGTGGTGGAGGTAGTAAAAAGAAAGTGGCAGACTTTATGGAGAATTTTATGGAAAGCAGATTGGACAAAACCTTTGAAGTTATCGTTGGTACAGGCGATTACGTGTCTAAATCACACTTTTCCGATGATCACTATTGCAAGATCAAGAGGGATGACAAGTAAGATTTTTTTTATTTCCAGGGCGGGGTATCCTCACCCAAATTTTTATGTTTATAATTTTAGATTCATATTAGTCTACGGCACTCCAGTAGAGGGTAAAGAGGAAACGGCCGGCTATGAATTGACTGATAACAATATAAAAGAACCTTATGAACCTACGAGCTACAGTGAGATTTCAATCGAATATAATAAGTCAGATGACGGGTATGATAGAAAGACTAATGTATATGACAATGCTAAAAATGAAAATGGTCCAAATGGGTACGATAATAAAGTAGATAGTATCTACAGTACTAAAGGAGCAGACGATGTTTATAAAAATATAGATACTACTACTGTCTACGGCAAAGAAGACTCTCGTACAGGGTATGATGGCAAGTCTAAAAACAGTGATTACAAAATCAAAGCTACTAACACTGGGTATGATACCATAGGTTCTAATAAGGGATACGATACGAAAGCTAATGATAATGGCGACGATACGAAAGCTACTGATAAGGACTACGATACTAAAGCTTCTAGTAATTACTATGAGCCCAATGTATCACCAAAAGCTTTAAGATACGAACCAGAAGACTTGTACGGAAATGAAGTTACTAAAATCGATACAAGTCAAATTGCCATTTTAAATGGATATCATAGTATTGCAGAGAACAATGATGAAGTTAAGTTGACTGTTAACAAAGCTAATCCGATTGGGGGTAGTACTGGTGGACAAAGTAGTGGTACTGAGGCTAAAAATATTGATTCTGGAGGTCAAAGTGGTGGTACTGATGCTAAAGACCATACTACAAATAATGAACATAGTAGTACTAGTGATGCTAAAGATACCAGTACTAACGCTAATAACAAAATATCTTCACATGATAAAAAGAAGAGTACTGTAAGTGAGTATACCCAGAGTCTTCCTAACCTAATAAACCATCGTAATCAAGATAACAGTATGAAGCAAAGCTCAAAATCAAAGTCTACACGTCAAGAACAAGATAAAGAACCCCATGGTTATGGTGAAAACAGCCTTCTGAACAAGCTAGAAAAGATGAACAACGTAATCGAACAAGTCATCAGTAGTAACGTGACAAAACAAGCAATTATGAGCAATATTGTGCCCATTATGGTCAGTGGTGAAGCTTCTATCAATAATATAATGGCTAAAGTGTTTAAGCCGGCGGTGGTAGAACATAATGTAAAGGGTAGTAGAGCTATGAATTCGGGTAGTATCAAAAATTTAGTATCTACCAAAGATAATATGGCTGGTACACAAGGGAATACTCTTGTGAAAACACCCAATATTGAAGAAAGCAATGACCATGAAGTACTAGAAAAGTCTGAAAATATTCATGGAAATCATGAATTCAATTCCATTTTATCAGAAGGCCTTAAAGATCATAGTCATAATTTTGGAAGCTCTGAAAATGAAAAGATAAATGAAAAAAGGGGTCACAATAATGAAGTGAGAGATCACAATAATGAAAAGCGCGGCCACAAAGACATTGATCGTATCAAGATGTTAGATGAAAAACTACAGAATAGTCTACACAAAGACATGGCCAAGCGACGACGCAAGTATAAGATGGGACTTTTGGAGTTTTTGAGGAAAAAAATCATTGCTAATTTGTAGGAATACATGGTTTTGTTGCTCTTGGCTACTAATTGCAATGCTTTTTAAAAAATGTTGTACCACAGTCAAATTCCTGCATAACAAATCGATCGGGGATTTTAAATTTGTTCGTTATGAAAGAGTTTTGTTATACAGAAGCTGTATATCATAAAAAAAGCTTTAACCTAGACTATAGCATAATATTATATTTATTTATTTCACTTTTTAAAAAATAAAAGATTAAAAACAGTTGACAAGAGGCTTTGAAATGTAACGTTCCATAACAATTTTATCGATTTTGAGTTTGAACTGAAAATATGAATGTTGTTTTATGAGACAAAAAAGGTATTTTCACCTGTTTAAAACGTCATCAAGTCCACCTTGCCATAAGGTCAAGTTACAACGAGAGACAATTTTTTGCTCTATATGCAAAAATTGACCAGTAATATCCTGAAATGTTATAATATTCATGTTTTTATCAGTAAGAGTTCAAATTTTGACTGCTTTTTTAATAAGTATCGTACTATTAATAAAAAATAAGCTTTTGTTGTAAAATACGTGGTGTGTTTCTAACTATTGTAATGAATTCACGGCATTATTAGTCGTTTTACAAAATAACTTACAGTATCAACAGCCTTTTGATGGCATTCTTTGCCAATTTTAACACCATTGACTATTCGACCAAACACATTTGTTGCCGCAACTAATTTACAAGCATTGTCAGTACGCGGGGTTTGAGCAAATGAGTTGTTGGTAGAAGCTATGTCAAGAGCTTTTTCTAGCTAAAAAAATTTAATTATAAAATGCTTTGGTACTGCCTTATTCCAAAGGTGATACTGACTTAGTACTGGTATAATATTGAGTTGGTACTAAGCTAGTACCGAGTGAATACTGAGTAAGTGCTGAGATAGTACTGAGCTCTGTTGAGTATGTACTGATTTAGTTTTATACTGAAATATTACTAAAGAATGTCACTTACTTTTACAACAAAAGCCTTTTTATGTTTATAAATCTTATGATCTTTGTTAGCTCCAACGCTTAAAAATGCGTTTGATTTTCGACAACTGAAATTAATATGATTTTTAAAACTTGAGTACCCATAGCCGAAACTTAAATTTAAAAGTTTTCGAACTTTCAAGCCGAAACGGCCAAACTTAAATTTTTACATTAGGAAAGCCTATGTACAATAATTTTACAGTGTATGTCGGCTTACTTATTCTCGGCCATTCCATGCCACTGAATGAATTGATCCCTTTTGTGATGACATACCTTCCAAATTGCCACTAGGATTTTGTGGAAGAAGTTGTTAGTGTTATGAGCTGCATCAGCTACATGGTTTCCGGGCTGGCATGTTGAGTTGGTTTTACTGAAAGTGGTATTCTTCAGTACTAGTACTAAGTCAGTATTAACAGCACTAGTACTAATTTAGTACTAACTCAGCAATATCTCCGCACTAACTTAGTACTAGCGATATACAGCTTAGTACCAAATCAATATGTACTTAAAACTAAGTCAGTACTATCTTTGTACTAAATCAATCTTAGTACCAATTTAGTACTACAGTTCAGTACTAAAGAATTTTGAATGATTAAAAATTTTTGCTGAAAAATCTAATAACACTCACCCTCTAACAGCATCTCTAGCAACCCCGCTGACCACCAGGGTCTTAGCAAGAGTACTATCAAATAGTACTGCCGCTTGTACACTTACAGCTCCATCTGTTTCAAAATGAGGTGAAGAATGATGAATCCAATTGTCTACGAAATCGTTTGCTCTTATAGCTAGGAAGCCAAAAAAACGATTTTCGGATGGCTTTGGCTTAAATTTTTCTGTGATGATTAGGACTTGATTGTGCTGAAAGTGATTTGGAATTATAGTATTGCACATGAGTCATCAGCTGTAGTGTTTCTCTATTCTGAACTACTCTAACCAAACCTACTCTATTCTATTCTACAAAATCCTGCCTTACTTTATCTTATTCAACTCTAACCTAACTTACTCTATCCTACTCTACCATACACTACCCTACCCTATTATAGTATACCGTACTCTATACTACTTAGTGTATCTTACCAACAAACTTACTTGAACCACTGTTCCTTTCAAAAATCTTAATGTGCTATACTTCTCCAACTCTTCGTCCACATGAAAGTCTTCAAAGCTATCTTGAGCATATACATTACCTATAAACTACCTTTTATTTATTCGTTATAAACATCGTATTTTACTTTTTCCAACTCTTCAACCTCATCATCCGTTGGCAATGACTTTAGCCAATCCGGTTCGGTTAGACTAGCCGAACGAGCAAAGTTCCATTGTGCGTTAATGTATTCAGAAGATGTTGGAGTAGAATAATTCAAGAATTTTTTACATTCTTCCGTCTCCACTCGGTAAGCGTCGGAATATTTTAAAAGGAGTGATGTTGTGAAGACGAAAACTAGTGTTTGGACCATGGGGTTGACTTAGTTTTTGTTGGTTTATGGGGTCTGAAAGTTCGTAGAATATTTTTTTTTGTTTTTAAAGTGTGTATAAATGTTGGGTTGAAAAGTGTGTAGATTTTAAAGGTCAAAAATACGTAGAAAGTGATAAAACTAATGCAATTTTAAAAATCATGACAAAATGCGTAAAAAGTAGCCAAAAATGGCGAAAATTAGCGGGAAAATTAAATGTACAATATGAAAGAGGCAAAGTAGAATTAAAAATTATGATCATTTACTATTTATAGTATGTAAGAATCGGCATTATAAATTTTAGTCAAATTAAATATCGTGGTACTTGCAACGTTATGCCAATTGGCGGGAAAATGGAAATTTAAATTCTTAAAAGTGTAAGGTTTAATAGAGTTAAAGTTATGGGTGTACTAGATATTGTGTGTACGAACTAGCAGTAAGATTTTTAGAGAGCTGTTACTAAGGTTTTTCGTTCAAATCGACAATTACTTGTAGCGTTATGCCAACCGACTGGAAATTTAAAATATTTTTATTTTTAAAAGTGAAAAATTTAAAGTCTAATATTGTACGCGTACTATTTACGGTATGTACTACTGTTAATCATATTCGTTAATCTGTTAAGCACTTGTAACGTTATGCCATTTGGCGGGAAATTTAAACTTGAGTTTTTATCTTACGCTATCCTACCCTTCCTTACCCTACCCTTCCCTATCTACCTTATTCTACTCTAATTTACCATGCTCTACCCTACTTTTTTTTGATTTACACTTTCCTGTCTTTACTTGTCTTACAGTTCTCTGGCTTTCCCTCCAGGCCTGCTCTAACCAACCCTGGGGTAATATTTTTGAAAATTTTAAACTTTTGGTCTATAAAAGCCGATTCTAGCTCATTTAAATTTAAAAAACATAAGATAAACTTATAATTTAAGCAACTACACCAAGTGTTTATAATTTATTACCATTTAATACCAATAACAATATAAAATTTAAAAAAATCAAAATAAAATATTCAAATAGCAAAAATACCACGTGCGAGAGTAGGTGTTTACAAATGAGTGAGATCGCTTATTTTGTGTTGTTTTCGATAAAAAGCTTATCGAGCAGCAGAGTTCGCCATCAAAGAGAGGTTTTCCTGAGAAATCGACGGAATTGGCTGTGGTGAGACGGAAAGCCTTCGCGGACTCTTTGGGACCGGGCTTTTTACTGGAATACCCTGAAAAATGGGAAAAATTTAGTATATTGAAAATGGCGGTGATAATGTTTTTAAAAATTTTAAATTTTTGGGTTTACAAATGTCGAAATTTGGCCAAAAAAGCAAATGTTTCCCTATATTAACCATGAATTCTTGTTGTAAATTTTCTTTTTTACATAACTTTTATTAATGCTTAGGTAATAAAATGAACATTGGTGAGAATATAGCTTTATTGTATCGCTTATCAATGTCTAAAAACAAAATTTCAAAAAAAAATTTTTCTTATATTAACCATGAACTCTTGATGGGAGTCTTCTTTTTGACATAACTTTTTTGGATGTTTAGGTAATAACATAAAACATGATGAAAATATAGCTTACTCTATGACTCATCAATGTCTTAAAACAAAATTTCAAAATTCCACAAAATAAAAAAGTTACAGTAACTTTTCCGAACCACTACCTTTCAACTTCCTTTAGAAGAGTTTAGAAGAGAAAAAAAGAAAAGGCGTATTTTACAAATTCCAAAACTCACATCAGCACTATTCACGCTGTGTTTTTGCATCGTGCTTTTCCTGAGCAATCGTCCGCGCAATTTGCTTTCTAGCCAGCCGGCTTTTCCGAAATAAGCAAACGAATTTGTGGCACTATTCAAAACCACAGCGAAATCGGAAAAGTTGACCAAAGTCGACATGATTTGCCCAAACGATTCGATGCCATAGATTAGTTCGTACACGTCGAAGAAGCTTGGCAGGGATCTGAAAATTTTGAATTTAAAAACAATTAAAATTTTTTTTTAATTTATAAAAAATTTAGAAACATTTATATGGTAAAATACGTTATTTTGAAGTTTTTGCACAAAAGGTCGCTTTAAAACCTACCGTAACACAATGAACTTGACGGCAATAAAAATTGCAACAAATCGCGACAACTTTTCTTTCATTTCCTCAAGTTGTACTATCGAACGGCGACGTTGTTGGCTTTCAAATAGTCTAAAAATGAAAAATTATGTAGATTACGGCAGGGTAGGATATGTTAGCACAGTATGGCATAATATGTTATATTATACTATGGCATGACATGGCAGGGCAGGAAAAAGCAGGTTAAGACAAAAAAAGCACGGGCAGAGCAGAACATGGCACGGCCGAGCAAGGCAGGACTGCGCTGGAAAGGGAAGGGCAAAGCCAGGCAGGGTAGAGTAGTATATGATAGGGTATAAGGGTATAGGATAGGGTATACGGTAGGGAATAAGGTAGGGAATAAGGTAGGGTATAAGGTAGGGTATAGGGTAGGGTATAGGGTAGAGTAGGGTAGGGCACTTACAATCTTCTAGCCTTCAAACTGGCTTGAACTTTGTACTCCGTCAATACGGTAAGCAAAGAGATAGTGGTAACAGGTCCAATGGCTTGAGTTACCATCATTATCACTGTTCTTAGACCATTATACTGAAAATTTTGAAAATAAATTTAAAAATAAAAAAAGGAAATTTAAAAAAATTTAAAAAAAACCTACCAGTTGGCTCGTTCTCAATTCAGTAGGAGCAAGATGAACGGCCGGCAAGCCGTTATGTTCGTTTATGCAAGGTGCAGAGAAGAACTCGAAGAACACTGAGCTGCTGATTACGATTGATGATAAGACAATCAGTACTGAAAAATGTGAAAATTGAGTAAAATGGCAAGAACTTTCTTTACAAGGTTCAAAATGGCAAGAACTTTCTTTACAAAACAAAAAATGGCAAGAACTTTCTTTACAAAATAAAAAATGGCAAGAACATTCTTTACAAGATTCAAAATGGCAATAACTTTTTTTTACAAAGCTAAAAAAAGCAAAAAACTTTTTTTTACATAACAAAAAACGGCAAGAACTTTCTTTCCAAATATTAAAAATTCAAAATTTTTGCAAAAAATCTAATCTTTGGCCTTACCCGGAAATAAGAACGGTCGCAACACTTTCTTGAATGACGGCATTGTTTTCCGCTTCAGCACGTTCTTCGGCGGAATTTTAAAACTCAACGTTCGCCGATAGCTGTTACTGTTCCAGTCCGAGTCGACTTGACTAGACAATCGACGGAATGGTTGATGATCTGGTTTTCGTTTCCGATCACAGAGTTTGGCATATTTTAGAGGCCACCAGACGACCAGGAATCGTTGAAATGTAATGAAAACGACAAGGAGAGTCTGAAATTTTTATTTTAAAATTATTAGCCCGTATTTTACCATTTCTTATAAGAAATAAGAAATGGCCTACCCTACCCTACCCTACCTACCCTACCCTACCCTACCCTACCCTACCCTACCCTACCCTACCCTACCCTACCCTACCCTACCACCCTACCCTACCCTACCCTACCCTACCCTACCCTACCCTACCCTACCCTACCCTACCACCCTACCCTACCCTACCCTACCCTACCACCCTACCCTACCCTACACTACCCTACCCTTTCCTACCATACCGTTATTTACCTTACGTTACTCTTCCCTACCGTGACCTGGCCCTACTCTTAGCCCGAACCTTGGTCTTAATTCTAGTTCCAGTCCAAGCCGGCCCCTAACCTTGTTTTAGTTTTTGCCCCACCTTTTCCACACTCTAACCCCTCTCCCTTCTTTACCTGCTCTACCTTAAAAAATCATCCAATTTTTTTTTACGTATCCATACATATTTTACCCCTCCCTATATTATTTCAAAAAAAAACTCTCACCGATGCAGTCGTAGCAATACTACCAAGGCCATGTGTAACCAATACGTATTGTTGTTTGTCCCACATGGGGTTGTAATCAGCCATTAGGACCCATGTGGCTTCGAACGCGTGATTAAATATTACCATAATAATTAAAAACGAGTCGCAAAAACATAGGACGTAGAGGGCTGAAATGGAACTACGTACTTGGTTATGTTAACTATGGTTTGATTTGTGCATGGTTTGCACTTGGTATATTAGGTGGATCAAAAGAGAGGGAAAGGGAGTCAGCATATAACTTGTCATCCGCAAGTCGCAAAACATAAAAAATATAATTTTTAAGCATAAACGGCAAGAACTTTCTTTATAATTCAAAAAATGACGATAACTTTCTTTACAAAACAAAAAATGGCTAGGAATTTCCTTAAAAAACAAAAATTGCCAAAACTTTCTTTCCAAAACCAAAAACAGTAAAAATTTTCTTTCCAAAACATAAAATGGCAAAAACTTTCTTTACAAAACAAAAACGCACCAGCAGTTAAATCCCGATTTAGTCCAGCCTGCGCCAAGAACTTGACTGCCAGTCTAGCTCCAACTAAAGCACCAACAGCTGCCACTAATGTCAGTGGTCCATCGAAGGCCATTTTCCACTGATCCATATCATCATACCGGTAGAAACAATTCGGATATTTTGATAATAATGTTGTTGTTATTGATGTTGGAGCCAGTTCGGAGCGGTCTAGTACCCGCATTGTCTGGAATTAAATTTTTTAAATTTAAAAAATTTTAAAAATTCAAACATTTTGTTTTTAAAATTTTTTTAGGCTCAAGGTAAGACAGTACAAAATTCTATAAAAAACAGCAAAAACTTTGTTTACAGAGCCAAAAATAAAAAAAATTTTCTTTATAAAAGATAAAATTGATATTCGTCGTATAACTTGTCACTCGCAGCCTGCAGCGAACAATATTTGATTTCAATGGTCTTCGAATGGCAAAAACTCTCTTTACAAAACAAAAAAATGGCAAGAACTTTCTTTACAATACAGAAAATAGCTAGAACTTTCTTACCAAAACCCCAACCGCCAAAATTTTCTTTAAAACCACGACTAAACCCTTCAATAAAAGCGACAAACTAAAAATGTTTTCCTTCCCTATGGCCAATAAATATACAAACTGGTGCCAAACCGCGAAATTTCCTGTTATTTGGTACTTTTACAGAACGACGCGTTGTTTACGAACATTTTGATTCAAAAGGTTTAGCATTTGTTATTGTTATTATAAAAGGTTTAGTTCATCATCATTCTATTTCTAAAAGCTTTTGGAACACTGTCAATTCAGGAAAGTATTACGAAAATATAAAAACACGGTGATACATTTCCTTGTACTTTTCTTTTTTTAATCTAACGGTAAAGTAAAGTATGCGAAGATAAGAGAAGGTAAAGTAACCAAAGCGCACGATACGACTGAAAAAGTGTCTAAGGTTTAGGCTTATATTTAAGCTCAGGATTGTGCTTAAAATTAGGCTTAGGCTAAAAATTAAAGCAAAGGAAAAAGCTAAGGCTAAAACTAACGCTGAGGCTTAGGCTAAAGGCTAAGGCTAAAGCTAAGGCTAAGGCTAAGGTTAAGCCTAAGACTGGTAACCAAACTAATTTCACGGCTATAAAAGCTGCCAAAATATAAAATTCTAAGTTCAAGAAAGCAAAATAAAGAAAAAGTGAGGATTCGACGCCCCGTTATTATTCGGCTCTGTATTTTTGTTTTCATTAGGTTTGTACTATAGACAGTTCAAAAGCCAGTACATAAACTACTGTTTTTTGGCTTCTCAATCACCTTTGGTTTTTTTAAAATTTTAAAATAAGTTTTAAATCATTAAAATAGAGACCTCAAAGACAAAATATTGGTTTTTTACGCACCCAACTACAAAATTTATCCCACACAAAAAATTTTTACCGTGCTAAAAAAAATATTTTTTACCCACTCCCACAAAAAAAAATTTATCAGTCCCAAAAAAAAATATTTTACTTTGCTGTAAAGGTAAACTTACCGGCCTTAAAAATTTTTTTTGATTTTGCTTAAAATTTTTTCTACCCTGCCCAAAATGTTTTTACCATGCCCAAAAAAAATTTTTTTACTTTGCTCAAAAAATGATTTCCCTAGCCTTTACTTGACATTTTTTACCTACTTCAAAAATTTTAATTTTTTTACCCCGCCCTAAAAATTTTTTATAATACATAATATGAACCCACCCTTTCCGTGCCAGCCGGCTTTTCTTCGTGTATAATCTTAACACTTGATTTGGCGATCACAGCCTTGTTATCCGACTCTTGAGCTGCCAGAATCGCTGGTCTAGCCATTGAATGTTGTGTGGAATGTTTTCGTTGTGCATGACGCGGCTCATCGACCACTTGTTCTTCGCCATTTCGTTGCAACACGCCCGGCGGCGCTGCGAATGCGCAAAGGCAGAGGGTCGCCCAGAACGCGGCCCTAATTTGGCGCATTTAGCCTGAAAAAGAAGGTTGAACATGAGTTTTTGAGGTTTAAACTCGAATATTTAACGCTGGCTTTAAGCTTGAAATAACGGATTTTATTACAAGCTTAAAAAAGTTAACCATTAGCCTAAAAAGCTAAAATTAAGCTTAGAAAAGTTAACAATAAGCCTAAAATGCTGACATTAAGCCTAAAAATTACAAATTTTATAACAGTTTAAGCCTAAACCCAAAAAGTTAAAATTTCAAAAACCACTCTTAAGCCTAAAAACGCAAAGTTAAAAAAGCGTGTATAAGCCTAAAGCACAATTTTTAAAAACTGCTTTTAAGCCTAATAACTTGATATTAAAAAACTTAAAAGACTAACCGTAAGCCTAAAACCAACAAATTTTTTAAGCCTAGCAACGTAAAGTTAAAAAAGCTAAATATTTAAAAACCGCCTTAACTTTCCAGTTTTCGAGGAATAAATTGTTTATTCATTAAAAGTGCGAAAAACACGCTTAATTTGAATCATTCATTAATCCGTACTTAAAGTTCGAAACACAGGCTTCAGCAATTATCAAAAACAAGCACTAAAGATCTTGTAGACTTTTGGAAATAGAAAGCTTTTGTAAATAAACACCAAATGTCAGCGATAATATGGTGGCTTAGGCTTAGGCGTAGGCTTAGACTTAGGCTTAGGCTTAGGCATAGGCTTAGGCTTAGGCTTAGGCTTAAGCTTAGGCTTAGGCTTAGGCTTAGGCTTAGGCTTAGGCTTAGGCTTAGGCTTAGGCTTAGGCTTAGGCTTAGGCTTAGGCTTAGGCTTAGGCTTAGATTCAGACTCAGACTCAGACTCAGGCTCAGGCTCAGGCTCAGGCTTAGGCCTAAGCTTAGGCTCAGGTTCTGGCTCAGGCTCAAACTAACCCTCACACCCAGGTTTAGACTCAGGCTTAAATTCAGGCTCAGGCTTAGGCTCAGGATCACGCTCAGGCTCAGGCTCAAGCTCAGGCTCAAGCTCAGGTTCAATCTCAGGCTCAACCTCAGGCTCAGACTTAGGCTCAGACTCAAGCTTAGACTCAGGCTTAGGCTCAATCTCAAGCTCAAGGTCACGCTTAGACTCAAACAGAAGCTTAAGCTCAAGCTCAATATCATTTAAGGCTAAGACTGGCTAATATATTTTTTAATCAAAAGTTGCCTGCCTACATCAAGAAAACAGTTCTTTTACCCATCCTACCTCCTCTCTCATTTTCCCTATCCCTAGCATATTTCACAAAATGTTTTATCACCATTAAACCTAAAACCAACTAAACCAAAAAGAGAAACTACCAGGTCCAACCAGGCCATTTTACAAATCTAAGAACCGCTTCTCGACCCACCCACCTAAAACCCACAAAGTCAGTTTACTATTAATAAAATTAGAAAAAACGCAAAATTCCTAATGTAGTGCTGTACGATAATGAAAAGCAACCTTTGCTTGAGTGCAATAATCAACACGACACGAATAAATTATAGAACAGGAAGAAATATGCATAACTTATAAAAACAGACAAGCGCAGAGTTGCACGATGTTTGTTCGAGTATAAAGTCAAGTTTATAAAACATTTTTTGAAGGCTTTTACTACACAGCCTAAAAATTGGTTTATAAGAAAAGTACCATATCTGCCCCGCTCAGAATCAGCTCAAATTTTTTATATGTATTCTTTGTACCACCAATAGTACTCATAAAAAATTTTAGCTTGCGCTTTTGAGTTTTAAATATATTATTCTGGTTTCCCGCCAATTTGGCAAGTTTGGCATTGTGTTTCAAGCACTTTTTTACCTTTTCAGACAAGCTACATTTACAAATTTAATAATTTAGGTACATTTAAAGGTTTTCTACTAGTATATCAAAGAAAAATTATTAAAAGTCCAAACAATGGCAAAGTTATAAGCTTGAAACACAATGCCAATTTGGCGGGAAATTCAAAACGCAGTTTTTTGATCTCGATTTTTTCGATATTGACTAGAAAGCGCAAGTTAGTACTTTGCTGAAGATCTTGTATTTACATAATCTTTCCATATAAAAGGTTTAAAGTCAATCAGAGCGAAGCAGATCGGGTACTTTCCTTGTTAGTACCTATACAGGGACACCCTGTAAATAGCGATATACCAAGAATTTTGCAACTTTTGCCACGAAATATAAATCAATGTAAAACTACAACTGAAGCTACCATAAATTCTCCGTTGCTTTTATATACGTCACCATAAGTTCTAAATCTAATTTTTTTATAACGTGAAGACATTTTTTTTGAATTTTGCAGTAAAATATCAGGGATTATGTAGTGCAACGTCGGACCACCGGGCTCGAAAAAGATTCTTTTTTAACTTGGTGGCTTCTTAAGACTCGAAGAAGATCATTATTCATCCAAGAAATACTTTCAATAATAAAAAAATTTTAAAACAAAAAAAGTTCTAACTAAATTGCACGTAGAAGAATACTTCACTCTACACTAACCTTGCTTTGCCCTGCCTTTGCCCTGCATTTGCCTTACCTTTGCCCTGCTTTTGCCCTGCCATTGCCCTGCCTTTGCCCTGCCTTTGCCCTGCCTTTGCCCTGCCTTTGCCCTGCCTTTGCCCTGCCTTTGCCCTGCCTTTGCCCTGCCTTTGTCCTGTCTTTGTCCTGTCTTTGCCTTGCCTTTGCCTTGCCTTGTCCTACTTCACTCTACCTTACTTTTCCCTACCTTGCTTGATCTGCCTGGCTTGAATTTGCTCTGCCTTGTGTTACCCTGCCTTGGTTTGGCCTATTCTTGACGTACCCTTGCACTACCTTTGCGCTACCTTTAGTCTATCCTTTTCCCACTCTTGCCTTACACTTGCCCAAGAACTTGTATTATCTACCCTTACTTTATCACACCTTACCATACTTTTAAATTGCCACGTTCTTTACCAACCCACCTTTTTAACTTCCTCTACCTTAACGTACGTACTAATCATATCCTAGCATCCCTTTTACCCCACGTTTCTTACTACTCTTACCAAACCAACCCAAACCATCAAATAATGACAAAAACCACTTACTGTCACTGTAAACGTATCCTCATTACAATCGACAGTTAATAAGAAAGAATTAAAAAGTCATCTCCATTTTGAAGGGCTTCAAAGCTGTTATGAAAAGTATTATAATGCATTTTTTGCCCACCGACACAAATTAATTTTTGCGCATATATTGTGGTAATAATTAAAATGAAGAATTATTAGAGCACATGACCCTCCCATAATTGATAGCAAGTTTTGTTGCAAAATTGAGAGGACAAACCGCTTGTGGGCCAAATGCGCTTGTACTTATATTAGCATGAGCAAGCAGCGCCAGGGAGCAAAGCTTAGCCACAGCCCAGTGCCAAGCCTTAACCACAAGCCCTAGCTTCTAGCATTGGCCCTGAGCCTTAGGCCATAGCCCAGAGCCCTAACCCAGATCCCTAGCCCAGAGCCATAGCCCTGAACACTAGCCCTAGCCCTAGCCCTAGCCCTAGCCCTAGCCCTAGCCCTAGCCCTAGCCCTAGCCCTAGCCCTAGCCCTAGCCCTAGCCCTAGCCCTAGCCCTAGCCCTAGCCCAGTCCAAAGCCCTAGCGCAAAGCCCTAGCTTCTAGCCTTGGCCCCGAGCCTTAGCCCAAAGCCCTAGCCCAGAGCCCTAGCCCTAGTCCAGAGCCCTAGCGCAAAGCCCTAGCTTCTAGCCCCGGCTTCTAGCCTTGGCCCTGAGCCTTAGCCCAGAGCCCTAGCCCAGAGCCCTAGCCCAGAGCCCTAGCCCAGAGCCCTAGCCCAGAGCCCTAGCCCAGAGCCCTAGCCCAGAGCCCTAGCCCAGAGCCCTTGCCCAGAGCCCTAGCCCAGAGCCCTAGCCCAGAGCCCTAGCCCAGAGCCCTAGCCCAGAGCCCTAGCCCAGAGCCCTAGCCCAGAGCCCTAGCCCTAGCCCTAGCCCTAGCCCTAGCCCTAGCACTAGCCCTAGCCCTAGCCCTAGCCCTAGCCCAGTCCAAAGCCCTAGCGCAAAGCCCTAGCTTCTAGCCTTGGCCCCGAGCCTTAGCCCAAAGCCCTAGCCCAGAGCCCTAGCCCTAGTCCAGAGCCCTAGCGCAAAGCCCTAGCTTCTAGCCCCGGCTTCTAGCCTTGGCCCTGAGCCTTAGCCCAGAGCCCTAGCCCAGAGCCCTAGCCCAGAGCCCTAGCCCAGAGCCCTAGCCCAGAGCCCTAGCCCAGAGCCCTTGCCCAGAGCCCTAGCCCAGAGCCCTAGCCCAGAGCCCTAGCCCAGAGCCCTAGCCCAGAGCCCTAGCCCAGAGCCCTAGCCCAGAGCCCTAGCCCAGAGCCCTAGCCCAGAGCCCTAGCCCAGAGCCCTAGCCCAGAGCCCTAGCCCAGAGCCCTAGCCCAGAGCCCTAGCCCAGAGCCCTAGCCCAGAGCCCTAGCCCAGAGCCCTAGCCCAGAGCCCTAGCCCAGAGCCCTAGCCCAGAGCCCTAGCCCAGAGCCCTAGCCCAGAGCCCTAGCCCAGAGCCCTAGCCCAGAGCCCTAGCCCAGAGCCCTAGCCCAGAGCCCTAGCCCAGAGCCCTAGCCCAGAGCCCTAGCCCAGAGCCCTAGCCCAGAGCCCTAGCCCAGAGCCCTAGCCCAGAGCCCTAGCCCAGAGCCCTAGCCCAGAGCCCTAGCCCAGAGCCCTAGCCCAGAGCCCTAGCCCAGAGCCCTAGCCCAGAGCCCTAGCCCAGAGCCCTAGCCCAGAGCCCTAGCCCAGAGCCCTAGCCCAGAGCCCTAGCCCAGAGCCCTAGCCCAGAGCCCTAGCCCAGAGCCCTAGCCCAGAGCCCAGAGCCCTAGCCCAGAGCCCTAGCCCAGAGCCCTAGCCCAGAGCCCTAGCCCAGAGCCCTAGCCCAGAGCCCTAGCCCAGAGCCCTAGCCCAGAGCCCTAGCCCAGAGCCCTAGCAAAGAGCCCTAGCCCAGAGCCCTAGCCCAGAGCCCTAGCCCAGAGCCCTAGCCCAGAGCCCTAGCCCAGAGCCCTAGCCCAGAGCCCTAGCCCAGAGCCCTAGCCCAGAGCCCTAGCCCAGAGCCCTAGCCCAGAGCCCTAGCCCAGAGCCCTAGCCCAGAGCCCTAGCCCAGAGCCCTAGCCCAGAGCCCTAGCCCAGAGCCCTAGCCCAGAGCCCTAGCCCAGAGCCCTAGCCCAGAGCCCTAGCCCAGAGCCCTAGCCCAGAGCCCTAGCCCAGAGCCCTAGCCCAGAGCCCTAGCCCAGAGCCCTAGCCCAGAGCCCTAGCCCAGAGCCCTAGCCCAGAGCCCTAGCCCAGAGCCCTAGCCCAGAGCCCTAGCCCAGAGCCCTAGCCCAGAGCCCTAGCCCAGAGCCCTAGCCCAGAGCCCTAGCCCAGAGCCCTAGCCCAGAGCCCTAGCCCAGAGCCCTAGCCCAGAGCCCTAGCCCAGAGCCCTAGCCCTAGCCCTAGCCCTAGCCCTAGCCCTAGCACTAGCCCTAGCCCTAGCCCTAGCCCTAGCCCTAGCCCTAGCACTAGCCCTAGCCCTAGCCCTAGCCCTAGCCCAGTCCAAAGCCCTAGCGCAAAGCCCTAGCTTCTAGCCTTGGCCCCGAGCCTTAGCCCAAAGCCCTAGCCCAGAGCCCTAGCCCTAGTCCAGAGCCCTAGCGCAAAGCCCTAGCTTCTAGCCCCGGCTTCTAGCCTTGGCCCTGAGCCTTAGCCCAGAGCCCTAGCCCAGAGCCCTAGCCCAGAGCCCTAGCCCAGAGCCCTAGCCCAGAGCCTTAGCCTAGAGCTTTGACTTCTAGGCTTCCTTAGCCAAGCCCAGTCCAGATCAACGCCGCCTAGTATAGTCTAACGTAGCTCAGTTTATCCCAGCTGCTTCTAGCCCCGCCTTCTAGCCCTAGCTGCTAGCCCCGGCTTCAAGCCTTGGCTTTTAGCCCTAGCCCTAGCGGCCCAGTAATTTAATAAACTACGACCAAAAAACCAACCTACCACGTGCGACTTTTAAAGTAAAAAATAAATTTTAAATTTTTGCCCTAACACTTGCACTAATTAAAGAACGCCATTTAAGAGATTGACTTGTTGTCAATTAAAACGGCATAATAAGATTTCGTATTTATTTTTCGTTTCCGCGGTTAATAAAATAAAACTTGGCAAGTTTATTTATCTCCAAGGACCATTCTAAAGAGAGTAAAAACAAATAAAAGATTTACATTAACTTCCTCAACGCACACATTACTAAGGCTTGCACTTGGGGGTTATTTTTGAAAATTTCAAAATTATTCACGGTATAGAACAGTGCAGTACAATACGGTACAGTACAGTACAAAACAGT